TACATAAGATACGTGCGGTGAAGAGGGCTCTTGAAATCAATTTGCCAATAACGAGAACCATCAGAGGATCAAGTAAATGTTGTTGACACTAAAGATGTGGGCTCTGTTGCTCATTGGCGTTTTTTCTGTAGCTGATATGATCCACCGATAAATAGGCATGCGTAGCAGGATATCCAGTGAAAGGGTTGTTTCAACAACTAGACCACAATAACACGATAAAACTTGGCGAGAACTTGTTGCCTTGCCGCTGCAGATGCTTATAAAGGAAATGTGCAATAGGTGGTACAGTAATGAAAATCATCGAACGATGTAATAAGGCAAGCTGACACTGAAGGATGCTGTAGACGTTGCTCTTTGGCCCTGGTATGATTCGCCTATAAACGATGCACGGTAAACACTTTCCCGAACACATAGAAAGATCCTTAGCAATGATACCTGCATCCATGAATATTCCAAAGGACCAAAATACAAGTAGTTTGCTGAATAGCACACATACTATAATAAAAGAGGGGGTTGGTTGGGTTGGAGCCAAAAAACGGGTCATCCACTATTTACCAATGAAAGCCATATGAATAAAACCTTGTCGACATCCAATGATAGCTTCATCCATCAAGAATCCAAAGGGAACAAGACAAGTAGCTCGCTGAATAACCCAGCTACGAGGGTGTTAGTAGGCATTGAAAGAAAGAATGGATCGTTATTTACCAATGCCAGCTTCATGTATGAAAATCCCAAAGGACCAAACGACAAGTAGCTTGATGAAATGCCCACATACTAAGATAAAGGCGGAGGTTGGCAGGCGTTGTAGAACGAATGGATCAGCAGTACCAATGATAGCCATACGCACGAAACATGTCGACATCCAATGACAGCTGCATCCATGATAACCCAAAGAACCAGAAGACAAGTGGCTTGCTGAATAGACCACATACTATAATAAAGAGGAAGGTCGGTAGGCGTTGTATAGAATGGATCATAACTATACCAATGATAGCCATATGTACGAAATCCTGCTGATATCCAAATCAATCCGATCTTTGCAATCGTCCGCTTGCTGATAAGACCCGCTACGTTGGCACTCGGGTTGTAAGTGATGGAATGATACTTGATGGGAACACAGTGAGAAGGTTGGAGTAATATTAATACCACCAAAGAGAGCATACTTAGCGATGATGCCGAAGAGCCCTTACAAAAGAGAGCCAACGAGACAACTTGCTGCCCAAGACCACATGCAAATCGAGAAAGCATTGTGCATCGAAAAGCCCAAACCAGATCCTGCGGAGTGACGTACATATGGCTAAAGAGCGAATGGCAATCGTTTTTCATTGGAAATCGAATGCAGCTTGACGAATTTATACCGCTTCGAGGAGATGCATAAATGACCTTGGTAACACCAAAGATGTCAACGCGGACTCTCATTGCTTGTTGATGACATTATCCATCCATAAGACACGTATAGTTGTAGAGATCCATCAAAGGAATCGCCAATAACCAGAACCACCAAGAGATAGAAAGCTTGCTGATACCAAAGATATACAAGTTGTTCGTTGCTGCTGATGTGACCAATCGATAAGAGACCTTCATTTCAGGATGCCCACCGAATTGCCGATAACGATAAGAACCAGATGATGGGATAAAGCTTGATATGGAACCAACGATATGTATGCTGTTGTTTGTTGCTGATACAATCCACTCATAAAAGACGTTCATTGGCTGACATTCTCCAGAGAAATCGCCCGTTGCTTCGTAACCAACCACCCGAGACGCAATAAAGGTTGACACCACCAAAGACATAAACATTTCCCCCATGGCTGACATGATTCGCCTATAAAAGATGCACCATAAAAAATTGTCAACATTACTTAGCAATCATAGCTGTGATCTTGTAAACCCCAAAGCACCAAAAGACAAGCGGCTCTCTGCAATGGTCCCTCTAAATAATGGTAGGCGTTTCACCAAAGGTCTCCAAAAAGCATGAGAGTCCTACATACCTGAATCACGCAATCATCACCCACAGACCTGGGAAACAGATAGGCCATCAGGATGTAAAGTAATAATAAAAGCGCACAGCCAAAGAAACGTCATAGTACCGGTACTCTCCTGTGGATCGACGCGATGAAGTGCATCAATAGAGATACCATCTTCTCTCTAAAGGCAAGGAGATCAATAGCCGTAAAACGATGGAGCCGTGCGAACAGAGGATGCATTTTTAAATCCCTAAGGCCGCAACATGAGTCGCACTGTCCCCGGGCACAACATGTAGAGCTCCACAGGAAAGTACAGTACAATGACATCCTTGACGTGCAGCCGTGATAGTAATAGTATTGCCGAAAGAGGCTCTGCCACTGTATGGCGTTTGGTAAGTCCACTTGAATCCAACCAATCCCATCATAATGAACACTCTACCTTGTGGTATTTCTCATAATAGCGTCTTTGCCTTCAAATTAAACCGTATGTCCATGCCATCCAGTAGATGCTGCTGCTGTTTCATTGTAAGGCTCGTTATTTAACAGGCTTTGCTTTGTACATCCAATTCCATCCATGCATACCATTGAGCCAACGTACGGCGTTCTTGCTTTGATATCAATGTCTTGTTGCTGCCAGAGGTACCATCATCCAACATGTTCAAGCTACAGTAAATGTAATGTAAGGTAACAAGTAAAACCAACCCACACGCTTTTGTTGTCAGCATACCCAAAAGAGGCAATGTGAAGACGTCTTGAGAACTCTCATTGTGGACAACTCGGTAAGGAAGACACACGACGTCGTGAACCATCGCGATCACAAGGAATTGCAACCAAATACACCATCCGAAGGCAATACAATAATCAACCTGCAGCGCCAAGGTATGCCACCATATGTACCATTGGATCCTGAAATTGGCATCATAAGAGATATCCACCTTCTCTCTGTAGGCAAGGAAATCAATAGCCGTACTTGGATGGAGGCCGTGCGCACAGCGGATGCATTTTTAAATCCCTGAGGCCGCATCTTGAGTCACACTGTTTCCGGGCCAAAATTCCCCAGGAGAGCACAGTACTATACAATGACATCCTTGACGTGCAGCCGTGATAATAATAGTATCGCTGAAAGAGGCTCTGCCACTGTATGGCGTTTGGTAAGTCCACTTGAATCCAACCAATCCCACAATGAACCTCTTACCTTGTGGTATTCCTCAATAGCATCATTGCATCAAATAAAACCGTATCTCCATGTCATCCACATTGTCTTGCTGCTGTTTCACTGTAAGTCTCGTTAATTCACAGGTTTTGCTTTGTAGATCGAATACCACGCATACCATTGAGCCAACCATACAGCATTCTTGCTTTGAGATCCGTATCCTGTTGCTGCCAGAGGTACCATCATCCAACATGTTCAACCTACCATAAACGCAATGTGAGATAAGAAGCAAACCCAATCCACACGCTTTCGTTGTCAGCATACCCAAAAGAGGCGATGTAAAGGCGTCTTGAGAACTCTCATTGTGGACAACTCGGTAAGGAATGCACACGACGCCACATTGGGTCTTGTATAGACGAGACAATACCAACCTAGACGCGTACTTTAGTACCACAATGTTCGATTTGAACAATAAAAGGAATTGCAGCGATTGAACTTACATGTTTATTGGAATGGAAGCTTGTGTCATGGGTAGATCGCGCACGTGCTTGTTGTAACTGAATGTGTCGCCATTGACCACCTGTTCATCCATTGACGGTGTGCATTGTTGGCAATGCCAGAAGTTAGTGGTGTGGAGAGTGTAAATGGAGTTGGTCTTACCTTGCATCGTTGTGAAGCGGGAGTGGGAGAAGGGCGCTCTTTATCTTGTTCCCTGTTGCTGTATGCCCTGAATTCTTGAAGAACCGACCGGAAAATATTTAACCGGGGTGAAAAGTGATTTCGGATTTAACAAAGCGATGTAGCCTTCATGTGTATGATCATAAGATAAAAAAAAGCACCATGTCAACCTATCAAGTCAATGCAATACAGTATTCAGCAAGTAGTATTCACCAGCAGCCAAGTCAATGATTTCGGTAGCTTGTAAATCATTGTATTCGACATCTGCTTTAGCAGGTATTTGGAGGTGTCTATCATTACCTTGCCATGGAGTGTCCCTAGGATGCGCATCCCATTTTTATCCTCTGTAAACGAGGACAAATTGCATACATCAGCGGACCTTAACTTTCATGCCACTCCTCGCGTGTACTTGAGTGCGAACGCTGGCCTATTTCATTGTTTCATTGCTCTTTCCCCTTTCCACAATCGACCATTGCTTTCTCTCCCTACTTCTGCAACATGTCCTCTTCCTGTGGATGTTATAGTGCCCTTTTTATTGTTGTCAAAGTCCAGCAGAGTACGTTTGAAAAGTATTGACGTGTGTTTACGGCCTGATCCTCATCCCTCTTCTTGCTAATTCACAGCAGTCGATCGGCTTCCGCATTCTTATACACAAGCGAGCCTCGATCCATCTTGAATGGCCAACAGCAAGTTTCCTTCTCTTCACTCTTCAAGGTATGTCGTGCCAAAGCATCCAACCAAACCCATGATTATGAATATTGATGACAATGCTTACTATTCTTTCAGATGGCTTGCTTTCTCTTTATGGCTATCACTTGTTGTTCGCGTTTGTGTGATATGAAGGTAAGCAAAGAACAAATCCCCCTTTCATGATGGTGACCAATGTTGCATTACTTAGTATTGCCTGAAGCAAGATCCAATCCTGTGGGTCCAACGTGTCATCATGCGGTGTTTTCGCTCCTTCATTTTGTTCCGCAGCACACAAGCGAGTTCCCATCCTTGAATGACCTGCAGCAAGTTTCCTTCTCTTCCCTCTTCAAGTTGTGCAATGTTAAATGTGTCAGAAGGTATTTGTACAAATGCATTATTATAAACATTGATGATGGCACTCACTCATGCTCATAGTGTCTTCAAATTATCAGCTTGCTTTGAAGGATATCCCGTTATTATATGGTGACAAGGTAAGTACAGAGCACCTCCCTTTTCAACTTATCTTTCAAGATGATAAACAATGTTTCATCCCTTATTAGTGGCTACAGCAAGATCTCATCTGGTGTCATCATCCTTTACGTTGATCCGCAGCCGTCATTTGGCCTAGTCTTTCTTACACACAAGCCAGCTCCCATCCGCTTTGAATAACCAGCTACAAGTTTTTCCATCTTCCATTCCATTCCAAGATATGCCAATCTCGCACCAAAAGGTATTCAATCAAACACATGGTCAAACGTATTGGTGACAATGCTAACGTATTCAGATGCCTGGTCTATTCTTCAAGGATATCATTGTTCACGACGACGAGTGATCTTAAGATAAGTAAAGAATACAATCGCCTTGTACATCCTTCCTTGTTGCTAACTAATATCAAATCCAGCAAGAATACCTATCCCATGAGTTTTACCGTAGGTGGCCATCTATGATTGCTCGATTGTCAAAGAGCTTTCTTTACCTCTCCTTTGGCTGGAGGATCACCACTCTGGTTTGGGGAATGCCGGCTGGGGCGAGTTCCGAGGACCACACTTGTTTGTATTTGGGGAGGTGGTGAAGGCCAAGGATCCAGTGCAGGCAACTGTGTAGGGGCTAAATCAGTGGATGACCATCCTACGGGAAAGTGTCTCTGCGATCAAGAGCCAGGTATGTGTATTACCGTGGTTGATGACTGAATGAATCTGGTTGGCTGACATTGTTCTCATTGTGAATTTCCTGGGTGCGTAACTGCAAGTCCTGTTGCTGATCCCACTTTGTGCACTCCATCCCACCCCGCCTGCTACAGTCATTGATGTGCACATGTACCTCCAAAATGAATTATACACTTGGGTCAACTATAGCAACCACTACTCAAGATTTCAATTGAGCATAGTCCTTGTAATTAAAAGCTATTCATGGTCTTACTGTGGGCAGGATTGGTATCAATTAGGTCCGTGCACTCTTATGCAAGTTGACTCCTGGATCTGAAAAGCCAATGTGTGACCCTACTCCAAATATGGATCATGCTGCTCCAAATGTGGTATCTGCGTGTAAATTCATTGTCATTGTCATGATGGATAGTTTCTTTATCATGGCAATCGTCATCCATTTGTGCAACAACCTGTCATTTCATGTCATACGTGACCAAGTCGCCACACACACTAATGTATTCTAAAGAAGCTTCTTTTCACACAAAAATGAATCGCAGCGTTTCAGGGTCATGAGCGAGATTGGGTTGGATCATCAAATATCGTAAACACCAAGCATAACGTTTGTTGTATGATATGTGATGTTATAAAACGCCCATCCGAATCAGGTGTACGTTAGTATAGTTACACAAATAGCGCTTTTGAAACATATTTAAGCACATGCTGATGAGACACGCTTGATTCATCCCATCTTTAAACCTTGTAATATAATGACATGCAAACAAAGTGATGCTGATGTGGAGAATAGAACGATCGAAGAAACGACTTTTGTTGACGACGAAATCTCAATAAATGAAAAGTGGAAGGACGCACCCGATGGTGGTTGGAAAGCTTGGTTTGCTGTAGCTGGTGGATTCTTGGTAAATATACGAATACTGGCAGCAAAAGAAAGTAGGGTCATCTCGCTTAAATCGAATTGTACAGGGGCTTTTTGCCACGTGAGTAAGACCTGAACGTTTGATGCCCAAGGACTAAGTAGTAATAAACCATCATCACAACGTTGTACGTAGGCAAGGATTTTCATTGGCGTAAGTATCAACGGCTACATTTACAAGTCATTCATCTATGTGCAGTGTATTGATTATAGCGTGAAATGGTACAATAGCTGGGGAGTTCTCTTCAACTATTACAACACACAAGTATATCCTGGCAACAATATGGTTGCTCTTAGTTGGGTCGGCTCACTGTGGTTCTTCATGTGCGGAATCACAAACCCATTCTATCAATGGATGAGCAGCAAGTTCAATGATCGATATTTGATTTTTATCGCTTGCATTCTCGCAGGGTTGTCTATGATGCTAGCAAGTATCGCCAGCGAGGTAATTACATACATGGTGTCATTGCTTTCCATTAAGACACGAAATTTTCAGATATGGCAGCTACATCTCACTATCGGAGTCATGTCGGGAGTTGCAGGATCACTTGTCTGGTCTCCTTCTATACAGCGTGGATTAGAATGGTTTTCAAAAAATCGAGCTTTAGCGGTCGGCATAATTACATCAGGTGGTGGAATTGGAGGTTTAGTATACTCCAACATCTTCACAGCATGTTTCCAAACGGTGGGATATGCCTGGGGGTTGCGTATTGTAGGCTTTACGCAATTGCTACTTATGGGAATTTCGGTCGTTGCTTGTGCTCGCCTCAATCCTCCTGCTAAAACAAAGAACGTGCCCATTCTTGAATTACGCGTTTTCAAGAACAAAAAGTACCTTATTGTTTTTTGCCTTCACCTTCTCGGTAACTTTGCCTTGCGTGTAAGTTAATAAGAGTATATCAAGGAATGCTATGAGATGCACAATGGATAACAACGTCGTTCTTTAAAGGTCCCATTTGCGTATGTATCATCATATTCAGAACAACTTGGCTTAAATCCATGGGTTACCGGCAACATCAACGCCATTGCATCGGCATGCCTGGCAGTAGGAAAGGTCTTAATGGGGTATTTGGCTGATTGGAGCGGTCGACTAAATATTGGAATACTCTCTGCGTTAATTGCAGCCATTGCCCATTTTGCCATTTGGCTCACTGCAACGACTGAAGCAAGCATGTGGGCATTTGCAGTACTTCAAGGCATCGCACAAGGCGGCTATATGGCAATTATCTATGCTCTCATCAACGACTACGTACCCCTAGATCATGTTGATGCTGCTATCGGATGGGCTCTTTTTGCATGGGCACCTGGTGGTTTGTTGAGCCAACCTATTACTTCCTACATAATCGATCGTGGTGATGGAGTTGAACCTGACTATCGAGGTGCCATCATATTTTCCGGCATGATATTTTTTGTATCAGCATGTTTAGTCTTCATGCTCCGTATCATGAAAGGAGGATTTCGACTCTTTCAAAAGATCTAGCCGACATAAAGTAGGACATTTGGTTAGCAGATCAATATAGCGAATAAGGATTTAGACATTGCAAGCTTTCCTTTTGAGTCTCAGTGATAAAAGATTGATGGTTACCTTACAATTGCTAGTGAGGCTGACAGCCACCTGCGCTCTTTTACGTGATACACCTACAAAAAGCCTTCTCATTTGTGAGTGCTTACTTACTTTGATAATAACTCGTTAGCAAATGATGGGCTAGCCTCATTCGCCATTGCATAAACAACGCTTGGGAATGGTAACACGATCGATGGCTCATATGGCCAAAACGCCACAGGATAGAGCTTAAGATGGTATACGCACCAGGTACACATGATACACTTTAGGCCGTGATACAAGCCTTCTTGAATCACGATCACAATTGAATGGCGTTTTCTTGGATTAGGATCTAGTTTCATCCTTCTTTGATTCTCTCTTGATTTCCATGAGCTTACGAGAAAACGATACCAGTGTTGACGAGAAAGCAATCGAAGATGGATTTCCGAGTATAGATGTCACATCCGACATCGAAGTAAAGGAACCCCCAGATGGTGGCTGGGTAGCTTGGCTCATTGTCTTTGGGTGCTTTTGTGTATGTATGCTTGATACCACCACCAGCAGTGGGTCCGAAATTGTGGCATGCATACTAAATCAACCGCAATGATTTCAAATGATAATAGGGCATCTTTGCAACGTAAGCTATTTATGATATCTAAGTGATGTATGTAGATCGCTAATCATTGAGATTGGGATACGGATATCTAGCCAGGGATTTTACATGTCGTACGTGCCTCTTATTGCTTAACGATTTTATGCGTCTCGTTTACCATTATAGTGACGTTGTTATTATCATATAGATGGGGCGTATTGTTCAGCTATTACAATGAGGAATATCCCAACCAGCTGGTTGCATTGAGCTGGATTGGCTCATTATTGGGAGGCGTATCTCCTATTGTTGGCCCCTTTTATGCATGGCTCAGTTCTAGAATGGATGATCGATACATAGTCAGCGTTGCCTGTGTATTGAGCACATCATCACTAATGCTTGCTAGCATCTCACATGAGGTATGTAAATACAACACATAGTCGTATCATTGTTCTCTTTAACAAAGACGCATATAGATTTGGCAATTGTATATCTGCATTGGAGTGTTGACAGGGTTTGGAACCTCGTTAATGTGGTATCCTTGTATGCAACGGCCCTTAGAATGGTTTTCAAAACGTCGCTCATTAGCAACGGGAGTTGTTATTGGATCTCTTGGAGTAGGTGGCTTGACTTTTTCCAACGTGATGACAGCATGCCTGGAAACAATTGGGTATGCGTGGTGTTTACGCGTTCTTGGCTTTCTTCAATTGGCGCTTGGTGGTATCGCTGCTATATTATGCAAGCCGCTAAATCGACCAACAAAGGGTGTTGCTATTGTTGACTTTGCCCTCCTTCGCAATAAGAGATACGTTTTGTTGCTAGGGGTTCATTTCATTGGTGCATTTGCTTTCGGCGTGAGTGGATGGATCATTGTTGGTGTTGGTATACTCACTATTATCGTTATAGATTCCAGGGGGATTTCTACCACAGTATGCACAATCTCTTGGTGTTGATACTTGGTCTGCCACAAACATGAATGGCGTGCTGAGCGCATGCATGTCCGTTGGATCCATTGTAGTTGGTTACCTTGGTGATCATGTCGGACTTTTCAACATGACAGCTTTATCTGGTTGCCTTGTTTGCCTATTTCAGTTGACCATTTGGTTGACCGCTACTAATTCGGCAAGCCTATGGGCTTTTGCCGTGGCTATGGGCATCGCTCAAGGTGGTATTAATACCCTTGTGGTGGCTATAATACCTGATTGCGTCAACGATCCTAGCAAAAGACCAGCTGGCACGGGATGGGCTTTATTCATGTGGACCTTTGGCTTGTTGCTAGGCCAACCTCTTGCTTCCGCCATCGTCAGTCGTACTGACATACCTGATTATCGAGGGGCCATCATATTCTCAGCTATGCTTGTTTTCACCATGACATGTTTAGTTGTCGCTATTCGAGTGCTACATAGTGGATGGCATCTTTTTAAAAGAGTATAGGCTTTATAATAGCGTCGTCCAATGATGTTACTAGGAATACCTACACTATATTATTATATACGTTCTTTCGTTCTATGACGATCGCTCTTATAAATGTAAATGCATACGGCTTATTTGTATTAGTCAAGTTGTCAGCAAACAACTCCTATTCTTTGTGCTATATAGTAACCTTTGATGGTGGCGATCAATAAGCAGAATGTGTGTAAGGGGTTTCAAGGTGAATGGCTACCGGCTTTGGCCGATGCAGATGATCCAAGATAGATACACAATGGAATTCGTTTTTGGGTCACGCGTTGCTTCACTTCTTTGTACTATATTTTGTACTATATCTATACGCGCGCATGGCCAAGAAGTGCTCTTACTACGTCACTGCAGCTCCCAATCTTTATCAAGATACAATGCATACATGCAAGAAACATGAAATCAATGATGTCCCATGGAGACTATATACGCCGGTTGTTGGGATTATGAAGATGTCAACTATCGAATAGAGGATATACATGAAGATGAGCATAAACACTTACACGATTTGAAATCTCACGCATGATCTCGCCGCGGTAAAGGTCACCGCGTGACACAAACGATTATAGCTTTTTGAAAGGTACCAACCGGGTACCTGACTCTGTGCACGGTTTCTCTTTGATCTAAGTACTGCATATGATGCCCCCTGAAACGTAGCGATCCAAAGCGGCAGGTCGAGAACGCCAACGAATTGGATCTTGAAATGATAGCCAACAAGATGCACCTTCTAATGGAGGATGGATGGCTTGGATGGATGGCTTGGTTTATAGTACTTGATGCATTTTGTGTAAGCGACGTGAAAACAATTGGATCCCGTAACGCTAGTCCTTTTGTTAGGGTACTTTTGCTACCTAAGCTTCTCTTTCAAATTTTTTCTTTACAGCAATAAGCTAACCTTTGTAATGGTCAACTGGGATCGAAACCAACGCAAAGGTAGGGATATAGGTCTTCGTGAGTAAATATAATCCAATCCAGAGGTCATGAGGATATGAAAGTGATTGTAAAGGATGATGATCAAGTATCCATTATCATTTTTTTCCCAAGATGCCTGTAAGAGGAGCTGAAGCTGTACTACATGCCACAGCATTGATATACTTCTTCATTGTGTTTTAAGGTCATGCTTCAATTTGATATGATATACTATACTCCAGTGTCAGAAAACCGAGACGTCATGCACAAGAACGGGTTACGCAATGGTGAATTCCGCTCAACCCAAAATGGAAAATTAGTGTAAGCAAAAATGATAGAAAACCAAAAGCAGGAAACTTGAATGACAGCCTTTGGTTCACATTGATCTAATTAAGCTGTGTCTATGTTGCCACCCTATTTCTCCGGCGTGATCTATTCTGGATCCGCATGTGTTAATGCTCATTCTCCTCCGTTTTTACGGAGGTTATCAATTTTTGAAACATAATACCACTCTATTTCATTACTCACGCTATGTAATTGAATACACATTCCTAATTTGAACCACGTCTTTGAGACTAAGATATCCTTAAACGAACGTTGGCTTCATAGCGTCATCAAAAGATATACTATAGATTACATACATGAAGCTTACTGGTTACCTTGATCTTGATCCCACGGTACACGATCCGGTTTAAGGCCCATTTTTTAAATCGGAGACAAACCACATGCAGTGTATTCTGTCATATCTGTTATCTCGTTTTAAAGATTTGTGTTATCTGTATACGCAAACAAAGACTACACCATGTCCTCCTCCTACCACCACAATGTACCATAATTATAGAGATGCAACGATAGGATTGATTGTTTAGGTTACAGAGAGATCTTAAACATCCGAAAAGGATACCCTCATTGAACATCTAATCTTACCACGCATTATGTAAAATCACACACACGATCCACTGGCTCTGAAATCCATGTGCGACACAAGCGGCTATTATCCTTTTAAAGGATCGAGATAGTACCTGACTCTGTATACTTTCTTTCTTTTACTCTACCACAAATCATGTCTATGAAACCTAGTAATGAGAGCGATGATGATGTTCAAAAGGTTGCAAAAGTCATCGATTCAAGTCCTGAGCCCGTAAAAGAGCAAGATTATGAGCCGCCTGATGGAGGATGGATGGCTTGGTTCGTTGTATTTGGTGCATTCTGCGTAAGTATTGTAAACTTGTGAATGAGTGGCGTGATGAAAACAACTCGATACTAAAGCTCAACTTTTGTTTCCTTACAGGGTGCTTTTGCTGTGTAAGCTATTGTCTTAAAGATGCTGGGAGTATAGATCATCGCAAACTAACCTATGTAATGGTATCTTGGGATCGAAAACAACGTATAGTCAAGGTTATGGATTTTCGTGAGTATAATGCTGTCAATGGTTTCAGACCTTGATATATGAAAATAGGCGGTCATATGCGATTGTTTACTCATGTGACAATCTTCTTCTTCTTCTTGGCAGGTGGGGAATCTTCTTCAACTACTACAACACGGAGCTATACCCTGGGAATATGACAGCATTGAGTTGGATTGGTTCATTGTGGAGTGCGTTATCCAATATTACTGGTCCTATGTATGTATGGATAAACTCCAAGATGGATGATCGATACACAATCGCTGTGGGTGGCTTCATGTGTGTATTGGGTTTGATGTTAGCCAGCATCACCAATGAGGTACGTATCATTGCTATTTTATTGGAACATTTTCATTCACCAATAATGTAGGTCTATCAACTATACTTAACTCAGGGCGTGATCTTCGGCTTGGGAGCCTCGTTATTGTGGTATCCATGTATGCGACGACCCATGGAATGGTTTAAAAAGAAGCGAGGAATGGCAGTAGGTATCACATTGTCTGGTATTGGCATTGGTGGATTGATTCTATCCAACATTGCATCAGCAGCTATTGCTTCGGTGGGATATCAATGGACTTTAAGAATCTTTGGTTTTATCGAACTTGTGCTATGTGGAATTGCTGGCATTTCATCGAAGCAACTCCCCCCTCGCCCAAAGTCGGCACCCATAGTTGACGTGGCAGTATTCAAGAACAGATGGTTTCTCGTGCTATTTGCAGTACATTTCATTGTGGCGTTTGCTTTCTTTGTAAGTCATCAAATGATTGTAAGTATCATCATCATCATCTCACCATGTGTTTTAGATTCCCACCAACTACATCCCTCTCTATGCGGAATACATTGGACTCGATACAATTACAGGCACCAACCTTAACGGATTGATGAGTGGTTGCTTATCAGTGGGACAACTCTTCTTTGGCAATCTTGGTGATTACATCGGTCTCTTCAACATGTCCGTGATTTGTGGGTTCCTTTGTGTCGTCTTCCATTTGGCATTGTGGTTGCCAGCAAGTTCCGCTCCACTTTTATGGGCATTTGCAGCACTTCAAGGTGTTACACAAGGAGCCTTTAATGCCATGATTGTTGCTGTCATTGTTGATTGTGCGGGTGACAAAGAAGCAGATTCTGGAACCGGATGGGCTTTCTTTGGATGGATCGTTGGTGCATTGCTTGGTCCTCCCCTCGCTTCAGCAATCATGAATCATTCCGAAGTCCCGGATTATCCTGCAGCCATTGGTTTTGCTGCTGCACTATTCTTTGTTGCAACATGTTTGATGCTTGTATTAAGAGTCAAGTTTGGTGGCTGGAAGCTCTTGAAAATTGTATAATAGTTATATAGTAGTATTACATACTTGTATAAATAGATCGAATAGTTTTCAACCGACTTAGATGCATTTAATCCCTTAATTTCATTTTCTACATATAAATTGGTGGTTGTCCTTTGGCTTGCATGCACATAAAAGCATCATGGATGTATTACGTGTGTCATCAGTCCATTCCACTTTGAAGAAACACCCGCTCTTTCCACTTTAAAGTGACATCCGCTCTTTCCCAGTCGTCCCAAATCGCGCTTTCCCATGTCCCAAAACGCCATTGCTGCAACCATCTGCACAACTTGCAGTATCCATCGGCTCACGATAGAACAACAAAAGCAAAACGTACGTTTATTCCTTTTATTGTGAACGGCATGACACGCATCAGCTTGCCATCGTGCTCATTACTTGGTTCTAGACGCAGTAAACTCTATTCTGTTCTTTGTCTATGTGCTTTATCACTTGGATACAACAACAAGATCTATGATGCTCATCGCGTCGTTGCAGCGCTTAACGTGTTGGATGGATCGCAAGATACGCCCATGATATGGTATTGTCGTGGTGTCCTTTACGCCATGGAAGGTCTTGAACACGAAGCTCTCAGCTCTTTTCAACAAGGTCTCAAATCATGCAGGAGCAACTCTGTGGACCACCGCTTAATCAGCACAGCATTATCCAATATACAAAAACAACAACGGGTCGACTTTGTATCAGTAATGCCAAACGAGTTGGTATGCCGCATTTTTCTCATGGTCAAAGACGAGGATCCTATTCAGCTCGTTCATTGCATGAAGGTGTCCAAGTTATGGTGTCATCGTCTTTCTCAGTGTTGTGATCTATGGCAAGAAATCAAGTTCCAAGGACGCGTATGCGTGGATCAACAAGCTCGATTGCTGCCCCTTATTGCCGCTCACCAGACCAGCATTGTCATATCACGCCTGTCAGAGCAAGAAGTTACTACGTTTACGTATTGGATGTTGAAAAGCAAGTTGAAAAGATTGTCAGGGCTGTGTATACGTGGTAAGATTGAGATGATCCAAGGTTGATGGATCTTCATTAATCGAATCATTTGCTATTAGGTTGTGCGTTCAATTCCCAATTTACAACGCTCTTACAGCATGTCAGCCATACATTGACTGAACTTTCATTGGACATTCCTGAGAGCAGCACTATATCATTGACAGAGATCCTTGCATTGTGTCCACATCTCAAATACCTGGATTATCAAGACTTTTACAAGCCATTGGATGAGTCATTCCATTTTGTACCGAACAAGCCTTTGGAATTGGAGACGCTGCGTTTGCTTTGTTGGGGTGGGATGTCATTTTCTGGGACACAGCACATTTTACAATGGTCTCCAGCGTTACGACAATTGGCGATCTCTGGTTGTTGCAGCATTCAAGTACTAGATATCGTGACCAGTGGATGCCCTCAAATGCAGCGTTTATGGATCAATCATGCAGCATTGGATACTCGTATTCTTCGGCAACACCATGTGGAAGATGTTTTTAAGGAGACGTTGGGTGTGCGAACACTTCTTCTCGGGTATTCGGATGAACTACAGCCGCATCACGTATTACCATTACTGGCAACTTCCAACAATACGTTACAGGATTTATCCTTGTTGGTGCCACACAACGCTGGAAGATTTATTCAACAATGGCAGGCTTTGGCATACGTAGCACCACGACAACTCACACGCTTGACATGCCAATTCAACGTCCATCTTCAAACAGCCTTTGCTGCATTGATACGTGCAAACCCTTTGCTGGAGTCAATTCACTTTCAAATGAGCGACTTATCATCCGATGAGATCATTGATGCTATCCTCCAACTCAATGCAATACGAGAGCTCTCCATCCATTCACCTTTGAGACTCAATAGCGTGGGATTGGCGAGGGTATTCTCGAAACAGATTCATTTGGGAAAGCAAACGACATTGGCACACGTGCACATGCGAAATATCCAAGCTGAAGGATTGGATCTATCGATCATCGCACTTGGCCTTATGAAAGAGCTCGAGACGATCACGCTTGCGCAATGTACGGGTGCCACGAGCGATGGATTCTACTTATTTTTCGAAAGGCTTGTGATGACGAGTGGGGAATCGATGCTCAGACGTCTCAACGTGGAGAAGATACAACATGTTTCGAATGAGATGATCCAGCTCTTACAACAGGGGCACTTTTCGCAGCATTGCATGATTCATCTCGTTGGGTTGCCGAACATCTCGAATGAAGCAGTGAAAGAACTTGTAGCAACCCATCCACCCTTTTCGCTTTATGCATCTGCATGTAGCAACGACCATCTTCATCCGCCGATCCGCCATTGTGCATACAACAGCAACAATAGAAATGATTTTGGATATCGAGATAGAAGGATTGTACCACATTAAAGATTGGATATCATTTGAGACAAGCGTTGTAGTACAAAAACATCAGCTTTTTTCGAATTCAGAATGAGAATCTATAGAACGCATGTGCGAGTTCTTCTCCTTAAAAACCTACGGGTTGCCTGGTTGATCGTAATTTTTCATCCCCTTTTGATGTAGCTATAGGCTAAGTTTAACCGATGACAAAGAAAAGAGCGTCAATGGTATATGCAAGTGGTCGATCTGTTGTACATCTTGGCACGCGTTGTTAATGAAGAAAACGCATGCGTGTATAGTGCTTCATTTCTCCTGAGTTTTCCTGTTTTCAATGCGACAAGGATAGTAAATAGGACGTGCGTAATGACGCGGCTTTCGGTCCGAAGCGATTTGGTTACGGCTATTATTTACTGTCATGCCCCTATTTGATCGAGAAGAACGAAGAGCCTACTATAATAATAATCTTGCTGACCAGTATATCCAGCAGGCGTATGAATGGGTACGTATATGCGAGATAAGGTACCACCGCGTTGGTTCTTGAAATTGTTTTCTCCTTGTCGCCGTACTCTTATCAAGACACATGCTTTCGAGAATAACGAGAAGGCTCAGAAAGGGAGATCGACAATGAAGATAGACTTGGCTGCTGATGTCCCATATGAAACACCGACAGCCAAAGCGGACCGTGCTTTACATCGGGCGTGGCGTCAAAGCAGCAGCTATGTCCGGTGACCTTCAAACATGTGTAGTAATAGGTTACTCAAAAGCCAATGATGGCTGCAATCATTTATTTATAATCTAACAAATAAAATGCATTTCCTTCATGCCCTTGTCTCTTGTAAAACCTTGGTGTCATTTCAAGAATACAAACTTTGATGTTATCAACATTATGCTTTTGAAAAGGGGTTGCTCCTGAACCAGCAGGAAGGTAAAGTGCCATAATAGTTATGGTTCTGGATTATACGTATCGAGAAGAATGGGATTAGATCTTGATCGGTGTCAAGGACAAAAAGGCAGATCCCTATAAGCCAATGTCGACAGGTTGCTGAGAGGGGTACACGGGCAAGCAAGCATCATGGTTGTTCAATGGTGGGACAAGATTCCTTTAAGTAACCCACCAAAATACAAGCGTTTTTTTCATTTTCTTTTCGTTCCTTATACACCTTTCTTCTCTTTCTCGCTCTTGCCCTCTTTCTCTCTTTCGATATCATCTTGGATCGACAACAATAGCAGCAGCAACAATAATGGAAGCGTCAGCACCACAACCGGATGGCAGCGAGTTGGCATCAAAGCTCGTTTCCTTGCTATCTATATCAGTCATGAGCATCTTATTTGGCATCAAGACATTCAATGTGCAGTTCAAGTACCTGACTTATTCACGTTGGCTGGTTTTGACGTTATACATCATCTCATGGGGATTCACGTGCGCTGCGACGTTATTTGTGTCGACCAACAACCAAAACCTTTTATCATGCTTTCTCTCTGAAATGGCTTGCGACATTTTTTATTCAGCAACCAAGATCATTATCTATGGATGGTACGTTATTCCGAACATACATGCATGAATGTATAAAGCACAGCGTCACACACACACGCACATGGTAGACTAACCTGGATGTATACATATAGGCTCATTGAAAAGGTGTGGGTGGTGTCATCCGTTCGCAAATCTCGATGGAAGACCAAGAGCTATAGAATTCACATGATGCTCCTTGCCCCTTATAGTGGCATTGCTGCTATCATGGTAAGTCGTTTGCCAATGCAATTCGCCAGCATCACTGTATCACCCATGCACTGATATTGAATAACGTGTTATTAGATTGTATTCCATATTGCAGAAATTGAAGAAAGTGGTATATGCATCATTGGTCTTAAACCCGTAGCAAGCATACCCTTACTAGTAAGGATCATCCACCTGTTTATGCAATTTCAAAAAGCTCATTTTGTCTTCTGATAGGTTTATGATTTTGTAAGCATGATGATGATGATATCATTCACTCTCCGTTGCCGGCCATCCAACGTATACTAACTTGCATTATTATGTACCTAGATTTTCAACCTTTATTTCACCATCCTCTTTGTGCTGCCATTGATACGTATTGGCAGGAGTGTGCAAACTGATTGGAAGAGTTCACGTTTGCATGAAGTGGCTCTACGCACCTTGGCAGCATCCACGGTGTGTCTTTTTGTATCGTTTGCCAACATTTTGGCCTTGGTGATCTTAAACGGTCGAGAGCGTGGTGTCTTGTGTCTTACATGTTGTACGGTTGATGTCACTATCAACGTTATCACCATTCACTGGGTAATCAAGGAGATGTCGATCATGACACGTGCATGTATGATTAACGCCAATGATGATTAGGTGACTTCCAATCCAGCAGGCAAAACAAGCAAGGATCACGTATACAGCATGGATAATAAGGAAACATCTACACCTGATCGACGCACAGCAACTACGGATGAGCAGACTCAAATGCATCAACGTCTTGCACAAAAAGACTTGTACAATGTCGGCATTGACGAGTATATTGCAAGCAACACGACACCAGCTCCGCCAGGTGAACATGCTGGTGGCACACTCGGCTACATGGGTGATGAAAGCCGTGTGGCGAATGAAAAAGGTGGTGCAGCAGCAGGTCGTAACGAATTACCTGGATACCTCGATTCAAATGATCTCATGGGCACAACCACAGGTGTCGTGCCTATGGGGAGGGAAACGCAATATCGATACGTCAATGGTCGTTTTATGATGATTACATCAGAGAAAGGGGATGATGACGATGACTCGTCGTCGATACAAGAATCCCAAAGTAGCCGCAAATCGCTCACAAAGCCTTACAACAGCTAAGCTATGCCATTAACAACACAACATCCTTCATACGTCGTATATTCCATAGTACTTTTTCATCCATTTTCCCTTTTAAATCCATATAAGCATCTTTGTTACCCCATTTCAACATTCATACCATCAAAGTCACATATATCCATCCACCCATCTTCCACTTTACCGAAGCATATGATATATAAGTCAACAAGTATTTATGCTCGGAGACGTTATCAAAAGATCAACAACGTGTGTATTCATTTCTTCCTCGATTAAGTAGTACGCTAGTAGTAGTTACGCAAGAATAAAAAAAGGGTTTACAAAAGAAGATGTTCGATAATGATGATGCAATGCCTGTTTTACAAGTAGTAGGCTTTTTGCTGTTGGGCGTTTTGATGAGGAGACATGTACATGGAACTGACACGTTTCATGTTGGCAGGTTCGTAGTATTGCTGTTGCTGCGTGTTGTATTGATAAAAATCCGCACAATGTTTTGGGAAGACGCCTTTCTTATTGCCACGTGACAAGTTGATGCCTTGGCACCATCCGTCGTCGTATTCGATCAAGATCTCCACACGATCACCTGGTTGGATATCCAGTTCATCACTCAAGGTGGGTGTATAGGTTGAAATAACTGTAAAGACGCCAATGGCATGGGGTGTTGTGCCTTCTTGTGCGGGAAAAGAATTATAGGAGTAAGAAGGAGCATCATTACCAGCAGCACCATTACCAACAACAGGAGGATGTGGATGAGGAGGAGGGAGACCATTGCTGGCATTGGCTGAAGCCCCAATAGGAGGCATTTGGATCATGGGTGAAGGTGCTGCACCATGAGAAGAAGCTGATGCTGTCATATTGTAAGCTGTATGTGGTGGTGGATCATGGCTTCCAAAGCCCATTGTAAATGGATCAGGTTGCTGCTGCGCTTGAGCTTGTCCTCGAAGCATGGTACGTCGCTTCTTTTTACGCATTACCACCCACATAACCAAACCAGCTAATCCAATCAATCCAACGATAACAATAGCTGTCACTGCACCACCTGAAAGACCTTCATTCTTTTGCTGGCTTGATGGAAGCATCGTGTTAGAAGAGGTAGGTGTTGATGATGATGATGAGGAGCTGGTATTGCTGGTGCTGGATGTAGTTGTAGATTTACTACCAAGGGTGGTAACAGGACTGGCGGCATTCAAGGAATGATGATGTTGATGTTGTTGATGGCTTGTGGTTGAAGTCGATGGTGAAGAGGGTTTGATGTTACTTTGATGGTGATTGTTGGCTGAAGGTGAGGATGATGCTTGATGATGTTGTTGTGCTGAAGTAGGTGTAACAGGTGCAGCGCTTGGTTTGTGTGCCGATAGATCTGGTTTATCAACATGATGGGATGGGAAAGTATGGATACTGTTGTGAGCGATTGTAGTGGTAGGCTCGGCTTTAGAGCTTGTTACTGCTGCTGGTGTCGACTTGGGATCACTACTATGATGGTTTGGTTGAGAAGGCGCTGGGGTAGCTGCTAATGTAGTAATGAACATTATGGTTAAGAATGAAGCTCTTGGAATGTGTGTATCATGATCATACCATCACTTGCAGATTCGAGATGGACGAATTGTGCACTGGCCACGGATGCCATCGTAAGCGCAATAAGTATATGATGATTGGAATGTTTGATCATAGGGAATGGGTTGGGGTCCTCTTTTTGCTGGACGGCAATGGATAAGAGTGAAAGAACAAGAAGAAATAGAAATAGCACAAAGGAACCCGATAAAAAAGATTAGGAAATCCAACAGAATGAAAGAAGGGAGAGTAAAGGGGAGATATGGAGGGAAGGAGGTTGGCTGATGGATAAAGAAAAAGGGAGGGAAAATAGATGACCTTTTGCGGTGTCGTACAAATCCACCTTATGTCGCTGTTATTCCCTTTACTTGCAATCAATTACTACCGTATTCATTGTTCCTCGCCGTCGATCTCATGATTCAATATATGCATACTATGCCCATCGCGTACTCCACGTGTTTGACGTGTCAATTTCCATGCTTTATCTTGTTTGTGTGATATATATAACTATTCTAACAGCACAACATATCATCTTTTACCATTGTTGTACAACCCATGCATCATACTTGGCATCCAGTCCCTTGATCATATTAATGAACGTCTCGGTTGCCTTGGTAACAGTGGGAATGCATCCATTCTGGTATTGAATCACAGCCGAGCTGTTATCGAAAAAGACGCTGGCTGATTGCACACAATCAATGTTGGATAACGCGTTCTTGATCCGGTTGGCACAAGCAATGCACGCCAATCCATCCAATTGGAGAACCACTGAGGATGTCGTAGCAACATGATCATCGGCAATCCCATGAATGTGTGGGTGAATGTTGATCCACTGCACAACTTCGGGTGATATCATAATCAAAAGGGAAATCGCCGTTTGTTTCCACGTTCGTCGCCACCCGTTTCGCACCACGTTGGTTGTCAACAGTAACATGGTCAATCCAGTGAGCAAAGGTCGATAGGGAGTGAAAACAGCAAATCCAGCGCATGACATTGAAAACAAGTTGAGCACCAATTGTATGAGACAGCACGATGAGGATAATAGCGCCGTGGTGATGGTCAATAGCTGGTTCCCAATCTTGCTGATTGTGGGCATTGTTGAAGAAGGTATGCGTGAGTGGGGTCAACACGAGTTGCTGAACGATATTTAAGCTTGGAAGAGAAACATGGTAAAAGGACAAGTGACAAACCAATCCATGACACGTATCGCGTTCACCTTCCACTCAGTCAGCTTTTTGCCGTACAGAGGCATTATACGAATTCCTTCCTCTTTTGGACATCCAAGAAGTATGATAGCACTTGATCCAGTAGAACCCCCAATGCCTAATAGAAGATTAATGACGCCGTACCGAATAAATCATCATCCTATAATGGATTGATATCCTACTACTTGATACACAATCTCTTTGAGTTATTGGGATAAACGTTTGTATTAATGCAATCAGGAGAGGGATGCTTAAGTAGAGCTGCTACGCGATATATCTTATTTAGGTGGGACGCAGTTGATACCGCTAAGGTCACTATTCTCAATATGGGCACAAGTATAATAGCCCTCCTGGGAAGGATCAGAGGTTTTGATATCAACATCCTTGAATACAAAGTTATCGCAGGGAGCTTCAGCAGAGCATTTGATGCTTGCCACTTCAAGACCAGCTTTGCTGTTGGCATTTCCTGTGACATTCTGGAAAAGCACGTTTTTGATTTGGATCAACGAGGGATCATTACTGCACTCAGGTTCCTTGATATTGAAATAGCACTGGTCGATGGCAATAGGATGATCTATTACGGTGGCAAATGTTACAAGTCATTCGTCAAACCCCTCCCCTCCCCCCATGGTCTTGTTTACGTACCTGAATTGGTCACTCTAAAGTCGATATACGACACGTTCTCAACACGCCCAAGCGCACCTCGTGCCCACTAGAATACCATCCTTTAGTTTCATCCTCTTGTATTCTTCCTTCAAGCATTATAGTATTGCATACCGTTTTGATACGAGCACCATTCTGGCAATTTTCACATGTCACATTTTTGACGTACAAGTTTTCAACGTAATCAGGAAGCTCGGGGATGTTACCAAGAGATCCCTAGTAGGACAATTGGAATCAGCACTTAACGAGACATGTATCATGTAGCTGGGACATACCACTGAAATACCATGGGAGCCATTGCAATACAAGTTTTCGATATGGATATCGGATGAATTGGTCTTGATGGCAACACAATCATCACCGTTGTTGATATACGAGTTCTTGATGGTGATACCATGCGTCTCGCTCATACCCCAACCATCGGTGTTATGCGGCTGTGCCCATTGAATGTGAGCAACATCATAAGAAATAGGATCATTGTTGCTTACCTTTTCACCATATAATTGATCAACATCATTGATATAGATGTCCTCGAATAGGGCATTCTTGGTTTCATGGATATAAAAGTTCCAGTTGGGAGCATTGATCAAGCGCACACCACGCACATCCAAGTTTTCAACCATGAATGCCATCATAGATGGCCGGTTGCTAGGCAACGGATCCAATGACCACCAATGTTCGCCGTTACCATAAATCTCACCGCCATCACCAGTCACCTTGACATCCTTGCCTTTAATTAAAAAGAAGCTGCTCATATCTTGTACAGCACCAGGTACAGGAGGCGTGGTGTCATTGTATTTCCTAAAATAGATTGCGAATGAATGAACCATCCAATAAACAATGTTCCCATTACTTACATGTCATAGGGGTAAGTCAAAGTGCCTTCGAAAATGATCTCGACGTTGTTGAGCTCTGGACTCACAATAACATCACCAAGGACATAGTTGCGCTTCTTTTGGAATACGACACGGCCGCCATCCTTACACTTTTCCAAAGCATCCATGATATTGGCAGAGTCGTCAACACCATTGTGCTTAACAACGCACTTTCGATTAGGGCCAGCCGAAGCAAGGAGGGCCAAAGCTGCAGTAGCAAAGAAAAAGAGTGTTGATTTCATGCGGGATGGTAGTGAAGTTCACCTGCTGCAATCTTTAGCAAAGGATGTTGCCTATATATAGCTTGTCTTTACCGGGCATTTTCATGCCTTTTTCCGATGATGAGAAGAATATAATTATCCTTAACGTCGATAGAGCCCGTCTGAGTACATGAATGATGGTAGTGATCAATGAGTGAGAAAACCAAATCCAGGGAATGGGTCGTATACGCCGAGCAGCAATAATGGGTGGTACGATACCTTCTTTTCAGGAACCGGGCATTTCCATTTTACATTGCCCTTTACCCCGAGTGTATACAAGATAGTATATTTGGAAAGGATACAAGGATGATGCGTGCGTGTATTCCATTACGGTGGTTGTTCTATGGCACCATGATACTCAATCATCTTTGTTATCCACCATGAAGATCAATAAGCCTTGTCTGAATATGCCAATTTCCTGACAGCAATATGGTATGGCTAAAATGATGCTCACCTAATTTATTAAAGCATCCCATGTTGACAAATTAACATTGATGGGACGTTGTGTCGTTGCGTAATTGTGATGATGGAATGTGATGTATGGAGATTTACCCTTTGGGTGTTGCTTTACCCCGGATTCTAGTGTTACATTGTGTTACTGTACACAGGCATTTGCCAATAGAAACCACTTTGACACAACTTTTACGTATCCCATCTATGTACCTAATTGATGGCTAACAAAGCAATTAGAAAAGATAGACCTTTGATTACGAATTATGGAAGCCCACAACCACGCTATTATGGCATGTAATGGAATTTTGTGGATAATGTATGTCATTGCTACCACCCATCGTGGAAAAGAATAGCCGAGTACCATGCATTGACTTTTATTGTCTACTCTATTCGGGCCGACGAGTACTAAGATGAGAAAAAACGCCCTATTTGATGTTGTTGGGTCATGTGTGCAACCACCTAACATACAAAACAGAAAACAATGAAGCAAGCTTTTATGTTCTGAGACACTGTTTTTCAATACCTAGCCACACACGAGAAGCAATGGGTTGCTTTTGGAGCTGAGAAAAGTGAATACATATTACCAATGTTCTTGGCTGTCGATCGGTTTCGGAGTGGGGATTAGAAACGAGTGGATAACAATCAATTGTTGGCGGGCCGAGTAGAACCCAGGGCAAATCACTGCCGATGAAGACAAAAATGGAAGGTGGAGCAAGCTTGAGCGGTTTGCATAAACACAGCCAGGGGGAAAGAAGACGAACAACGACATGATTGAGAAAAGGGCAAAAAGGCAACATGTAGAATTTCAATGTATTTCATATGACATGTGCATTCAATTATCCATGATCCATTGCATAATGAAACAGCTATGAACTATCCAACAACAAGCTACTAAAATACGAAACTGCGGTGCTCTCTAACCAATTAAAGATCCAAAAGACCGTTGGTTCCGATTTCACGTTCTATAGTCTTTTTCCTCTTTTCTTATATTTGCTACACACACCCCTTTCGCCCTTCCTTTATAACCCACACCTCGGTCAGGTCAATGTTTCATGGCGCCATCACACCAATTTACACGCATCCCAACATCAGATGAAGCGGCAGCATCGCCTGACCCAAGTAACCACGACGAGATCCTCGATGGTCTGTTGTCCAAAGTCGGCTATGGCACCTTTCAACGCAAGCTATTGGTACGACAACAACGATGACAGCTCATGATGGGACTCCCTTGTTCTAACTCGGTCTGCCATTGTACCCAACAACTAGGTCATGTGCGGTTTTGGATGGCTCGCAGATAATGTAAGTTGTGAAAAAGGGGCACGTGGTTGGTACATAGTGTATATGGAGTGTTCGAATACTGACGTTGGTTGTGTATTGTAGATGTGGTTACAGGTACGATTAAAGGAGAAAGGCCATGTTTCAGAATCATCGTATTGATTGTTTACAATAGACTGTAGCCATCATTCTTCCAAGAGTGCAAGGTATTCTTGCGTCATGAGTTGTGGGTTGTGATTGTATAGGCTGATAATGTCATGATTAGATCACTTTGATGTATCCGACCGATGGATTGGGAGCTTGTCAAGTGCATTGTTCACTGGTATGACGTTTGGTTCCTTCTTTTGGGGCTCCTTTTCAGATACACGAGGCCGTAAGATCCCATTCACTATGACGCTTGCCATCACAACCGTTTTTGGCTTGTTATCCAGTCTCGCATTCAGCTTTTGGAGCTTGTGTTTGATGCTCTTCTTTCTTGGATTTGGTGTGGGTGGCAATATGCCTACTGATGGTAAGGATTGGAAAGGATAATGAAGGATGGGTAGCAACAGGCATTAAAAGAGGATCAATTTTAGGTGCACTCTATCTCGAGTTCCTGCCAAAGCAATACCACTATTTGCTTACCTTTATGTCGGTGTTCTTTTCATTCGGTGCTGTATTAGCATCGGTTCTCGGATATGTCATCCTCCCTTATACCAGCTGCCCAGAGCCAACACCAGAGGATCCCACACCAACCTGTGACCTGGCAACACAAAACACAGGATGGCGTATCATGCTTGCCAGCGCCGCTCTCACAACTTTGTTTATGGTGCTCGTACGATCATTTTGGTTGAAGCTGCCAGAGACACCCAAATTCCTCATGCATCAAGATAGGCGGAAAGAAACCGTGATTGTGCTTCAAGACATTGCACGTGTCAATGGTCAATGCGTCGAGATTGACAGCACCGATATCCCCGAAGAAGAGCGTAGTGATGAAATGATGCCACCTATGGAAGATATCACAACAACAGAGGATACCAGAAGTGCACTTGCCTTGCTCTTTACACCCTATTGGCGCCGAACCACCTTGTTGATTTGGGGCATTTGGACATTTACTTCTGTTGCTTTCACCATGTTCAATGTCTTTTTGCCAAAGTATCTTGAAACGCTTGGATTCCAAGGCGAAGCAGCACCCACACGCAAGGATGTGTATTGGGATTACATGGTTTATTCTCTCGCAGGCGTTCCTGGATCAGTGGTATGTAACAATCGAGGATGGTATGGAGAAAAAAGGAGAAAGAGGAAAAAAGAAAGAGTGAAGCAATGAAGGAAGGAAGGAAGGAAGGAAGAAAAACACGCTAATGGATCATCTATGCATAGCTTGCTTCTTACATGATTGAAACTTGGTTGGGTCGCAAGGGTACAATGGCTGCCTCCTCATTGGGCTCTTCTATATCGCTATTCTTCTTTTCGATCATCAATTCCCGTGTGACTATGCTCCTATCATCCTCTGCAGTCTCCTTCCTTGCAACACTTCTCTATGCTGTGATCTATGGTTATACACCCGAGGTGTTTGATACTACCGTTCGAGGCACTGCTGTTGGCACCGCATCAGGATTAGGAAGAATTGCTGGTATTGCAAGCCCCATTGTTTGTGGTTTCTTGTTTACCGTCAGTGCTGTTTTGCCCTTATACGTCAGCATTGGCGGGTTTGCGATTGTCGGCACGTGTGTCTTGTTATTACCTTATGAAACTCGAGGCGGCAATTCCCCATCAACACCAAGAGAATCGGTTACGGTATCGTCAACAACAACCGCTGTTGAAGCATAGACAAGCTGTACATTGAAATCATATTCACCTCCACACACAGTATACATAAATTATACAAACACCACACGCACGCTCTATAAAGCATCTATAATGACTATTTGCGCAGCTGGTTTATGCGCTTGGGTTCAACTTGACCTTATGCCTAGTAGTGATCATTACACCTATAACGACTCTTACACATCCCCCCCGACATACTACATACAGCCCCTGGAATGGGTCATATGCATGTAACCATGCACAGCAGTGAGTACACTACGTTCTTTATAGTAACTTTGGGCTGCAGAAGCTTTTGAGGAGGTGATGGGTGGATGGGAAGGAAGGAGAAAGAAAACCCATTTCTTTCTAATGTGAGCATCATGCATAATAAAAAGGAAAGACGCAAAACATGGTGTGGATAGAATACATTATCGAATAAACGAAATGAATGTGCAGCCGTGCGTGCGCCTGGACATGTGCGTGCACAAACATGCAATGACGATCGTGTTTTAGTATGGTGGATATCTATGTATCTCTAATTTGTTTAGCAGGTGCTGTTGCTATTGTGCCTGAATATGATCGACATTTTAGATCGTTCCATTCTTACACATGGAAACAGCAAAACATTATACATAAACCCTTTTGACCCTATGTAGTAGAAGCAGCAACATGGAATAAAGTTGACACAGCAGCAGTGAGATGCATCATGTAGCATCCATGTGGATCCCGTGCTGTCAACCCATATCAACACAGATCATCGCTCAAGGTAAACAACATGGAGGTTATATACGCAACTTTCCTTGATGAGGAGGGCAAAAATGGTCTTGCCACAAAAAGGGAGAATGAGAATCTCTTTTTGAGACAATTTGGGATAAAGCAGCAACAGCAACACGCAGCAAACAACCTAACTCTTCCCCCCTTTCTCTTTCTCCCAAAGTAATGCCCATTACTCTGGCATTAAAGTCAGGATCGTAATATAAACACCTTATAAAGCAGGGGGTTGGATCATATCGAGCCTTCTTGTTGCTCTCGAGCCACTCGTTCACCTTCGAACCTCCTTAATACAACCTCTTTCTTTCACTCACCATACACTTATTTTACGATCTTTGCACTCGTTCTCTTATTTTCATCATACAAATCTCTCTAAACTTGAATACTTACATACTATGACAACCTCCTCGGATCAAGAAGTAGCACAATTACGAGCCCAGCTTGCTGCACAGTCCCAGCTGATCGAGCAGTTGCAACGTGACATGCAAGAGCTTAACACCAAATACGTAGCCGAAATTGAACGAGCCGCCGATTCACTTCACCAAAAAGATGTGATTGAAAAAGAATTGGAAGAGCTTAGTTGTCATCTGTTTGAGCAAGCGAATGCTATGGTGGCCCAAGAAAGACGAGAAAAATGGGAGCTTGAACATCAACTTCTCATGTTACGCGACCGCTTCCAACCTATCGTACACGATCGGCACATCAATGCATTCCAAACATTTATTCATCATCAGCAACAGCTGCCTTTGAAGCGTCTTGGTCAATGCGAATTCCTCAAGACATGTATTGAGCAAGACATTGAGCCGTGCCTTGTTGGCAAATTTGGTACCCGATGGTCGAAACGCCTTATAGAGCATTTGCTATGGCAACCATGCTACATTGAAAAGGCTACAACAGCACCGCCACAATACAATCAACCTCATCCCATGTCTCGATCATCATCGTCACCAGGCAGCACCTTGTGGGATCGTCTCTTGCCCTCATCGTCATCGTCATCATCATCCATACATAATAATACTAATAATAATAATGCACGATGTGCAGTATGCGGACAGACATCGGATCCGCTTTTGTATCGATTTCGACTTGAGAGCGAACAAGGATGGTTACATATTGATCAGCATTGTCGAGATCGACTCGTAGCGGTGAGCGAGTTTTACAGCTTCATTCGTAAGATCCACCTTGGTCTTTTTACACGTCGCAGCATCCATGACTTGTATCATGAGAACGTTAGACTCAGACTGCAAATGTTTTATGCAAGGTACATACATCCCCTTTTGAAGAACTCCTCACGTCTTCCCCTTGAACCACAGGCTCATATTATTATATTCTATGTAGGATGGGTGCATTGATTGATTTTGTGAATATGAGCCCACCATCACCATCACCATCCTCCTCATTAACAGCCAATAATGATGCCGACGCAGCTTCACTTGATGGATCCGTTTCAACCGTATCCTCAAGTAGTACAGCAGGGCTTCCACCACATACACCTACCACACATCATCCATCTACCTTGTTGACTCCACCATCGCCTGTCAAGGAAGAACAAATGGATCATCATCATCATCATCATCCTATGACACCACATCATCATCACCTCTAAACGTAGTCCTTTATCTATAAAAAGTAATCTCGTAATTTGGAATCGTTATCATAGACATGTTCTTCTTTGGTATACCAGGAATTTCGATCTCTTACAAAGTTTGACAATTGGCCCCAGTACTCTCATCATGTGATTTCAGAGTCAAAGAAAAGAGGAATGATTTTATATCAAAATGATACTGCTAATGCTAAATCAGATCTTCTAATGCATGGTGATGGTGGTGGTGTCATTGTGAGAGTGTAGACTTGCACACGTGGTTCATTCTAAATGGGAAGGCCGCCGTCACCAGCACAAAGAAGGTAGTACATCTCTCTCTATCCTGCTGTAGAACCACACCGTTTGCCAGAAAACATACACACACACACACACACACACACACGCACCACGCACACTTTTACGTCTCTCTCTTCCGTTTCATCTCTCACTTGCACACGTCTCCTTGTGTCATCCCAACCATCATTGAGCGGGCTCCATTACGACCATGTTGACGTTAACTGTGCCCGAGGCTGCAGCTTCCACCGACGAGATCCAGTTTAAGCTGGTGCTTGATGGTCAGCCTCCAGAGGTGCTCATCACATACACATGTATTGACATTGGCAAGACGTTAACTCCTTTGGTAGACCTTGACCGAGTATCTTGAACGTCACGAGTATCTTCAACCTACGGTGTTTCGATCCTTTCAACAAATAAGTTGGCTGCACGAAAAGCTCACGCGTGCCTTCCCGGAACTAGTGGTTCCTCCTCTGCCTGAACCACCAGTGTCAATACGCATGGATGATCAAGACTATGTCGAACGCAAGCGGTTGCAAGTAGCTCGATTCTTTGAAAAGGTGGCTACCCGTCCCGAGTTTACGCAGCACCGGAATTTCATGCATTTCATGTCAAGCGAGATGGTAAAGAAAAGACCAATCAATACAAAGATGATGATGATGATGATTGATCTTTTGATTATAGACACCTACCGAAGTGGGTCCTTCTGGCCGTGGGGTCTTGTCCTTTTTACGCTTCAATCGTGTCAGAAACTCGGATCGTGGATTCAAATCTTACAAAGCGACTGAACATGTGGAAGGCGTAAGTGCATTTGGTTATCATCATTTGATCATGGAGGGGTATTCATTGTCCATGCATGCAGAACGATCAAGACACCTTTCATCGTCATCAGATTTATATTCTCATGCTTGAAACTTATTTTGGTGCAATCAATGAATCACTCAATCAGCTGATCCACACCCGTGAAGCTTTGGCTGACATGTTGGCTCATATGGGCGACCTTGTTATTGAAACGACACAAAGCAAATATCGGCTTGGCAACGGGGACTCTGAAAAGCATCGCAAAGCACAACGTGCCCTTGATCACAAAATGCAAGTGTTTGGATTGCTCATGGATGAGCTTGGTTTCATTTATACACGCCAGGTATAAGGTATTGGATGTTTAAAGGGAGCAGTGAATGCTGACAATTGCATGTATACATAGGGCATTGAAGAGACAATGAAATTTGGTGATGTCATGATTGAATACAAAAACTCTATGGATGGTCTCAAGGTATACAAAGACAATGGAAATGAAAATGGAGACAACGACTTATATCAATGATGTGATAGACTTCATTCAACACACGGACACAAAAGCTGATGGAGTATGTGGACAGCATGAAATTACGCAACAAGAAACGCGACAAGGCTGATCGACTCAAATTACGGATGGGTTTGAATGCACCAGAGGTGCAAGCTACAATTGCTGAAGAGGAAGAGGTAAAGGGGAGGATAATGGGAGTTCCATAATGAAGGGCCACTGAACGTTTTGTAATAGGCTACACAAGAGCTGCAGGCCAGCCGTCAAGAATTTGATGCATGTCAAGCCAAGGTCAAGCAAGAGATTCAATTATTCGAGACACAAAAGCAACATGATATCAAGCGAGCCATCCACGATTATGTACAATTGAGCCTACGCTATGAAAGGACCAACATGAACAGCCTCGAGAAAGCATTGGAGGAATTACGACAATTTCATCCCAAACCAGCTGTGCATCCATTATTATCAGATGAAGAAGCGAGTTCTGCTACATCATCATCCACATACCATCGACGTCGGAGGCGAAGGAGAGGGAGTAAGCATGGACCACAAGCGATCTTATCCTCAGCATCCTTACCCACGTCAACACGTAAACAACAATCTTCGGATGATCATGAGGATGAACAAGAGGAGACCAAGATGACTACGGAGCCAACATCTACTACTTCATCAAGGGTATCACCGTTTATTCGATATGAAGGACAGCCAAGGAAACACATGTCATCGTCCTATGATGAACGGATGGGTGCAGGAGCCTGGAGCAACAATGAATAATTGTGTATATATATAATTTAGTACTACCATTAAACAACATCCTAAATGCATGAATAAATGCTGAGTGGAGGGGTTTTATCATTCTCACTTATCCCACCCCACCCCCTCTTTAATGCAAACCCATGTTAACAGCTATTTCGACTTTTTGAAGCATCTTGTTTCTTTACCCTCCTTCTATTGGCCAAACTCTCTATGACCGATAACAGCTCACAGCCACTCTTGCACCACCAGCACCCATACGGTATTCCCGGTGCAACAAGCTCAGCTCAACAGCAACCACCACCATCGTCATTCGGCCATGCACCATTCGACTATGATCCACAGCAAGATCAGCAACAGCAAACACAACAGCAACAGCAAGCTCGGCAGCAATTTTCTCCCTATTCACTGGTAAGAGAACTATAAACATGGGGGTTGAACCAAGTTAATAATATTATGCAGTCGGCCATGATGGGAACTTCTCCACCGCAAGCTCCTCCACAACCATTGGCTGCCACAACCATGGCAACGGGTGTTCCACCCCAACTACCACCATCTACAGCTATACAACAGCAACAACACCAAGAACCTATTGTAGCAGCAGGAGCAGCAGGAGGAGCGGGAGAAGAACCATTGTATGTCAATGCTAAACAATATCATCGCATCCTCAAACGACGAGCAGCACGTGCAAGACTTGAAGAAATGAATCGTAATGCAAAGGCACGTAAACCATACCTGCATGAAAGTAGACATCGACATGCGATGCGTCGTCCTCGTGGACCTGGTGGTCGATTTCTTAGTAAGTTTGCCTTTGCTTGCTCATGTGTAATGTGATCACTAACCATCGCATGTGTGTAGCTGCTGCTGAAGTGGCCGAATTAGAAAAACAAGGCAAACTTCCACCACAAGACAAATCACCAACGCAAGATAATTATGATGAAGAACATTTACAGCATCCTCCAATGTAAAAATAATATGTATAGCATTTAATGTGTACTACCGTGTAATATAACAACCACCTCTATGTACTATTCGAGATAATGATGATGCATTGCGTGATAATGATGATACTACTAATAGGGGCATCTATGGATACCCATTGGCCCGTACACGGCATTCATTTTGTTGCTGGCTTTACGTACTCGTTGAGTTGGTTGCCATATCCACAACCAGCGAATGTCCGAATCATGCAAATCGCTCTTGTTCCTTTTCTCCACTTTCACCTTTTGACACCCAATGAGCAAACCAACATGGACGTATTACCACCAAAGGCGACAATGGCAATCCACGACATGTCGAAGGCGTCGAGCACACCGTTCACATTACAGCAACTCCAATCGGCATTCGATCAGCAACAACTTGTTGACTATCACGTTTAATGAGCAATACCGTACCTTTGTCCAACCTTTTAACTTTGAGCAGCAATCGACGACTGGTGGACGTGTTTGAAAATGACTACTTGATCCTTCAGCAGCAATGGACGACCGATGGACGTGTTTGAAGACGACTAATATCAACCAGCAGCAACCTTACCAACAAGGAAGTCTACGCCTTTGATTGCAAACAGACGATGCTATGAAGGCACGTTCTATTTCACCAGCTTGCACAGCCCAACTCGCTCCTCGTGATCCACCAGCATCCTTCACAAACACTTGGCTGTCACTGTTGTGAGAGAGCGTGTATGAAATGAGCATTGTTAAGGCGCTATCATGGCTCAAACGGCGATCATTTATTGCATTACAGACACCATGTAAGTAGCAGCAGCAGCAGCTTCCCAACCCTTCACTAGATCTCATATTTTCATTAAAGCACGCTCTTTTTGGATATCAATTCGATGAACAAACAACAACCAGTGTGGGAAATGTGCCTGTACTTCGATCGCTACAGCATTTGGAAAAGGAAATGCTGACACAAAAGAGCAAGGTGTCACACACACACAACATTTATATACAACAAAGCGGCGGCGATAGTAGCATCTATTGGAAGCATATGATTGCCAGGGACAATGCTCATCTGACACTTTGAGGAAGGAAGGTTTTCATTCTCGCCTCTTTTATCACACGCAAACGTCAATGCTAAGCAATATCACACGTAAGTCAACATCCCCCCGTTTGTCTCAGGCTAAGACTAATGCATCCCGAATAGTATAAACTTGCGTCCATCTTGCATCACCTCCTCCTCCTTCTTGATTGAATCTGGCAGTTTCCCACCCAAGCCAATCATCATCATCACCATCATGACCACAGGGATGGAAAGCCACTGCTTCTGAGAAGTCTTTTACAATGGACCATGTGATAAATCAGGTAATTTATCTCAACAACAATGATCAACAATGAAAAGGTCGTCTCTAAATGTTATGGGATAGTAGGAATTTTACCCTATCGATGGGAGGAGCATCAGCAGCAGCACAACATCCTCTGGATGAAGGGAGTCAAGTAGTACATTGTATCACGAAGAGGAATGACATTGGCTCTATGGGTGTATTGCGTCTTTCATCGATTTCTTTACTTGACGGATCAAACCGTATCACACGTGAGGAGTGGACCCGACTACGATTGCTTTTGGGGAGACAAATCGGGCATAAAATCCCCGCTATTGGCTGGAGCTCTTGTGCAACTCTTCTCTCCTCTTCTCTGGTCTCATCATCGCTTCCCACCCGATACAAGAGCGTTAAAATTGTCTGCATATGGGGTGAATGGCGGTCCGTGCTTCTATTCCCATCATCAAGATTCATGATCTATATCAACCATCTATATACACAACATGGCGCCACCATCAAATCAACTTGTGGATCAGCAAAATCATATACGTCGACGTATGCGTGTGTGTGTGTGTGTGAATCGGATATAAAGGAAGTGAGTAGCCGACACCTACCCACCCACCCCCACACGCACGCAGGGTGTTGTGATGTTGGGCGTAACCTTCTGTGTGTAATGTTTCCCTTGTCCTTGGATGCTTGATATGGTAAGTCTCTTTTTTACCTCTTTCTTTCTCATTTCTCCATACTCGTGCAATAGCTTATAAATATACAAGATGTCCTTGCAGCCACGTCTTCTCTTCTGCACTTTTCTCTGTTTCACGTCTTTCTTTTCTCCCCCCCACGCATGTGGAAGTTTCAGGACAGTGTTTATGGCGATAAGCTGGTGTTGGCCATCAACGCGGCTGCCGGCCTCAGCATTTTCTTCTTTGGTGTAAGTGGGTGGATCATCATACAACAACAACAACCCTCTTATTGAGATTTACATCATATCATAGTATGATCAAGGTGTCATGAGTGGCGTCAATATATCTCCAAACTACAAGCAAATCATGGGCCTTGAAGATAATGAAGCTCTTTTGGGTGGTGTCGTCGCCGTCTATTATGCTGGCACATTGATCGGAGCACTTCTTGGTAAAACAATCACATACCTCTTTGAAAATGATGATGGTGCTTATACGAATCGATATAGGTGGTTGGGTTGGTGACAAAATCGGTCGTATTAGAACTGTATTGGTTGGTTGCGCATTTGCTTGTTTTGGTGCTGCTTTGCAAACGGCTGCTCAAAATGTCGCATGGATGATTTGCTCACGCATCATTACTGGTATCGGTACCGGCCATCTGTAAGTGTTGTTTCCCCTTCCCTCTCCCCCACTTCTATCGTCACCTTGCTGGTAACTCTAACTTTATACATATTCACACACAAAAAGTAACGCCATTGTTCCTGTATGGTCAGCCGAAACAAGTCATTACACAAGTAAGCCCGTCATTGTGCTACTTTTTGCAGAATACAGAAATGCTCATCTCCATCATCATTGTCGTACACACAGGTCGTGGTATGTTTATTGCCATGGAATTTACGCTCAACATTTTCGGTGTCGTCATTGCCGTAAGTCATACACTACTCATCCCGTTGTTGTTGACGACATCATCTTGACATGTCTATTTCGATCATAGTACTGGATCGCATATGGTCTACGTGAAGAGCCTGGTGAGATGCGTTGGCGCTTCCCTATCGGTTTTCAACTCATCCCTTTGATCGTTTTGGCACTTGGTATCAACTTCTTCCCTGAGAGCCCTCGTTGGCTTGTGAAAAAGGATCGTGTCGATGAAGCCGTGCATATCCTTGCAGCACTTCGTGGCAACGGTGATCATAATCATCCTGCTGTTCATCGTGAGCTTGAAGATATCCGTGAAACATTACGTCTCGAAGAAGAACAAGGCGGCGAACCTAGCTATTGGAACATGTTGTTCAAGTACGACGAATTCAACATCCCACGTCGAGTACACCTTTCTATTTGGTTGCAAATTATCCAAGAATTGACCGGCATTGGTAAGTTATACATGCATTGTGTACCTGGTTATTGGATACTAACCTGTACATGTTCTCACAATACGATTCGGAAAATACAACAGGTGTGGTAAGTAATCTTCCCAACACGATGTCAGGTTGCAACATGACTCACATGACCCCGATTTGAAGATTACGGTATATGCACCAGAAAGTTTTTCCAATTCAGGCTTCTCAGAACGCACATCTCAGCTACTTTCTGGATTCAACAATATTTCTTACATGCTTTGTACGCTCGTTGCTGTATTTACTTTGGACCGATGGGGTCGTCGATTCACCCTATTTTATGGCGCTGTATGTCAAGGCATTTGCCTAATCCTCGTCGCTGTTTTAACCAAGACCGAATACCTTGAGTGGAAACCCACGGTAAGTGTGCTGCTGCTGTTGCTGGGGATGTGATCAATGGAAAGGATGTTGTATAACGTGTATGTGAGTAGGCATTTGGTGTTGCAAGCGCTGTCTTTATTTTCGGATACACGGGCTTCTTTGGTATGACTTGGCTGACAGTACCATGGCTTTATCCGGTAAGATCATGGCCCAATTTTACTTGTTTTGCAAGCACCTCTTGTCATTTTCCAAAAACGAGGGTTGCAAAGGAAAAATGAGAATAGTACTAAATCGGTCCTTGATATACATAATAGGTTGAGATTTACCCCTTACGAGTGCGTGCTCGTGGTGGCGCTTGGAGTGTGGTTGGTTGGAGCATTGGCAATGCATTGGTCATGGAAATTACTCCCCCACTTCTTGCCTCTATCAGTAAGTCATCCTCTTTGTCATATTTCATTATGCATTTATTCATTGTTGTTTGATGGTACTTCTCCTACTTGCAGAATGGTGTACCTTCTTTTTATTTGGTGCTCTCAACTTTGCTGCAATCCCCATTGTTTGGGCCCTTTACCCTGAAACGGCTGGATTTTCTCTTGAAGAGCTTGATGTGATCTTCTCCACCAAATCATTGTTCGTTTGGAGTGCTGAAAAGGAATTACGTGCCCGTGGTATTGATCCCAAAAACCCACTTGGTCACAGAAAGAATGGTAATGGTGGTAGTGACAGCGCAGAGCGTGGTGACGAAAAGGCACAGCTTCCTGCACCCGGTAATAATGGAACAACATCATCCACATCATCCGCTACTCCCGATGAGAAAAAGGAGGTGCCTGCTGGTGGAAATGAGTAAATGATTTTCTTACAGAATGTAGAATTTGCCTTGTAACACTTAGTTTCTTCTTTATCTCCTATTTTTCCACACACATTTATCTGTACCCATTATTCCCTTTACTTTTACAAATGTAACATTGATTATTATGGTTAGTATATTGTACCATCACTTTTATCGATATGAACATGTGCTTTTTGTTTGTAATGTTGACGACGAATGATCGACAGCAGCAGTAGTATCATCCAAGCAGCTAACCAGATAAACAGATATGCATGCTGAGCCAATTGCCAAGCCCTTTTCTCCACATTATTGGAAAAGTCAGTAACCATCACGGCTGTCACTTGCGCGCGGTATGGGATCATGTGTACATGAAGCAGTGGCACACCTAATGATTCAAGATTTGGGTAACTCGTACAAGATGAAAATGGAAAATGCGGTATCAAATCCGGTCGACGCTATTATACTTTGTCAGCTTTACTTGAACCCTTCAATAAAGCCCACACGTTGCATGTTGGATACGAAGACCTGTGTAAGGTTGGTGATGATTGAAACATTCGTCACACCATCCATTTCGACTGTGATACTATCATGGGTGGGATTATTAGCGCGGTCAACGTGATGGCCGTTGCCGAACATTATGCATGGATGATGGCTTGGTGCTAATGATATGTTATGATCACGATGGGATGAAGTGTGTGATACATGTATTGATGCCATGAATCGTCCTTGTCCTTTGCTTGCATGTCAAAGCATAGGATTTCACCACCATAATCGCTGCCATTGTCACGCACACGCTATGTGCGTAATCGTATATAAGGATGGACCTGCTATGATGCTCCTGATACGTTAGGCTATTGTGATTGCGAGGTATGTATACCAAAAGAGCTTTAACAAAGCATACTTCCTTGTTGTTTATTTGTGCATTGATCCTCCTTGACGTTATTTAAAGGCGTCTTTTATGTCACAATGTGCCTTGGGATGACCCCTTGTTGTCAACTATATGCTACACTGGTGAGCTGATCCAGAGAAAGCAGCACCGCCATTGGACATCCTATGAAGCCTGTGTTTGGACAATGCATTGGTACCCATTTTTCCTAGATACCCCTCATAAAGGTAGAAGAGAATCCTTAGCACTGATTGGCTATTATTCTCTTTAGCCGATCATGCAGGTTGTCTTTTGAGATAATCAGCCAATCGCTTTCCACCCATCACCAAAGGACAGCTCTTTCAATCCATTGATCGTTTTCTCTTTTATCTTGTGTCCCTTTTCCTCTTATCTTTTCCTCTGTAATTGAGAACAACGTACCCATCAATAGATCCTTACAGCTTTGGCCAACTTTTTACGCCATTATCAGCCCCGTAAACATCTTTAATACAAAAAGGGACGGCACAACTGACACATCCCCCGATCGAACCCTTTCACACACACCAAGACACAATCAAACGCATACATCATCTTCTCACAAATGGAACAACCTACATCTGATTTATCCCTTACAACAAGGGAAGCTGCCTTTTCAATAATGCTTGCCAGCATTGGCCTATGCTGCTTCACATGGCAATCCAGTCGAGCAGGATGGATGTTTTACAAGGTGCGCAAACCCATCCATGCCATTGTATTCGCACAAGCATTCCTAGGAATCATTCTTAATTTTGTAACTTTGCTCGCATCGTTGACACGAGTCGATTGCATGTTTGTAGGTCACTTTTATTCATGCTAACTGGGTTGGAATGATGTATGTGTAACCTTTCATTTAATAGATTCTCATATTTTCAGTCGTTGGTGTCAATGTGGGAGACATTGCATTACAATCAGTACTCCTATGGAAGGCATACTTGGGCAACAATCGATCAAAAATCATTCTCGTGCTTGGTGCTATTCCTATTGTAGGCCTTGCAGTTTTCATATGCGCTAACATCACCATTGCCCGATCCACATCCATGATGAGCCAAGGCGTGTGTAACACGAATTACCGCAAGTAGACAATTGGGGAAGCGTAGCCACCATGTGTACATGCAGGCTCACATTCATGTATAGCAACGACCATTGTCATTATCAAATCATGCCTTGATTGTGTATCCAACACTTTTTTGTCATGGTGCTTTATTCTAGTGATTTACAGGCATTACCGAGTTCTCGGCTCAAGTATCCACAAAACCCTTATAACAGAGGGCTTAATCTACTGGTAAAACGAGAATCAATGTTGAATACCAAATGACAAATGAGCTCACATGAATTGCATCCATTAATAGCTTTGGTGTATGCTTGTCCAACATACTTACAGGCATCTTGCTTACTCAAAAGGTTCTCGGCGGAAGTACTCCGATGCTATACACGATCGATTGTAAGTCAAATCCATGTTTGCGTTGTGTTGAAGATCATATCTGATTACACATGGCACATGAACCCTGGGTCAAGTGCTTGGGAAAAAGAAACATCAGAATAACTCAGCCTGACAATAGGGTTTTTGGCATCGTATTTGATTATCAAACAGCTCAAATATGGTCGATCCGATACCGAAAGCGAGGATGATGATGATGATGATATCTCTGAACAAGAAGATCGTAATTCGGATATGATGATCCATCACGACGGCCCTAAACCATTCCAATTCTTTTTAGCTGATGGTAGCATCGCACCAAGTGGTGTGGGTGGGAATGTCGTAACCATGGCTACTGTAACAGGAGAAGGAGACCATCACCATGCCAACAAGGAAAAAAGCGGAGGTGGCGTCGTCGCCGAGTAAAGATCAATGACCACTCTTGATGTATTAAAAACTTAATTCGAATGTGGATATACCTTGCTGTCTTATCTGATGGGACAATGAGACGTGCGATATGGTTGCTCTTTGCATGTTGAAATGTTTTCAAAAGCAGTTGCGGGGTACTTCGGCAGTGAACAGCAACAATGGGACATGTAGTTTGTTGTCCTTTACCAAAAGGTTGTCAAAAACAGTTGCGGGGCACTTCGGCAGCGACGCATCACTTATCAGATGCAACGTGATTGGCCAGGCGGACGTTTTCCTTGCCATCTTGGTAATCAGATTCACTCTCCTTGGGAAAGACATTAAATCTATAAAAGCGGTGAATGAGAAATAAAGCAGCAACAAGCCGAGTTTGCACCACCTTGCCTTATTGCTTTCTCTTTTCTCTCCCTTTTTCACACACACATAGACGCCATTTTTTTCCTTTCACTATTTTCCTTATACACAAGCTTTAAAAAGAGAAACTACAGCACGTCATGACCGAAGAATACGACTATGAATCACTTGGCCAAAACTCAACAATGACCCAGAATGCTCTTGCAGGGGCATTTGCCGGTATTGCGGAACACTGTGCCATGTTTCCTGTTGATTCAATCAAGGTGAGCATATACAACTTGACGCCAAGCACATGAGCCCGGTCCCGTGTAACACATGTATAAACAATGTAGACTCGCATGCAAGTAATCCAAAGTAGTGGTCAACCAGCAGCTGCCACTGCTACTGCTGTCATGGCAAAACCCAATATCAATCTCAGCAATCTATGGCGAGGTGTCAATTCAGTGGTGATGGGTGCAGGCCCTGCACATGCTTTATACTTTGCCACCTATGAATATATGAAAGACAAGTTGGCAGCTGACGATGGCAACAACCACACACTTGCATTTCTTGCTTCTGGTGCATGCGCCACCTTTGCCCATGAAGCACTCATGACACCCTTTGATGGTACAGTATTACCGGTGATGGTTATTTTTTCATATGTCTCACCTATGACCATTGTTTCTTCTTAGTGATAAAGCAACGCATGCAGCTCCGTGAATCCACTTACAAGAATGTTCGTGAATGTGCACGCACCGTCTTTGCAAAGGAAGGGATTACGGCCTTTTACGTTTCATTACCAACAACGCTCACCATGTCGGTACCGTTTCAATCTATCCAATTTGCCACTTATGAGTATTCGCGGAGATTGCTTAATCCTATGGGTCAATATGATCCAAAAACGCATGTATTAGCGGGTGCTATTGCCGGTGCCTTTGCTTCATCCGTCACTACACCGCTGGACGTGTGCAAGACATTGTTGCAAACCCGTGGTCAATCATCTGATCCTCGTATTCGTAATGCAAGTGGACTTTTAGATGCTATGGCTATCATCAAGCAACGCTATGGCTTGCGTGGTTTCTTTAGAGGTTACAAGCCCCGTGTGCTTACCAACATGCCTAGCACGGCCATTTCTTGGAGCGTATACGAATACTTCAAGTGGCTCTTTGAGAAGACTGAATTTGCTGGTGCTGTTGGACAACAAGAAAAGAGCTTGATCAGCCTATAATCATCATGATCTCTTACACTTATTCATATCAACTATGAAGGTCACCCATTAGAAGAAAACACACACACACACACACAAACATTCCCTCCTTTTATTCTTTTGTAACATAGCTCAAAATTACTTGCTACCCCAACTCATGCTATCCTATGCTTCATTGTATATATTCCCAAACAGCTATTGTCATAGACTAAAGAATACAACTTGTCATGCTAAGCACGGGGGCATTGTGGGAAGTGTATTGAAGTAACGCACATGGCTTGGTTTACCGAAAGATCAAGTGTATTGTGCAACGAGTGCAAGGTAGAGCATGTACATGGGTCCAATCGAGATTGTGCAACCAAGGTGGGTTGGATCCAGCATCTGCCATCTAGCACACAGGATTATCATCGGGAGCTCAACTTGTACATAGCATTGTTCATGTTTTATGTATGGATGAAAACAATTCTTATATTTGAAAGCAAAGGAAAACAGGAGGTTGATAATATACAAATAATAATGTGAGGGTTGTAATAGGTCTAAAGATCCATCAAGCTAACTTTTATCAGAAATCAAACTCGCCACGGAACGCATCCAAGTTACGCTTATTGCATTGTCCTGCAAGATCAGGGCGATTCATCCTATAAAGAAGCATGATGAATGAATGAAGCCTTATCCATTGAACAAACAAAAAAATACTTACGTGGACATGAGCATTCTCAGGCTATCCCATACATTGTCACTCATACCAGTCTGCAACGCAACACGATTGCCGTTTTGATCCATGACCATCGGTACCCTTGTATCCGCCGTTTGTTGAATAGCCAAAGCTGTAAGCAAGTGCTCGGCGGCTTCTCGGTGTTGACCAAAATTGATGCAGCTGATAGCAAGATTGTAACGAGCACGCACATAAGATGGATTGATTTCAAGTGCATTGAAATAGGCGTCAATGGCAGCAGATGTTTCTTTTGCGTTGGCAAGGGTAGCACCCAATTTGTTCCAAAGAAGATAATCACGTGGTCGGCTTTGAAGAGCAGCCTTGTAACAATCCACGGCTTTGGCGTATTCTTCTGACATGTTGAATAAGACACCAAGACCAATTTGTACATCAGCATCGAGTTCAGGGCTTGATCGAGCAGCGTCAAGGAACATGTTAGTAATATGAGCATGTCGATCTTGTCGCCATGATGATCGATTTGCAAGGTCCTTGTACTTTTCATTGTTCTTCATCCAATTTTCCAAGGCATCATGTGCTTCTGCTCTACAATTCTCATTGCTGTAACTCACAGCCAGTGCGAGCCATCCATTCAAAAGACTGGGATCTTGAGAAAGTGCCTTGTTCAATGCAGCGATAGCAGCGCCATCTCGCTCATTTTCTTGTTGCAACAGACCCAGCTGCTGCCATGTGTTGGCGTTGTTTGGTTCCAATTTTGCCTTTGCTTCGAGAGAGAGAATGGTATCGGTGAGAGAGGGTTGCTGTTTACGCTCAATGGCTGTAGGATCATTTGTATATGGATTGTCGATAGCAAATCGATATGCCTCGTATTCAGGGTTGACTGCACGATAACCTTGACCTTGTTGACCGGTTCCCAAATGATTCCAATCCTTTTGCATATTATCCCATGCCGCATCTTGTGCTGTATTCAATGGTGCAATGCTTTGTTTGTACATGGCAATCCAATCATCCAAAGGATTTCCTGTTCGAGCTGGTGCTGGTGCTGGTTGTTGCTGTTGTTGCTCTTCGAATTCCTCGGCCCATCCTCGCTCATTCTTAGCGGCAAACTCGGTACTCCACATATTGCCTGATGTCTCTGATCCACTTTGTTTGATATAGTCATCCACCCATGCATCACTAGCTGGCTCCTCTTTGTTGGTAATCGCCTCTCGTTCAGCGAATTCCTTATCCCAATTAATCTCTGCGCCTTGCTTGGCTTGATCAAAAGCTGCTTCAAATGCTTGTCGTTCATGCTGTGCCATCATTGGTTGCTGATGCACTGGTTCAAAGGTAGTAAACTCCTGTCGCCATTGTTGAGCTAAGGTGGATTTTAGTGCTGAATCTGGATCAAGCATTACTCATTCCAAAATAGTACCTTGCATACGATTTTGCTCGTAAATTCTATCAAATTCCTCATACTGACTTGGATCATTTACAGGCATTGCATGTTGTTGATGCATGAAATCATTTGTCCACTGATGCGGATGTGCCGGTTGCTTTTGTTTGTGATGAATCGATTCTAATTCTCGCGATAAACCTCCAAACTCGAATGCTGGATGTTGTTGTTGTTGTTGCATGGGTCTCGTCATATCATCACGTAAGAACTCCTCAGTAAACTACACCTTGGTTACTAACCATTCTTTGCATTCTATCCCATTCATCCCTTACATTACCTGCCTATCAACTGCTGCACTTGCGTTCACACGGCTACGAAAACCACCAGCCTGTTCATTAGATCTTTATTAGCACGACACTCATGTCATATCATAGTTTCCAATCTACCATACCTTGGAGCTCTCTGCTTCAGCACCATGAAAACGATCCTATATATCAGAATGACCACCATGGTGAGCGATCGGTGTGATTCTCAATAAACGTATAGAGTGACAACGTACTTGTTGAAGCGAGCGATCCTGGTGAAACTGCTTCATGAGACCTGCCATTGGGTTAGCTGGTCCACATTCAGCTCCATTGGCGAATTGAGCAAATGACATGGGTGAGAAAGAGGATATGGCCGGAGACAAGAAGGAAAGGGAGAGAAGACAATGGTGCAAAGGATACTCGCTTCTCCACCTTTTTGAGTTTCTGTATTTGAAACAGAGTCAAATCATCGACCTTTGTGTGTGGGGAAAGCACCTTAATCATTCCTTATTGCATGTGAAAATGACTCTTAACCCCCATGTATTCATGTCCTGATACTTTCAAGATGCTTATTCATCATTGCTTTTTATTATCGAGTGGTCAAGTTGGATTGAATACATGACACAAGGACATGCTGCATTTCGGGAGAATAGCTTTAATTACTTTCGATTGGTCGAGGAAACCGACATGGTGTATATTTCATGTGGGTATAACCGCCGACTCTTCCATGGATCACGTGTTCCGCTTTATACTCAATATAGCCCTTTCCCTTTGACATCTGCTGACAATGCTTGATTGCATACCCACGTGGCTGATAAAGGCGTCTCATTATTAATGCACATATTCACCAATCATCCACCTCTTTCTTTCGTCGACCATACAGATCATGTCAGGCACCGTGTAACCAGCTCGCGTAGTATTGTTGTCGGTCTTACTACTAGTTTCATATCTATGCTGCATAAGTACTCGCTTCCCTTGTTGAATGGCTTCTCATTACCTATGGAGTAATGATATTAGTCACCTTACAAAGACATATACCATCCATCCTTACAATAAAAGAATACCTCTGTAATACTGTAAGCTGGACTGAAACAATGTTCATTTGCCTCATTGTTCATGAAGTGCCGGCTAATAGCCACTTCCTCCTAATCCCAATCGTTGCCCATATTATGGCATGGGAGCGATGATCGTGCTCCAGCCCATCATTTCATCATCAAGTTTCTTCATTCGAGAGGATTTGACCGAGCAACGCTCAAGTAACGAGTACATCAATTCATACGTGATCTCTCCCACATATGCGTCCTGCCATTCACAAATCTCAATATGTATCACGGCGTCTTTATGAGAACAGCGTTGATCAGTGTGTTCGAAAGGACCTTGTGACCCATTTTCAAGTTCACGATGGGCAATCTCGAGGGGCACGGGTTGTACACCTACCTTCGGATCAAGACAATTGAATCACGGAAATGAATGTCTGGAGCAGAAGCATTGTTCAAATGTCATATCAAGGACAACTATGCCAATTGTAAGGTAATGGCTGCTAGCTCGCAGCTTATGGATTATTATCAATAGTATGTAGGTATTATCCATCAACCCTTCCAGTCATGCAAAACAGCTGAGTTACACAAAGACGCCCCTGCGCATCTTTTGCTCTATCAGGATCAAGCTAGTTCACAATGAACAAAGGCCACCTTTCATATGGCATCACGCTTGTAGTATAGTGAAAACATAAAGACAGTCATATCTCAAGATTTTACAATCAAACGTGGGGTCTTTAATAGAACGGTCTTCCTTGGCGGGGTGAAAGCGATCTTGTGTCAAACAATGAAGTTCATCGTGGCCAATCTCCAGATTTCGCAATGTCGCTACCATGAGAGGTTGCATTAAGTAAACTGGATCTGGGGGTCGACCTCTTCGACGACGACGACCAAAAAATATTTTTTGGGCTGTTTGCGACCAACGTGAAACTTTTCCCACAAGGTGCTGTTAGCCAAGCCGAGCCCATTTAACAATAAAAACCCCACGTTTCATTGTAAAGTTTGGAGATACAGGCACCTTTATGTTTGTAAGCGTGATGCTATATGAAGAGTGGACTTTGTTCATTGTCGATAGGTGGACCCTGGCAGAGCAAAAGATGCAGGATGTTGTTGTGCAACACAGCTGCGTTTGCATGAAATGAAAGGGTCAATGTATAGTTACTTTATGGATCATCTAGGAACATGCATGTATTGCTAGCTAACGGCCACTTTTATCCAATCATCATTGTTGCGAGATCCACTGCATGGGAACGATGCCCCTGCTCTAGACATTCATTTCCATGATTAAAGTAGGTTGATCCGAGCTGATTTGACTGAGCTGCGGTCAAAGAGAGATTACATCACTCTGGACATAGAGAACGCTCGATGTAGCTCAACCGATGTAATCTTGTGTGAGCATGTCAACCAAATCAGCTCGGATCAACCTACTTTAATCATGGAAATGAATGTCTAGAGCAGGAGCACCGTCCACCTACAATAGAATGCCAAAAGTTGGGAATGCACAAAAATGGCTATTAGCTGCCAATGTATGACCTGAAAATGACGTTTGCGTACCTGTCATGCATTGTCCCTGAAGTCCGGACTTTTTAGCTCAGCTCCACAAAGGAGGTCCTTCTGCATCTTTTGTGGCTCTCAGGAGTCTGATACTTTGATGACAGACCACTTCTCATATAGCATCACGCTTACAAACATAAAAGGTGCCTGTATATCCAAACTTTACAATGAAACGTGGGGTTTTATTAGAGGCAAATATTGCTCTAACCTGGCCAACTGCACCTTGGGTGCCAGTTTCACGATCAAGCTTGCCAATCGAATTCGCAATGTCGCCACCAGCCAAACTGAATCTCTGGGGGTTGACCTCTTCAACGAGGACGAAGACCAAAAAATATTTTTTGGGCTGTTTGCGTGAACACGAAACTTTCACACAAGGTGCTGTTGGCCAAGCCGAGCCCATTGCTGAAACCCTGTCGGCATTAGCGGGTTTGAATATAACCGTGATATAAATTGATAATGTCAAGTCGCTTGGACCCTGGCAAGGTTTCTTAAAGATCAAGAGGAACCTCTTTTGTCAACTACTTTGCATGACTGGAAGGATGGAAGGATGATACTGTATACTGTTGACAAAGCCCGTTCATTGCGAGCTAACAGCCATTTCTTCACAATCGGCAATGTTGTCCACTCTATGACATGTGAGCGATTCTCCTGCTTCAGACATTCATTTCCATGATTGGATTATGTTGATCCGAGTTGATTTGACCGAGATACAGCCAAAGAGGGATTACATCAATCCACACATCTAACCATGCTCTATGTTGCTCCAACTGAGTAACCTTGTATGAGCGTAGCTCAGCCAAATCAACTCGGATCAACATAATCCAATCATGGAAATGAATGTGAAGCAGGAGCATCCACTGTCATAGAATGGGCTGGCATTGCCGATATGAGCTGTTATGCATGTATGGGATATTGTCAATAGTATATCCCATGCTGAGTTACAGAGGTCCCTCATCTTTTGTACGGCGTGAACGAACCACTTCCCATGGCATCACGCTTACAAACATAAAGATGCCTGTATCTCCAAACTTTACAATGAAACACAGGGTTTTAAATAGAGCAATGGGCTCGGCTTGTGTAGCACCTTGTGTAGAAAGTTTCGCGTTCAATGTCGCAAACAGCCGTAATATTTTTTGGTCGTCGTCGTCGTCTGAAGGTCGACCCCAGATCGGATTTGGCTGGTGGCGACATTGCGGAGTACAGGATTGGCAAGCTTGATCGTGAAACTGGCACCAAGGTGCAGTTGGCCAAGCCGAGCACATTGCTCTAATAAAAGCCCCTAAGATTTTACAATCAAACGTGGGGTCTTTAATAGAACGGTCTTCGGGTGAAAGCGATCTTGTGTCGTAAAACACGAAGTTCATTTCGCTAATCCCAGATTCGCATGTCGCTACCAGCCAAACTGGATCTGGGGTCGACCTCGACGACGACGACCAAAAATATTTTTTAGTTTTTGTTTACATTGAACGTGAAACTTTCGCTACACAAGGTGCTGGAAGTAGCTGCTGAGCCCATTGCTCTAATAAAAACCCCACGTTCTATTGGGGGCGCCGAGATACAGGCATCTTTATGCTTGTAAGCGTGGATATATGAAGAGCGGGACTTTGTCTATTGTCAAGTAGGTGGACCCTGGCAGAGCAAAAGATGCGGGAGTGGTCGTTATAGCAACACAGCTGCGTTTGCATGAAATGAAAGGGTCAATGTATAGTTATCATGGATCATCTAGAACATGCATGTATTGCTAGCTAACGGCCACTTTTATCCAATCATCATTGTTGCGAGATCCACTGCATGGGAACGATGCTCTGTTTAGACACTATTTCCATGACAGAAGGATCCGAGCTGATTTGACTGAGCTGCGGTCAAAGAGAGATTACATCACTCTTGGACATAGAGCATACTGATGTAGCTCTAACTATAATCCCAGTAGCTGCACCAATCCGGGCCCAAGCCGATCAACTCACTTTAATCATGGAAATGAATGTCTAGAGCAGGAGCACCGTCCACCTACAATAGAATGCACAAAAGTTGGGAATGCACAAAAAATGGCTATTAGCTGCCAATGTATGACCTGGAAATGACGCTTGCGTACCTGTCATGCATTGGTCCCTGATTCCCGTCAGCCGCCCACAAAGAGGTCCTTCTGCATCTTTGGCTCTCCAGGGCTCCAGATACTTTACATTAAACAAAGACCACTTCTCATATAGCATCACGCTGGCAACAAAAGGTGCTCAGAGCGCGGGTTAGCTGAGCCATCAGAGCCCGTTTTAGCGATCAAGCGCTGCATAATACACAGCCAAACTCGGACTGGATGAAGACCAAAAAAATATTTTTTAGGCCGCCGAGGAGACAACGCGAACTTTCGCCTACAAGGTGCTGTTGGCCGCTTCTGAGCCCATTGCTCATTAAAAACCCTGTGTTTCATTGTAAAGTTTGAGATACAGGCACGTTTGTAGCGTGATGTTGCGGGGGAAGTGCCCGCCCACAACAGCCGCCGGACTTTAAGAGACCCCGCACTGCGATGGAAGGATACTGTATACCGTTGACAAAAGCCCGTTCATTGGTGAGCTAACAGCCTACTTTTCACACCGGGCCGTTGTCCACTCTATGACATGTGAGCGATTCTCCCAAGTCAGACATTCATTTCCATGATTGGATTAAGTGTTGATCCGAGTTGATTTGACCGGAGATACAGCCAAAGAGGGATTACATCAATCCACATGATTCTAATCCATGCTCTATGTTGCTCAACTGGAAGTAACCTTGTATGAGCGTAGCCTTCAAATCAACTCGGATCAACATAATCCAATCATGGAAATGGAATGTTCTTGAAGCAGGAGCATCGTTCCACTGTCATAGAAATGGCAACATTGCCGATTGTGAGGAAATGGCTGTTAGCTCGCAATGTAAGCGGGATATTGTCAATAGTATACAGTATCATCCTTCCATCCTTCCAGTCATGCAAAGTAGCTGAGTTACACAAAGAGGTTCCTCTGTCTTTGCTCTTGCCAGGGTCCAGCGACTTGACATTGAACGAAGGATTCTGCTATAGCATCGCTTATTAAACATAAAGATGCCTGTATCTCCAAACTTTACAATGAAACACAGGGTTTTAAATAGAGCACAATGTCGGCCAACAGCACCTTGTGTGAAAGTTTCGCGTTCATCAAATGCAAACAGCCCAAAATATTTTTTGGTCGTCGTCGTCGAAGAGGTCGGACCCCAGATCCAGTTTGGCTGGTGGCGAAGAGCTTGCGAAATTTCCGGATTTGGCAAGCTGGATCGGGAAACTGGCACCAAGGTGCAGTTGGCCAAGCCGAGCACATCAATAAAACCCCACGTTTGCCGTAAAGTTCGGAGATACAGCACGTTTATGTTTTACCTATGCTGTAAGCGTGATGGAGTTGCTTTTTCCCACTGGGATAAAGTCGGCTGCATTAACGGAAAGATGAAGAGCTTGTGCTTAAACCGCACGTGGTGGAGCGACATTGAGACATGTCCTTGACAGGTTGCTGCACAAATGGATGATGATGATGATTGCCTTTGTGAAGGTACGCAAGTAAACAGCATCCAACAATGAAGGTGTGTCAAGGTATGCATCACATTTGCATGTAGAAGAAAGTCAAGCTGCAGAACCAATTTCGTATATGTAAAAAGATACATATACATATTGAATGAGTCACTCATCCTGAAACTCATTTTGGAGGGATCTCTTTCACTTTTTCTCTTCTCTAAGCTCATCCCACTTCCCACTCCTTATTGTATCACAAAAGCCATGTAATTTTGCATCACCGATAACCGGACCACCTTTAGTTGTTCCATCTTCGACAATAGTATGTAATCCACAAGCAACCTCCAACAAGCATAAAATAAATAAACAAATGCTTTATTTTATCTAGCTTAATTGCTGGCAAAGACCAAAATACTTTGCCACCACCATCGTCGTAGTCGTCCTCCGTCATCATTCCTACTCGTACTGTCACCAGTCGTCAACTTCATCCGTCACACCAACATCCAAAAATACACAAGTTGAAAAGAATGGATCTTGCAGGCTTCCCTTGAATCTCGTTGCTTCAGCACAATTACCATTGTGTGGATGAGGTGATCATCGTAATCGTCGTCTCCTATAAATAAGAAAGCAAGCAAGTTAATCATATGATGCCGGGAATAATGATGATTTGGTATACCGTTAGTGATCCCTTCCAAGGAAGAAAGCAAATTCAGAAAGAATTCACAGACCAAATCACCACCGTACGGAGCAACGTCGGACGATCCCTTGTTCTTTGCAGAAAGCACTGCACGAATCACGTACAGCCAGTTCGATCCATTAGCGCAAGGAAGGACATCGTTCGAGTCCAAGCTCATAGTTGTTCTCATTCATCCTCTCCAAAGAAAGCATGATCCCCAATCCTTCCAATCATTTCCACCTCATGAAAGAAATCCTCAAGGGAAAGAACGAGCCGAACATTATAATAGGCTAAAGCGGTTAAACACATTCAATGCCGAGCGGCAAATCCCCTTTTACCTCAACACGGTGACCATGCTCTTCCCAAAACCCCATCATCATCGACCCATCCTCAACCTCAACGCATGCCTATATTCTGGACGCGTTCCAAGCAGTTTTTCCAGCACACTTTCATTAGTGCAGATACGATGTAGCGGCCACTTGATACAGGCTGGGACTTGAACCAAAGAGATGGATGAGAGATGATGCCCCCGTTGCATTGCCTGACCAAAGAAACCTATCTAATTCATTATTAGCACACATGGCTACGAACACCCTTTTCATTGAGCGAGCCTCATTGTACTTGCCTTTTCCATATACACAAAGACCCGTTGTTGTTGGTTACTAGAAACCGAAAACCATGGTGTAGTATAGTTCAGCCGAAACAAAACGCCAAACCAGCCAACGTCTTGAAACCACACTTGCCCTCTATACAAGCTAACACGTCAATGGAACCAGTTCGGCTGCAACATTGGACTCTGAATGTACCTGTTGACACCAAGCGTAAGGCGGGAATAGCAACGGACAAGAGGAAGCAACGATATCGCCATGGCAACCACCAACCACCCACCACGCTCATTCTTCAGCTAACTCCCTGACAATGCATGTTCAGAACTACATTAATAGCTCACAGCCAACAAGAGCATTCCTTTATAGTACATAACCTTGATCTTAATGCCGTGAATGGAATAAGGAAAGGTGGGAGAAAAAGAAGAGAAGCGTTGTCTCAAGTCGTAGAGCTACCGACCCCCAAGTTTAAATCCCCTACTGCTATTACACTGAGGCCACTCAATGACCCCACACACACACCATCCACCCATCGTCATCATCACCCTCACGATGGACAATAGGTACACGTAAACAAGATAAATGATCCTCACATATAGCAGAAGGGTGTGTGCCATTTTACACTTTACATGATAATGATGATCCAACAACAGCCATTACCTTACTACCAGGTTAGCTCGAATCATGAAAGTTAAATGATATGCATGCTGGGCTGGAGCAAGACAATCGTTCATATGCATTGGATTGGACAACAAAGGTGAATGGGAGTTTACAAATAACTTTGCAAAATGAAGAAAGTTGAAGGATGGGCATGCTGGGCTGGAGCAGGAGAATCGTTCACATGCATTGGATTGGGAAACAAAGGTGAACGGGAGGAATGGGCTATCAAGTAGCAGTTTACAAATAACTTTGCAAAATGATTTTTCTCATATTGGATGATACTTTTGTGCTTGAGCGTTTTTCAGTCAAATCCTCTCGGATCAAGAAAGTTGAAGGATGGAGATGATGGGCTGGAGCAGGACAATCGTTCATATCCATTGGGTTGGTTAAAAAGGGTGGTTGCGAGAAATGGTCTATCAGCCGGCTGTTTATGAAGTATTGCTATTCAAAAGGGCCGCGCATAAACTCTGGAACGTTGCTGCATGATTGAGTCTTCCTGCATGTCCTTTTCAGCACCAGGCAAAGATACTTTTACAGTACAAAGCTCTTTTTTTCCAAGGGAGGATCTCGGGTTATGTATCCACGTGATTGCCTTGTGAGATGGTTTTATCATCCATGTGCTAAAGAGATTTGATGTACAACATCCAAACGTCGCAACATGACTTTTCTCGATCAAGCAATGTGCTTGGTCTAATGTCCGGTTGAGATGCATGAATATTTTGCAAACAACAAGCTTGCAGCTGCGGCCTTGGATTGGCTCAAAATAGACATCCTCATTGCATGGTAACATGGCGAGATGTAGTAGCCGCTCATCATCCCATCCTATACTAGTTACAAGAAAACGTGATACACGAGTAAGAAAGGCCTGGTTATCAAGCTGTGGAACCTATGCCCGCCTACAGTGCGAACGATTGCCTCTAGAAAGAAACGGTATGCAAAGCGCTGGTGCATGTGATATCATCACCAATGATTCATCATCCGGTGCAATTTGGCATATGCCCTGCCAATTCACTCTCCCGGGTCACGTTAATAACATTCGGGATGGGATGGTTGGGAAATGATATAAACTACGTGTTAATAGAGGAAAGACTTTTACTTCCAGAACCGTTTATTTAGAGTCACACAAGGCTGCAAGGGTTACAGCTTGGTCAGCCTTCATGCATCGTTGCTAAGAAACCAAAGACGAGGTATACCATTTAAAATCCATGGCAACGAAACATATGCAAAATGGCGACAACAAGCTGTATCCAAGGAATGGGGTGAAAGGATGGATAATCAGGTACGTGCATGTACCAGGATACGGGTAAGGAAAAAAAAAGATTCGCTGGCTGCCGCTGCTGGCAATCTTAAAGCGCATCACTTGTTGTGTTTTCTTTTTCCGCTTTCTCTCTTTCTTCCTTTTCGCTGACCATGTCCAGCAAAGACGCCAGCAAGGAACGCCCCACCAACGCAAATGGCGTTCCTCTCTTCAAGTCAGATGTTACCAATCTCGATGTCAAACTTGACAAGGAAATCGTCTACGAGTTCGGTGGCCCGCTCGGTGTCACTGCTATGGTAGGTTCATTGATACACACGCGATAAGCAAAGGGCTATCACTTAGCGTGTGTGTCTTGTCGTATTAGATGCTTGGATTTCCCTCTTTGATGGTGTACATGACCGGTGCCTTGTTGCTTCATGAAGGCCACTTTTATTACCCTGACGCTCTCACTCTTGACGCGTTCAAGGAATGGTTCTGGAGCGAGATTGTTGGCAAGGTACTTCCTGCTGTCGCACCCACTCTCAAGGCTACCAAGATCTACATGGGCTATGTTGTCTTTTCCTTTATCCTTGCATACATTATGCCTGGCCCTGTTGTGGAAGGTCTCCCTATCCCCTCATTGAAGGGCAAACGTGTAAGTTGGAGCGATCGATGATCGGATGAATCGGGGGATCAATTCTTTCATTTCATTTTTCATCCTCAGTCATCCCTGTCAAAGAAGCTAACATGTGTGTGTGTGTGTGCTTTCTTAGTTGAAATATCTCTGCAATGGCTTGTCGGCTTGGTATCTTACATTGGTTGTCTCGGCTGTTCTTCATGTCACTGGTATCTTCCGCCTTACCGAAATTGTGGATAACTTTGGCCCTATCATGAGCGTAAGTGAAGTGAAGATTGGATAAAGTGAATATGGAGCTAAAACGGCTGCTTAGGTTGCTATCATTTGGGGATTCACCATGACAACTCTTGTCTATATCTGCAGCATGATCAATGGTACTCAACATCGCATGTCGGGTAACTTTTTCTACGATTACTTTATGGGTGCAGTCTTGAACCCTCGTATTGGCCCTGTGGATCTTAAGATGTGGGCTGAAATTCGTGTGCCATGGCCTGTTCTCTTTTACATTTCCTTGTCGTGCCTCTTGAAACAATATGAGATCCGTGGTGAAGTTACTGCTCCTCAAGCTTTCATGGTGTTGGCCCACTTTTTGTATGTCAATGCTTGCCAAAAGGGTGAAGAGTGCATTCCTACTTCCTGGGATATCTTTTACGAGAAGGATGGTAAGTGATTGGAGAGGTTACAAGATGCAATCTGACATGTGGAATTAGGTTTCATGCTCATCTTCTGGAACATGGCTGGTGTGCCATTCACTTACTGCTATTCTTCCATTTATTTGATGAACTATGAGCTTTCTACTGGCACTGCTATCACTCATTCGCTTCCTTACACCATCTTCTTGTACGCCCTCTTGCTCGGTGGCTACTATGTCTTTGATACTGGCAACTCGCAAAAGAACCGTTTCCGTATGGAACAAAATGGTTCGTTCATGACTCGCAACGCTTTCCCTCAATTGCCATGGGGCCACATCAAGAACCCTAGCTATATCAAGACCGAGCATGGTAACCTTTTGTTGACTTCTGGTTGGTGGGGCATTTGCCGTAAGCCTCATTACACTGCTGGTAAGAAAATTATTACATGTTGGGGATTGAGGTATGATTAATCGATGGTATGTCTATAGATTTGTGTATGGCCATCTCTTGGGGTTTGATTACTGGTTTTGGTTCATTCTTGCCCTACTTTTACTTTTGTTTCTTTGTTGTTGTCCTTGTCCATCGTGTGTCTCGTGATATGGAGCGATGTGCCAAAAAGTATGGCAAGGATTGGGATCGCTATTGTGAGCGTGTTCCTTACATCTTTATCCCCTACGTCTTTTAATCGTTTTCATTTGGCTATTTATTACAAAACAAATAAAAACAAAGGACATTTATTATAACAAGCAACAATGGGATCAGCTTTCCTTGTGGACTCGGAGTCTGTAGTAAAGCAGCACATGTGCCATGCATAGCTCGTTCTTCGCGTAACCTGCCGCTTTGTCTCTCTTTTAGGAAAATGCAAAGGTAAACGAATAACCAACCACTCTTCCATTGTCTATCGCCATGACTCATTCAGCCACTACTTTAGCCGAGGAGAGAACACTCTAAACCGTCTCGATGAAGATGCTGGTGAGCTCGATTATCTATCCAAACAGCTGGGACGAATGGACGGCCTCTCGGATGATCTGGTGAGCTTTTTGTGCACTGATGACTCGTTGACAGGCAACTCATTGGACACACGCATCAGATTGGCATCTTGGATGGCTTCGAAGGACGTCTTATGAAGCTGGAAGCATCTATCAAACCGATACATAGCTCGACGCAGAACCTCACCAAACTTGCAAGCAGTAAGTGATATACATTGATCATGTAACCCTCATATGCCAACGCTCCATAATGCAGATATCGACCGAGCCCTTACAGCAACCGATGATATCGTCAATTGTTTGAATTTGCCAAGCAAAGAGGATGCTTTCATTACCAAAGGGTAAGAACTTGATATAATGCCGAGATGATGCTCATGGATATCCTTTAGACCTGACGAGCACAATGTATTACCTTACTTGCAAACGATGGGGGCATTGAAGGATGCGGTGGATATGGTTGAAAGCAGTAATCTACGTTCGTGTGAGAAAGCTGTCAATCAAATGGTATGTTGAATGAAATGGATCAGGTTCATTGTAGCATTAACATATCAAGGGGTCTCTCTCATTTAGAAACAATTGCTCAAGGCTGGTATGTTGCATCTCGAGACCTTATTCCGCAAATGGCTATCATTCGTCAGTGATCCTATTGATGCTACAAGCGTACTTGATCCAAGTAAGTTTAATTGTGGGGATGGCTCATGTTTATATATATCTGACCACTCCTTTTTAGATCATGAGCCATTACCATCAGGATCGCTCAAGGAGCTTTCACAATTATCAACTTATATCTCGGCTTCAGAGAAGGAAATCGGCTATGCTGTGGACTTCACCAAACCATACATCGAGATTCGTTCAGCCTACCTTGTCAAATCGCTTCATTCTCTTGCACAATCGGTACAGCTATCCGAACGACACCAAGGCATTTCATATGAAAAGGGCTCTGGCGAATTCTTGAGATACATTGAATGCTTTGCAAAGATGATCCAGGTTGGTATAGGATGCAAGGAGCAGTGTATGGATGTATATGGGATTGACAAGTGGGATTTTAGGATGAGCAAGAGTTTGCTACGAGAATTCTTCAGAATCCTACACAGCGAATGGCAGCTCTGAAGGGAACCATTGCACCGGCTATGCATGAATTGGTATCTGCAGGACGACAGCTCAACATGGTGGCCAAACGTTTGAGCTATTATGACACCATCTTCATCTTCGATATCATGGACAAATATGAACGTGATTGTGCACCCATCTTTAAAGAGCTCTCGGCTGAAGTGGATTTGAGCGAGTGCACCGATATGATCTCGACCTTCAAGCTCACAGCACTCAAGATTTTCTTCGACTTTATGGAGGATGTCAAGGGCAAAAAGGAGAACAATGCGTTTACCAATATGAGTAGTGATGGCACAGTACACGAAATGACAAGCAATGTAAGTAAGGGCAGTGGGTGTGTGCATGCATGTATGCAAAGGGAAGCTTATCGTATGGATAGACCCTGAACTACCTCAAGCGTCTTTATCTTTGGCGAGACATTGTGGAGCCTTTGTTGATCATCTTGGGCGACGGTGGCTGGAACCATCCTATTTCGCTCTCCAATATACCTGAACAACAGCAACCTTATGGCGAGTCAACAAAAGGATTTATGCTTCTCCAGAGCTTTTTCGGTAAGTAAAGGCATTTAGCATCATCCCCATGCATATGAATTATTGAACTTGAATGTTTTGACAGGCGATGCATTGGATCAGCTGACAATGTCGATTCAAAGTCGGTCACGAGGATACAAGAAACCTGCATTGGCAACCATCTTTTTGCTCAACAATTACAACCATATCTTGCGTCAGATTCGAACACCACCCTTGAATGCCGTATTTGATGACTCGACGGAGATGAAGTTCAGCAAGCTCGTCAAGAAGCAAATCGACTCTTATCAAGATTCATGGAAGCCGTGCGTGGAAAATCTTATGGATGTCACCTATGTGCGTGGTGGTACTATCAAGAACTCCATGGGCAGTGGAGAAAGACAACTTGTCAAGGAACGATTCAAGGTAAAAGAGCAAGTGGCGCAATTATTTGAATAAGGTTGCTCACATGGCTTTGGATAGAACTTTAATACCGAGTTTGAAGAAATTTGGCGTGCACAGACAACTTATGCTGTTCCTGACGCTGAACTACGAGCTCAAGTCATTCGCGATGTCAAAAATGTGTTGGTGCCAATGTATGGTCGCTTCTTGGACAAGTAAGTTACCACTTGGTTTTGTATTCATGTGGACCTTCATTAACGTGGCATCTTTTATAGGTATCAGGGTACGGATTTCACCAAGAACCCGGCCAAGTATATTCGTTACGACAAGGATAAATTAGAAAAGATGTTGAACCATTTATTTGAACCTACTGCTTAAACATTAAAGATCTCATCTATTGTGAGTCATGCATTATGGATGGAATAGGGTGGTGAAGGAGGATCATCAACTACATTTGGGAACGAACGATAGAGAAAACAAGTATAAAAGCCTTTGAGCATAGTGATCAGCATCCATTGATAATCCCCTCGCACTGATATTGGGTATTCTTTGGTCATGTCGTCGCCACCAGTCATTGATTAGCTCGGAGACACCCGCTCCGAGTGGTTTAAGTTTTTCCCCGCTTTCTTCAAGTAGACCGCCGCTGATTTTATATATCCAGGATCTCCTTCTATCACCTATATTTCCAACGTTTTCCCAACATGTCCCAAGCATCAGGATCCGTGGCCAACAGACTCGTTCAAAAGATCACTTCCAAGGAGTTCCGCAACTACTTCATGAGGTAGCTTCAGTCAATGGCATGCTTCACCCCGTCATTCACCCCATCTCACCTTTGTTTTTCTCTCCAATCACTGTAGCACCGTGAGTATACCTACCACGAGAATGATACCCACCACGCAGCAACATACCTCTCATATTGAATAACCATTCTCTCGTACGATAGCATTTCTGGGGCCCTGTTGCTAACTGGGGTATTCCTTTGGCAGCTATTGCTGACTGGAAGAAGGATCCTGCATACATTTCAGGCAACATGACTGTTGGTAAGTGAGCAACGGCTTCTATGGGAATAGGTGAATGTCTTGGTTGACATGGTTCTATTGTCATTACTAGCTTTGTGTGTCTACTCGGGTTTGTTCATGCGCTTTGCCCTGGCGGTTCAGCCAAAGAACTACCTTCTCTTCGCTTGCCATGCTACCAACGAAGTGGCTCAACTTGTCCAAGGCTACCGTTTCCTTAACTACAATGGGTAAGATGCCTATACAGTTTGTGGATGTAGTATCGCTTACGCATGGGTGGTCAATTATAGCTTCACTGGCAAGAAGAATGAACCCAAGGCCGTCGAGGATACCAAGGTCGAGGAAAAGCCCGCCACTGCTTAGACAAATCATTGATAAAACAAAGTTCGATTTTCATTGTGTATACTACGTTGGATTGGGGGACTTGGAGTCATTATGTATTGCGATTGGGGAAGTATTGGCTGTGAAGTTCACCTTGTTGTTCATGGGCATCAGCTTTGACATGATGTTTTCTATCTACACCCATCCTCGCGTTACTCTAGAAATATAGCTTGTGTGTTGCCAAACTACATTTGGGGTGGTCACGTGTAACTCATCATATCGCAGGAGGCAATTTGAGATATACTAAAAGACAAACATCTAATAAAGACCACGACAATGAAAAGCTATGAAAGACCGCATTACCATGGTTTAATGCACAAAGGTGTAAAAAGGGTTATTTGTCATGCGCACATACATACATCAAAGCTTGGGTTTTTGCTCGTGTAAGCAATCAAAGAGGATACAACAATGCTGAGGAATATACATGATGCATGACAACATTCTATTTGATCATCATGGGCGAGTGGTATTGGAGTCTTGGGGGCGACCCATGAGACAATAAATCGGTGTGCGAGGAGTTGGTTGGACACCTAAAGCAGGGTTGTATGGAGTTCTTGATCAATCAACCTAGGCGCAATGATTGTCCATGCATGAATCGGCAACGACATGATCCAATTACATTATATCAACAGAATCCAAAACGTCCTTGCATTGCATTATCAAGACGTGGCGCATACACCCAATACGTACGTAAATGATGATGGCCCGGATATTGTAAGCTGCATAAGGTGTGTGTATACAGTACAATCTGCGAGCCAATGCATTGCCAGATTTGACGACGATGCATTCCTTAATTTCATATACATGCGCATAAAAGTCCCTGCTTTTCCACCACCATTGTACTACTATTATTAGATATGGCATTTCTTTTTTTGATGTTGAAAGAGAAATCTTATTGGAGTCAAGGTTATAGAAAGAGAGTGATAGATAGAAAAGAAAAAGATGAAAGCAAGAATAGGGAGCAATTGATAGGAAGAAGGGGAGAAAAAGAAAGGGATTATATCTTGATAGAATACATTGGTCGGTCGGTCATCATTCTGGTCACAAAAAAAGAGGTGTGTGTGTATATATAATATCCGCGGCAGAGAGAGAGAGAAGTGGGTAGATTATCTTTAGTCCAACTCCTTTTACAATATGGTGCACTTTTTGGACTTTTTCTTGACCGGGGGCTCGAGAGCAGCAACAATGGCTTCATCAAACACGTTCTTCAATCCCTTTTGCGTCAACGCTGAGCATTCAACATACTTGACGGCACCCAATTCCCGTGCAAGTCGCTCTCCAGCATCAAAGCTAATGGGTCGTTGTCTTTGTCGGGCCAACTTTTCCGTAACACCAGGATCGTCTCGCAAATCAATCTGTGTTCCAACAATCAAGCAAGGTACACCAGGGCAATGATGATGCACTTCGGGGAACCACTTTTCTTTGACGTTTTCAAATGATGCGGGCGAAGTCACTGAGAAGCACACCAAAAAGACATCCGTTTGGGGGTATGACAATGGTCGAAGACGATCATAATCCTCTTGGCCTATATTTATTCAACTATCATTAGTTATCCCTTCCTTCATTGATTGTATATAAATATATAACTTACCGGCAGTATCAAATAAACCCAACGTATATGGCTCGTCACCTAGTTACCAATACTGTATATAAATAACCTTCGTCCTTTTTGCATATCCTCATCACACACTTACCAATCATGACGGTAACAGCATAGTTGTCAAAGACCTGGACATTCGACATGTGAGTTTTCCTTCCTGTTCCATATCATCCTCCCTTTCAACGTCCCCTAATGCTCATGTTCAACCCAAAGCCTTCTCCCCTATTACCGTAGGAACATATTCGGAAGGAAATTTGTTGGTCGTGTACGATATCAACAAGCACGTCTATAAAAAGAGGTACGGGAATGAGCCACATGGGTCTAAATTCAACGTTGCTACTCAAGGTACGTACTTTACCGACGGCACCATCGCCCACAACGACGCATTTGATAGTTTGCATTGTGTTGGTGGTATCGATTCCTAATGAGAAGACGCAGATGAGGAACAAGCCGTTGCCGTTATTTTGAAACACGAGTAGATAGGAATAGACGTGCACGTACCAGGAAAGCAAAAAGAGATAAAGTGTTACGAATGCCGATGGGCGAAATTGAATGCCAAGAGAGAGAAGAGAGAGGAAAAGAGAAAGGAGATTGGGTGCTGGAAAAGAAGAATACGCAAGAAGAAAGAAAAAAAGAAAGGGAATAGCAGCAGCAGCAACACCAGCTTTGGAAGGAGAAACTTGGTGGTGGTGCAAGAGCGTGTCCTCTCAGACACGGCTGCTGTTGACTCGTCGTCGGCGTTGAAATCTCTTTATGGATCATTGATAATACCCATTTTCCCCTTCCTCAAACATGTAAAAGTAATAGCTTTTTCTTTTGAATAGAAGAATGATCTTATTAAATAGGTTGGACTATATGTAGGATGAGATTATGTACAGTTGAATGTATGCAGCTACAGTTGAATGTATAGACAAATGGTAAAATGAGCAGCAATGTGGGGAATGTGCGTGGTAATAAATGGCGGATGATAAGGAGGAAAATGACTTGTGTGTGTGCGTGCGTGAATTAGATGATTCGATGGGTGGAGAGGATACAGTTGAATGTGTGAGGGTGGGATTTTTTGTGTAAAAAGAGATGAGACGCATTATGCGATAATGTTGATAAACTTCCGAAGGTATCGCTTCCACCGGGGGAGCTGAGCAATGGCTTCATCAATAGCCTTGGATTCATCAAGTGGGATGGTACCAGTGTCAAAGTCCATATCCATTGACTTGACAACCGGTTGCCGGAGAACAATCTTGTGACCAACGTAAAGGACGACTGCAAAGATCAAGCCAATGTATGCAGCGACCACATTCTTGCCATCGATAGGTGCTTCAAATGTTTGATAGCCTTGACCAAAGATGATAATGGTACCGATAACAATGACAAAGATGTCCGGGATAGGGAAAAAGGGTGCGACATAAGGAAGTGCCTTGAGTGAACGTTGTTGTTTACGAAGGCCGAGGCGGAAACGAATGTGTGTAATGCAAATGATGACCCAAGTAATAAGACCGGCAACCGAGGTGAGATTGGTGAGCCAAGTGAAGACAATACCGGAGCCAAATAAACTCGTGAGAAAAGCAAGGCAACCCACGGCACAAGTGGCGAGCACAGACCAAATGGGAATACCAAAGCGGTTGATACGAGCAAAAAATTTCGGTGCATTGCCATTCTCGGCTAATGACAAAAGCGTACGACTTGAGGAATACACACCACTGTTACCAGCACTAATCATGGTAACCAAGATAACAGCGTTCATAATGGATCCTGCAGCTTCAGCACCAGCCATTCTAAAGACAAGCGTGAAAGGACTGACAGAGACATCATCAGAGCCCTTGAGCAAGTTTTCATCGGTGTAAGGAATACACAAGCCAATGATGAGGATTGACAGGATGTAGAATAACACAATACGAACAAAGACTTGCTTGACGGCTGAAGGCACTGTTTTGTGGGGGTTGGCGGATTCACCAGCAGTGATACCAACAATTTCGATACCGTTGAATGAAAAGGCAGCTGTAAGGAACACGTTGAAAACGCCCAAAAAGCCGTTAGGGAATGCACCGCCTTCGAGATGGAAGTTGCGAGTGCCGATATAGTCGCCGCCTAGTGCACCCGTATCGACACAAAGACCGATGATGAAAAAGGCAATGACGACGATAATCTTGATAAACGAGATCCAGTATTCAACTTCACCATAGCCTTTGACGGAAAAGACGTTGATGGCAACAAGGATGACAAGGCAAATAACACTCCATACGACGCTGTTGACTGATGTAATCCAAAATTCCATAATCATAGCGACACCGGTTAACTCGACAGCGACACCAACAGCCCAATTGGCCCAATAGACCCATCCAACGCAAAAGCCAAGAGATGGATCAGCGAATCGTGTTGCGAAGTGTGAAAAGCTGCCAGCGACTGGGATGTATGCTGCCATCTCGCCGAGGCTCATCATGACTGAGAATACGAGAATACCGAGAATACCACTAAAAATTGACAAGGGTAAGTAGGAGTTTTATACTATAAACGGCGAATAGCCGACTATTGGATAAAACTTACTAGGCCACCAGGGCACCACCAGGACCACCTTCAGAAATAGCTTTACCAGAAGCCATGAATAAGCCGGTACCTGATGAAATGGAGCGTGTGTGTAAGATGATTGGAAAAAGTTGTCATATCATTTTGATGATAGCATACCGATTGTGCCACCAAGGGCAATCATTTGAATGTGGCGTGCCTTTAAGCCACGATGAAGCTCATGCTTTGGTGCTTTGTCGGATGCTTGTGTAAGGCTTTCGGCAATCTCAATTGAGCTGGCGTAGGATCCTTTGTCTGGATCTTTCATTGTATATGTATATTTTGTATGCGGGTGGAGAGGAAAGGGGGAATAAAAAGGGAGAAAAAAGTAGTATGTGCCGATCGCTTGTTTACTGGGCTTTCACTTTTTATGTTGTGTTTTCCATTCCGTCCCATAATCAAATCACCGCACCAACCATTGACCCACATGAAATTTCGCACGGCATCCAGCAGCAGTTGCGCCATCGCCAGCAAATGAAATTGTTTCTAGATGGCTGACTATTGGAGTAAGACAAACACGAACCGATCTATCTTGGATCCTTTCGATTTTTTTAATGATCCAACCGGGTACTCTCCCCGGGCTCATCACACACAATGACAACTACAAGTAACCTTTTGCTAATACATGTATCCTTTAACATTGCATGTCACTTTACAAGATTGCCATGTGGTATGGATGCATGCACTCCCCTGCATACGATCTTATCTAATCATTCATTATTTGGATGTCCAATGAGCATTGCAGCATCATGACCCTTTTTCTTCGATCGTGTCTCGATATGGAAATTTTTGGCGGGTGACCCATGGTGTAACGTAAGCGGCGGCGGAAATGCATCCCTGATAGCTTTTTGTAACTACTAACAAAGTATACAAATCTTGGCTTGATATTTCTCACGTTTTGTCCCACGGGATCAAACTATGCCACGCAAGCCTTTTTGATCCATGTATCAATGATCCAAGTCAAACGCATCATACCCTATATCATCTACATGCCAACAACTCATAGTTGTATGCTGCAAACAAGTTTTTCAAACTGCGCTTTTCTTGGCTCTCCATTCCTTTCTCATTAGCATCAAGCCGAGGTGCTAGCGACTCTATCTCTTTGTTGCGCAACAACAGGTACTTATGGTATCATCTGTGTCCACGCACACTGTGAGCACAAGAGCTGGGACCCTTGCTATATTCAGGTATACACAATCGATTGCACCAGTAGTCTGGGACAAAACTGTATGGCGTTATTTTCGAAAACATGATGGAAGGGTGTCATTGTCGGCTGCCATCTTTTTTTTTCTTTACGGAGATAATCTCATTTGTCGGTGTATCTTTATTAGCACCACCATAATCACCGTACTACGTCTTTGAGGATGCTGTGAACTCCCCTCTAAAACATGTATCATTTTGCTTCATCCTTTATCTTGATCAAAAAAACCGAAACATGGAATTCGGATGATGGCTAACCATTTCATCACGCCATTTACAACTTCCCCCTTGCAATCAAAGATGTCCTATATCCTCTTTTTCTTTCCTTGTGCGAGCAACAATCGACATGTGCGTGCTTTTGTGCGTAGTGATGCATGTTGTTGTTGTAAGATAATGGCTACGTATGCATCTCTATGGGCGTACTACTGCCTAGCGGATCCAAATTGTTGGGGCATATCAAGGAGCATAGATTGCCTTAGAGAGTACTCCCCATTGTCTTGCTATTCGTGTTCATTGTTGTCATTTTGGTACTTTACTTAATATGGCACGTGTTGCTATCCTTCTTTCGCATCTTCTGGATATTGATAGGTGATTGTAATGGCCTTCAGCACCAGGATAGATATATGCTGCTTACCGGATCTGGGGTCTGGGGTACTCGAAATGGCACTTGGCTTAGTACAATAGTCTTTTTTTCGCACTCGATCGTTCACAAATTTATAATACTACCAGATTCAGTACTAACTTACAAGCACACAAGCCCAAAAGCTAGATAGTAGCTATCAGGGGAAAACACTTTTAGCTGCAACAAAGGACAATGGCACGTGTTTTGCACAATGTGCCATAGCTGACAAGCAATGTAAATGTAGTCTTGGTTTGTTTATTACCTAAGCATGGGGCTTGGTTGATCCACAAGATATTGTCTAGGAATGAATTTGACGTAATCATCATTAACAACATGCACATCAACGCAGCAGCATAGCAACGGACCTCGTTGCTATGCGACATACATCCAAAAGAGATCACCCATCCCAACGGCGGAGATAGCCAACTATTGTCCCTTACAGTGTCAATCTCTTTTTCCTTCTCATTCAATTTCATGGAGCACCGGATACAAGCTTTTGTGGATATGGATGCCGGTACTTTCATCAAAATGGAAATGCGGTATCCAGGTCCAGAGAAATTCCAATTAGTAGGAGGGGATGAAACAATGAAAGCTAAGAACAACGACGACATTCATAATACGCTAAAAGCTCACTCCTTATCGCTTTCTTTATTGCATGCAGCACATACATTCACATCACAGAGAAGATTTTTATGCCAAGCTTCTTTCGTCGCATTTAAAAAAGATGCACCAAGAATGGCGTAGTACATAATTGGTATCCACTCACAGTAAATAATAGCATGCTCAGCATAAAAAGGAAAGCATCTCGAAGAATCCGCACGCTTTGCTTGATTTCGTATCCCTAATGGGACTCGACAATACGTATGCTTACGTTGTAAACATGTTGCAGTTTTCATTAAAGGCTTGCAGCGTCTTGTTATCATCATTGAGAACAGCTAGCTTGGAGGTGCATTACAACCTGTGGATGTGGTGAATCAATCGGCTATGCTAGGCCAAGACCACTATGTTGAATCACAAAGATAAACATTGAATAAAGAGATAGTATGGCATCATAATAAAGTTGCGTGTATGTTATGCAGCAATAATGGGACGTCTCAAATGGCTTTATTACTAGTAGATCTTGTTACAAGATAAGCCAACAACATGATGATGGAACTTTGGGATGGAAGCAAGTATTGATGCATACGTCGTTTCGTTGTGTGATTGAATAATGACGATGCTAGATTCATAATCAAGCGTGATGGTAAATGCAATTTGAGGAATCTACATACAACGCGGTTCTCCCAATAATGATCATCATCGATGTGATAGATGCCACCTTACCTACCACACCGTGCGTAGCTCAGCAGCCCATCATGCATTTGGTACATCACTGTAATGGGATTCTCCAATTATGTAATCATAAAGTTGCGCATTGAAAGGAAATTCGATCATGCGTATCATCCTCTTTTACCATCACTATCCTGGTGATGGACATACTTCGCTACTTGTGATTCCATAATAGGTAAATAAAGTTTAATGCCAGTTGAGCCATTGTAGACAATAGGAATGGGGGGGTGGGCAACAAGTATGATGGTGATCGATATCATCAAACAGCATTTATTAGTGTGTGTACATTATGGCATCGAATCGAGATGTCATCTCATCTATTGATATCTCTTTCTCTAATGTGTATGTGTGGGATGCATTGATTTCATTTTTTCTCTCCTCTTGTCCAAAAAATGCCTTCGTGCACGCGGTAGTGTCCGACAAGAGCGATATTAAAAGGTTTCTTTTCCGTTGTGCAACAATGCGCTTGACTCCCAGACCAAACATATGAAAGCTCATCCCGAGGAAGCAGCCCATTACGATAGCGATGACTTTGAAACGGCCGACGAATGGAGTGTCAGCTCGAACGATGACGACCAAGACAAGCAACCTTCGAATGGCGTGGTGGACAACGTGCCTGTGATCAATGCCTTGAAGGAATGGCGCCAATGCAAGAAACGGGGACCGCCTTCATTCTCCAATGCCAGTTTGCAAGCCTTCAAGACCTTCTTCAAGAGCAAGGAACACGAAGCAAAACAAACAGCTGATGCTCTTTGGCGTCATGATTATCATCCATCCATGGGCGTAGTGGCGTTCCTGGCTAAAGCGTAAGTACTTGTTGTCATGCGACCAACCCCCATCCAAATTACTCATGCTTCTATCTAGGAATCCTTTCCATCGAATGGTATTGCGTTGCTATTTTGAAAAGTTTGAGTTTACTGATCAACGACTGGATACTGCTTTCAGGTGAGCATTCACATGAAAAAGTGATTCAACAACCCCCCCCTAAATCATTATCACTATGATGACTACAGGCAAATGTGCAGCAAACTCCACCTCGTAGCCAGGCCCAGTGAATTGGATCGGATCATGTACGCATTCAGTAATCGATATTGGGCATGTAACCTTCACGAATTATATGGCAATGCAGGTGAGAGGGAGGAGGAGGATGTGCACAGACAATATGTGTTCCTGCCATAGCAATGCTCATTGTTGTACAACATTGTAGACATTGTTTATATCGTTACATGCTCCTTGGCGCAGCTCTCAATACCAGACATGGTAGCACCACTCAGCAGCTATTGTCGAGAAACGATGGCACAAGTGAAACCTATGGAATCAGGTGCTCAGATATCTATTTTGGCTTGTGGCAGTATTGAATCTTGGCATGCCCGTATGAAGAGTCGACTCGAGGTATTTGATGCATGAATCGGGGAAGATATGGAGTATAAGTAAAACTAACGGACTCATATTACAGGAACTATACTTGTCGGTGAAACACAGCCCCATTATCTTTGCTGGTCCAGATGACCCAAACGCTTTGGGCAATACCATATCCGCCAGAAGAGGCAAGTGCATGGATGAAAAAAATACATTGGAGAGTAAGGAAAAAAGGGGGGTTGGGTGGTGGCGCGGTCATGGAAATATGGGAGAGGAAATAATAAGAGCGACAAGTATATTCATGCAACCCGTTATATTAGTGCGTTCATTAGGACCATACGATTTCAACAAGGTGATGGGAAAATGGGGGAGATGGCCACCTTTTTTTCTCTGCTGACTTGGTATGGGTTAATAGGGATCTGGTTTACAAAAGAGATTATCAACGAGCTGGACCAGTATACGAAGGAAGGATATGCACCGTGAGAAAAATGGACCAACAAAACAAGGACCACTTGCATGCAAGAAGAATGACGATGATGAAGGGTGGAAACCTTGCTGGGTGATACTCGACCGCGGGTCACTGGTCATATATATCCACTCTGTGCATCCTCAACAATCGAGGCGCGTGCTCAACAATCACCATCTTTCGGAAACTGGAGATTATCTTCACGAGAAAGGAAATCTGTCATCCAATCCTTATCTCCACAGTCGCTTTTACTTGGGCCATGCACTAGCATCGTTGGTTGATGGACCGGTATTCTCTCTCACGCTCGCCAATCAGCATCATCCATCCTATCATTTTGATTGTGGGACTGAAGAAAATGCTTTGGATTGGATTCATCATTGCAATCACTGGGCTGCTCGTGAGAGTAAAATACCTCCAAACTTGGAAATCTCGTGTGATTTACATGTTGCCTTCAGCCCACCTCCACCACCAGCAGGCGCCAGTTTGTATGATACGCTTCATCAGCATGCGGCTATAAAGGATCATCTTGTATGGCTATGTTCAGTATACGATCAACACCTCGATATCCATTCATCTGTAAGTTCATTCTTTATTCTGAAACATATACATGGTGGTGGTGATGGATGGTTATATAATGACTCACCCTGCTGACCCCTATCACAATATTCTCCGCATCATCATCATCATCATCATATAGCTACCTGAAGATGATCTCATTCACAACAATTGGCTCATCAAGAAGGACTATCTCGCTCATGAAATCAAAAAGTACACCGCCTACGAGCATAGCTTGGAGAGCACATCAAGCCAATACAGCTTATCGACCAACGGGAAATGCGCATCAACCACATCATCACAGACGACCAATGAAATCATTCAACTGTCAAACGCTGGGAAACGAGATCCACGGCTACGCACGTGATTAGATGATCATAACCAATTCTGCATATAAAACCCATCTTCCCCCAATTCGCTTGTGTTGCCTTTTTCTTTTGCACTTTCTTTTCCCTTTGTTCTTTCACACACAATGAATCAAACTTCGCCCATCCTATCAGAACAAATATATGGTTCCAGCAAAAAACTACAACTGATCAAAGACACAATGTCCATTCAGTCACTTCTTGTTACTAATGGTGACCATGACAATAATGCAAAAGAGACCACCACCCACACCACCACCCACACCACACTTGTTACATCACCCAAACGACGATGGCCTGTCAACAACAACACCAATGACGACAACGACAAAAACAATGACAACAACAACAACAACCATCACCATCATCATGAAAACGAGTTGACAGGCAACGATGTTGAACGAGCACCAAAAATGCGGAAAACAACTAGCGTGCAACCAGGACAACGGGGACCACCACCAATACCTTATGGGCAGCCGATGACCACCCTTACGTGTTTACATGCAGCGGTTGCACAAAAGTCTTATGGATCCGAGAAGCGGTTCCTGTGTCCACCGCCTGTGGTTAGTGTAGCACACCCACGTCTTCCTGAATCACACATTTCGATGGCCATCATATCTGAAAATGGTGAGCGACCATTGGAGCAAAGGACACTATTGGATGAGCATTTAAGTGGTAGCTTCAAGTATTTGCATGTCACTGGAACAGCCAAAGCCAAACAATTCAGCCTTCGAGTATCACTTTCGAGCTCTCACCATCATCAACCACAACCCTATGCAACCTTTGTTTCGAATCCTATCTCCATCATCTCCAAGCCATCGAAAAAGACAGCCAAAGCACGCAATGTATCAACATGCATTTTAGCCAACGCACCTGTGTCGCTGTTTAATCGGATCAATTCACAAACAGTACGCACCAAATATCTAACATCCGATGGTAAACGTTTATGTGCAAAGAATGCAACATGGTCAGCTTTCGATATCGTCCTTGTGAGACCACCTTATGCACCATGCCCCATGCCAGTGACCTATGGCGCCGAGATCATACTAAGAGACACCAGCACCGGTATTCAATCACCTCCCGTTATTTTACGCAAAGTCGACAAGGGTCGCATCACCCAAGCTTTTGGTCCTGTCAGCCAAATGCAAAAAGTGGCTCTGCAGCTTGCATCATCCGTAGGCCAACAACAACCTTTGTACCTTTGTGCCAACAGCGCTCAGGAATCTGAAACGGTTTCAACATCATCATCAACAACATCGTCATCATCATCGCCATTGTCATGGATCGAATTCTTGCCTAGTCGCATTGTACAACCCGATAACAAAGTGGAACTTGCATACGAAGAAGTGGATGATTCTTTGTTTTGGACGATTGTCGGCATCCACAAGTTTGAATACAGTTTCTATGACCCGCTTTCAACGTCGCTCAGCAGCATCTCACCTTTCCCAGTCGTCTCCTCAGCACAATACAACCCCACTTCACATACCCTTGATTTGTTTGGTCAACATCTTGTTCATCATCAAGCATCTCTTCTTGATTGTTGGTTAGGCCCACATGGACCATTGCCAGCAAAATTGGTTAATTCACAAGCGGAGCAACCAGGATCCGCACGTCAAAGTACCCATATTACCATTGATCTACCTACAACCCAAGATTTGCTTCAATACCATTACAAAGATCAAGTACCACGTCAACAGCATTTGGCCATGATGACACGCGCTGAAGATGGTGTGCAGCATTTGGAATTACCGCTCTTGCTGGTGCGACAAGACACTCATGTCGTTTATCATTCTGGCAAGGCACTGACTTTGCACTCGGATGCTCGACGATGCTCTGTAATGATCACTAATTGGTCGGTTTCAAAATGATTCACAACATTGGCCTTCTTTTGATTGGACGGGACACCGGCACTTTTGCTCACGCTTGTTTGTAAATAGTCTTATTCCCCCCACTTTTTTTATCTTCTTTATCTTGTACCTCCCCCATATTTATCCACTCACCACCCCCGTCCCGTTTTGTGTATGCTACTTTTTTTCCACGATCATTTGCAATATAGTACACCTGCAGTATTTGTCCATCTGTGTATTCAATAGCCCAATGTTCATGATGCAATGCATTTAAAAAAGAGTGAGGATCTAGTGTAAAAGGAAATGGGACATGCCCTTATTGTAATAATGCGTTTATGATGGCGGCGGGGAGGAACCGGGGTAGCCGATCAAATCCATACACCATCCATTTATCACACGACTCTTTACGTTTGTAATGCTGACTGATTGTGTATGTCCAGTCATTCGGAAAAAGAAATAAGGATCGCAACAGGATGTCCCTGAATACGTGATGTGATACGGCATAGACACACAAACTTGACATCTTTGTCAAAGAAAGCCTTTTACGGGTCGATGGTAAAAAAGCAACAGCAGTTGAAACGTCTTGACCGAACATTCGACTTAAACCATGCACTACCTCCCCCCACATTTTGGTCCATGCATTTTTGTAATCATCCATTATGCTACAAAGCCGTTTCTTTGGTGCAAACTTCCCACCCCTTTTCCCAGGCTCCTTTTCACATATAGTGGCGCTTTTCTTTCTTCCCCCATTCTTGATTTGAAAATCATGGCTGATGCCCAGGTCATGGGAAAAAGTGTAAGTATCTTTCAATGATTCTGACAGCGTGGCAAATGTACACCCTTTGATACATACAACCACCATTCGGCAATATACTTACTGATGAGGTATGTGTATGATGCTATTATCTATCACCAACCACCCTATTTTTCATGCAGCTACACCCTCCATATATAACCCTTTTTGGTATGCCATGAAACTACCCTCTTTACTACATCGCTCTTCTTGTCCAACATCCATAAGGCAAATCATATCCATTTTTCATCAAAGAATGAGAAGCAGTATTCAATTTAGTAATGCTGTATTCTACACATCTAAGTAAGACCGGCTCATGAGGAGGAGAGATGAAAAACTAAACGGGGTTGGATGCGTAATTGTAAACTTGATTGAGTGAGTGTGTTGAGGAACGGACAATATCAAAGCGAGTTTTGGTGTGTGTGTGTGTAGGTGTGAATAATGGCGGTGGATGTGTGGATGGGGTGTGGATGACATGTTGTTTAGGGCCACTTTAAGATCTCGGTCATGATAGAGTCATCCCAACCATTGCAAACTTGATCATCCTCAGGGCGAGTGCAAAGTGACTTGAGGTCCTCAGTAGACCAGGTATCAAGGGAACGAATGGCATTGCTGGTGACGGTATCAAGATATAACTTCATTTCAGGATCATCCATCATGGAACCAGCACCGTAATCGCGCATGACATTGGCAGTCGATTCCTTGATGCTTTGGACAACATTCTTAACCAAGGATCCATCATCAAAGGTAGCACGGTTTGCGAGTTGAGAGCGGATACGGCCAAGAATACGTTGCTTGATCTATGTATGGATGTGCATATGTCAGCGATCATCCCATTACTACTATCATGAATGAATGTTGACTTACATCAGGTAAAAAGTGACAGATTGAAGGTGGGTTGCCACAAATGTAATCCATCTTTTCACCTAAGAGTAGGTAGGTTTATGTTAATCATCATATCATCATCCATACACTATGAAACTTACATTCTTCACGAGTCCAGCTTTCACCTTCAGGAGGCATCTTGCGAGTAAGGCGAGCAGGGTGGTTGCAGTCTCCCTTGAAAGGCTTCTCCTCAGCAAACATGACCGAAAAGATGCCACTGGTGAGATCCTTGCCAGTTGCTTCTTCCACAAAGGCGTCGAGTGCATTGGATAGCTGGGTTGTCAATTCACGATGAAGTACATTCTCGGGCACCATGGATGACACTGAGCTTGGTAGAGTGGCATTCGTCACATCGGATGCGAAGGAGTCTTGTAGATTGTTAACAGCCAATTCGACCACAGGTCCATAGTGCTTTGCAAAATCAGCGGCAAGACCACGACGGCATTCAGGTTCACAAGCAAAGCTCGTAGATGCAAGAGCAGCAGCGACGACAGCAAAGAGTGATTTGACGAGCATTGAAGAAGGGGACGAAGGAAAAAAGCTGTGTGCTCTATTTCTCCATGTTTGGTCATTTAATCTGGGTTGCTGCTATAAAAAGCCGCTGATGTTACACCATGATCTTCTTTGTCGAGACCGCCAACGTGCTCTTTGGCTCCATCTTGGTTACTATGGCATGTTGTTACACAATACCGTTTCCATAGCAAGGCAATAAACTTGTTTTTTCTTTGTTTCTCTCATATGTCATGTAATGGTTTGCAATCAGGGCGTCGTGGATGGGCTCTCCTATTCCAGATTGTAGTTACTAGTGGCTATGACGACAGCAGCTATGGTAGTAGTAGTATACTGTCATGGTGGATGAATGATGATCATGAAGGTGAAAATAATGGTTATGTATAGCTTTTGTCGATGCTTATGAAGAACGATGCACTTGTCTTTTGAGGATACTTTGATTGATATCCCTTTGATCGGCTGGCGGGGTTGCCTAGCAATCAGGGTAGTAGTAATGACTCAACGACGGCGGTGGCTACTAGCATAAACCGCTTTGATTTCTTGTAAGCCTTACACGTGATTACGACACGGCAAGAGCCAAAAATGATATGTAACTATAATCACTCCCTCTCCTCCAAACACCAAGGTCATATGCCTGTGGATGTCTAATTAAGCAATGATTGAATAGCATTTTATTTCAAGGATCATAAGGTAATTAGGTATCACAGATCCCTGGGTATGGGATTGGGACTTGCTGCATGAAAAAAATGACATGCAAAGGGATCATGATGATGACTCGGGGGACTACTATACTACTACTATTGATGAGAGTGCACACATGAGATGATACCCTTTCGTCATCAGTCTTGGCAGTTGATCAACTAAAAAGGACATGTGAAGTATACGACTTGCTTGTCACGCCAAGAGAACTCTCTTGCTGCTGTTGCTGTGCCAAAGCGGAACCGTTGTTGTAGCATTTTCACGGCGTTTGCCCAGCACTTTTTTCTCTCCTCCTCCTCTTCTTCTCTTTCCTTCTCTCAGTCTCACACACTTCCTTGTAATATGAGCACCAAAACCGATCAGCCGTCAATGGACACGCAACCTAAGAAATACAACGATCAGCAGCAAGGCCACTTTTCTTTGGTCCGCAACTTTTACATTGCCGATGTCATTACACTTATGAATGGCGTGTGTGGAGTCATGTCGGTGTTCGCGTCCATGCGATATCTTTTGTCGAGTGACATTCACGACTTGTATTCAGCACTGGGGTTCATGCCATTTGGATTGTTTTTCGATTTCTTTGATGGTCGAGTTGCTCGTTGGCGTAAAAACTCATCCATCCTTGGACAAGAATTGGATAGTTTGGCAGACTTGGTAAGGAAATGTGAGCGAGAATGATACACACCGTGTGATGGGATGATGGGAACGGAACAACGGGATTGATTATTGGGAGAAACGTACAAACACACACACATTGACCTGATGATGGTGATGCATATTAGATCTCATTCGGTGTAGCTCCGGCGGCACTTGCATTTGCAGGTAAGAAGATCAAACCCATCCATTTTCATCCCATGTTGCTCATCATCACCACCATCCATGATTACTACTAGTGGGCATGCGTACATACCTGGATACAGTGGTCTTGACATACTTTGTATGCTGTGGAATTGCACGATTAGCACGATTCAATGCAACTGTAGCATCGCAACCCAAGGATACAACCGGCAAAATATCCCACTTTGAAGGCACTCCTATTCCCACTTCGCTCACATTAGTTGCCATTCTCGCCTATTTTGTCTCACAAGGTCGTTTCCTCGATGCATTACCTGGTCAATTGGTTCAACTTGCTCCTACTTGGGATTTACATCCTTTGGTTCTCATGTATGCTCTCAGCGGCACCCTCATGGTCAGCAAGACATTACGTATCCCAAAGCCATAATAGTGTAACCCCCCCTTTTTTTCCCTTATTGTAACTTGTTTGCTTGTTGTTGACATTAAAGAGGTCGCTCTTTTTGTATACGTACACAACTCTCTTGTTGCCCGGATTATGACAGGTTGTATTTACAATCCAACGTTATCGATATAAGAAGATCTTCTTTATACAACGATGTATACTACCACTCTACCTACCCCTTCATCTTAAATGCCGTTAACAAATCCCGGGAATTGAATACATGAACCATAATCACATGCTAGTTGAAAATCACACTAGGGAGTGGGATGGGTTAAGAAACTTGCAGCAGCAGCAGTAAGAGTAAGAATCAATCCCCTAACAGTTTCATGATCACTGTGAGCAACATGAGCCACCTTCATGTTGTCGCCTTTTATTTCAGCCGCATGTGGGCCACCAAGGATTCAGCAAGAAAGCAGCAGCAGCCAAACAATAATGTACAATAGAGTCATTAGCTGAGCAGCAGCGAACACTTCAGCTGCTTTAAAAGTGGGTATGATTAAACCCTGAGGTCCCTATAAACCTTTATACTGTAAGTGAAGTTTGAAATGAAAGACTTGGTAATATCGGGGGATGACCTTAACACCGAGCCGAAACACAAATCTTGTATGATTCAGGCACATAGCAACAACGACTTTCAAGTGTATATAAAGGGCAGGATTCGCTGGTTTGCATCTTGAATTATCATCCACTTGTCTTTCTCATCAACTTTGACGAACATACCAATATGACCAAGCACGCTCTCGGATTCGATGAAGATCTCCCCTCAGACGTTTATGAGTTCAACGAAATGCGCAAGCGTGCTCGTTACTCCAAGACTGGCATTGCATCCTTGCTCAAGCCTCCACCGGTGTCTCAACATTTGCCAGGCTTTGATAACGATGGCAAGCCAACCTTCCGCCCCTATGTGGGTTCAGGCAAGCTTGATGGCAAGTATGTCATTATCACTGGTGCCGATAGTGGTATTGGTCGTGCCATCGCCACCCTTTTTGCATTGGAAGGTGCTCTTGGTATCACCATTGTGTATCGTGATGAACGTGAAGACGCTGACGCCAAGTACACCAAGGATACCATTGAGGCGCAGTCGAAATGCAAAATCAATTTGATTGCCCGTGACATTGGTTATGAAAAGAACTGTCAAGAGATCATCGACTCGCACTTGGAAAAGTTTGGTCAAATTACTCATATCGTCAACAACGCTGCTGAACAAACCAAGAACCTCGAATTCGAAACCATTGATACCTCCATTGTGGAGCGTACTTTCCGTACAAATGGTAGGTTGTTGTGGTCAGCATATATATGGATGAGACATTGTTGGCTTAAACATGTATTGTCTACTAGTGTTTGGTCCCATGTTCCTTACCAAGCTTGCACTTAAGCACATGAAGGCGGGTGGTGTGATTGCTAACACTGCCTCTGTTGCTGCTTATCGTGGTATGGATAACCTTGTGGATTATTCTTCCACCAAGGGTGCCATTGTGTCCTTCACTCGTGCCTTGTCACAGCAGCTGGCCCCACGTCGCATTCGTGTTAACGCCGTTGCCCCTGGTCCTGTTTGGACACCACTCATCCCCAACACCTTTACAGAGGAAGAAATTCATAACTTTGGCTCGTTCCCTCCATTCAAGCGTCCTGCTCAACCAGCCGAAATTGCAGCTTGCTTTGTCTTTATTTGCTCGGACATGTCCTCCTTCATGACTGGTCAAGTTGTTCACCCCAACGGTGGCACCGTCATCAACACCTAAAGTAGTAAAGGATTATACAGAAGCCTATAGCTACATTTGTTCAATCAATTCTCTACAACAATACAATGGCAATATTCACATGAAAACGTTGTTGACTATGTACTCAGCAAAACAATGAGCATCCTTATTATTATCCTTTTCAATTTGAACTTCACTATTATAGAGACTTTCTTGTATTGTGTCATTCAATGCATCACATACACAGCGGCGAAGATAATATTAATTTACAAAGGAGGGAAAAGATAATACAAGTGGGAACATTTTGGGTATATCGTATGGGTTGCTCTATTGTTTAAGCTCGTTTTGCAGCATGTCTATCCCCACAATCAATATACATCCATATACCCTATACCTCATTCCTTCACTTACCGTGCCAGACAACACGCTCATTGGATTCGCTTGTTCGCCCTGTCGCTTCTGAATCACGGGGATGGTAAGGCCCAGCTTGTAAGCTCCTATCAAATGTAGGGCTTCTCCTATTGAAAGAGCAAAACATTGGTATAGGCATTCGCTTTCCATATAATCACACTTACAAATCACCGCCAGAACCCATGGAAGCATTATCATCAAACATGCGACTGGAAAAATCAGCTGTGGGTGTAGCAGGAGTGGGTGGAGCGGAATAGAGGTCCATCATATTAAGCGGCCGTGATATGCGATGTTGATTGACGACAATAGCTGGTGGTGCGGCTGCGAAAAGGAAAACAAAAGAAGACACCTTAGCATTCGTTTAAAGAGTGTGCCCATATAGATACTTACCAACGCGTGATTTCTTTTTGCTTTCAAGATGCTTTAGGAACTTTTTGCGCAGTGCAATCGTCTCAATCATGCCCTTGACCCGATCAATCTTGATTAATGCCTCAACAGCTTCTTCCCGTTTCTGGTTGTTCAAAAGCTCTTCAAGTCTACAATATGGCTGTTAATGAATGAAGGGACACTCTGCATAGATCAAACATACAAAAAGGCATTTTCAGGAATCACCAACTTGCGACGTGCAATCATCAACAACATCTCATTGAACGAGACACCCTTAGGCCCTTCGGATAATGCCGCCTCCTACAATCATACATTAACGTCCCCATCCCTATCCTGTGATTGAGCCTAACTTACCCAGTATAAACAATCAAGATCATGTTTTCGTTGGTGAATTTCGGCCTTATCCAAAGCATTCAATCTTGCTCGTAGCCTGTGCAAGTCCACGCGTACTTGGTACTGGTTCTCTGATGGGTCCAACAGCCGTTCATCCAAAGCACATTCCTCGTGAAGCGACTTGTATGAGAATTCATGATCGTAAATACGTATCCGAAAGGCACCGCTTAGTTTCTAGTATTACCAATGAGCTTTCCTTTTCCTTCCTTGTCAATCGTTTATGATCCAACTTACTCGCCAAAAGCCAATGTACTGCTTAGGTTCAATGTATCCGATCCGGTTGATATCTACATCTGCCCATGCCTTCTTATACGTGAGTTTCAGTTAAGGATATGGATAGTAATACACAATGCGACATCATATTCTTGCATATGCACATGCGATATAAAAAGGATATTTTCTGATCTCGTCACGGTTCACAAGCGAAAAGTTGGAGGCGATTTGGTAGACGTAGGAAAAGTTGTCGGCAACCACGGCAACAAAGATGGCGGTAAAGATGTACATGGAAATGATGTTGAAGCTGAGAAACAGGAAATAGGCCCAACTTTTGGATCCACAATCAGAATCAAGGTAGTTATCGGAAACGACACAATCGGGCGACTCCACCGTAAAATCGTGCATGACGGTATTCCACGCCTCCCTAAACACAATCATTAGCATCATCAAAGGGCAACAAGCGAATCCGCCGCACATCCTTACCCGGTAGAAAACCGCACCAAAGAAATCATGGTATTTGCATAAGAACGAAAGTTGACATGTTCGGTTGTTGCTTGCGTGCCATATTTGGTCAATGCAAAGATCTCCATAAACATGATACAGTAAGTAGTCAAGACAATGAACCACACGGCAAAGACGTTGACGATTTGATATGCCGACGCACTATTCATTCATGCAAAATTAGTTCGCCGACAATGACACGTGTTTGTAAAAAACCTTACGCAATGATGGTGAAAAGCTGATTGAGACTATCGCTTCGCTGTACAAGTTTGAAACAAAGGGCGGTCATGAATAGCTTTTGTGCTTCGACGGTCACTTGTTGCTCTTGGTCGCCGAAGCTGGTGATGATGGTAACCGTGCTTCCACTGACAACAATCAAATCATACAAATTCCAAAGATTGCGCCGAAAGGAGTTCCATCCAAGACCAAGAAACTTGATGATGATCTCGATCCAGTAGATTCCCACGAAGAGCAAGAATACATAACCTGTTTTACACCATGTTAGTATACAAACCTTCATTGCCTACGGTTTGCAAACCCTTACCTCGAGCAGTATTATATCCAGGGATGTCGTCGTCTTGATCAAACTCGGTGCATAAGAACAGGATGTTGAGCACAATGGCTCCTGTCATGAACTTGTAAAACTTGCTACGTTTGTCAACCACCACATCAAAGCACCATTTCCTTAACCAGCTCGTTGGGATCTTTCTTGGGCGCTTTGCAGGACGCATTTGGCTCAATAGCTTTTTCAAATCAAGCCATCGTCGTTGATCCGCTGTCATGTACGCTGTGCCATTACGCCTTGAAAAGTTCTCCAATACCACACCGAGGAAGAGCGAAATGACCATGATCGAACCAGCAATATTGTAAACCATGAAAAAGATACCACTCAACTGGCTTGCATCCTGTTGAGGTGACATGTCCTTGCCCACGATGCTCATGCTTACTTCGAGCACATCGATCCAACCTTCACCACTTGCAATTTCAACTAGCACCAAGAGCCCTTTCCAAAACGAGTCAAAGCTGTAGACATATGGATTGTCCCATATACGAGGTGCATAGATCTCAGTATCCTCAGGCATTGGTTCTTGAGTACCCAACATTCCTTCATAGACGCATAAGGATTTGGTGGTAATGTCGTCGCCATCATCGTTACAGAAATAAAATAAGCCTTGAAATAAATTTTGACCATAGAGCGCGAAGGGAATGATCAAAAAGATGCAAAGAATGCCGGCATCAATGATATGTGGTAAGCCTTTGACGAGGATTACGGTGAACATTTCTCTTGCAGGTCGTAACAAATTGATGAGACGTAGTGCTCTCAATGCCTTGAATGCCCGAAACGCACGTTCAACACCAGTGGATGATGCAAAGTTGCCGAAGTTCGAGAGATACAATGAGATGAGTACAAATAAATCCAAGATGTTCCATCCATTCAAGAGATAGGCATTGGGAGCCAAGAGAACGCCATCAGCAATGACTTTGATGATGAATTCAGCCGTGAAAATAAAGGTAAACGCCCAATCAATGTGCGAGAACACCATCAAGTGTGCTGGATTATCACGATTTTTGAATTGATACACGGGTGAATTGTAAATTGTCAGCACCACGGTGGTCACCACTGAACAGCTGATGATGCCGAAAAAGATCCAACTAGCAACCAGCGAAGGTTGTGCGCCAAAGTATCGCTCACCACGACTAGGAGGCACCATCATTTGACACCATCGACGTATAGGATTGCTTGGATTGAAAATATACAATGACTTGTCATAGGTTGGATGGGCTGCAATGAATTCTTGTCGCTGTGCTCTGCGTTCTTCTACATCCAACATCACTGCTTCGGCAATTCCAGCAGCTGTCGCATCACGTGGCGCTTCCAATATTTGGCGAATTGAAGCAGGATCCATATCAGCTGATTTGCGCGTATCATAAAAGGTGTGAAATTGGTCAAGTGGATTTCGGTCGTCAAGCATAAAGCTCTTTCGGGTTCCATTCGGGGATGCTGATGCGTCGTTATGCCCACCACCACGATGCAACAAGTTGTCGAGAAAACCACGCACACCAGAAAATCGTTTGGTATCTCGAGGTCGTGTGCCTTGCAAAACACCAGGTTGCTTTTCCATATCAGCATGCGACTAGTAATTGAATAGCGTTAGTATATATGTGTATACCCCATTGTATCTCTTTCACCTACTTTGATCACATCAGCATTCATAAAGTCCCTAATAGTCGTCTTTTTTGCCGGAAGCACCAGGTTGGTAGGCATGTTGCCGACATTGACGCCTTTAGGCTTTGCACGAAAGTATCGATAGATATTCCAACGACTGATGACAGGATCATGTTTTTCAACATGCTCTTGTTGTCGCGCATATTGATCAACTTGTCGCATTCGCTTCTCTTCTTCAGCCGTTTCAAAGTTTTCCATAAGAACAGCAATAAACATGTTGACGAGAATGACTATATTTGAAATATCAGTATCATACATGTCAAATGATGAATGGAGCCATTACTTACAGTTGGAGCACAAGAACCATAAAACAAGAAAAAGAGCTGTGATTGCCGCTGTTCTCGATGGCACGCTCGATTCCATCGCATTGTATAATACTGTTGTCCAATCTTCTCCTGAAAAGAGCTACAATGAAGTGAGCATAAATGTAAGAATGGTCCATTGGTATCATTGTACCTGATTCAATGCCACAAACGAGTTGTAAATCGAAAAGAAGCGCATTTCCTCGTCAGAATCATTCATCATCCCCTCGAACAATTGGAAAGCCTAAAATACAGCACCGTAAGCAAACGTAGTGTGAATGGTATTGTATGCATCTTACCATTATTGCACAAAGAATGGTTGCTAGGACGATGAAAAAGACCAAGTTGATCAAACCCCAAGCACTGCCGAGGACACGCACCTACATGAAAAGGGGTCCATTTAGCCATCATTTATCATAGTCCATGCTCTCAAGATTTCACTTACACTAAGCGTCCTGATACGTGGAATACTCAACACCACACGATAAATACGCAACACCTGGAATCCTGTGAGCCATGCATACACTGGGCGATTATCGTGGATGGGTGGTATACGAATGATGCACGTGATGACGGCAATAAGCAAATCCGTTCTGTTGGTCTTGGAATGAAAAAACTTTCGCCAATGGGGGAATTCAGCAAAGAATCGAAGGATGATCTCAATCAAAAATGCAATCGAGAATATCAATTCGGCTGTGTCTACAATCATCCATGCGTATGAGAGACAATGAAACACGCCATACAATGACCACTGCTTACCAATCAACTCCAATTGCTCATCCGTCATATCATTGTTCTTTAAGCCCATCACAATCAAATCAATCGCCACCAAGAGCACCCAAAATGGTTTCGTGTATCTGACCAGGTTGGCTAGTATTCTGGATTTGCTCCCGCTTTTGCCAGAGCCACCTTGACCAATAGACCATCCTTCAGCTGCATCTGCCAACACTGGTTTTCCTCGAGAAGCGGTGAATGCCGAATGTTGCGAATCTTCACGTACTTTGGCGAACATTTCGTTGATGACAGCGACAAAGAGATTGATTAACCAGTAATTCATGATGATCACAATGACTGTGAAATAGAGCGAGACAACGAAATATTCGGCATCCATCATGTCGTACATTCGATCGGTCCACGTTTGATCTAAGGGAGTCGTGCGTGCGTGTTAAACATTGTAGGGTTGGATCACAAGTGCTATAACTTACTACCAGCAATGATCACGATAATCAACATGGATGAGAAAATGTTGTCAAAGCTGATGGTGCCACCAAATGGGTTCTCGGTTTCCTGCACGTCACCTTTATGCATCAATGCATCTATCCTATTCCCCCTTCAAAGTTGTATCCTTACCTGACACACCAAACCTTCTTGGCAAATAAAACCTTTTGACCATGGACCTGGGGTACCATCCTTTAGCAGATATGGCTTTTCCACGCCATCCTCCATATAGCCTCCACAATACTGTTGCAGCTCTTGGATATTGGTTGGATCATCGGGGTCTTTGTATAGATATCAATTAGTCAATGACTCATGGCTCGGATAGAGACTATTGCATACCATGCCAAACACAATGGCGTAAAAATGATCCCTTGAAAGCTTGTACACCGACAATTCTACCCGATATGGTCAATTTCTTGTATCAAATTACCATATATGTATTGGACTTACGCAAAGATCACAAAAAAGAAGAGCACAAACGAGGATACGTTGACAAGCAATGGACCCGCTTTCTTGAGACTTTGAAGAATAACGCGATTGCTGTTGGTGATGAGTAATAGCCGTAACAAGATCATAGCTGAGAGAGCCTTGAATATGAGGATTCGCCTTGTATCACCAATGATGACTTGACCAGCACATGTCAAACCCAGATCAATCCAGTAGCACATGACTGATAGTAAATCGATACGATTCCAAGAATGCCGCATAAAGGCCAGAGGTGGGATAACGGGTATGGAAGATCCATTTTCATCGGTCACGTCGATAGGCTTTGGCGAGAACAAGAAACCAAATGTGATGATACGTATTGCAACAGACAGCCTTTTTCGACAAAGTGTAAGTAACACACGTATATAAACCTTGATCCCTCACACACACACACATGGATACTTACGTATAAAAGCAAAAGATGCCGAGCAATACAAATTGATCCCAAGTCTCACCCCAATGTGCTGGTGGTTCTGGTTGTGGATTGTTTCCCCATCCAACGATAAGCAATACGATACCATGGGCAGCAATGATCAGCATCATGAGTGTTTCCATCCACCTATGTAATACAAAATACAGAGGCACAGCCCATCAACCAACCCCCTTAATTAGCTATCCAAACCTCTTGCATTATTCCGCTGCATCCCCAATCTTACCTCCATTGCAACATCTTTGCAAACATGCGTCGAAGGGGATTCTCTGGTCCAAAGATGCCCAGACTTTTGCCTGCAAGGATGATGCCTCTGGATTTGCGTTGACGTTGTACGAGCGGCATGATTTGTTGTGTAGGAGGTGGAGGCGGTGGGGGTGATGATGGAGAAGATGGCGTATCTTTGGATGTTGATGTCATGGGTATCGATTCTTGGATCATTGGTTGTTCATCAATGGTCGCCATGGTATTATTATTGACAACTCGCCTTGAGACTCGGCGTAAAACAGTAGCAACTTTGCGAAGGGATTGGTTGCGTCGAGGTGGTTGCGTAGGTGATGGATCATCGCCTGCCATGTTGGCTGTCAATCGTGCTGTATCCGAGTAGTCTTGTTCCTCGTTTGAGTCATACTGTGAATGGGCTGCTAATGAAGCGATCGATTCAGCTCGAGAAGGTCGACGATAGAGCGGTTGTTGTTGTTCGTCAAATAGAGCGTCGAATTCCTCGATCGGTACTGGATTGGTGGCGATTGTGTTGCGTCGAACCACAGAGACGTCAGGCTTAGGTCTCTCACGGATAGCAAATGTCATGAATGCATTGGGTGGTGGACGCGATGAAGAAGGAGGTGGTTGTTGTTGTTGAATGGGAGTTGCATCGTTGACCAAGTTGGGCTGTTGCTGGGCTTCGAGATCTCTATATGGATTGTTGGAGGATAACCTGGAGGAGGTATCACCACTACTGCTACCGCCTTGCAGGTGGTTCCTTGATATTGACATTGAGACAAAGCCCCCTTCTTGTTGCCCCAGTAGAGAAAAAGTGTGGTGCACAAAGAGAAAGGGAGAAAGAACAAAGGATGAACAAGAAGGAGAGAATGATGTTGAGAACCGAAAGAGGAAAATCAGGCACCGTTCAATTCGCCAAGCCCGCTCTACACACACCCAATGGATATACATATTTGGTTCCCTCTTCTTGCTTGCATGTAAGGGTCTACTTGATCCCCACCCACATATGCAATGGCCACCTGCCAACGCATAAAATAGATGCACACGTGATTTATCTCTATACACCATCCATCGTCACTTTATCTACCATCATCATTTGGTCGTGGTTGTTGGTGGGAGTGAAACAACAGCAATCAATACCATCTCCATTGTCATTAGTGTGATGCTAAGTATGGACACATTTCATTGTCACTGCTGCTCATTGTAAATGTACATTTGGGACATGTTCTTTTCTTTAAAGTGGGTGCTGTATATCGAATGAAGGTGCTTATTCATGCACATAGATGGCTGTTGTTTATTGACATTCCACACACACCCACGTGTGTTGCATGATCATGCTCGCACAGACGTTTTGTATTCAACTAACAACTTTCATCATCCCGTTACCGGTATCTCCTCCCTCCCAGACATCATGCTAACACTCCCTTGAGCCATGTGTACCACACCAAAATGGCATCAGCTGTCATACCAAATCTCTGGATTGCGCTCAAACGACATTTTTGGCATTCAATCAAGATATCCGATTGGTACGTCAACCCACGCCATTTCGAAATTCTCCGTTCAAGCGCCAAGCATACTAGACCCAACTATTCATAAAGGTAGCAGCCCACTTGTTGGTAGCAGTAAAAAGAGTGTGTGTGTGCGCGCCTGTGTGTGCGTAATGTATAATGATTCTAGAAAGAGAGGCGTCGTTGTCGTTGTCGTTGACGTAGCACTGGTAAAAGTGGGGCTGTGTAGTAGTTTTATGCATGCACGATGACAAAAAGTGACACATTTTTTAATCCAAAAACGTCATATTGACATGGGGGGATTGGACAACAGCGTATGAACAATGATGTGGATGATACGATTTTCTATAGGCCGTAGGATACCGTGGTAAAAAGGCGAGGCTGAGATCGGCATAACACCTTAGGAAGGGGATTCGAGCCGTGATTTGTGCGACAAACACGATGTCTAGTGGCTTGGTGATATGTCACAGGAAAAAATCGAGTATTTAAATCGGAAGCGCGTGCAAACCATACAACTTTTCAGCTTTTTCGGCTGACGATCCCTGGAACACCCTAAGACGATTCAATAAATCTCGTCCATTGATCCAACTTCAAACGTATTGGTCTTTCAGTCAGGTTCATTTCATATTGTAAAGAGGAGAGGGTGGTTAACAGTGACACGCGTTGACTAACACACAACCTCTCTTCGGTTGCTAGTCGGCGAACCAAAGAAAAAGTTTCACCTTTTACATTTGCTACCTTTCTGTTTTCTCTCTATTGACATTGTTGTATCTTTTCTCTTTTCCTTTTCTACACCACAACCACCTCTACCACAACCACCCATAAAACCTTTTTGATGGCTTCCAATATCCCTGTTCCACCAGTTACTGCAGCTGGTACTGCTCCTGCTACGGGCATTCATCCTTCATTGATCCCAGCTCCTGCTGCCAATGCTACTCCGCTTTTGCCCATTTCACCCCGGTCGCCTAGTGCACCACATCGTCCCGTCACTGCTCTTGAGGATAGCAAAGATGCGACCACAGCAGCTCTTGTTTTGCAAGATGGCACTTCTTTCCAAGGCTTTTCTTTTGGTTCGGAAAAGGCTAGCATTTCGGGTGAATGTGTCTTTCAAACCGGTAATTATCATTGGCCATCACACACACACAAATCGTGATTAGCATAATAAGCTAAAACCGTTGCACTAATTTAGGCATGGTGGGCTATCCCGAATCATTGACGGATCCCTCTTACCGTGGCCAAATCCTTGTGCTTACATTCCCTTTGATTGGCAATTATGGTGCTCCTTCAAGGACTGAGATGGATGAGTTGCTTAACAACATTCCAAAGTACTATGAGTCCAATGAAATCCATGTCGCTGGTTTGATTGTGGGCAACTATGCTCCCGATTATTCTCATTATTTGGCATCCTCCTCCTTGTCGGCATGGCTCAAGGAAAACAATGTACCAGCCTTGTACGGTATTGATACCCGCGCATTGACCAAAAAGATTCGTATGCAAGGTGTCCTCCTTGGCAAGATTCTCTTCCCCAAGACCGCTGATACTTTGCTTGACTCAGCTGCAAGTGCCCTTGGTTTCTCATCTTCCGATAATCAAGATAAGCAGCAATCAGTAGCTGGTACCGAACGATGGATGCAGGATTATCAAGATGTCGAATGGGTGGATCCTAATCAGCGCAACCTCGTTGCTGATGTCTCTATCAAGGAGCCCAAGCTATACAAGCCTGATCCAGCAAAGGCTATCAAGTTGCCTGATGGCCGTACATTGCGTATTGTCGCTGTGGATGTTGGTATGAAGTATAATCAAATCCGCTGCTTTGTGCGTCGTGGTGTGGAACTTTTGGTGGTGCCTTGGGATTATGATTTCACTGCTGAGCAATATGATGGCTTGTTCTTATCGAATGGTCCTGGTGATCCAACCATGGTGCAAACCACTTTCAATCGCTTACGCACGGTGTTGCAATCTGGCAAGAAGCCCATCTTTGGTATTTGTTTGGGTCATCAATTGCTCGCCTTGGCTGCAGGTGCAAAGACCATGAAGATGAAGTATGGTAATCGTGGCCAAAACATTCCTTGCACAAACTTGATCTCCGGCCGCTGCTACATCACTTCACAAAACCATGGTTATGCTGTTGATGCATCCACCTTGCCAAATGACTTCCAAGAACTCTTTGTCAATGCCAATGATGGATCCAACGAAGGTATCATTCACAAGTCCCTTCCTATTTTCTCGGTGCAATTCCATCCCGAATCCAACCCTGGTCCACGTGACACTGAATTCTTGTTTGATGTCTTTATCAACACCGTCAAGTCTTGTGTTGAAAAGAATGCTCTTGTCCCACTCGAATTCCCTGGTGGTACCAAGGCCGAGAATATCAAAAAGAACCCACGCGTCAATGTCAGCAAGGTTCTTGTTCTTGGTTCAGGTGGTTTGTCTATTGGCCAAGCTGGTGAATTCGACTACTCTGGTTCTCAAGCTATTAAGGCTTTGAAGGAAGAAGGCATCTACACCATCTTGATCAATCCCAACATTGCTACTATTCAAACCTCAAAGGGTTTGGCTGACAAGGTTTACTTTTTGCCTGTTACCCCCGACTTTGTACGCAAGGTGATTCAATTTGAGAAGCCCGATGGTATTTATTGTACATTTGGTGGTCAAACGGCTCTCAATGTGGGTATCAAGCTCAAGGATGAATTCGAATCGCTTGGCGTCAAGGTCCTTGGTACACCTATTGACACCATCATCACCACCGAAGATCGTGATTTGTTTGCTCAAGCCCTCTACGAGATCAATGAAAAATGCGCCCAATCAGCCTCTGCTGTCAACCATGAAGAAGCTTTGGCTGCTGCCAAGGAGATTGGTTACCCTGTCATTTGTCGTGCTGCTTATGCTCTTGGTGGTTTGGGCTCTGGTTTTGCCGACAATGAACAAGAACTCGTTGAATTGTGCAACAAGGCATTCGCCACCTCTCCTCAAGTGTTGATTGAAAAGTCCATGAAGGGATGGAAGGAAATTGAATACGAGGTCGTTCGTGATTGCCGTGACAACTGTATCACCGTTTGTAACATGGAAAACTTTGATCCTCTTGGTATCCACACGGGTGACTCTATTGTCGTTGCTCCTTCCCAGACGCTTTCGGATGAAGATTACAACATGCTTCGTACAACTGCTGTCAATGTCATCCGCCATTTGGGCGTTGTCGGTGAATGTAACATCCAATACGCTCTCAATCCCTTCTCCAAGGAATACTGCATCATTGAAGTCAATGCTCGTCTTTCTCGTTCTTCCGCTCTTGCCTCCAAGGCTACCGGTTATCCACTTGCTTTTGTTGCTGCTAAGCTTGGTTTGGGCATTCCTCTCAATGAAATCAAGAACAGCGTCACCAAGGTCACCTGTGCATGCTTTGAGCCATCGTTGGATTACGTCGTCGTCAAGATTCCTCGTTGGGATTTGAAAAAGTTCAACCGTGTCAGCACCTCTCTCAGCTCCTCCATGAAGTCAGTGGGTGAAGTGATGGCTATTGGTAGAAGCTTTGAAGAAACAATGCAAGATGCTATTCGTGCCATTGACTACAACTTTGTCGGCTTCAGCCCTGTAAGTGTATTGATTCATACCTTCTTTATTGGTCATAAGCTAACATACACTATTATTAGAGCGACATCATTGATAATGACAAGCTTGATGAGGAGCTCAAGAATCCTTCCGATCAACGTCTCTTTGCTATTGCCAATGCCATGGCTTCGGGATACACTGTTGACCGTATTTGGGAATTGACCAACATTGACAAGTGGTTCTTGAACAAGTTGATGCGTGTTGCCAATCTCGATAAGCGTTTGGAAGGCTTCACTAAGGCCAACATCCCTGGCAACTTGTTGCGTACTGCCAAGCAACTTGGTTTCTCGGATCGTCAAATTGCCAACAAGATCAACAGCAACGAATTGGCTGTGCGTCGCCTTCGTCAAGAATATGGCATTACACCCTTTGTCAAGCAAATTGATACTGGTAAGGAATATGGATTTTGTGGGATATAGTATAGGCTTCAATGAAACTAATGCTTTTCTTTAAATAGTGGCCGCCGAATTCCCTGCTTTCACCAATTACTTGTACATGACGTACAATGCTGTTGAGCACGATGTGACCTTTGAAGATAACGGCATCATGGTGCTTGGCTCCGGTGTCTATCGTATTGGTTCTTCGGTTGAATTCGATTGGTGTGCTGTTCGTGCTATCCGTACCTTGCGCGAAAAGGGCATCAAGACTGTAATGGTCAACTACAACCCTGAGACTGTATCTACCGATTATGATGAAGCTGATCGCTTGTACTTTGAAAACATCAACCTTGAGCGTGTTCTCGATATCTACGAAGCTGAGCGTTCGGGTGGTGTTATCATGTCTATGGGTGGTCAAACTCCCAACAACATTGCCTTGCCCTTGTACCGCCAAAACGTCAAGGTCCTTGGTACCTCTCCTGAAATGATTGACAATGCTGAAAACCGTTACAAGTTTTCACGCATGTGTGATCGTATTGGTGTGGATCAACCTCAATGGAAGGAACTTACCAGCTTTGAGGAATCACAAGAATTCTGTGACAAGGTCGGCTATCCTGTATTGGTTCGTCCTTCTTATGTGTTGTCGGGTGCTGCTATGAATGTCGTATTCTCCAAGGATGATCTTGCATCTTATCTCAAGGAAGCAGCTGCCGTGTCACGTGATCACCCTGTTGTCATTTCCAAGTACATTGAAGAAGCCAAGGAAATTGAAATGGATGCTGTTGCTTTGGACGGCAAGATGATTATGCATGTCATTTCGGAGCACGTTGAAAATGCTGGTGTGCATTCTGGTGATGCTACTCTTGTATTGCCACCACAAGATTTGGATCCTGAGACTGTGCGTAAGATTGAAAATGCAACAGCCAAGATTGCAAGTGCTTTGAACGTCACGGGTCCTTTCAATATCCAATTCATTGCCAAGGATAATGAGATCAAGGTCATCGAATGTAACGTACGTGCTGCTCGCTCCTTCCCATTCGTCTCCAAGGTATTGGGCGTGGATCTTGTTGAGATGTCAACCGTTGCCATGCTTGGTTTACCCGTGGAACCTTATCCCAAGATCGATATTCCTAAGGACTATGTTGGTGTCAAGGTGCCACAATTCTCATTCAGCCGTTTGTCGGGTGCTGATCCTGTTTTGGGTGTCGAGATGGCCTCCACTGGTGAAGTGGCTTGCTTTGGCAAGGACAAGTACTCTGCTTATATGAAGGCCTTGTTGGCTACTGGTTTCTCGTTGCCAAAGAAGAACATCTTGCTCTCCATTGGTTCGTATAAGGAGAAGCTCGAGTTGTTGCCAAGCGTTGAAAAGTTGCATCAACTTGGTTACAACATCTTTGCCACTACCGGCACAGCTGACTTTTACTCGGAGCACAATATCCCTGTCAAGCATCTTGAGTCTTTGGATGGTGATGCCGCCGACAAGCTTAAGGCTGAATACTCGTTGCAGCAACATTTGTCCAACAATTTGATCGACTTGTACATCAACTTGCCATCACGCAACCGATTCCGTCGCCCTGCATCCTACATGTCTAAGGGTTATCGCTCTCGTCGTATGGCTGTTGATTACTCTGTCCCCTTGTTGACCAATGTCAAGTGTGCCAAGATCTTTATTGAAGCTCTCGCACGTACTCATCAAGAATTCCAAGTCTCGGGTATTGATTACAAGACCAGCCATACTACAGCTACTGTACCAGGCCTTATCAACATGCACGCTTATCTTGCCAACAGCACCGAATTTGGTGAATTGTCAAAGGCATCCATCTCATCGGGTTTCACCACTGTGTCCTCGTTTGCTGATGACGTACAAGATGATTCATCTCTTGAGGCTGCTAGCAATGCTGCACGCAAGGCTGCATACACCGATTACTTGCTCAATGTGACCGCCACAGCCAACAACGCCAAGCAGCTTGCATCTGCCGCCTCCGAAGTTGCTGCTGTGTATCTCAATGCTGAAAAGATTGGCACTGGTCAAGTATCCGTTTTCGATTCGGTGTTCTCCTCATGGCCTAGCTCTCATTTGATGGTTGTTGAAGCCAAGGGCACTGATCTTGCATCCACCTTGTTGTTGGCCTCCCTCCACAACCGTGTCATTCACGTGACCAATGTGATGAGTGGAAGCGACCTTGCATTGATTGAGATGAGTAAGAACAAGGGTCTTCAAGTGACATGTGATGTTGCCGTGTATGCATTGTTCTTTGCTTCTGAGCAATTCAACGATACCAAGTTATTGCCAACCAAGAAGGAACAAGAAGCCTTGTGGTCCAACTTGGATGTCATTGATTGTTTCTCTGTGGGTGCTACTCCTCGCAAGCTTGCTGCCGAAATGGGTCACACTGTGTCTGCCACAGCTGGTGTTCACGAAGCCTTGCCATTGTTGCTTGATGCTGTTGCCCAAGGTCGTCTCAAGCTCAAGGACATTGTTGATCGCTTGCACGAGAACCCACGTCGCATCTTTGGTCTTGTGCCACAACCAGACACCAACATTGAGATTGAAGTGGATCGTCAATACGTGTTCCAATCAAGTGAATGGTCACCTTTGCAAGGACGTACTATTCGTGGCTCTGTGCATCGTGTGGCTGTTGAGGATCAAACCTTGTACATGGATGGCAGCTGTCTTGCCAAGGGTGATCAAGGCCGTGATGTTTCTATCCAAGGTCAAGCTGTCAAGGCTGCCGTCAAGGGTGAACAACCTGTGCAAGAAGATGTGCAAGAATTGCAACGTAAAAAGAAGCCATCCTCCATGACGTTGCCTGGTGCCCATGATGAAGGTCTTGTTCAATATGTTCCACCCAATGTCGAAATTTCAGCTTCTCTTGCACGTGTTCTTAGCCGCTCACCATTCTATCGCAAGCACATTTTGCGTTCGAAGCAATTTGATCGCAACGATTTGCACTTGCTCTTTGGTGTTGCTCATGAAATGCGTAACCTTGTTGAGCGTTATGGATCCATCAATGTATTGCAAGGCCGTGTCATGAGCACCATGTTCTTTGAACCATCCACTCGTACCTCTTCGTCGTTTGAAGCTGCTATGATGCGTCTCGGTGGTCAAGTTGTTTCTGTTAGTGCTACCACATCCTCTGTTCAAAAGGGTGAATCGCTTGCCGACACTGTACGCACCCTTGGTTGCTATGGTGATTTGATTGTTCTTCGTCATCCTCAACCTGGTTCGGCTCAGCTTGCCGCCAAGTACAGCAAGGTGCCCATTATCAATGCTGGTGATGGTGTAGGTGAACATCCTACTCAAGCCTTCCTTGATGTCTTTACCATTCGTGAAGAACTTGGTACCGTTAATGGCCTCAGCATCACTTTGGTGGGTGATTTGAAGAATGGACGTACTGTACACTCTCTTGTCAAGATCTTGGCTTACTACCAAGTCACCATCAACTATGTTGCACCTGAATCACTCATGATGCCCAAGGAGGTTATGGAAGAGGTTGAACAAGCTGGCATCAAGCAAAACGTTTACACTTCTCTTGATCAAGTCATTGACAACACCGACGTGCTCTACATGACTCGTGTTCAAAAGGAACGCTTTGGCTCCGAAGAAGAATATCTCAGCGTCCGTGATTCATTCATCCTCAACAATGATGTGATCAGCAAGGCCAAGTCTCAAATGATTGTCATGCATCCTTTGCCACGTGTCAATGAAATTGAGCCTGAAGTCGATTACGATCAACGTGCTGCCTACTTCCGCCAAATGCGTTATGGTCTTTACGTCCGCATGGCTCTCTTGGCTCTTGTCTTGGGTACTTTGCGCGATTAAGGATCCCACACACAAAAACATCAACATATATAAAACCAATGTATAGTATCTTAAATAGCATCACATCTCCAAAAAGTTTCTTTTTTACATATAAAGCGTTTGTTTGTTCAATTGGGTTGGATACAATCATCATATAAATTGCTAGCTTCGCTTCATCTCGTACGTTGCAAGAAATACACATAGGCCTCTCCCACTGGTGGTTTTGGTGATGCAGCCACTTTGTTGTCGTTGAATAATACCCATTCACCGTTCTTGAGCACGTGAGCGACATAATGACCACAATGCACCGAAGTGCCTTTGTGTGATACAAATGATCGTAAACTGTAGTTGAAAGGAGGGTTGCTATCTCCAGGAGTGCCCGTAGTAGCTGCTGCAGCTGCAGAATCGTCTTCTTCGCCTGTTTCGTCAGGATGGCTAAACAACCAATCAACGGCTCGTTCAGGATCATTGTTCTACATAACAATGGAATCAATATGAAGATCATAATACGCCATTACAATGAACATACCGTCTCCTTTAAAGCTTTCTTTGCTTGTTGTGCTGAAAAGCCCATGCCACAAAGCAAGCTGATTTGTTCTTCTGATACAGCACCCGAATCACCTGAAGCTTCGATGGGATCGTCGATACCTTAAAAGTAGCGATGTTCGTGAGTGAACCCGTAAGCAGATCATTGCACTTGATACCATACCAGGATCCTCCATGTGTTCAAAGAGCCAATTCATGGCAACCTCGGCACCATTGTTTCCGGTATTGATCAATGCACGCATACAACGGTTTCTTGGGAATCCCATAGCCATCAATTGCTCCACAGCGGCTTCATCCACAGATGGTTCGGCTATTATAAACCAAAATGTCATTAAATGTATCAGGATAACGTCACGGCAACCATACTTACCAGAAGCTTTAGGTTCCTCGGGCAAAAGTTCTTCACCTGGCTGTTGTCCTTGGCTCATGTACTTATCCAATTGAAGCGGACCATCAGGGAACTTGATCTCAATATCTTGGAAGATTGGCAATGATGATTAGCATTAAATCCGCTTATCTCAAATCCCATCATACATACTCAATTTTCGAGGCACCCAATCAACAAATGCAAATCGTCTTGCGTGAAGCACCAACATTTCAGGGAAGGTCTTGAATTTGACAGACCTAATCATTTTCTCTATTAGTCCTTGTCTCCCATTTCGATGATCCTTTTGTATACATACTTGTGTGCAGTGGTCTTTTCATTACAGCTTGGGCAATTGTATCCTTCCACAGCCTCATCCGCAATAAACAAATCCAAACATTCATAGATTTCCACGGGCTCGTACAATGTTTCTTCAGCCTCTGTGCTCTTTGGACGTGCAGGGACGCTCACGGAGATGCTGTTGGTGGCATCGGTCTGATATCGCACTTTGTGGCATTTGCCACATTGCAAGCGTTGCTCGACTTCAAATTCAAATTGCTGTGTAGGGTTCATGGCCTTGGCAGCGCGTTCCTTTTGTGTGATTTGCTTGACAAGGTACTGGAAAAATTCAAATGCATCTTGTTGTCGCATGGTGGAGAATTCCTCGTGACCTTTGCCGACCAAAGCTTTGAACATGGATGGTGCAATGCCGTCTTGGGATGGTACTTGATCCTCTGATTTGCGTGGATTGGGTTGTGAATAGCGTCCAGAAAGCAAACCATCAGCCAATTTATGCAATTGGCAATGCCAGCATAATGCAGGTTCGTTGACACACGTTAATGCATGATCGGCAAGTTGCTGAGAGTAGCGATCTTGGAAATCCTTCGTATCAAACACGGATTGAAGGACGGATGCCATGTAGCAGCTGAAATACGAGGTACTTTGCGTGAATAACATCTCGATAGGTGGGAAGGCCGTGGTGGTATTTACCTATTGCCCAAATTCTTCAAACCAGTGTATCCAGGGCCAAACTTGGGTTCGAGATGCTTGCCATCCTCAGTGGTCATGCTGAAATCAAACTTGAGGTTTTGTTCCAGTTGCTACATAATCCAAATTAGCGTGTGCGTGTGTAACCAACAATGCTGCATGAAAATTTACCAATTCGGTCATGCTCTTTTCAGTCTTGAGTTGTTGAGACACATTGATACCCCAATTGGCCAAGTGAGTTGATAGATCATTGTCGAGCTTAGGATCATTGCAAATGTAGCAATAGATATCTAATAGCATTGCATGAGTAAAACATTCAACATCATCTATACGCAACATACCTGCAGTGCCTTCAGGCGTGATGGTTCCCAATTTACATGACACACCATGTCCAGTCGCTTCGAAATGTTCCAATGCATGATTGTTGCCACCCGATCCATCGTATTGTCGACGACCACAGCCGAGATTACCACAAGTCAAGCAGAGCCACAAGTTCTCTTTGAGGTCACAATTGGCACAATGGGCAAGTGTTTGCTGTTCCAATTTGCGGGGTGCATCTTGTTGGAGACAAAGGGTGTGTTCACAAGGCGTGATTTCTTCCTCCCATGCCTTGACTTCGGATTGCTTGGATGAAGATAATGATGACATGACGGCATCCACAATGGAAGAAATCTATATACCCATCCCATGTTAGTATGTATAATCCACCATTGAATGGATCCTCATCTCTGTACATACCTCGGGTGTGCAATCCTTGGCTGATTCAGCACCTTGACATGCATAACAGCGGACTTTGAGGACATGTTCATATTGCTGTTCTTGTTCTTCAGGTACAATGGCCAACTTGCTGATCTTTTGTGGAGGTGGCGTTCCATCATCAGGCTAAAAATGGATCATATGTCAGATCTTCTCAACACGCAATCCATGATCATCATCATCATCATCCATCATCTCTCACACAATCCTCTTACGCGTTTCACCTTGTCAATAGGAATACGGCGGATATTGACGACCAAAGGATGACCAGTCTTATCATGGTGCAGCTGTGCATGTTTACGTTCTGGATCCACGCAACCACCGTTGAAGCATGTCAAGCAAACGTCGATGCCTTCGGGCCCATCCTATAGAGTGGCGCGCATTGCCAAGCATTGCGAGTTCAAATGAGTCTTTTGGTGTCCTTGTCGTGTATTCTACTTTTACCTACCTGTGAATCAAAGCAAAGAGTACATTCTTCCTTGTACACCTGTGTCAATGCTGTAGGTGGAGAGAATCGAGTGGTTTCAATATGTGTGCAGGTCATGCTGGTATGAAGAAGAAGAGAAAAGAGACGTGCGTTTAAAGAAATCGGAGCGTTTGACGCACTTCAATGACGTACGGTCAACTCCTGCCCCCCACCGAATACTTTACTTATTTGGATTGATGCAATAAAAGTGATGTCTTTATTATATGGATTGGCATGTTGTCTTGACTATGGTATGCTCTACTACAGTGAGGAAGAGGACCCCTATACTACCCGTGTGTTGTTCAAAGACATCCTTTTTGAATGAGAATGAAGCACATGAGAGTAAGGTAAGCTTGTAACAACATCCATTCATCCAAAGTAGCTTTCTTTCCTTGTTCATGTGGTCATCCAGTCGAGTTGCAAGAAGTGGGATCAGGTTGTTGTGGCGCATGCATATGCAGTGTATAAAACGGGTTGGATCAGATTCTTCATCTCGCAGCAAACGCTTGTTGTATTCCATGCAAAGTGAACAAAGCTACAACGAGAAGCCGTCTCAAGAGCAACGACGTGAATGGGAGCGGTAAGCTAGTACCCGTTGGCATGGCAATCGGACATGCAGCCTTACTCATGGAGACTTGATAGAGAACAGCAACTCTTGTGTACGCGCATTACTACCCATGACGATCGATTGACATTTGAACCTGAGACGTTGGAAGGGTTAAAGTATGTTGGAGGAGTGGACTTGAGCTTTCCAGAGGATAATATGGAGGAAGCCCTTGCATGTCTATCCGTGTTGGCGTGGCCTAGTCTCGAGGTAAATGTGCTTATGCATATCACACAACACCGTATCTCATTGGCAAATAATAGGTTGTGCATACATCCTACCTGAAAACACGATTGTATCTTCCATACATTGCTGGTTTCCTTGCGTTTCGTGAAGTTGGCCCATTGTCGCATCTATTGCAGCAACTCAAAGAGATAAATCCCGAGCTGTATCCACAAATTGTATTGGTCGATGGCAACGGGCGATTGCATCCAAGGATGTGTGGTATTGCTTGTCACCTAGGCGTGGTTGCTGATGTACCAACAGTGGGCGTTGCCAAGAACTTTTTGGTGATTGATAATGAATTGGATATGAAGGACGTCAAAAGCACATGTCGTCAAGTCTTGCATCAACGCGGAGATCATCACCTACTCAAGGGACGTAGCTCAGGACAAGTCTATGGAGCAGCCTTAAGGACGACCGATGCAGCACCGAATCCCGTGTTTGTTAGTCAAGGTCATCGAGTGAGCCTTGACACAGCCCTTCGTGTTGTCATGGCATGTAGTCGTTATCGTATTCCAGAACCTATTCGTCGTGCAGATTTAGATAGTCGAGCCTATATCAAAAACAATCCCATGTTCACAAAATAGTAAATGGATTAGAAAATTCTACAAGAATCCTCATAGCTTTATTGTAACAAACAAGAGATGAGATAATAGGAAGTTTGATAAGGATGTGTAGGTAACATTTGACGCCACCCAATCGCAGCAAGGCGGGGAGGAAGGTGGGGGTGGGTTGTGTTGTGATGTTGAGAGTGCGTTGTCCTTTTTTTCCCACCACACCTTTTCTTCTCTTTATCGAAATGTCAACCCGTGTGTATATTGGACGTCTCGCTCGTGACGCTAGGGACCGTGATCTTGAACGTCTCTTCAAGAGCTATGGTGAGATCCGTGAGATCAACATCAAAAGTGGCTATGGCTTTGTCGAATTCAAGGATCCCAGAGATGCTGAAGATGTCGTGTACGATTTCCACGGCAAGGAGTTCCTTGGCGAAAGGTAGAACTTTATCTATGCCTTTGATTGGCGTATACAAGCAACTCAACTATATCTATGATTCAGAATCATTGTGGAAATGGCACGTGGTGCTCGTCGTGGTCGTGAGGATCGTCGTCGTGTGGATCGGTAAGTCATACTACATACACACATACATATACACAATGTCATTAAACATGATTGTTTATTATCATATATAGTCGCTCTGACTACAGGCTCACTGTGGAGAACATTCCTTCTGGAACCAGCTGGCAGGTACGCCGTCGAATTTCCATGATCCTTGTGTGAGCAAAAGACAAAAGACGATATCGAAAAAGGAGGATAATGAGAATGTGTCTTTGTGATGCATTTCTTTGCTATCTTTTCTTTGTTGGTTCTTCTTTAATTCTGTTCCACGACATCTTCCTTGGACTTGGCCTTTGTGTGTGTGTGTGCCTTCCTGAAATACCCAACATCTAATGGTCGACGACCACTGGTGCCTATTACCTCGGTCATACTTCCCTTTTTTCCTTCACTCCACTAGGATCTCAAGGACCTCATGCGCAAGGCTGGTGAAGTAACTTTTGCTGATGTCATTCGCAGTCGTCCAGGTGAAGGGTAAGTCATTTCAAATCATGTACAATGCAATGATGATATTAACAGCAACCCATCATTGATAGTGTTGTGGAATTTGCTCATCGCTCGGATATGGAATATGCTTTGAAAAAGTTGGATGATAGTGAATTGAATGGACAACGTGTGCGCTTGTTTGAGGTATTGTGTGGTGGACATGACAAAAAAAGAAACCATGCTGATTACCTAAAATAGGATACAAGCCGTCGTCGTCGTGGTGGTAGCCGTAGCCGCTCAGCATCTCGTAGCCGTTCACCACCTCGTCGTTCTCGTCGTCGTTCTTATTCAAGATCTCGTTCCCCTCCTCGTCGTAATCGTCGCCGTAGTGATAGCCGTCGTCGTGATGATGATCGTTCCAAGAGCCCAGAACGCAAAGAACGCCGTCGTGATGATTCACGTTCCCCAAGCCCTCGTCGTGCAAGTGCTTCTCCTCGTCGTAGCCCTGAAAATGATCGCTCGCGTTCTCCTGCTAGATCCCGAAGGTAAATCAAATGGAAAATGAGTGATGTCAATGTCATTGTGCTAACTTTATCATCACCATAGCCCTGTTGCTGCTGAGAACAATGAGTGAGTATGATGACAAATTACAAAGACTAGTATCTAGTTCATGGATTTCTTTGAATTATAAAAAAAAAGCAAGTGTGTGTATGTGAGTCTCTCTCTCTCTTGTCTTTGTTACAATATATGAAAGGGATTGCTATATACTGATGAGGGGATTGGATAAGAATGGGAACACGTGATACAAGAAAAGCTGGATACTATTTACACGGTGAATGGGAGGTTAAAGAAAAAGCGCGCGCGCGATATGGATAAGGATAAAGGGGTTTAAGAATGGGTGTGAGTGATCTATCGACGTGAAGATCGGATGGATCGGATATCTAATAATACTTGATCAAGTTGTTTTTGTAAACTCCTTCTTGCCATACGACCATGCTCAGCTTGTTGCATCATGGATTTTTCCAATTGATTCATTTGCTGAACGGCACTTGTTAACGAAGTTTGCAGTTCACGACGCTGATTTGATTCCTGCCCCAAGGATTTTTCCAATCTTTCTAATCGCTCAGTCAAGCTTGCGTGTTTGTTGATAAACGATGACGTTGTGGTGGTGGACTTTTCAAGCTGGTTAAGCCGTTGCTGCGATAACTGACGATAATGCCGTTCCTCCTTTAATTCATGTTCAAGTTGAGCAAGCCGATGATGCGCTTGTCGTTGATGGTGTTGCAGTGTTTGGTGGAACATGCCAACAAGCCGTACCATGCCACCAATGGGTTTCTTTCGTTCATGACGCCCGCGCCAAAACGCTTGAATGCGTGTAGCTGCTTCGTCTTTACGTTGCTGTGGATACCGCAATAGACTCGATCGAACATAATGCTTATCAACAGAATCATCTTCAGGTGGTGGTAATAGTGGAGTTGTAGCCGTATACGATGCCACATGGGACGATGGTTTCGGGACCCAGCGCTTGCCTACAATAATAAACAAACGATTTATGTTTAGCTTTCAGGGGCAACATCGTGAAGAGAATATTTCTGCAAGTAAAAGCATATTTACCTGCCGCGCTTCGGAAATGGATGATTTCGTCATTGTAGAATGTATGTGGCTGTGGTTGTTGTTGTTGTTGTCCTTCTGCATAACGACGTGCTGCTGATGCCGATGATGAGGATGATGGTATTCTTGATGCAATCGATATCCGAGCACTGCTTCTTCTACTATTGCTCTCAATCTCTTTGGATTGTTCAATTTGATCCATCCATGCAATAACATCACGATCTTTTTGTTGTTGGTGTGATGAGAACCATTCATCAATAGCCGATGGATCTGGTTTAGGAGGTGACATGGATGGCAAAACGGTGGGAGGTGGAAGATGTTGTTGTTGGTGGTCAAGGTTTATCGTGGATGTTGTTGGTGGTGCAGCATTAGCAGGAGCAGGAGCAGCAGCAGCAGCAGCAGCCGATGATGGCGAAGGCTGCATACGTCTCCTTTCAGCTGTGGCACTTGCAAGCTTTTTTAATAATCGCGAGCGTGGTGGAAATTCGTAATGTTCTTGTTCTGGTGTCAAGGTTTGAGGAACAAGAATTTCTTGAGTCCCATCTGGAAAACGCTTAATGACTGCCTAAGGATGCACATCATAATGCATATGAGTAAAAAAGAATGATAAGGGCATAAAGGGGTATTTTGTGTGGATGATGGGTGTGAATGTGTGTGTGTGTGTGTATGTGTATACGCATTTACCTTTTTGCGATCACCCCACATGAACAGTGACCAGTGATCACGTCGTCTACGAATCTGCTTCTCCATAGCTTTGGCGGCTCTTGCGGCAATCCGACGTTGCTGTTCTTCATTGATGAGGCCCGTGCGTTTCGGCTCGTGCTGCTGTTGCTGTTTTGATTGTAGTTGTTGTTTCGTAGACCGATTTTTAGGGCGGTTCAACTCATGCATCTTGTGCATATTTCACTTTGCGAGAATAAGTTGGATGGGGGGTCGAGGATGGAAGGTACACACACAAATGACGCACAAGCACGCTCATACAACGCACACACACACGCACGCACGCACAATACGCAGGTATCTTGCTGTTGTTGTTGTTGTTGTTTCTTATCTTTTGGTATGGGTGGCTCTCTCTTTTTGCTTTTGTAGCTCTCGTTTTTTATCTTGGTTTTGCTTACTCGATGATGATAAAAGTAAAACAACTGGTTGTGGTGATGGTGGTGACACTGATGATGTGGATGGTGGTGTTGTGTGTGTGTACCCCAAAAAGAAGGAACGAGTGCAGTTGCTATGGATACTGATGGATCAAAAAGAGAACGAAAAAGAGGCCGTCGTTGTTGTTGTTGTATCGTTGCTAGTCGACGACGGCAAAAAGAGGAAAAAAGTAAAAGGGCGGAAGTTGGAAAAGAGAGAAAAAAGGGCGAATACGTTCAAGTGATCTTATATTTTATATATATGAACAGCACTCATCAAGGTTTAGGGCAGCGTAGCAATCGGTTGACAAAATACAGAAAGCGTTACACATCCTACCCTTTGAACTTTTTGCTGATGCGATGCAGGTGACGAGCGCGCTTTGAGACGACGTCTGTTCATCATTCGATATGCACAAGGGGCAGGTTATCAACGACTCCGGAATAATAAAAGGCATATGTGCGCTTTTGGCTGTGCCTGCCACCGCCGCCGTTCCATTCATCATCATCACTACTATCATCCTTGTTGCAGTATAACAAAAACAAGGCCTCTTTTTAGCAACCCGCCTTTGTTGTTGTTGTTGTTGTTGTTGTTTCTTTTGCATCACTCGGCTCCTTTCTCTTCCATATTCCGATATGTAGCGTCGTCGTTTCTTCATCAACGACTTGACAACTTGGCTCTCATCCACAAATGTCGCCTGTGCACTTTGACCCCCCTAAAAGGCACTTTCTCATTATCTTGGTCTCTCTTTTTCTCTCCTGTCCCCTAAACCCGATGATGTCGTGCATTGCAGCAGTTGATGGGTTGTGTACCCAGGATCCATCATTCTTCTTCTCCTGTGCTGTATCAGCAGGATAAGTCCATGACTCAATAGGTCGCATAATATAGCGTGTGTGTACGTCTTTTTCTCTCTCGCTTTTTGGTTTGTTATGTTCGTTACTCCGGATCCTCCATTTAAAGTATTACTACTACTGAAATAAGGTTTTGTGTCACTCTGCGAGGCCCGTTTTTGCTTTTTGTTATTTGCGGCACTCACAACAAAGGTTCAATGACGTTTTACCTTCTTGGAATCATCATGCACACATACTTACATACATATGCACGGTCGTTAACAACTTTTTATCTTATTCCATGTGATGCTGCAGAAAACCCGCGTATCTGGTACAAAAAGCAATTTTATCCACCAATCAATCATCTTGTAAACAACACAGCCACCATTGAGAATAAAGGTAAGATTAATAATAATGATTACATTGCTTCCATGATAATAGAATGAGGGATGCTAGTAGTGAGGGTGATATATAAAATGGATAAAGATAGTGTATCTACTGCATTGGTGACAAGTAGCTGTATGTAAGAGTATGTATTATCATTTTATCATCCTCCTCGTGTTGTGCTCCAGGCACTGGGACATGCATGATCCAACATGTTGCTCTTGATTCTTCCTCTCCTCCTTTGTTTGATTCCCCTTGATCCTTACAACAACACAGCATCCATTATTTGGGTCGAGGAGGTGGTGGTGGCGGTGGTAATGCTGTAGTTGGTGGAGGTTTACTAGGTGGTATCATCATAGCTGTACGTGAATAGGTGATGGTGGATGACGAAGAAGGAGGATGATTTTGTTGTTGTTCCAATGACTCATGCTCTTCGAATTGAAATACATCTTCACTACGTCGTGGAAGTGGTGGCTGTAATTGTGGTTGTGGTGGCGGTGGTGGTGATTGACTACCATTGGATACTGTTACACGTCGTTTCACTGCTGCTCGTGTTTGAGCAAAGACATCGGCTAGTGCAGCTGAAGCTGAGCCACCATTACTATTGTTGTGGTTGCTAGATACTGAATTGGATGACGGGGGTCGACTAATAGTTTCATCGGTGGTTGATATGGTAGACGATAATGCTGGAAGGGATGTCGAAAGCGGACCAGCCGCTGTGGATGTGGTGGATGTGGGAATGGATGTCGATATGGTAGATGATGGCGTAGGTGTAGCAATCGATGTCATTGATTTCTTACTAGGGTCATCTTGAAGATCGAGTCGTTCCAACCACTTGTCTAATACGCTGCTGCCATAATCACTGATAATCTCCTCGTCGATACCATCATCATCGTCGACACTATTATTGCTGTGGTTGTTATAGTGATGTTGATAATATTGCTTGAGATGATGTTCTCCAGGAGCACAAAGCTGTGAACTATGCTCAGGATGGATTCGTGCTGCAATGGTATGTATCCATGATCTACTATCGGCTTCCGTCTCACCACAAAGCAAATGGCTCTTATGATATCGGCATCCAGTCTCGAGTCGAAACGTCCATTGAGAGTGCTTGGAAGGATACATGTTGACTCCTACATAGTGCTTGAGATCGATCGTGCTAGAGGGCTTGTGGTCATCCTAATGTCCCAATGGGTGGGTTAACATTCATGTCATGCCAATGGCGGGGAATGAGACACCTACAGGCTTCTTGTAACAGCGAAGTTCCTTTCCTTGGAGAACGTAATACCGACGTTGCCATGATCGATGTAGGTTTGTCCAGGATAGCTTATAAAGCCAGCCTTCTTCCTTGGTTGTCATGGAGATGTAAAAAGAAGAAGGTACCAAAAATGTGGAGAGAGGAAAGAGAGAGGTGGCAAAAGACGCTGGCTTGGTCACTAATCTGATACACAGAAATTCTCTCAGAGGAGGATGATCGCTGGCTGTTTTGAACACATGGCTCCCGCACTTTGCCGATAGGTGTTTGTTTCATTTACATAATCCAAGACTTTTTAGGTAGCAATTATCCCTCTCCTTCAAGGTGATCGATCGGGATGACCGATTGGGGCGATTCATCATACTCTTGCTGCATTGCTTATCATCCTCAGGGCGAGATTCTCTTTCGCATTGTTTGATAACCTAATCACCCGATATGCAACCTGGAAACTTTGGATCTAAATCTTACAAAATGATTGGTGCAGCATGCTAAACCTGCAGCACACTATCTTTAGGCCACTTGTCAGAAGGGATAATTTACTCAGCACGACATTCGTCTCGGCTAATGCGTCAAACCGATCCCGTACTTTCCGAAATAACCGATAGTCATCATCATCATCATCAACAACAACATACCAGAATAATGGAACCATTATCAGATGTTCTTCTCTCTTTCACGTCATTGTCTATTCCTCTTTAATTTTCATTGTGACAAAGATTACAGTTTTGTGTCGCCATGAGTGACACCCCCAAAAATTTCTTTATTTCATGCCGCAATTACGAGCAATGATTGAATCCTATCGACCAGCTGATTCCGTTTCACCTCATCCACTTCTTGGCGCAGTAAGAGCTCAGCATCCGTAACATCAAGTAGTAAAGCAAGATGCGCCACTTGATAGTACATCTTGTGTTGAAGTGATCGGTGGTCATTGGTTTTTCGTGCCACACAAATATTCAATAAAACCTTAGATGCCATCATGTGAGTTCGAAAAGTGCCACGCATATGGATAATCCATCCACGCTTTGGATTTCCTTTCCTTACTTGTATATCCTCATATCGGGTCGTCGCTTTACTATCCTCCTGTATCATGGCAAGAATCGTATCGGCTCTTACAATGTCATCTAGGATCATGAAATGGGATGAGTAAACATGAAGGAGGAGATGTGAGTGGAGTGAGTGAGTGAGTGAAGTAATGGCATGGTAATGCCAAGACACACACATACCTGTTTCCATTGCTAGCAATAAGGCCATAAATAGATGCCACCATAAGCGTTGCACGTCGACGTCCTCATTATCCAATAATTTGTCATGGCATATCACGTGTATCTCGGATGCACAATGCTTCGCAGATAGACCTTCATACAACTAGGATCGCTTTCCTTAGCTTAAAGAAGCCTGACCCACATTTTGAAAAGAACCACCTACCTGAGCCAAATCCACCATCATTCCATAGCTATCGACTCTACATACAAAAGAAGCGTGTTAGCAAGATGATGCAAATGAGGAGATGGGGTATAAGCTCTATCGTCCCGAAATTCTGTCTCTGAACATCTTGTGGACGCGTAATGCAATCGTGACTCCGCCGCCACGAAAGAAGATCTACACAGCCCCAAACACATGTAACTTACCCTTCATAGTGACATACAACACACGCCAAGCATAGCAATACGATACGTATCCTTGTATCATCCCCAAAGAAATTGGTCGCCATCTCTACCAGGATCTTGGTGAAACATTGATTCTGATCCGCTTTCGGCTTGGCAGGCTCTGTACGCGCTTCTTCACGAGCAATGAATCTTGAAGCAAGACCTCGACATGCTTGCATCATGTTCTCCATGGTGATATTTGTACATGACTATCAACCAACCCATTGAATAAAAGAATTGTCATCAAGATTCTATTCCATGCACACACATACCTTGGCCAAGGATAATAGCTCATTACGATCCACCTTCCACTTGTCATTCAATGCATTCAATACCAAATCCTTCTTATCCAATGTCGATGATGGATATAAACATAGTAATCGTGCCAAGGCAAGACGTGAGATGTAGAGAGTGGATGCGATTTGAGATGGCGTGAGACCAGTAGGTGGCGGCTCGGATGATTGAAGGGTATCCACGACGAGTTGTAATGATTGACATGTATGTTGCGGTCGGCGGTGGCTATAGAATGCTTTTGAAATACAACACGTTTAATATATGATATGGGGGCTGTGGTTGTGCTTTACCTTTTGATAGGCTCCAGAGTGTAGGTATAGATGTGGACGGGTTGGTAGATGCGCGTTGTAGATTTTTCAATGCGTCTAATTTTGCATGATTTTAGTCAATGGAAAAAAGGGCACGTGATACAAAAAGATGGATGAACCAACCTGCTACTTGTGGATCGACATTGGATTTCAAGCCTAATGGATCTTCGTCAACCATCAATAATACAATGACATACGCTCACTATACAAAGTACCTGATGGCTGCTGCTGCCTTTGTTTCTGCTGCTGCTGCTGCTGCTGCTTGGATTTGGCTTTGACATTGGCGACGTGCTTGGCACTTTTCAGATGATTTTGCCACGTGGCCTCATTGTTGAACTTTTTTTTACATGCAGCACAATACAAGTTGGATGCAGGGTTGTTTTGAGTAGGCGTTGACAGCTTTGATTCCACTATGCTCGGTGATCGATCGGCTGTTTCCATGGAGACATTGCGTTGTAGCCACCGATCAGCTGGATTGAAGACTGACAAAGGCCATTCAGATTGATACTCTCGTGATCTCTGTTATCGGTGTTGCGCTTACTATTGATGGCATTTGGGTCGAGTGTAGGGTCGTATTCAGGAAGAAGGCTGGGCATGATGGATGATAATGAGTATGTATGGTGGGCGGTCTCTCACTTCCAAGAGCGGTTTGCAGGTCAAGTGATGTCAGCCATTCTCAGCCAATCGATTTTGTCGCCGCTGAGTGGGAAGAGAGAGAAAGAGACGCGTAAGTTGCCCTTGCTGGATTATCAGTCGTTTGCTCTCTCTCTCCACCTTTTGATCTCACACACCCACACTTGCAAAGATGGCAGCAGAATCGAAACAACCAAAGAATGAACCAGAAGCCATGGATATCGAGGAGGATGAAGAAACAAAACAACTTCGATTAGAAAAGGAAACAACGGCATCGGTTATCGCTGGTAATACATTCAGGGTCAATGGATCAAGGGGACGCTATACACGAGCTCTCACACTCTCTCTCTTCTTTCAACATTAAAGAATTGAAACGCAACTTTACGCTATTGGAACGTGCCGTGGAGACCATCGAATCTCGTTTCACCACGCGTGTACTTCGCACTTTGCCATCCATAAGACGTCGTTTGACATCATCCATACTCTCTCAAGTTATCTCGGAATACTATGGCACTGGTATGTTATCTTAGCATCATCATGACTCGTTTGGACTACTAATGATGAACAAAATAGACGCATCACAAGCATCAGAATTGCTTAATTATTTGGGAGAGGTATGTAAGATGATGATGGGATCTATTGCGAAAGGTACTAATATGGTGCGCATTGTAGAGCGATACTGGCATGGATGTTGACAGCACAAAGGACAAGAATATCTTGCCAGAGGTTGACATGTACTTGCATTTGATGACTATGATTTACTTGCTCGACCAAAATGAGCTACAAAAGGTGCGTTGAGAATGATTGGATACTCCTCTAGGTGTTGATGCTTAATGGGCGCTTTTATTTAGGGCATGGAATTAGCTGGAAAGTCTGTGGAAAAGCTTGTCAAGCTTAATCGACGTACGATGGATCAACTTGCCGCTCGCATCTACTTTTATCATGCACGATTTTACGAGCTTACCGATCGCCTTGCTGAGATCCGACCGTGAGTACTATGTTTATCGATATCGCATGAATGAAGTATTAACATGGGGAAAAATAGTATGCAACTCACTTCTTTGCGCACTGCCACCTTGAGACGTGATGACGAGACTCAGGCCACCCTTCTCAATCTTCTTTTACGAAATTACTTTGTGCACAACCTTTACGACCAAGCTGATAAGTTGGTCTCCAAGAGTGCTTTCCCTGAGAATGCTGGCAACAACCAGGCTGCTCGCTATGCTTATTATTTGGGTCGCATCAAGGCCCTTCAACTCGCCTATACACAAGCCCACACCTATCTGACTCAGGCTATCCGAAAAGCTCCCCAAAACAATGTCACAGCCGGCTTCCAGCAAACGGTAAGGATGATGACCCACACCATTGCTTGACAAGTATACTCATATCCACCATCATTATCATTAGGTGTACAAGTTCTTCATTGTGGTGCAATTGCTTTTGGGTGAGATCCCTGAACGTTCCATTTTCCGACAGCCTATTTTGAAGAAGGCTCTTGTGCCTTATCTTTACATTACGCAAGGTGAGTTGAAAACTGGAGTGAAGGGTTAAGCATGGATACTTATGGTTCAATATATAGCTGTTCGTGTGGGTGATCTCAACAAGTTCCAGGAAGGGTTGGCTCAATTTGATTCAGTGTTCAAAAAGGACAAGACTTATACCCTTATCCTGCGTCTTCGTCACAATGTCATCAAGACGGGTATCCGCATGATTAGCTTGTCATACTCAAAAATCTCCCTCCGTGATATTTGTCTCAAGTTGCATCTTGACAGCGAGGAAGATGCCGAGTTTATTGTATCCAAGGCTATCCGTGATGGTGTCATTGATGCTACTCTGGATCACAATGGTGGTTTCATGAAGAGCAAGGTAAGCAAGGATAGTGGTGGTGGTAATGGATGGGTGCATAGTGGCACGTGATCTAACAAGAGGTCTTTTAGGAAATTGTTGATATTTATTCAACCAATGAACCTCAGCATGCATTCAACAACCGTATCACTTTCTGTTTGAATCTTCACAACGATGCTGTCAAGGCCATGCGATTCCCATTGGATGCTCATAGAAAGGAACTTGCTAATGCCGAGGCTGCAAGGGAAAGAGAACGAGAGCTTGCACAAGAAATTGCAGAAGGTGACATGGATGATGAAGGCGATCTTGGCGAATATTAAGTCTATTACCATTCACATCATACGCACGCACACACCTACACACATACACACACACGCTCTCTTTTCTTATTACCCTTCACACACACACATCCTCAATAAAACAGGTATTTCAGATTTATTCATGATCGAGTCCTCAATCCACACCCCTATTGTCCATTGTAAATCAGTGCTGGTTTGGATGGGGGATACTCCAAGAACAATGAGGGCATGTGTAGCTTAACAAAGGAACCACTTTTTATTATTGAATAACAACATGTCCACTGGTATCAGGGCCTTCAGTAATCAATAGGCTTCATACATGTCATTTTCTTTTGTTTGAACTAACGGTATCCATGATGTTGGATGGGGCGAAAGAATAGTGAGCGGCAACAACGGATCGGCGATCCAACTTTCTTAAACAGTGGGCTGCACTTGTAAGCCTTTTCTGCAACTGCTTTACATACGCACACACGCACACGACAAGACCTTCCTGTTCCTCTCTCTCTCTCTCTTTCTCATAATTACTTCCCTCCTCTTTCTTTCTTTCTTCTATGGCCAGCACACTTAATAGCATTCAGCGGTTTTTTGGCAAAAAGACACCAGAAGAACTTGTAAGAGTGGAAACAAGCGTTGACATGAACAACCCCCCATAACCTTGTCGCATTGGTGTGTAGGTGAGGAAATGGCGACAAGAGATTCGTGCACAACAACGAGCTCTCCAACGACAAATTTCAGCCATTGATGTCGAAGAGGCCAAGGTCAAAAAGTCCATCAAGCAAGCAGCTAAAAAGGGTGATGCCAAGATTTGCAAGACACTTGCCAAGGAACTGATACGCTCACAACGACACAAGAACCGACTTCACACAAGCAAGGCCCAGTTGAATTCAATCATCATGCAACTAGAGCACCAACTAGGTAATAGGACCACCAAGTGGACGTGTTGAGATAAGATCGTTCATCATGGATACTATCATAGCAACCATCAAGGTGGCAGGCACACTGCAAAAGAGTGGACAGGTTATGAAAATGGTCAACCAACTTGCTCGGTTACCAGAGATCTCACAAGCTATGCAACAAATCTCTATGGAAATGACAAAGGTATGGCGTTTAATATGGGGAAGGATGTATTATCATTCATTCATTCATTCATCATCATGATATAGGCTGGCATCATGGATGAAATGATCGAGGACACAATGGATATGATGGATGATGAGGATATTGAAGAAGAGGCGGATGAAGAAGTGGAAAATGTCCTATTTCAAATCACAGATGGTATGTCATTCTCTTTGATCATGGCTATGATGGGCATCTTATTGATGTATGATTTCAAAATAGGTCTCCTTGGACAAGCAGGGCCTGTTGGACCAGCTTTGGAGAAGAAGCCTGAAGTACAAGTGGAGGAAGAGAGTGAGGAAGAGGAACCTGAACTGGACATGATGCAAAAACGTCTACAGGTAAAGATCGCAATTGAAGAATAGGGGGGAAGGAGGGGGAAGAGATATAAGGAGAAAGGGGGAGGATGATAGATTGTGTGGAGTGTTCATTCTCGACTAATTGGCTCTCGCATTTCTTTAGGCTCTGAAAGGATGATATTTACACCCACAACTTTGTCTATTTAACCTAGTATCCACTCCATCCAACCCATTCAGCATGAGAATATACATCTTTTATATATATCATAGTCCCAGCAGCAGCAGCTATACCAATGAAGGGTGACACGTGTCCAGATCTATCTGATGGTTGATACCAATCATTCGATGTTCATGTTAGTCTATCATATCAATGAGTCGGATACGCGCGGGGATTGGGTTTACATCATTTTGGGGGGCGCGGACCACCTCTTGTGTTACGTGGTATGCATGAAGGATACACCCAACCCATCAAAGCATGTCGAATGTCGATATGAGTGAATGGTTCTATGTTTCAGTTCAATAAAAGTTGGGTAAGCGGAGATCATGGAATAGAACAACGTGGTATCCAAACAATCATGTAAGGAGTCATGTATGTGTTTTGAGCAGCGTGGAGATCAAACACTCAGTCGCAAATGATAACCAACGTACGCTGATTACCCCTGGAAACATTTATTTGTATTCTTGTTGGATAAATCCACATGTCATATCCTCCATGGCTAATATTATGGTAAACGTAAAAGATTTATGATGTGTTGTTTAATAATGACAAGGAGACAAAAGTAACGACAACAAGGGGAGAAAGAAAGGATAACAAAAACACTTTAGCAGCAGCAGCAGTAGTAGTAGTAGTAATATAGCAACAGCAATAGAATCATCATCACCATCATCGTCATCATCAGCGTGTCCATTGTCAGGAGACGGGAGAGAGAGAGTAAACTAAATACGTGAACTAAATCCAAGGGCAAGCAGGATTCTATTTTTGTGCATTAGCATATCGAGACAAAGACGATACCCATTATCGCTTTTCTTTCTCTTTTTTTTCTTTTCCCTTTATATCGTTTCCTTTACATCGCTTGTCATGATGCAACGAGCACCCGTTGATACAGCGCATGTTGAGTATCAACAGCTACCAGCACCCACATTGGATAAGAAACCACTGCCTTCTACCACAGAAACAACAGGGCCTCCTCCTCCGCTCAAGCAGCCTCTTTCCACTGAAAACAAGTATTACAACAACCTATCCGACAACCTGCCTCCTCCTCCGCTTAAGCAATCGCTTTCAACTGAAAACAAGTTCTTTGATAATCTACCTCCTCCTCCACCCAAGCATCTCGACCAACAACAAGTGCTCGATGTCTCGCCCATTCCTCAAAAGACAATGTCAGGTGGTCTCATGTCACAACCCCAGTCCATTTATTCCACCTTGAGTTCCACTGGTTCAGCAACATCGTTGTCACTTGGTGGTGGTCCTCGTCAACAACAACAACAGCCACATTCGCCTACACCTTCTTCACAACCCATGTCGGGTGAAGGGAGCACTCGTTCAAGCTCTGTGGAAGTAGCTTCAGTTGCAACGACGACCAACGAACAACTATTGGATCATTCACATCTCAAGCCTGGCAATAAGGCATCATTGTTATCGTATGCACAGACCATCAACATGTATCGCGAGAATGCCAAAAAGACCAACAATCCAGATATTCAATGTGATTTCGCTATCTTCATGGTGGAAGCTGCCAAACCGCTCTTGGATGATGAGATCGCACGCTGGGAGTATCTATCAGAGGCTGAGAAATTACTCAAACAACTTGCATCACGAGGACACGCCGAATCCCAATACTATCTTGGAAACCTCTATGCCTCGGGCTTACTTAGCAGAAAGGGAAAGAACGAGTTTGACAAGGCTTTTCCATTATTCGTTCAGGCAACTAAACATCATCATGCGGATGCCGCTTACAGGTATGTAACAAGCAAAGACACACATCATTGAGGATTGCTTCTTATTTATATATACATACAATCATCATAGAGCTGCCAAATGCTATGAAGATGGACTAGGAACACGACGTGATAGCTCGAAGGCGGTTCAATTTTACAGGTATGATAGTGTCCTCCATTTGGTTACAATGATGTACACTTACATCTTTTTGCTATATAGAAAAGCAGCTACATTGAGCCATCCAGGTGCCATGTATCGACTTGGCGTTGCTGAAGTGAATGGAGAATTGGGAATTTCCAAGAATGCTCGTGATGGTGTAAAGTGGCTCAAACGTGCTTCCGAAGCTGCTACTACCGAATACCCCCACGCTATCCATGAATTGGCCTTGCTGCATGAAAAGGGAATTGACAATGTCGTCTTTTTGGATCTGGATTATGCTGTCTCTTTATATGCACAAGCGGCTGAATTGGGCTATGCACCCTCCGCATTCAGATTGGGCGAGTGTTATGAATACGGCAAGCTCAACTGTCGACAAGATCCTGCATTATCGATCCATTATTACACCATTGCAGCACAGCAAGGCCATCGAGAAGCATGCTTTGCCTTGACGGCATGGTATCTTGTTGGCTCACCAGAGATTTTACCACAATCGGATCAAGATGCCTATGTCTGGGCGCGACGTGCAGCTGAAAAAGGTCTTCCAAAAGCTGAATACGCAGTGGGATATTTCACCGAGGTTGGCATTGGCACCATGAGAAACCCTGATGAAGCCATGCACTGGTATAAGCTAGCTGCGGATCATGGTGATAAGCGAGCCATTCAAAGGTTGCAAGGAAAGCCCGGTGAATCACAACAGCAAGACAAGAACAAAAAAGGTGGACAAGATGACTGTACTATCATGTAGCAGTTTGGCATCATCAACACAACACAACACACACAACACACAACACATCTCATTGACACATCAAGCATATTGGCTTCTTAAACACATATATATTCGTCCTCTCACACACATCACTTGCAAATCCCACCTCTCTCTTTTCTTTTTCCAATGTTTGTTTTCATCTTTCCGTTTTTCATTTTTTCTTGCTCGTTTCTTGGCAAAGTCATCACGTGTCCTTTCACATACTGAACAAATACATTACTTATCCTAATATACATGACGCAATGCATGGTGGTTCTTGGATTCCCAACTTTAATGATCGCCAACATGGCTGGCTACTGGTACTTTTGACACTACGTGCCACAAAAAAAGATTCGCATATTCATTGTGTCATTTCGTGTCTCCGCTCATATATCCATCTGCATGAAAATTGGCATCTGCTTATCCCAACACACACCGTGAATGATTTTTGGGCATAGTCAACCAAGTCCCTTTGCTTCTTGCAAACGTCACAACGATGCAATACGTCATGCGTGCGTGCAGCAACGCCATCTATGTGTACATGACAACAGTGGATTCACCCATGTTTAAAGGCATGTCACGTGTACCACAAAAGATCAATTCCCCACCAGGTCGACCCACGATCCAATCCTTGTTGTTCATGTTGATAATACAAAGTGAAGTGCTTTACTATAAACGCACTTTTGTCAGCAAGGGACAAGGCATGCTTGTGTAAGCTGATTGGATGACAAGCTTACTAAGATCCTAGACATTGGTCACGCGGCGCTGTTGTTTGCTTGATATAAAAACGCCTGTGGGTTCCATTCTCTTTTTCCGCTCTTCATAACACAAATCCATACATTGCTGCTATTCACATCATGGCTCACTCAGCACCGCACCATCATAATGTTGCCATTATTGGATCTGGACCAGCTGGTATGTTGTGTGTAGGCGTTTACCAATATCCTTCATGTAATGGGTACACTAAAAAAAAGCGTTGTTGTTGATTTATTATTACAGGCCATACCGCTGCAATTTACTTGGGACGCGCTGACATGAAGCCCGTCATGTTTGAAGGGATGATGGCCAATGGATTTGCACCTGGTGGTCAATTGACGACGACAACGGATGTGGAAAACTACCCAGGATTCCCAGAAGGTGTATTAGGTGGTGAGCTTATGGATAAGATGCGTGCTCAATCTGTAAGGTGCGGCACTGTGATTGAAACTGAAACCATCACCAAGCTTGATTTATCTTCACGACCTTTCAAGATATGGCGTGAAGGATCAGAAAACAAGACTCAACCCACCGATACGGCTTCGGCAGTGGTATTTGCTACAGGTGCATCGGCACGTCGTATGCATTTACCAGGCGAGGACAAGTACTGGCAAAATGGCATTTCTGCATGTGCTGTTTGTGATGGTGCCGTACCCATTTTTCGTAACAAGCCTCTGGTGGTTGTGGGAGGTGGTGATAGTGCCGCTGAAGAATCGATCTATCTCACCAAATGTAAGTTTTAGCACATTACAAACGATGACATGGAAAATGACGTTGCTTGTTTATTATAGATGGGTCTCGTGTTCACGTACTTGTGCGGCGGGATGTGTTACGTGCATCCAAAGTGATGGCTCAAAGACTCCTCAAACATCCAAAGATTACTGTACACTTTAATACCGTGGCCACTGAAGCAAAAGGTGATGGCAGCTTGCTGACATCGGTAGCTACGCGCAATACAAAGACGAGTGAACCTGGTGAAATAGAAGCGGGTGGGTTGTTTTACGCCATTGGACATGATCCTGCCACCTCTCTTATTAAGGATCAGGTGGATTTGGATGAGGATGGATATGTCAAAGTGGTCCCTGGATCATCCGAAACGAGTGTCAAAGGATTATTTGCATGTGGTGATGTGGTCGACAAGCGTTACCGTCAAGCTGTTACGAGTGCTGGTACAGGATGTATGGCTGCATTAGACGCTGAGCGCTATTTGACGGAATTGCAAGAAGAGCAAAGATGAGCTTTACGCAAAGAGCCGTTCATCATGACATTGTCATCATACAAGTTATCCCCTTTTTCCTCTTACCCGTTCTTTGTATGTCCCCCTGAGTCAAGAATGATCAACACGTCAATCGTCCGTATTGCCGGTCTCCTTACATTCTTCATTTTAGATTCCAATGCACCCTCTTTGTTCGAGAATACACGTTCATAGCAAGTAGAGATGAATTAAAAAAAGTCGTTTGTTTACATTGCCGTTCTTTGATACATGTTTTTGGTGTGGGTAATCCCAAATAAAGCCAAGTGCAAACGTGAATTTATGCAACCACGCGACACAGAAAAGGTGGTATGAGCTCACCTCTCATGCGGATGCTTAAATATGTACGTGCCTCGAAAATGAGAATAATGTGCTCCATGATCTCATTGCTGACGCCGCCGCCATCCATTGTAGCATATAGTTCCCTTTGCTTCCCGCGGAATAGCGCAATTGTGGTTGGTAAAGAAAGAGGGGCTTGGGTTGCACAGGTCAACACAGCCTTTTGTTGCACGTTACACTTACATTCGTCGCTGTGCAGTTTTTTCACACACATAAACCTTGGAGCCTTGTTTTTCCCTCGCTTTACTCTTTTCCTCTTTTCTTTTTCACCCCTGCATCTGTTATGAAATACCAATTCTTGTTATCCATATTAGCAATTACCCTCAGTCAAGCAGCTGTTATTCCACAACATGGAGACCATGCTAATGAACAATCACTCACCTCGCTCGACTCTGAAGCCGCAGCATTATTAAACGAGGATGTGTTTGGCTTGAACGATCAACAAAACGACAATGACGATGACCCACTCATTGATGATATCGAGGTCAATGATGAACTTCAGCATGAAGATGGGGATGAGCATCAAGACATTATTGAAGATACCACATACACGTTGGACGAATTTGGTCGCTTTGTACCAGTGGCCACAGCTACGCAAGATGCCATTGATATTGATGAGAACAATCAACAAGACGACGTGGATGTTGATCACAATGACCCTGGCATGCACATGATTGTCGACAGCACAATGGCCACATCCAATGAGCCTGTGGTACATGGCGGAGAAGAAGACGGCGACGAGATTGGGGATGAGGTGTATGTCTTTGAAGATGATGAGGATACGCTTGACCAAAAGCTCGAGATTGATCCTGAAACGGGCATGCCTTTCTTCAAAAACAAATACGAAGCTGACTTTGATCACCATATTCAATGGGCTGCTCAAGCCAACGGCAACGAAATGTATGATGATGATGATTCCCAGCAACTTGCTCAGCACCAATATCACCCAGCAGCTTTGCCGTTTTGCCCTATGGATTGGCGTGTGATTCTCCTTGGCTTGATCGTCATTGCCATCGTCATTCGTTTTGTATGGCGAAAGGTATGTACTAAATCTTTTATGCAATAATGCAACCATGACTCATTTGCTGTAAATTTAGAATTCCAATAAGGGTGGAGCTATCAGTCTTCCAACATCATCCAAAAATGAATGGCTAAAGCCTCCCATGAGCCGCAAGTACCATGGTAAACCTCGTATGTTGTCGGTAAGTAGATGATTGAAACGTTTGTAAAAAAGACCTGTTACTTAATATGCATCATCCTTGTTTCCCCTGGTAATGCAGGTGCATGGCCATCAAGGTAAGAAAACAAATGTGCTTATTTGTACTACTGCAGTGGATTAAAATAGCTCTTGTAGACTTCATGATCACCCCACCCGCTCGCAAGTCGCCTCTTCGTGATGCACATCCCACTACCCCTACTACGACTGTTGTACTCCCCATTCAAGACGATGTCACAGTCAAAGGTTTCCATCGTGGTGGTCACATGCGTCGTGCCTCGGCTGGTGCTTCTCATCAAATAATGGCTTCCCGTAATAATCACGCTCGCCATTCATCCATGAGTGGCATTCACCACATGTAAAACGCCATCACCATCACCACCATCCCCTTACCATCATATCATTTGCACAAAAAGTGCACCATTCCTCATTCCTTACCGTTATATCAATCACACAACATATAAGCATCTCTCCTCACCTTTGTAGATAACTTGCACACACATCCTCATTCACGTTGTATCCATTTCCATCCTCTTAATCGCCATTTCTCCTTTCATTTGTTTTCAACCCTGCTTACTACTGCTTACTCACTACCAACCTAATCATTCACGCTGCTTATAAATGCGACCATATTATTATATACAACCACTTTTTCAAATAACCAAGCTACAATAACAGATGGTGGATAGCTTGTGGATATCCTTTTCCTTGTCAATCCTTGGCACGCACCATCGTCACTAGAATCAGCTTCTGTTGATGTCTGGATTAGGTTTCCATGCTATACATCTTACATACGTTGTCATCATCATCCGCCTATACGGGGTTTCCATCTTCAAGCTGCAGCATGCGAAGCCCTTTGCTTGTGTATACTCGCTGTCTGAAAGGTCAAACGTTGCAGCTCTAATGGCGTATGTACTTGTCGTCGTCCTTCTCATGCTGAATTGGCCATGAATCGCTCCTTCTGCCTTTTCTCCTTCAAAGGTGTCTACAGCTGACGGGTGTTTCCGAGTCCTCAAGAGCTGCCTGTGAGGAATGGGTTTGGGATGGTGGAAGGTGCTAGGTGCTTTCCAACAGGACAAGGTATATGTCTAAAACAAGGGATCACGAGGACACATGTCAATCATGACACTGCCATTGCCCTTCTTGCCATGCGCCCAATGCACGCCATGTACTATTTCTTTCTGCCCATTCCCTCATGCGCGATAGCTTTAAATAGACGTGTTGCTGGCTGCAAGTAATAAAAAAAGGCGGCGTCGTATGTGAGTTAAACCGAAAAGGAGGGTGTGTCGAGTACAAAGTATCGCTGTGTCTTGGTTCATGCATGCACATTCAATTTGAAGGTGTAGGTTTTTGGAATGTCAACGAAGGAATAGAGATAGCTTCATGCTCCCATTTTTTGTGGCATAGATAGATTCGCATAGGCATACGTTTTGAGCCCTTGACCTGATCTATTCCCAAGACAATAAAGGCATAGGGACATCATAACGGCCTACTTTAACCTAGATGTCGGACTTTCTGCACACCAAAATTCAAGCCAATAATGCAATTTCAAATACTTTGAATACAAATTACTGTTTCCATACCTCCCCAAATGTATTCTAAAGAGCACCATCTTATTTTCCGTGGCCTCCGCTTCATATAGAACCTAAATACAAGGCACATTCCCGATTAGGAAGGTGCGTGAAATATCTATGTCCGCGCGAGAAAAAAAAAATAAGAAGGAAATCGTCCAGCCTAGCTAGCTCAATTGGTTAGAGCGTGAGACTCTTAATCTCAAGGTTGGGGGTTCGACCCCCCCGTTGGGCTTCAGGACAACCTGCGAGGGTTAAATCTTTTGATTTTTCGGCTGTCGGATGATATTTTAGATTTGTAATGTTGCACATGCTGCGGTGCTGAGCAGCCTTTATAAAAGGCTGCTGCAACGCCGAGAATAAATCTTTAGCTTTTGATCCGGTGAATCATAGTTCTTGTCTATATTGAGCGGGTAGTTGTAAAGAGGTGTTTACATCCCTGGCTACGGTGCCATACCGCCAGACGACGCAAAAGGTTATACGACACGGCCGATTTTTAGATCACGTGACCTTGTGGTTTATCTCCTCGCTTGCTCTTAAACTCTTTTGCGATTGTCAAACGTCGTCATAACGTATACGAAAGGATCATCATGTATAGTACCATCAACGCAGATGTATTAATAGATAGTTATCTTACAATATCTTCATCATAGGAGGAACGTGTGCTAGAACGTCATTGTCATGATATAAGTAATCGCAAAAAAGGGAGTTGAGTTACGCATAGGATCGAGTAAAGCCTTTGTTCAAGCATAATGAATCGATCAGATCCTTTCTCTTCCTCTTTTCCTTCCCTTTATCACAGCATTTACAACAAGTGGATAGACTTTCACAACCCTACATTTGCCATATCATAAACCTTTCTATAAGACAACCCATAACGTGCCTGCACGCCGCAAGATGCAACTCAGGAAGAAGGAACGAAGGTCTCTACCGGATATCGTATTCGCTAAAGCAACTCTTTAATCCAACCAACATCATTCACTAGAGATAGATTGAGAGGTACAGCGAATTGCTCCAATGATGAAGGTACATTTTCTTTCCTGTGGGCGTGCATTGTGCAAGGTGAATGGATCGATGTGAGGGGGTCCTTGATGTGTGGTGGCGAATTAAGCATGCCAAAACATCATGAAGTTGGATAATAATGATGGTTGACAGGTTGCACAAAGGATGATGATTGTAGGTGTTATGGAATAGCATAATTCAATGCACCAATCGACCAGGATGATACCATGAAACAGGAAGGTCCAGTTGACAATGGATACAGCCTTTTCCCACCCGTTATATATATACCCAATTCCTTCCATCCCATGTACCAAATCAATATCCATATCCATAAGAAGTCGTATGTATTGAAACAAGTTGCTACATGTAAATAAAAGCTGCTTTTATCCAATGGCTATCTGCTGTTCACATGAAAAAGGCTGCAAGGCAGGTTACTGCAAGGGAAGAACGTTCTTTGGGACGATGCAGTAAAGGCATCGCTAACAGCAACTGTTGCAATGAATGCTGTTACGTTTGATTGTGGCAGAGGAGTGTGCAAGAGCGTGTGCTATGTCAAGAGACTCGTGTGTTGTATACGCCATGGACTTGCCATTCAGTCAAAGACAATCGGATCAAGGCAGTTGTAGGATTGACATGATAGGCTGAAGGAGGACAATCGTTCGCAGGTGGTAGTTGTACTTGAATGAGGCAACAGTTGAGAATGGGAGGATGAGGCAAGGAGCCGGGAGAGGAAGAGCTGAAAATTAAATAGTTCAGGCACGGCCCTACAAAACAATGCACACTGTAGACATCAATCCTTGATGTTGAGATTGCTCTTGTTGAACCTGAAACTATCACACAAGGTGCCCTTGACATGCTGATCAACTTTGTATTATCAAAGAACTAATACTTCGTTATGAAATTTTGAATGAGAGGGTATGACGTGGGTTTGCGTCTGCGCGCGGATTCATGATTTATCGAAGCACTATGAAGTATCTTGGGATTCCCCTTCTCGAACTTGAAACTTGGTAAGAAGGTTCGCTAGGACATTCTGATCAAATAAAAGCTACCATTATGAAAACTTTGAATGAATGGGAGGCGTCCAAATGTAGGGGAGACTATTATGGGCAAGCGGGAACATGTAGCTTATTATGATTAGAGAGGTTGTCACTTATTATGAAGAACATGAATGGCAAAGGGATTGAGGATCCTGTAAAGATAAATGCCACGCATAAAAGTGCAAGATCATTACTCCATTGGCAGTGTTGATCCATTCAACGGGAAATCAAAAGATTACGAGCGAAGGGAGCAACCCGTGTTGTTGGTCTACATTTTATTGATACTATTTAGCACTAGGGTGATTGAGCGTAGAACACGATGCAAATGGGTACCATCCATGTGTGCAAATCGCTGGCTTAGAGAAGGATAAAACGATGCTCGCCTATTCTTTTCCCATTCAAACAACCTAGCAAGTCGAATCCCCCAACGTATCATGGTATCAGGCCAGTTGACAGCTTTGAAACGACGTACTACTGATGTCCACATCCTTCGCGGCAACAAGTCACTGAGTATCTGGATGACCAGAAATAGCACAAAGAGACATGTGATTGCTATGGCAACGATAAACGCGATAGCAACCACGATTAAGCCATGAAGCAAAATCTCTTGTAAAGGGCAACGTTGTCGACGAGGACGATGATTATACACATGAGGATCGGGTGGTGTAGTTGACGTGGATGCGGTACTGCTACTACGAGATGTGAACGAATACGTTGTTGTTGTATAGGATAATGATGATGATGATGATAACGATGCATCGTCAGTATACAATGAGCCGTGTTGTTGCTGTTCCATGGAAGCTAGTAAAGGTGAGTCAAGAAAGAGAAAGAAACAAAGGAATGGGTCAAGGGAAAGCAAAACATGTACATAGTAAAGATAAGAGTAGACTATGCCTGATTGATTGTGCAGATCTGGGTTAAGTCATGCGAGAAGGAACCAGACGCATTTGTAAATTATCAGGCGACATGTCGTTGCGCATCTTAGGTCCCTGCACTTTTATTATACGGCAAGCGGATCATCGATAATAGAAGAGTATGGGTATAAAAGTGGCATGCATATTAAAATGGTACATGGGGACACATGTATATCAACATAATGGTGGTAGTAGTTGCAGCCAAGCCGACTGCGGTGCATGAGAGAGAGCGAGAGAAAGAGAAGACTGACAGCTGATATAAAGTTTGTATCCTTGACAATTCGCACATGCTCTCTTTTTCCTTTTTTTCCCTTCACACAACCAGGGACATCCTTCTTCTCCTTTTCTTCCTTCACCAAGTACCTTGATAACCCATGGAAAAGTTTCGAGAGGTAGATACCTTTATTTAATGCAACACACCATCGATGCGGATAATCTAACATGCTTGGTACTAGAAAATCAATAGTATTCGTGCTGAAGCTGAAGCAGCCACTGCCAGAGCCGAGGAGCTTGAGACCAAGGTCAAAGCACTGGAACAAGAGGTTATGCAACGCGACCATGAGATCATTTCACTCAACAATCAGAACAAGTACCTTGCCGAAGATTTGGAAAAGGCACAAGACAAGATCACGCAACTCAAGAGTTTGGAGAATGAGGATGATGACTTGAAGAAGGAGAATGACGCGGCACAACGCAAGATAACACTCCTTGAAGAAGAGCTTGAGTCGTCTGACAAGTCATTGCGGGAGGCTACCAAAAAGTAAGTCAGCCTTGCTGGTGGGTAGTGTAACAACAATGGCTGCTTTACTTACCTATGTATGCATGGCTTCTTAGTTTCCGAGAGGCTGATGTCAAAGCCGAACATTTTGAACGCAAGGTACAGCAATTGGAAAGCCTTTTAGCTGATGAAGAAAAGAAGGGTGAAGAACTTAAGGCCAAGAACCAAGGATTGCAGGCACAACTAGATGAGTTCCATGCACAGCTAGAAGAGATTTGAAGTTCGTTTCGTGCCACCATCTTGCATGGGCCACTTGCTCTCCCATAGCCAATAAAATTTGCAAGTTGACGCAGACCGCAGCATCCCTCTTTTCCCTCTCTCTATCTTTTATACCTAATGTCCCCCACTCAAATGGCAGACACTCAAACTTGTTCTCATCCCGTCGACACCTCCTATTACGACATACTCAAGATCCCTGTCGATGCCGATCGATTGCAAATCAAATCCGCTTACAAGCAAGTCTCTCTCTATCTCTTCTCTCTTCCTTGTCTCTCCAAGCAGGACGTGTGTTAACCCCAATGTCTATTTAGGAAACTTGCCATTGTGAGTTGCTACAAACGTTCTCCCTCTCTTTCCATTGAACATGCATTTATTCCTTGTCTTAGTTCTACCATCCCGACAAAAACAAATCGCCCGATGCAGAGGAAAAGGTACGAGCCTCTTTGTTGCTATGTGTATCCATGGTGGGTCATGCTCAACAACAACGACTAGTTTAAACAAATATCAGAGGCGTATCAAGTGCTATGGGATCCAGAGCTTCGAAGGCTATACGACAAGTATGGTAGAACCAAAGAGATTGCAAACGCCAACTTTCCTGATCCTCGAGACTTTTTCACCAAGGGCTTTTCTGGAACACATCAATTCAAAGGTAATCTTATTTTACGATGCATTCAAAGGGAAGATGGGATCTCAAACATGGTTATAGATTTCATTGGGGATTTGTCATATGGTGAGGTGATGGAGAAGCAAGAGAGTCAGAATTTGGATTTATTGTTGGAGCGACAGAGGCAGCGAGAAAAACGGCTAGCAGAGATTATGGTGGATCGATTAGCACTCTACGTCAACAGCAACGAGGATCCTATTTCTCAAGGTACTTTGTACACGTTCCAACAGCAAATCGCATCCGAAGTTGACAAGGCTCGATTCATGGGATTACCTGTTCTTCATTGTGTGGGCTCCATCTATTCAAGTAAAGCAAAGGCCTACCTCGGCATCAGTGGTGGTGAATGGCCGTGGATCTTCCATGCGGTCGCGGATAAAGTATCAATCATGCATGATCTATGGACAACCGTCAGCCGAGCTACAGAAACGAAGACCACAGTGGACCGGTTAAATAGGATGGGTCAAGATGAAGTTCTCACAGCCGAGCAAAGGGAATTGTTGGAGGATGCAGCATGTTCACAGGTAGGGGTTGTGCTTTTTCTCCCAAAATGAAACCACCCATTCTTAAATGTCCTCCCTTCATCATAGGCTCATGAAGCATTATGGGGATCATGCTTATTCGAGATACGAAGTACGGTGCGTCGTGTATGTGACATGGTGTTATATGATGAGGTAAGGGATCATGTTGACCATGCATGAGTTCATTCATTTTAATAACGTATGTTGAATAGTCGGTCGATAAAAAGACGAGGTACAAGCGTGCGGAGGCATTAAGAATAGTTGGACATATGCTTGAGAGTGCTGAAGAACATGTAGCTCTTATGGAGACTCTGGCAAAATCAAGTAAATAAGAATTTGTATCATTTGTTTTATGACAAGTCGTGTGTCTTTTTTTATTGTCGATTGTCGATGTTGGAATGGATGTGCGTAATGTTTGTATGTACGTGAGCGGCGTGTATATAAATGGGTGGATGTTTGGTGTATATATCATGGCTGTGCATTGCTTAGATTTCAACCATTTCACGGAGACGACGAACAGTCGAGCGAACAGTAGTGGCAGCTGTAGTCGAAACAGTGTAAGCACCACCAGCCAAAGTCTTCTTGCAGCCCTTGCATTTCCAGATACCAACAGCAGTACGCTTAACAGCATCCTATATTACATGTGTTGAGTCCTATCATTCTCTTTTCCCTTTTTCTCTTTCTCTTTACCTTGCCGCAGAAAGTGCAAGTATAAGTGGCGTGCTGGGTGATTTCCATCTTCTTCACCTGCTTTCTCAAAGAGGCGCCATAACGGGTACCGTACTTGCCGGTGATGCCGACCTTTTTCGTACGCTTAGCCTATTCATCCCAATTCATCCATTCAAAGAAATCATTCATCCATCAATAATTCATGTCATTCGAGTGATTTTTATAAGGTATCCATGGTGATGAACCTACCATTTGGATGAACTAAAAGGAAGAACCAGATGAAGCCTGCTCCCGAAACGACCTTGTCCAGCGGGCATCCAATTGAAGCCCCGCAACAATGCTACACACACACACTCACACCACCAACAATGACTTGCATGACTACCACTACTATGCTCTATGGATGGCGCATTGAAAAGTTCTTTAAGAATGCATGTTTGATTTTTCTATGAAGGAACGACTCATGATATTTAAAATTGCTAATGTTTGAAAAGAGAGAGAAATTGAGTGTGTAATAAATACGTTTTACTATTACAAGAAGGAGGAAATGAAAAAAGAGGAGAGAGAAAACGTGTGTGTGTGTGTGTGTATACAAGCACTTGTAATATGAAATGGTGGAGGGTCGTGGTGGTTTCAAAAGAGGGTGTAACCTTTTCTTTTACCATTGTGGATGATGAGATGGATACGCGTGTTGTAAAGGTGGCGGTGCAGAGCTCCAACCAAGTGAATTTTCTTGCATGATGGGCGCTGAGATGCTTTGAGCAAAGATTTGATGCTGTTCTGCTTCTTGTCGTTGCCGTTGATCTCGACGTTGACGATAGCGACGAATCACAAGCACCGTGCCCACTGCATAAACAACAACACCACAGGATACGGCAATACCAATAATGGCTCCTGTAGATAATCCACCTGATGACGATGAACTACCACTTGTATGGCTACCATCTTGTTCAGAAGCCGTGGTTCCAGATTCCTTGGGGTCATTAGGATCCGAAGGTGTGGATGAGTTGCCGTCACCATTGCTGCTGTTGCTACTACCACTACCACTACCGCCACTGCCATCATTATCATGGCTAACATTGGGGTCTAGAACAAAGCCAATGTGAGTATTAAAAGTTATATGATAAGGGGGGTGACGGTTTGGGGACCCGTACCTGAGTTGGAAGGTGATGCCACAAAATATGAGCTGTCAATCAAAGATGCGAGTTGGCCATTCGAGCTGTCGTACAAGCTGCTGTCTGTAGTAGAAACCATTTGTTGCAACTGTGGTACATGAGTCGATGGAATAGCCATAGAAACAAGGACTCCCGAATTGGACTTGGATTCGCTTGATTCCAGATCTCGACGTCGTTTGTTGTTGTTGTTGCCTCCTTTTCCTTCAGCCGATGTAATGCTCACCACGATAACATCATCCGCCGATACATTGAGTGAACCACTAATCATCACCGGCAATGATTGCACAAACTCAGCCGTCAATAATGCATCATTCACCATTTGTGGATACGACAAGTAGTTGAACTTCATTGATACAATCTCGCTTGAATCTAGGATCGTGTGTATATGTTAACGCGTTGTTGCTCGTGACGTTACACAAAAGTAATTAACATTGGTAAAAGGGGGGGGGCTGTGTAGCTTACCTGGGATAATAGCATCAATGTTGGGTGCAATGTACTCTGGCAAACTATCATCGGTTGGTGATGGTGCAGGCGTAGCGGTGGTCGTAGTAGTCGTAGTGGTGGTTGTTGTGGTTGTTTCATCAACACTAGTTGTACTATCGGTGTCATCAGATGTATGGGTTGGATCAACATCCTCAGTGGTAGTTGTGGTGGTGGTTGTGGTCGTGGTAGTAGGCTCTGGATCCAATGGGATACTGAATGTGTTGGATAACCATGAATACGTTTGATATTTGTATGTCGACGATGGTGAAAAAGTTGTTGTGGTCTCTTCTTCGGTGGTCGTCGGTGTTGGTGTAGGCTCATCAGTGGATGTAGGTGTCTCCGTCTCTGTGGGCTCATCGGTGGTGGATTCTTCATCAGTGGAAGTAGGCGTCTCAGTCTCCGTGGGCTCATCAGTGATGCTACTAGAAGATTCCTCAGTGGATGTAGGTGTAGGCTCCTCCGTTTCAGTGGGTTCTTCATCACCACCACCACCATCCGATGGCTCAAAGCTCGAAGAAGGTGTTTCAGTGGCGCTGTTAGAAAGAGATCCCGATGACATTGATGCTGTTGGTTTATGTGTTTGTGATCCATGCCATGTAATCATCTTGGTTGTGGTCGTAGATGTCTCACTGCTATACGAAGAACTCCAACCATCACCATCGATAGGCGTCGAAGATGGCTCATAAGAACTATACGATGATGACCAACCCGAAGCAATGGATGTTGGTTCGGCATCTCCATGGTGACTCTTGCTCATGCTGCCACTATGCTTGGGTGAAGATGTAGCAGTCCAAAAGCGTGTTGTCGATGTTTCATCATCATCATCATCATCATCATTTCCACTTGATGCTGATGCTGATGGCATGGGCGTAATCGAAGGATGATGGCTGCTGGCACCATTAGAAAAAGTGGGTGTTTTGCTGGCACCTACAGAGCAACCGCTGACTGAGCCATAGGTCATAAGAGGGCAACCATTGGAATCAGTAAGGCTAGGCGAGGGCTTTTTACTTGGTGTAGGTTTAGCTGAACAATCCTCATCATCCTCGTCGCATGAAGAAGAAGAAGAAGAAGCAGATGGCGTAGGAGTGGCTGATGATGATGATTCGCAATCTTCATCGTCTGGATCACATTTAGCTGATGATTTTGTGGGCGTCGGCTTTGTAGTTGAACAATCTTCATCATCTTCATCACATTCAGCACCAGATTTGCTAGAGCTCTTGGAGGCTGTAGGTGTAGCTGATGAACAACTTTTATCGTCGCCATTGCATTGATCATCATCATCACCACCATCATTGGATTCAGTAGGAGTAGGAGTCGCAAAAACACTTGAGAACCAACTATCAACAGCGCCTTGTTCAGTGGTGGATGCTGATTCACTTGCTGAGATGGAAGATGAATGTTCAGTGCTCTTTGGCTTTTTGGTCGTAGAAGATGTGTCATCTTTATCCGAGTTGCTGGATGATGGCGTCGGTGATTCCTTTACTGTGCTAGACTCCGATTCATCATCATCATCTGAAGATTTGCTGCTGCTACCTTTGATCGTTGTAGTAGTGGATTCTTCAGGCTCTTCGCTTTTGGATGCTGATGAAGAAGAATGGTGCGTGGTAGTGGTGGGGGTGGATTTACTCTCACTCGATTCGGATAACGAAGATGAATGAGATTTTGTCGTTGTTGTTGTTGTGCTGGTCGTTTCATCAGGATCATCATCATCATCATCGTCATTTGTAGAAGGTGTTTCTGATGGTGTGTTGGTGGTGCTGGTTTCTTCAGAATCGGATCCATGAAAAAAATCGGACACCTTTCCCCAAAAATCCTTTGATGTAGTTGTTGTTGTAGTAGTTGTAGTAGTAGTGCTGTCGTCCTCATCCTCTTCTTGATCTTCATCGTCTTTTGCACTTGTCGTTTCCTCGGTGGCAGCTGCTGTGATAGTACTCGATGCTTCATCACTTATCGACACGCTATTGGATGCATGATGTGAAGTGCTGCTGGACAATGAGCTGTGGTGGTGTGATGCATTCGTGCTGGACGCGTGAGACGACTACAATAACAACTGAATGAGTATATATAAAAGCGACATTGGAGTTGAATGGGAGGTTACATTGCTTTTAGTCGAGATTTCCGAGTCTGGTTCATCGGATGGATCAGCAGCGGCGACGATGGACAAGAGCAAAGAGGAGATGAGGAAAAGGAAAAGGATGCGAATAAAAAAACTGCTTATAGAGGAGTTCCTTTTGATAACCATCTAGCAGCTATAGTAGGCACATCAAGAACGAGTGGTATGGGTGGGTTTGTGATTGAAGGAACGGAATGGAAGACCGTGCAGGTGTATACGAAAGAGAGAAAAGAAGAAATCAAAGAGGAGGAAGAGAAGAAATGGGATGTTACTTTGAGTCTAGAGCTAAATGCAGGTTCCATGGAGTTACATGCTGGGTAACTTTGGCCAATTTCCTCGTCCTACCCTACCCTGTGTTCCCAACAGGGATTAGCCTTGTAGGTTGCCATTCTCGGTGCATCAACACGTTGCTTGGGATCATCAGGCAAATGGTCGTTGTCTGCACGACAAAAAACCTTGCATGCAGTATCTTGATATTGTGCATCTCTCTTTTATCATTCTAGATCCTCACAAGCGTGCAATGGATCAATCAACCATTGTATATGCATCCATGCTTGTCAAATAACGCGTGCCTGAACTATATGCAACTCAGATGCCCTTGTTTGTATTCGCGGGTCATCCTTGGGCAAAATATCATTGATATGCAATTAATGCGGCCCTTAAAGTTTACAACCTACACAAAAAGACCTTGCATGTCATGGCCCGCTTCCATACCACACAAGATGTATATGCGTGTCATTTGCGATCTTTCATTTCGACCTGTATCATCTACCTTTTGCATATGAAGCACTAAAAATAAACTTCAATACAATGGGCAATTGTACGTTACAATTCCATTCATTCATCCTTGTCCGACAGATCCACAACTGCTTCTTTTTTCGTGCGTCTTCCCTCTTTTGAATAACGTCGGAATGTTACGTGGAAGTGATGATGATAAAGCCTCTCTCCATCTTCTTTTCTCTCTCATCTCCTTTTCTTTCATATCCACTCCACGAGCACGTATAACGCGGCGGGATCCAATTTTATTTTTACCCTATGTCCATTGTCCTCTTTTTATCATAGTAAGAATCCCAGCAGTGGATCATGTAATGTTGCATGCATGTATCACAATGCAGCAGCAGTAACACGCTCAACATCCTTAAATGGGTCATTGGCTTTGTCAATTGTAACCATCGTCTATGATTGCCCTTTTACGCGCCTTTTTTGTGACCTCGCCTGATACAGCGCGATCTAGTACAACATCCTTTCCAATGGCATGTGTTTCTTGTACCATTGGGCGTGCGAACATACTTCACGCATAAGCGTTTTCATTTCAGGAACACCCGACCACTGATTCAGATACAAGAACAATGGGGGGAGATGCTCACGGCCAGCTATCTTTTTCAATCCACGCACTCTATTTCTCCCCCGCATAATAATCCTCTCCCATCCAATTGGAAACAAGGAGTCTCATCGAAGAAGCATGTAATTGTTATTGGCTACTGGGACAATGAACATGATGCTTTGTTTAATGGGCTTGTTGAGCAAACAATGAGCAATGAAAGCAAAAGCGGGGAACAATCAAAGTTGTAGTGTTGAAATTGACATGGCTAGTGTGGGAACCTGCCGACAGCACCACTCTCTCTCTCTTCCTCTCTCTCTCTCTCTCTATTTGTATCATGGACCCCAATACCCAAGACGAGAACTCCTACGATTATGTCTTCAAGATTGTCATTGTGGGCGATTCGGGTGTTGGAAAGACAAACTTGCTCGGTCGATTCGTTCACGACACCTTTGACCTTTCTTCAAAGTCGACCATTGGTCTCGATCTCAACATCAAAAACATGAAAGTCAAGGACAAGCTTGTACGTGTTCAGTTATGGGATACTGCTGGTCAAGAACGATATCGATCCATCACGAAGCGGTAAAGAAAACAACACCACCACTGCAACAAGAGAGCTAATTCATTATCATTGTTATAGGTATTATCGAGGATCAGTAGGGGCATTGCTCGTATACGACATTACTCGACATGACACTTTTGAGGACATCATTCGATGGTTGAACGAGATTCGAATGAACGATGCTCATCCGGAGACTGTCATTATGCTGGTGGGCAATAAATCGGATCTAGAGCAGGACCAACGTGCCGTATCACAAGATGAAGCTGCCAAATTCGCAAAGGATCATGGTCTCATGTTTATGGAAACAAGTGCCTTGGATAGAAGCAACGTCAATGATGCATTCGATACCCTCATACACCAAATCTTTGACAAGCTATCAAGCCGTCTCACAACCTTGAGCGACAAACAAGCCATGTTGATGCGTGGTGAAACTATCAAGCTCGATCATACCCCGTCTTCAGCAACAACAGGTCCCGGCAATCAGAATGGATGCGCTTGTTAAGGATTAGACAGAGATACACACACCACTTCCAATACCACACACACACCCACACATTGTATATATTTACTACTAAAAACGAGACCGTGATCACTTGTATTTTGAAGGAAAAGGATAATACTACTACCAATGATGATGACTACTACAACAGGCTACTACTACTAAGGATCATGGATTCAATATTTGGGGATTTGACTTTGGGGAGAGTAACATTGGATTGCTATACACGGCCTGAAAGAACATAATGAGTAGCCCTTTTTGTATCCTTGAATCAGAGATTAGAAGATACGAGGAGGGAAAGGTGGTTGTGGAGGGAATGGTGGGAATGGAGCTGGAGGTGGGAACAAGGTTCCTGGAGGAAGAGTTGGAGGGAAAGGTGGTTGTGGGGGGAATGGAGGGAAGGGTGCAGGTGGAGGGAACAAAGTGCCTGGTGGAAGGGTTGGAGGGAAAGGTGGTTGAGGAGGGAATGGAGGTAATGGAGCAGGTGGTGGGAATAATTGAGAAGGATCGGCGGCTTGGTTGCCATCACTACAAAATGATCCATTTGGGTTATGCTATTGCACTTTGATATAGAGAAATGATACAACTTACGATGGTTGGACATCTTGGGTCTGAGCTTGCTGATCGTCACCTGCAGGGGCAGCAATGGATTGTTGAACAAGTCCAAGGAACGCAAGAAGGAAACTCAAGAGTATGATAAAGCGCATAGTGAAAGTTTGTGAATACGAGGATGATGGAGGTTAACATCGCCTGCCAATGTTGAGCTGCTTTTATACTGCGTTTCTTGTTTATCACCAAGACGTGATTACCTGCTTTTGATGCAGTGATATACGATCATTTTGTGCATATACGATAAATGACGCTATATGAAATCCTGATTAATGGGCTTACGTGCATGGCCTTGTGTACTGAAAACATCGCATGGTGAGATGTTGTAGGTTTATGCGTGATAGAATAGCCTGTTTAGGTTAATGCCTATTCAATCATTGACCTTCCGCGGTGCTGTAGCTTCATGGCCTTTATGCAACGACTTGTCAATCAATGATAAAATTGCTTTGGATGTACATGTTTTATCAAGGGCACAACGTCTGGTGATCGTTGCCACCTGCTAACATAAGGAGACCTGATTTGTATATCATTGATGAGAAAAAGAGCAAGCTCAAAGCTTGTAACAGAATACAGCGAACATTGTACGTACTCTCATTTTGTTGAAGGCAAGGCTCATCCTGAGGTACAGTGGTTTGAGAATATGTATTTACTTTAGTACTCGTCAAGATATTTACAAGGCTATGCTACACGGCTATGCAGTGAATTTATATAGTATCTCAGGCCTTGATGGCCTCGGCATTCATTCGTTGACGACGCCACTTGGGTCCATGCGATAATGCAAGCACCAAAGTTACTCGGGATAAGAGCAAGGCAGCTGAGATGACAGTAAAAGCCCATCCAACACCTACGACTTGTATCGTTGGTAATACCATCACTGTCGCCAAAGCTCCAAAGAAGCAGCGAAACATGTTGTTGGTGGCTGTCACGGATGCAGATTTGTCTGGGAAAAGATCAACCAAGAGCGTTTGTGATGCATTAAAGATAGCTTGTGAGGTGAAGCCCACTAGTAAAGATGATGGATTACAATGAGCATCGATGAATAGGATTCCCTTTCAAATGACTTACGAATAAACTGAATCGAGAGCACCATGGCAATATGGATTTTATAGTAGAGCATCCAACCATATACCACGAAAAGCACATTGAATAGCATGGCATGTATCCACAAGGTACGAAGTCGTGCATGTTCGATTGGAAAGTCGTGGTTTTCGTCAGTGTAATGGAACTGCATTAGGCGCTTGTAATTGTAGTTTAGCACCTTGCCTTGAAAAACGGATCCCACTATACAGCCTATTCCATTCGCAAGGTATGAAGCACCAATCAGGCTTTCATTGAGCTGATAGACGCGTGAAAACAAGTATGGCATGGATGTAGTCATTGCGTAACATGCTCCATATTGAACTCCATATAAAAGTAATAGGACCAGCACATCCCATTCCTTGGCGTACAATAGTGGTTGGAATGGCAGCAAAACAACTTGTCGCAAGGACCAACTTTTCCATTTTTTCTTTTCTTCACGTGGAGGTACTACCACTGTTGCAGCGTCATCCAAGGTTGCTGGATCAGTAACACCACCACCACCACCGCTTGATGATTGTTGAGTAGTGCGTTGATGCTGCCACCATTGCATAGGTGTTGGATTGGCATAGCCTGATCCATTTCCTACCAGTGAACGTAGTGTCTCGGGAAGCCAGCACCCAAGAACTAGCCAATGTATGCCGCAAATGATCGCCATTGTCCAAAAGATCCATCTCCAACCGAGGTATTGTGATAGAAAACCTCCTATTGCTGGTCCAAGCAAAGGTGCAATGTTAAAGCCCAATGAGTACCATCCAAGGTATCCACCTCGTTCAGAGGGTGGTGCAATGTCCGCTGTCAAAGTCCATCAGCCATTATGATGCATGATTTAAAAGATCAACTTACCAATGGTGCCTGCACCAATAGCAATGACAGAGCTTGATCCAAAGGCTTGTAACATTCGAAATAGAAGCAAGGCAACATAGCTTGATGCAAGTGCTGTGCCAATGGATGCTAGGATGTAAACAAAAAGCGTTGCAAGGTATACTGGACGTCGACCATGTGTATCTGCTAGCACGCTCCAAAATGAAGGTGATATAGCTTGGAAGAGCATGAACACGGTGACTGACAAATTTCTATAAAAGAAAGGCGTTCATGTTTGTTATCTTCATGCTTCCCTTTGGATTTCTTGAACTTACACTTGTTGGGTGGTTATATTGAGATCCTATATAGATGGCATTAGTAATGGCTATTATTGTTGTTTATGCAGCATAGCATCTCACCTGCTCAATTTTTGCCAAGGCTGGAAAGTAGCTGTTAGCCGAGAACGGAGAGAAAAATGCAGCCATGGATGCCAGGACAACAATGACCCGCTTCTTTGTTGGTGAAAAGATCGAATACGCAGTGTCGTCGACAACCGTAGATGCACTACTGGTATTGCTGACAACACTTGCGGAAGGCAAATCTTTGCTTTTCTCATTCAAGGTTCGCAGGTTTTTGGTGTTGATCGGCCTCGGTCGAAAGCTTGTGCGTCTTGATCCACCACGTATTACAACGATACAATCATCACGATGATATTGGCGCTGCTGCATCTTCTCCTCTTCATCATCTTCATGATAATCATATTGAGCAGCCGGTGCACTGGATGAGCGCGTGTGTTTCTTGTTGGTCGCCATCCTTCCCGGAAATGCAATGTGATCCTAAAGCTACACTTTTGATATGTACAAGAATGGTCACAGCGAGTTGTGAGGACGAGTAAAAGGGGAGAAAGAATACAGAAAATACGCGCCCTGCAATGGTAGTAGTAATGGCTCTGAAAGTTGTTTGTTTTCAAATATGATTCTACTGATTTTCTCTCTCTCTCTTTTATTGTGTGGAGCATTAACATGTTGTATTTCATTACAAACCAACAAGCTGATACTGGTAGAAAACAAAGTCGGTGATTGCCCTATAACATCGTGTTGCATTGTATAAGGCTACTATATTTTTGACAATATGTTCTTCCTGGAACATGAGAAGATGCCAAACGGTTGATTTTGCAACAATGACATTTTTCATCTCACGTTCATCTAGGACTCGTGTGTGGGGTAACAAGAACGTGGGGGGGGGGACGCAACAAGATCATTTTTCTAGATGTCAAAAGTGAAACATGCCATGTTCTCGGAAAAAGCATGATGAAACTTAATGCTATCCAAAGTATTGGGTGCTCGTTTATGGTATGGGGATCGCCATTATCGACATAATGCAGCTTCGGAAATAATACAACGCCGACGTTTCCTGGCAACCCCTCTTTCTTTCCAAATTAGGCGAACAAAAGACCTGCATCACTTATAACCTGCTGTTGCACTGATTGGAGATGGCGACAACTTTCAACATCTGGAATGACAATTGCAGAGCGTTTATTTATTGTTACAGGAGGGTACTGTATTATTCACTACGATGACAACTACAAATGACGGTATTGACATTGTGTATGATAGGGCAAGTGGGTTAGGTAAACAAGTGGTGGAAAGCCTGGTCGCTCAAGGTGCCTTTGTTGTTGTGCGTAACAATGAAGCTCAATCAATGTTATTATCTTGTTCACCCATGATGGTTCATTCATAGATTATCGATATCAACTTTGCAGGATCCGAAAAGGTGGTAGCCACGCTTGGGAAAGATCACGTATACTTTCCTGGATCAGTCGATGTATCAAGCGAGGTAAGCAATGAGGAAATAAGCTATCCATTGATATTCACTGCTGCAATGATAGGAACAAGTCAAGGAAGCTCTCCACAAAGGCGTTGCACAATTTCCACAGGCCATCCTTGCAGGTGCTATCATATGCAGCGGTGTTGTTTGGCCACCACATCATTTGGAAGGCTATGGACCAGAAAATGCATTGACAAGCTTTGAGCAATTCAAGCATATCGTGAATGTCAATCTTCTCGGCGCGTACAACGTTGCACAGCAAGTCGCCAATCTCCTTGTCAAGAATGACCCATTTGATGATGATGGTATGTAACATTTTTATGGGTGGTATTACATCACGATAACCAAGAGGATGTGTCATGCATGAATAGGCCAGCGAGGAGTTATCATCACAACGTCTTCCATAATGGGTCTGGATGGTTCATTGTTGGCCTATGGAACATCAAAAGGTAAAAAAAAAGGTTCAAGACTTGGTAAGATGCATGGATTACTGATAGCTTCTTAGCGGGTGTTGCTGGGATGACACTACCAATGGCACGTGAGCTTGCTAATTTTGGAGTGCGTGTGATGAGCATTGCCCCTGGACCTTTTGGTATGTTGTGGTGCTTAGTTGACACGACCTCAAAGTATCTCACAACCTTTTTACTCACTTTTATCAATAGAGACGCCTTTGGTGCACGCCGTACCTAATGTGCAAGCCCCAACTTGTTTGTTTCCCAAACGTTATGGCAGACCAAGCGAATTTGCCGATCTTGTGCTACACATTATTGATAATCCGATGTTGAATGGATCCGTGATCCGACTTGATGGTGCCATTAGGGCTTAGGCATATTGACAAAAGTGACGGGTAGCATCATTTGCAGGAAACTGGAATAAAATGGAAACTGCAGGTTATTGTGCATATACATAACAAAGAAAAGCGACGAAGAAAACGGGCTGGTCATATGCCTCTGTGACAAAGCAATGCAGCTATTGGTTTTTTATGCACGTTATGCATATCGTTGTTAGCCACGTAAAGGATCACTGCTTCTCCTTTTAATCATGTAAGTCGCATTTGATTTTCTTTCCAGCGATACGCACTTGACCATGGGACGCAGTTGCAATGATGAGGAAGCTTCACCACCATCACCACCACCAACAGCAACCAACGAGAAAAAACAGCATCACTTTTCTTCCATAATAATCACCAACAGCATTGGTATGGCCCTCAATGGGTATATTGCCGGTGCCACTGGATTTTTGATCCTCCTATTACTCAAAATCTATGGAGCAACAATTGTGAATGAGCATGTGCAAGCCGCTTTTACATACATCTTCCTCGCTGCTTATATTGTGGGCGAAGCAGGTAACTTGTATGATCCCTTCAACAATGGCATTAATTCCTAGTCAATGTCATAATCACCCATATAGGATTTGGTTTCCTCATTGATTATATTGGACGTAAGAAGGGATTGGTCATCGTCGCATCACTCATATTGCTTGGATCAATCGGATCAACGTCATCCAATGGAACGACACCAAATCAATTGGTATGGCTATTAATTGGCTTCCGTGTTATCATTGGTATTGCCCAAGGTGGCGAGTATCCTTGCAGCGCTGTATCAACAACCGAGTCAACTGCTCATATAAAGGCAAAGCGACGAGGCATGATCATTATTGGGGTAAATGCATGCAAACAACATGTGGACGAAAACAACGCTGTTGACACTTCTTTTTATCTATATCATAGACCACCTACCTTATGGTTGCAGGGGGATACATCATCACAGCTGTGGTCACAGTCATCCTCGTCGCGATATTTAAAGACAACCTTGAGCCAACTTGGAGGCTGCTTGTCGGCTTGCCCATCATTCCCACTGCATACATCCTTTACTGTTAGTATCATAAAGGAGAAAATTACTGTCACAATCACCTTGGACACTGACAGCATTGCACATAGATCGGATTTTTCATATCCCTAATGAACAAAGAAAGAGGCCTAATGTTGAAAAAGGAAATGTGCATATGAAATCATCAACATGTATCTTTTTCCGCCACTATTGGTTTCGAGTAATGATCCCCACAATCTTGTGGATGGCGTATAACTTCATCTTTTATCCAGCTAGCGTATTTTCAACTCTCATTTTGGATAAGGTAGCCGACAATGCTTCTATTATCTCAACATGTTCTTGGAATATTTTGATCTTTGTATTCCAGTTAATTGGACAATCGATATCCTGCCTCGCGGTTGACACACTCGGACGGCGATGGACTGCAATGTTGGGGTTCTTTGGGCAAGCACTTGTTGCCTTTATTGTGGGTGGATGTTATCAACAGCTCACATCCAATTGTTTTCCACTCTTCGTGGTAAGCTACTGAAACAAGCATCTACAAGCTGACATACTTAGCATCCTTGTTATTATTGCCATAGTTTTTATACGGCACTTTGCTGGGCTTTGGTGAAGTTTCAGGGATGATACCTAGCATCTGCCTAACAGAATACACCCCAAGAGATTACCGTGGGACAGCTTACGGTATAGGATCAGGTACCGTTGTTCATTTAAAAATGACTTGGCATATAATTGAGGCAGCTCACAATACCAATTCACCCATATTACAGGTTTTGCCAAAGCAGCAGGCCTTGTCGGTGTCGTTACGCACTCATACATGAAAAAGCAATTTGGCATTGATGGCGAATTTATCATCTTTGGTATCATCGCTTCCCTGTGCGGCGTTACTGTGTTTTTGTTTCTGCAAGAAACTGCTGGCCCAGGAGTAATGGAAAAAGCAGATGAAGAATTTGAACACTATTTGGAGACACGGAGCAAATCACAATCAATGGGCGTGGTGCAACAACAATGATAATAGCAACAATAGATGAATGGCTTGATGACCCCATTATTGATAAAGCTCTTTTGAATACTAGCAAAGTAAAACACAAAGCGTTGCCATGGTTCCTGTTGCATGGCTACCACGCCAGCAGCTTCTCGATTATAAAACCCAACCGAGTATTTTGAAAGGCTTCCCCTGATTTGGGTACATAGATATCACACATGACAAGCTGCATCACCATGCATAATCAGCATTATTATTTAGGGTGAAAAATGCATACAAACTTTTGGTAACCCCCCCTTTTCCGCTTCTTTTTTTCCCTTTCGGTTACGCATACCTTATGCAGGATTCTAGCGATGAGCATTGCGAAGAGCCTACAAGCTCAAAGAATCGATCAAAATCAATCCTCGCTATCATTACCAATAGCATTGGGATGTTGACAAATGGATACCTTGCTGGTTTACTCAGCTTTGTGCTACTGATACTCCTCAAGATCCATGGCCCAGATGTTGTAAATGGTCCTATGCAAGATGCTTTCACGTATGCCCCTACGGTCGGCTACCTCATAGGCCAATTTGGTAAGTAAAGTCTTCTTCGATACTCGTTAACCAGCCATGTTGATGACTATAATAAATGCAGGATTTGGAAAGCTCGTTGATCTTATCGGCCGCAGGATTGGGCTTATTGCCGTCGTGTGCATTATCCTAGTAGGATCCATTATGATGACTGCTGCCAATGGTACAACGCCATCCGGGTTGATGTGGATGGTGGTGATATCTCGCTCTATCATTGGTTTTGGTCTAGGAGCAGAATTCCCATGCAGTGCTACATCCTCAAGTGAACTTATTAGCAGTATCAATGTTAAGCGTCGTGGAATGGCATTGCTTTGGGTAGGCACGAACCTTGTCAATCATGTAAACCCTTATCATTGATATGCAGCTTTCTTTTGCCGTAGTCATTGTATCTGATGATTGAATTTGGCACAACAAGTGCAGGTGTGGTCACAATAGCCATCCTTGCTATCTTCAAAGAGAATCTCGAAGCATCTTGGCGACTTCTTTGTGCATTACCAATCATCCCATCAGCATTTTTGCTTTATTGTCAGTGTTGGATAAAAGTGAGAACGCACGTAAGGATACTAACTTTTTGGTCATCATACCTATAGACCGGCTGAAATTCATGAAAGACATGACCTATGAAGGCAACATATCCAGTAAACGCAAGGTGCCAGCTTCGATCATCATTCGCCGATATTGGTTCCTGGTATTGACCCCATCTGTATTGTGGGCGCTTTATGATTTCGTGTACTTCCCAAGCAGCATGTTTTCAGGAGTTATTCTCGATCGCGTGGCAAAGGATGCGCCCTTGATTAAAACTTGCGCTTGGAATATTTTGATCAATGCGTTTTACGTACCGGGTATGCTTGTATCAGGAGCACTAGTCGACATCATCGGTCGTCGTTGGACCGTCATACTGGGGTTAATCGGGCAGGCTTTAATTGGCTTTATCTTGGGTATATGGTATCAGCAGCTGGTAGATAACTATTTCCCCCTTTTTGTGGTAGGTTTCAACGATACATCAGGCACTTGAGATAATCATACGTGGTGGGACTTAGGTGCTTTACGGCATTATGCTCGGATTCGGTGAGGTGTATGGCTATGTTGGAAGCATTTGCGTCTTGGAATCCACACCACAGCATATAAGGGGTACAGCATACGGTATAGCAGCAGGTAACACATATCAATATGATTTATTGGACGAGGTTGTATAAGTAGTTAACAAGAAGTTTATGATGGGGCTCTAAAGGATCAGGCAAGATTGGAGGTGTGGCTGGTTCTGCATCACACTCTGCTCTTGTAAACCGCTTTGGTCTGACAGGTGCCTTCATCACTATTGGTGTCACAGCTTCAATCGCAGCTTTGATTGCTGCATTATTCCTGCAAGAGACAAGGGGTGAAAGGATGATGGAGAAATGTGACGAGGACTATGAGCGTTACCTGGCGCAGTGTGGTTTTAGCGTTAGGCCAAAGGATACGCAAAGTGATGAGGAGGCGTAACGTGACAATCGAGCCATTGTTCACCATACACATAGTAGCCTTTGTAATCGATCTTTTCCTACGAAACCCCCACATCATGGTTATAAGACCTCCATGCAAGAGATAATGTCATGTACATTTTTATTTCAAATAGCTATGTAGATATACATTCATTTTGATGGTATACGGTTGAAAAGAAGCTGTTGATGACACATGAGGCTGTGCAAGCCGCAAGTCTAATATAAACGATATGCATCTTGTATTATACGTCTCTTATGAATGATGAAGAGAGGACGTAAGCACAATACGTAAGGCACAACACGTAAGCCGTAAAGAGAGTCAACACGTAAGCGTCCATGCGGATTTATTTGATATGGTCACACAAAGCTCCACATTATCGAGGTTCATTCACTCTTCCGCACCGCGTCTATTTCACTTGTATATGCTAATCCACCATGGCATCCAATGAGCTCCAACTTCTCGGTACGAGTTAATCTATATCCACCCTTGCTGCAAGTATAACTGATCTGGAGCTATGCATAGAAAATGTGGAGCTAAAGATCGCCATGTGCGACACCGATGCCCAGTTTGAGCGCTGCATCAACCTGTTCCTGGCACCCGTGCTACTCAAGTTGGCGAGTCCTCATGAGCAAGTCAAAAGAAAGGTAGGTCAATGGTGAACATGGTGGTGCACCTGGATTCTGACAGGCCGTTGTATTGGAAACAAGGTTATGGAGCTGCTCTCGCATATCAACAAACGTGCCAAGCCCAACACATCTATCAAGCTCCCTTTTGATGCACTTGTAAAGCAACTCATCGATGATCAAGTATCCACCTTTGTCAAGAACTTTACGATTATCTATTTGGAGATGTGTGTGGAGCGCATGACACCCGAGGAGACCGTACAGCATATCCCAAGCTTCCTCAAAGGAATTGCTCGCCGACCTGAATCACAGCGCACAGCTATCTTTCACATGGTGCTGCCAGTAAGTGTATGGAAAAGGAGAATGATGGAATGGTATTGACTTTGTATGTAGATATTAAGGAAATGGGAGATGGAGCCAGGAGAGCAGAAGACAGCACGACAAGATGTATTCGAATTCGATCAGCATCCCGAGGACGCAGCAACGGTGTTGAAGTTCTTCCTTAATATCATGCTATACCATCCATTGACTCGATCACAACAAGAACAAGAAGGACCTATCATCTATCCCGGCCTCAGTGCAGCTGACGTTGAAAACATCACCAACAAGGGCAAAGTGACATGGACATCTAGCAAAATCAATGAAGCTAAGGTATATACAAGCTTTGAGAATAGGGGCGAAGGATCAACAAATGTCTGAAGATGGGGTATTATTCAGCTAGGAATCCTCAAGTTTATCCTATCATATATTTTCACCGATGAGGAGCGGTTAAGGATATTGATTGCTGGTGCTTGTGATGCGAATCATGAGGTGGTTTCCATGTCTGAGGATGGTATCAAGCGCTGGACAAACAATGTGGATTTCGAAAGCACCAGCTGCATTCAATCTTTGTACACCATGTACTTGGGAACAAAAGGCTCTGGTAAGTGATTGAGGCTTGTGAACGGGTTGCATCTAGCGTTGATGCTAATTTAGTATGACAGGTCCAAAAGACAGGCAAGCTCCTGCATCTATTCCAGTCAAGATCCGCATATTGCATTTCCTGTCAAAGTCGATCCTCGCAACCAACATGCCAACACAAATGATTCAAGTGATCTTTGATGGTATCTATGGTATGAAAATGACAACCATTCCTATATTTCAAAACACTTATCATTGTGCTGTTTCATGTAGGCGATTCATCTACCACCAAATTACGTCGATCAACAATGTCATTTCTTCAATGGACTGCTCGCATGGTTGGTATAAGGATGGATAGGAGGGCTTTGATACAACGATTAACGATATTTATTAGGGTGATGCCAGCAAATTGGAACGCATTGCACCTATCCTCGTCTCTGGTTTACTCAAATACATCAACGAAAATGAAGATGTCAGTGGCCATGGTAATTGGAAATTTTGGAGAAGGGTGGATTTGAATAATGGTTGTGATGCTCACCAAGATTATCTTTGGTGTAGACGCCGAAAGCATCAAGGGGTATGCCTATGTTGGATGTGGACTTTTATGCAAGAAAGGTAATCCTTATTCGGTGGTAAATGCCTACGTAGCTCCGTAGCTGACATGAGGTTTTTATGTTTTCAGTGCCCCAGGTTGCATTGAATGACCCAAAGATTCTGGAACTCTTTTTCGAGAGGCTTGAGTATGAGCACCCGAATGTGCGTACATATGTTCAAGACGCCTTGGCATCGATGATTGCGATCTATACGGATTTGGATGAAGGAGCATCAACCTATGCAGCTGTAAAGAACATCATCTTGGAGAGTGTACAAAAGGTATCTTTTTACTTTGCCATAGCTATGAGAAACGTGGATACTAACTAGGTATCAATCCATAGACAAATTCTGCATCTCGTTATATGGCTCTCAAGTATGCCAACGCTGTGTATCCCTTCTCTTCCGTTTTTGCTCGATACGTTTGCTTGCTTGGAAGTTCCTCCAGTGTGAAGAAGCTAGAGATCAAGGAAGAATCAGCACGAGGTCTCCATCCTTTCCAGAGAACAGCATCCGGTGCCTTCACAACCACCGCTGATATTGTGCCTGCTTCAGCACTCCCTGCATTTGAAGATTTGGTGACCTATCTTGATCAGCATAAGCCAAGTGACCAATACACCTATGATTCAAAGACACCCATTGTACGAGGATACCCGGTGGAAGTGTATTCAGAAATCATACGTTTTGTTCGAATGATTCTTATTTTGGAAGCCAATCCTTCTACGATATTGATCGATCAGTATGTGGAGAGCAAAGTGGATAACAGTATGGCGGATGATCCAGTGGTTATGGACAACTTTAAGAGATACATCGAGAGCTGCTGGTCTGGAGCTGATCCTAAGAAGAAAGAGGCACTTGAATTATGGTTGCGATTCATTGAAAACTCGTTGGACAAAGACCTCAAGGGTAAGAATGAGCAAACAATGTACCATTTCAACGTCATTAATGGGTTATTATTCTATTATTGCAGACTTGGTTCTTCTTACTACAGCTGCACAATCCCTCTTGGAAATCATATCGTTTGGGCCTGCATCCATATCCACTTCTTTGAAGGATCGATTGGAGTTCTTCAAGTCTTTCACTCTCTCAGAGAAACAGGACGCACGTGATGTCATGTCCCACATCTTTGGTATTGTTGCAAGCGACCCATCCATTTCTACACAACAAGTTGAGACCATCCTTGGTGAATACTGTGATTTATTGGATAAGCCTTTATCGTCCCATGGTGGTGGTATCGACGTGGATCGTGCCCACGGTGCCATATTAGCAATGGGTTTCCTTCTTGGACGTTGTATCTATCGTAAACGACAACTGCAAGTTGAGCTTATTCGACGTTGTATCCAGTGCCTTGCAAATCAATTGGAAGGTGCTCCTGGTGTCACTTTTACACTACTCGCTAGTGCAGCATGCCGAGCTCTCGCTGAAATTGGACGTATTGAGGCACTCCCATTATTGGAGAATGATAAGCGCAAACGCAAAGACGAGGATGCGGCTGACAGCATGGAAGTGGATGGTGAAGGAAGCACGTTGACTTCTCGCAAGGTCATTGATCAGCTTTCCAAGATTGTCAAATCCAGTGGCAAGGACCCCAAAGTACAAGAACAAGCAATCCTAGCTTTGGGTCAGCTATCAATTCCATACAGTAGCAAGAGCGATAATGTTACCACCGTCGTTGATACCTTGTTTGCATCGGCTGATACAAAGCAAATCGAATTGTTCTTTGCTGGTGGAGAGGCTTGGTCAATGGTGGCATTTGGTTGGAAATCACAGGCCATACAAAAGCACAAAGATATCAGCAACGTGGAGTTCCCTGATCAAAGCGATATGCAAAAAGAAGAAGCCTTCCAGAGTGTGATTGAAAAGATTACCCGCACCTATGTTACTAGCGATCGATCATGGTACAGGAAAGCATCTTGTATTTGGTTGCTATCAATCTTGAAATTTGGCAAGGATGAGCAATTGATTCAGGTAACATCATGTGACCACCCAATGTGATTTTTATTCATGTATCTCTTTTTTTATATCAGAAAAACCTTGGATTGATGCATGCATCGTTCTCGAGACTAATTGGCGATCGTGATGGTATGGCTTTCTTTTACTTTTATCATTCAATGTATTGCTAACAGAAAGCTTTACTAGATTTCACACAAGAAGTGGCGTCAAAGGGTCTTGGATTGGTGTACGAATATGGTGATGCCAAGATCAAGGAGGACATGTTATACTCGCTTGTGGGGACCTTTACGGAAGGCCGAACAATCCAGGCACAATCTGTCACCGACAACACAGTGCTCTTTGAAGAAGGCGACCTTGGAACAACACCTGATGGTAGCTCTATCACAACGTACAAGGAACTTTGCTCCCTTGCCTCTGAATTGAATCAGCCCGATCTTATCTACAAGTTCATGAACCTTGCTAACCACAACGCTATTTGGACTTCTCGTCGTGGTGCTGCCTTTGGTTTCCAAAACTTGATGGCAATGGCTGAAAAGGAGCTGGAGCCTTATCTTCCACAATTGGTGCCCAAGCTTTTCCGTTATCAATTTGATCCAAACACCCAAGTGAACCAGACCATGAAAGCTATTTGGCAATCTTTGGTGAAGGATAACCAAAAGACGGTCGACAAGTATTTCGACGAGATCATGGAAGATGTTTTGGCAGGCCTTGGTAATCGACAATGGCGTGTGCGTGAGGCATCCTGCGCAGCAGTAACAGATCTTGTACAAGGAAGGCAATTGGCACAAATTGAGCCATACTTGGAGCGCTTATGGAAAATGTGTTTCCGTGCATTGGATGATATCAAAGAATCCGTACGACGGGCAGCAACTCAATCATGCAAATCACTTACCAAGCTCACCGTTCATTACTGTGATCCCAATGTGGTGTCTGCTGCTGATGGTGCAAAGGTTATCAATATCGTCATGCCATTCCTCATTGAAAAGGGCATTGTATCCGATGCTGAAGATGTCCGCAAATTTAGCTTGGATGCTTTATTGCGTATATGCAAGACTGGTGCTTCATTGCTCAAAGGATTTATCCCTGAACTCGTGGATGTTTTGTTACAATCTTTGTCATGTGAGTGTTTTCTTTCAGGTCATTATTATCAAAAACTTACACGTTCCTTTTAGCAATGGAGCCTCAAGCCATGAACTACCTAACCTTCCATGCCGAAAAGTATAATATTACTCAAGAGCAGGTATGTGTGCCGAGATGGGATCATGGTGATAACGAGGGTGACTAAGAAGGGCTATAGTTGGATAGTGCTCGTTTGAGTGGCGCCAAGAACTCCCCAATGATGGAAGGCATCGAGCATTGTGTAAACCAAATTGATGACAACGTTATGCAAGAGTTGAGTCCTCGAATTATCAACATCATCAAAAAAGGCACTGGTCTCCCAACAAAGGTAAGTGAAAAAAGTAGTGGAGTTCAAAATTTGAGCATTGACATTGTATGTTATAGGCTGGATGTGCTCGCTTTATTGTGACATTGTGCATGAACCGACGTGGCGTCTTTGAACCATATGCAGATACGTTTTTGAAGGCTCTTAGTGGTGCAATTCGATCCAAGAATCCAGTTATCCGACGCTCTTTTGCTACTGCTACGGGTTACGTTTGTCAACTTGCATCATATGATCGATTGTGTTCTTTGGTTCGACATTTGAAAAAGCTCTACGTGGAAGAAGGCAGTGGTAAGATAGGAAAACGTTTTGCATGGCGATGATGCTCATCATGTATTTTCTTCGATCCAGATGAAGATTCTCGTGCTGCAAGTGCTGTTACAGCGGTGGATATTACTCGATTCGCCACAGACCGTATGAACTCGATTGCATCCGAAGTCGTACCTCTTATTTATGTTGGAGAGCATGATCCCGACAAGGACCTCCAAAAACTTTGGAAAGATGCTTGGGAAAATCTGACATCAGGTAATGCTGCCATAGCGGATGAGAGATCGATACAAGGCTGATATAGGATCCTTATAGGTACAAGAAGTTTGGTGGTATTACACACCGACGAGATCATTGACTTCGCTCAGCCCTTACTTTCCTCGCCATCATGGGGTACGAAGCAAACAGCGGCATTGGCTATCGCGGATTTATGTAAAACGGGTGGAAAGAATGTTGCACAACACGCCAGCAAATTGATGCCAGTGATGGTATCAACCCTCGCTACTCGTTCTTGGGCAGGCAAAGAGCATGTTTTGGAAGCATTCGTCCAATTGTGTATATCGGCGCAAGGTTATTTTGAAGTCACTGGAAATGAACCAACACTCCCGGATGTTGTCAAGATCATGGTGCGAGAAGCCAAGCGCCGTAATCGTGTTTATCAGCGTCATGCATTGGTTTCTTTGTGTACATTCTCCGAAGTGTTTGGTGACAAGGTCGACGTATTCACTCCATCACAAGAGTTTTTGACCGAGTTGTGTGAGATGGATGAAGCTGAAGCTATGGAAGAGGATGACAATGATAATTCCAAGCCATTATTGCTTATGATCAAAGCGAATGCATTCAAGGCACTTGTATCAACTTTCCGCCCACGCGCCTTTGCAAAACAACGTACGTATTACCCCACGCCTTATCATTACTACGAGATTAATCGATGTCTTAATAGGTGAGGAGACGATGGCTTTATCTCAAGTCTTGACCAAGAGCTTGGAGGGCAATGTGTGGAATGTACAGCAGGCTATTTTTGAAGCACTCAAGTCGTTTATTGAACAATGTGATCCTCAAGATCTGAATGATGCGGTGCTACATAATGTCACGGATGCATGTATCGCCCATGGTGTGAATAATCTGAAATATTCAGCTATCCGATCCGCAACCCTCGACGTTCTGGAGACCATAGTGGCTAGTGCCAATCGTAAGTCAAGATGTGAAGAATCGGTTTGCTGAAGTAATGATCTGACCATCCCCTTTTTTATCCAGTCTCGATCCAATTCAAAGCCGATTTACAGCAACAGTGCAATAGAAGTCTTGAGAAAGAGCCTCTCGCCGCATTGAAGGAGCGTTTACAGCAGCTTATTAGACAATTAAAATGATACCAGTAGTAGTATCCCATTTCTCATCCAATACATACATACCACGTATCTTAAAAAGGAGATTATGGTTGCCATGGTGCGGGTGATGGCTGTTAGTGTTGATAGCTACAAAAAATGGAATCACTATGCGGTAATTAAGTATCCCTAGCAACGCAGTAATGATGGTGATGGCGATGATGACGACGACGCAGAAATCAATATCGTGTGGCAATCCAGCAGCACTTTTTCACGAAGAGTACACAAAAGGATCCGTTTTTATTGATAATATCAACAACGCTGCTATTGACGTGCTATAAAGTATGCATGTTAACCACTATCTTAAATGAATAATGATATTGATGTTTACCTTATTTCTTCTTGGAGACACCAACGGTGCGACCACGACGACCAGTAGTCTTGGTGTGTTGACCACGGACACGGACACCCCAGTAGTGACGAAGACCACGGTGAGCACGGATCTTCTTGAGACGCTCAAGATCCTCACGGAGCTTGGTGTCAAGACCGTTGGAGATAGCTTGGCTGTACTTGCCGTCAACAACATCCTTTTGTCTGTTAAGGAACCAGTTGGGGATCTTGTATTGAGCGGGGTTCTGGAGGATGGTGACAATACGCTCCAATTCTTCGTTGCTAAGTTCACCAGCTCTAAATAAAAAGGGGATATGGATCAATGTCGTATACCTTATATATCGTGTGGTTGTATGTTATGCGTATTCGTACCTCTTGTTGAGATCGACATCGGCCTTCTTGCAGGCAATGTTGGCGAAACGACGACCAACACCCTTGACAGAGGTCAAGGCAATGGTAATCTTGTTCTTGCCGTCAACGTTGGTGTTGAGAAGACGGAGAATGTGCTGGAACTATTGGCGAGAAAAAGAAAAAGATATAAAATTGAGTCCATGTTCGAAGTCGTGTTGAAGGTGTCCATTTACCTGATTCCTCTCGGGAACAACAAGCGACTACAAAGAAATGAAAATCGATAAGTTGATATATTCATCCATCCATCCATTCACATATCCCATCCATCCATTTATCCATCCAATCTCGTAATCATTCGTTCTCGCATATGATTCCCATCTCTCATGTTCACATACCATCTTGATCGAAAAGGGAGAACCTCAGAGGGTGATGGGCAGCCGAGCCATAAGGCAGCCCGCCTGCTTTGGCATTCAAATGCCGCCACACAACCCATCCACATTAAACATTGTGCTGCACTTGTCTCATTCTTTTTCAACCGCTTCCCCTCCGCCGCCCGCCCAACCATGGATTTTACTTGTGGATGTCTTTTGGATAAAACTGCCAAAGAACCTCACTTTAAAAAGTCAAAGCATTTTGAAGATCTCGCAGCAAGCTTTGCTATTAACGCCAAGAATGAACAATTGAATGCTCAGTAAGTAGCGTTGCTATGGCGACGACGACCATCGTATCCTTGACTACTGACTATGACGATCATCAAAGTTATTCATGGTTGGTGCAAATGCATCGCCCTGTAGCAACCAGTAATCCATACGTTGAAGCCACCTTTGAAAATCCTCAAGACAAGACCCAACCGATTATTGTACCAGCCTTACAACTCAAGAATACTGAAACTGCCTACTCCCATCCACGTTATTACGTCGTCTCCCCTGCTGTGGGCACACTTGATTGTGGATTATACCATATGCGTCTCACTGCATACGCTGATTCATCCAAGCGAACTATACTAGCCGAACACGAAAATGATTTATTGTCGCGTGTCAACACTACAACCTGTTCTAAAACTGAATTTATGGAGAAGATGAATGCGGCAGCGCGCCATGCCGAGAAGCAATGGGAATCAGCCCAATGAGCAAAACCAATAAAGAAGTTCACTAGTACCACTCTATTATCAACACCGTAATTGAAATAAATGCTGTTCATGCATACCAACGCATAAGCCTCACATTTATACAAGCAAAGGAGGGAGGGGGGTCATGATGGAATTATGCAAACACTGGTATCCTATGCCATTCAAAAATTTAATTGTTCTTTGTGTGTGCGTATCGTATTCTTTTCATTGTTCCTCGGAAGGAGGGACGCTCACTATAATGAATCACCATCAGCGTCTATACAAATGCAAAAGTCGTCAAAAAAGCTGGGGAGTAAGTAATCAATGGCCGATGTAATCATTCCCAGCATGACGTGCGATGCATGGATACCGCTTATGGTGGGTGAGATGTGTACCGTTTTTGCTAACAACGGGATGAGGCTCAATGCTGAATGGTGGAGAACAAGCAGCATGCAATCACGTGAGCACTTTGATACATCATGAGCTACATGCATCTATCATTTGATTTCATTATGACTGTAAGGGTGCAGGATTTGTAATTGTCTCGTGAACTACATAATCGACGAGAATCATTTGATGATGAAGATGCTCATGTTGTATACATACGACAAGCAAATGCCAGCGGCCATTGTATCACAATCATTGCGAACGAGGGATTTGTCTAAACCATTGGGCTATTGCTTGCATTGAGATGGAGATGGTGGATGAGCTTGAGCTATTATGTATGGACGTAGCTAGCTGGCTGATCCACAATTACAGGTTCTTGTGTTACACAGATATTATGCAGGCTGCTGCAGACATTAACGTGAGCAGGTAATTGGGAGATGCTATAACCAATGCTTTGTTACTCTTCCTTTGTGTGTGAAATGGATCATTTGTGTGATGCTCAACCCCTGACTTTTTCATTGTCAAACAGTAATGATGGGGGATTCCGCTTTGGACCCATGCCAATTTTGATATACAAATTGATTATTATGGTAAATGCAAAAGAATGACTGTATTCATCGTTTGAATGGCCCAGGCTTGAGTGGGTATGTAATGAATGTTGTAGTTTATGCTATCTACGATTGCAATAAGAAGCAAGTAGGAGTTGTATAAATCTGCCTTTGTCAATGAAGATCATGCGGCTTTTGCGGAGTGGCCTTCCAACCATGACGTCTTGGCTCATCAAGTCTCTTGCCTAGCTCGGCTACAGTGGTGCTGTGTAGAAACCTTGTTCCTTTTTTTTGCTAGCTTTTCTTCACACTGTAGTATAAGCGTATTAGTAGTAGTCGAATCTAACATAAAAGAAACCATCCAACATACCGAGCAGGTAACGTGATCAATCTATTACTCTCTCCCTCCCTCTCTCTCTCTCCCCTTCTTCTCTCTGCGTTGTGTGTATTGGTAGCAGCGACGCGCAGTTGTAGAGCAACTCTTCCTCTTACTCAGCCCTGGGATTCGCTTTTTGACTGATGCCTACTCTTCTTCCATTATAAAGACACACCGACCAACATGAAGATTAAAAAGACGACCTCCAAGAAGCTTGCTCCATTGGTATTTCTCTTACCAACCATGAAGACGACATGCAACTGACAGACAACCCCAATGTAGCCACAACCGCTGCGTGACATTATCCATAAGCTTCAGCATGATGCCGAGGAGACCATTCCTGAGCTTGCTAAGCAGTTGAACGAGTGGCCTTATCGTCGAGGCGACATGTTCCACTGGGTGCCTGTTCTCGATCGTTTCGACGCCATTTTGGAACGTATATGCAACGACTTTCATCTCCAGCAACATGTCCAATCTCGAGAGTTCGACAGCAACACCAAAGCTCTATTGCTCGCCATCACTAGTATTCTCAAGGTCTTGTTTGAGCACTGCACCAACAGGAACATTTATAATTCATTTGAGGTAGGTAGGCCAAGTTGTATGATATCGTTTGCATGTTCTTACATTCGTCGTCTGCATATTGTATGTAGCATATCAACGCTCTGCTGAATACGATGGATGTCGATGTGCTTGAGAATATCATGCAGTTCATGCTCAAACCAGCTCAACGCTTGAATCAGCCTAGCGGCATGGCATCATCATTTGCACCATCCCAGGACAAAATCATCGAAATGGCTCGTAGTTGGGGATTTCCTACATCCAATCTCGTTCATCTCATCAGCAAAGATTTCATTGTCACCAAGGATATGACCACTTTACATATGCGCTTTTATCGTTCAGGCAACAATAAGGAGCAACAACAACAATCGGATGAAGGAGTGATTGATTTCACTGTCAATGTGGCACCCGACGACAATGACAAAAGCGATATCCAAGTATTCCAAGAGCTCTCCAAGCAATATGATATACCCAACGAATACCACTTTGAATTGGCACACCAAATCCAAGTCAAAAGAAACCTTGCGAATGCCACATCAAGGACAAAATTGCTCAAAATCAGAATATTGGCAATCGCCATTATGGGTAAGCTATCCTTGCTGGTACAAGATGCTCGTTGATCTAATAACGATGATATCTTCTTTCAGAGCTTACAGTCTCGGAGAGCACAGCATCAAATCAAATATTCATGCAAGAGCCGCATCTGATTGCAGGATTGGGAGAGCTGGTCCATCCCGAGAACAACATAGATTATGTAAGTGCATCAAGGCATTAATAAGAGGGGATGAAAGGTTATTGATATGTGATGATGGTAGGATTTACAAGTGTGTTCATTGCGCTCTCTTGCTGCTATTGCCGAGAATCGCCGTACCGTCAACGATGTTCTTACTGCCGTTGATGCCTCAGCAAATCATGGACTCTTTTTACGAATCTTACGTATGATTGGCAATGGGATCATTAGCGGTAGGTTTTATAATGCATTGATGGAAGCCTAGTCCTCATCTATTTTTCTTCTATAGATTATCCATGGCAGTATTTGGATGCATTATTTATGACTCTCTCCTCCATCTTGAACAGCCATTCTGGAATGGAAATGCTAGTATCAGCTGGTCTTGTACCTGTTTTGACACAATTGCTTGGAAACTCACAAGCGGTTACCAACAAGGTGCGTGGATGGTGTTTTGACATGTTCTCATTGACACAACCAACTCAAGCTGGATTATATTATAGTCGCAGTCAAAGATCATTGCTGTGCTGGATGGAATCATGCATGGGTCTTCATCGTCATTTACAACCTTTTGCAACATTGGAGGATTGGATACCCTTCTTGGGCGGATTAAGGTAGGGATATAGAATGAATATCACTCACCATGATGTTATTATTGACATGAACATGTACATCAGGATGAGGTCCTCGAATGCTTGGAATACAACAAGAATCATCCATCCACCAATCCAGAATTGCTAGAGCCTGATGTTTTTGAGCTTCAAAAGACCACTGGAATACTAGAGCTATATGACCGGATATCGGCATTACGAGCAATGTTGCGATTTTTGTGGCGTATGATGGATTCTTCTGGGACAACGGATCGATTACGGAATTTGGTTGAATCCTCTATATTGAGTTCGCTTGTATCTGTTATATCAGAGCCTTATGTGTTTGGATCCCATTGCTTCGTATCAGGTATGCCCATCCCAATGTGAGGGTCTTATGATGGTGTACATCACTGACAGAGACAATATTATATATAGCGATCAATATCATGACTACAATTATCCACAGCGAGCCTACATCCCTCACCATCCTTCAAGAAGCCAAGTTGCCACAAACCTTTTTGGACACCATATGCAAATACGACAATCCCAGTAATGATGTCTTGATGCCAGCTGTCAATGCATTCGGTGCTATATGCTTGAATCCTCAAGGAATCAACATGTTCAAGGAAGCCAATCCTTTACCCCATTTTTTCGACTTGATTTGCGACCGCGAGTATCCTTTCAATGCCGAAGAACCGGATATCATGACAGGACTTGGCAACGCTTTTGATGAACTTGTTCGACACCATCCATCATTGAAAGCCGACGTTATCACATGTATCACGACCATGGTGAAAAAAGTCATTGATTTCGGCCAATCCCAGCAGGACGACAATATCAGATCAAAGAATGAGGGTCATTTGTTGAAGACATTACCAAAGGCACACGATGAGACAACAACAATTGAGGATGCCAAGGAAGAGAAATCAGAGAATCGGCTAGTGCTGTTCATTGATAGGACAGCAAGGGTATGTATGATCGTAATTGATATGATACACATCAACAGCAACGAGTAACTCTTTATTCTTCAAAAGTTCCTTGAAGGTTTCCTCCAGAATCATTCCAATATCAGGGCCGCTATCAAGGAAGGATTGCCTGATTTGCTCCTCGATTTTTACGCCTTGCCAACCCTGCCTGCAGACTTTTCTACCACATCAGCATCGGATTGCTTGGCATTTGTTATGAAGGTGATCAACGACGTCAACATGTCCAGCACCATCCTTGAGATAGCCAAGAGAGTGAGGAATGCCAGCCAATTCATCACGGAAGATACAACGGTTCATACAAGTAGTATCCTTAAACCACTTTTGGACTTATCACGTGCGTATACTTTATACCAAAGATATACTTTGCTCTAATCATATAACACAATAGGTGATGATACCGATCAATTTGAAGCTGGCAACGCTCTCTTCCGCAAATTTATCGTTCTCCATGGCTACATTGGACTTCTTTCCGACATATCATATTCAGCGGGACTGAGCCTAGGAAGATCCTCTTCGTCGTTTGTTGCAGAACTTTTATCTGGGGAGGATGAAAATAGTAATACAATTGAGCTTGTTGGAACCATATACAGGTAATTCTCGGCGTAGTGGATTATAGGATTGGGTCAAAGCTGATGACGGGTATATAGGTTCATTATGTGGGAAAACTTCTTGCTCAAAGAATCGGTGCCTAGCTATTGGTACAACTTCAGCCAGGAGAAGAGGAATGAAAAGCCAGCGTTGTCTTCCCACCTCGCACTTGGGAATAATGGCAGCAACCATGCATCCAGCTCATGTGGCGCACACAATGATGAGAATAGCAAAACCAGTGACAGCCACCATGGTGATCTATCAGGGAAGGAGAACATTGATGCGAAGGATCCAAGGATACAAAATCTCCGCCTATTCAAGTTATTCTTGGGAGAAACGACACATTCCATCATGGTATTGCTCCAAAGTAAGTTGCTTATAGTTACAAGCATGAGAAAATCAGTTCCTCACAAAGCTTTCCTTCATAGGCTTGATTACAATGGCTTGTAGCAGGCGCACAATGGATGCTGATCAAAGAGCTATCTCATTTAAGCTATCGAGAAGCATAGCCGAGCTGCTAAAGAGGAATGTTTTATGGATGCGGGATTCTGGAAACAAAAAGCTACCCATGTGCAAGCATAATTATCGAACGGTGATGTACAGCATGATCTCGTTACTGTTCCTTGAAGATCGGCCCCAGGCGTCACTTTATACCCCTGCTGTGGTGGCATTCGATTGGCAAGGTGGCACTGATATGCTCCTCCATGACCTTGATTCATTATGGCAAAAGATCTCACTTTTACATATGGTGCCATCCGCTGAGCGTACAAAAGAGCAGCAAACACTTATCACTCATATGTATGGATCGTTGGAAGCATTATTGACAGCACTCGCATGCGTTGGATCATCCAAGTTATTACGTGATTCACCCTACACTGCCCCTATTGTCAAGCGAGGAAACAAGACATCTGATGCCTTTGATCCATATGCATGGATTATCGCTATGCAACTCAAGTTGACGCCCATTCAACAATATCTACACAGCCCTGATGCAAAAGAGTTCCCCAAACACGTGCTTCAAGTGTTACTCAAGATTGTATTGCATGCATTCAAAGGTGATGGGGAGTCCAATTTCAGCAACGAGACAGCTACAACAACGACAGCGGCTTCCACTTTTCGAATTCCACCGTTCCAGCACCAGCGTAGTAATCGAGTACCCAATCCGACCATTCTTCGGCCACCTGTTGTGGCGGATCAAAACGGTGTCCAACGACTTGTAGATATGGGCTTTGATCGTACTGCTTCAGAACTTGCCATGGTGCGATGCTATAACCAAATATCACGTGCTGTTGACTATTTGTTTACATATCCTGGTGAAACGCCTACCGATACCAATGCTTCAGAAAACACAACAACAACAACAACAACAACAACACAAGACCAATCCAACAATGAAGATGAGGATACCACTCAACAAGAGGCACCTGATTCTCAAGACATGTTTGAAAGTGGATTGGGAGATGGTGATAGCGATTTTGAAGACTCGGATGAGGAATTTAATGATTGGCGACATCAAATACTTGGCAACATTAATCGCAACCGTATGACACCTTCACGACCTACCCAGCAATCACAACAAGAGGAATCTGATACCATCGTTGGGAGCAGTGAAGAAGAGAAGAGGATGATGCATGAGCAGACACAAAAATTAGCACAAGTGCGGTCCAAAATGAAGAGTGAATTGCCAACATTACTAGTGCGACTTGCATGTCAGCGGGATGATTTACTTTTCGATATTCGTGATCTTCTATTGGCATTTTTTAAGAGTGACTCGGATGCGAAGACTGCTAGTGCTGTCATGTCCTTGGTGATTGATCGTGTGGATGAGATTCGTCAAGATGATCAGAATGAGAGTGCCCAGCTTAGCACATGTCTCTTGTTACTTGCAATACTCTTCAAGGAGCCACTTGTACAAGGTGTGATTGCCGACGTTGCACCACGTCTCGAGTTTTTATTTGGATTGCTGCAATCAGTTGATACCTCTGATCCGGAGAAACCATTACCTTCATGGTTGGCTACAGTGCTTTTGGTGATAGAAACCCTCATTTCTCACACTGATGGACCCAAACATGTATCATCCACCACGCCACAAAATGAGAACAAGAAACCAAGCAATTCGACCACACCTTTGGTTTCGGATGAGCAATGTCGAGCGTTATTGATTGATTGTATCAAGCTGCTAAAAAGCAACGACACTACACGCAATGATATCTATGCCATTTTACGGATAGTGGTGCGATTGACTCGTGATTATGATGCTGCACGTGAATTTGTGAAGCATGATGGACTGCAATTGCTCTTTGCCAAGGCTCGTTCCAGAAATCATGGTGGTAGTGGATTGCAAGGTCTGCAGGCATTCATTATTTTGATCTTCCGACATGTCATTGAAAGCAAAGCTGTGTTGGTGAAGCGTATGGAGGATATCATCAGCACATGGTTTACAGTACCTCGACCTCGTAACATGGATATACGCACCTATTTACGCAACAATGGTCACGTGGCACTACGAGATCCGTCAACCTTCTTGAATGTCTCTGGTCAAATTTGTCGCATTACACGATATGATCGACATAGTGAAAATCCACACATCAAGCTCTTGACCAAGAATAACACCATCAAAGACGAGAGTGGATCGCCAAATGAAAAGGATGCAGCCGTCCCAGAGAAAAATGAGGAGCAGCAGCAACAACAGCGACATGAGCCTGAAATAGCAGATGCGTCCATTGTCATCGATTATCTCTTGAATGAGCTTGTTCGTGCTTGCAAGGATTCGCATGATAGTACGAGTGATCAACGTTCAGCACATGAGAACGCACATTACGCATACACGGGACTCATATTACAATGTTTGGTGGAGCTTGTATCGTCCTACAACACATGCAAGCATGCATTGTATGCATTCTGTCAACGCAACAACACCAACAAAGAATCTTCCATTATGCACATGCTGATCAATGATTTGCTACCATACAATGCCGTCAATCCAAATGTGGAATCTCGGAAGCAACAGGGGCTCTCTATTTGGACAGCATCTATTTTGGTAGCCATGTGTTATGATGCTGGTGGTGGTGGTGCGAACAATGACACCAATACTACAACAGACAAAGAACGAGACTTGGATCCCATACGTCGTTACATGTTTGATATCATTGTGTGTGCATTTAAGGAGACCATTGCTTCGACCAAATCAGGCTCTTTATCAGTCAAATATGGAAAGTATCTAGCCCTTGCCGACTTGTGTCATCGCATCTTGAATGCCAGGCCAAGTGCCGGTGCTCCAGCACAACAACGAACCAAGGAGGAGACAACCATCCATATTGCTAAGCTTATGATCAACAAACAGCTTGTCGGTGTCCTCACCATGGCAATCAATGACATCGATATCGAGTACCCACATGCACGTACAGTGATCAATTCCATGTTGCGACCGCTTGAACAGCTGACAAGCTTTGGAAGCAAAATGACTACTGATGATGATGAGCAGCAGCAGGAACCAGCTTCACAAGTTATTCATGATCGCAATGCATCTCCTGATTTATTTAACGGCGAGGATGCTGATGATGAGCAAATGGATGAATTGAGCAATGAGGATGGGTAAAGTTATCGTGTGCTATTATAGATAGCTTATGTGACTAACGCATGTATCTAATAGATATGACGAGGATGGCTTTGATGACAGCACAACCGATAGCAGCTCTGATGTTCCACCTAGAGAGGAAGATGATGTGGAGGTTATTGACATGTTGGAGCAAGAAGAGGTATATGATGCATGGATTTTCATTGTGTATGTGTGTGTGCATCTAACAATTCTCTTTAGAATGGCGATCAAATGCAAGTAGATGGTGATAACGCGGCTGAATCCACAGTGCAAGAAGAAGACGATGAGCCACACATGACATGGCAACTCGAAGACTTTGATCATGAATCCATCATTCGAGGTGCTGGTGATATGGATGCTCCCGAGTCACCCATTATGAATGGTAGACGCAACTATCGTGACCTTGTTGATGTGCTCGTGGATGATGTAAGTGTGTTGACAGCTGTGTAAAATACGCCTTACTAAAACTGGATGATGATTTACAGGAACACGTGGACGATCTTGATGGACTTGATCAATCCGATTTCGATGAGGATGAAGGATCTGAAAATTTGGATGAAGTGAATGATGGGATTGATTTTATGGAAGATCGTGCCATGATGGATGGTGACATGGATGAGGATTATTATCTCGGTGGTGATGATGAACATGACACTCGTTTCTCTCGCTCACTACCACGTATTGATCTCCAGCGCTCTGAGCTTCGAAGAAGTAACCGATTACCCATTCTGCCATTGCCAAGAGGGATATTCCGACCCTTGGGTGTTAGTGCTGCAACTTCAGTCGACCAAGACCAAGTGATCAATCATCCACTATTGTCTGAAGAATACCAAGGTACCAATGGATTGGATAACAACACAATGATCCCTCGACCTACACGGCCGTCGTTTGCTGGACCTATGACTTATTCACGTCCTCGTCCGCATGGTGGTCAAAGTATGTGGCAAGCATTTGAGCACACTGTTGGGGATAGCGCAATACGTCTATTAGAAAGTTATCTCATGCGAGCTGCTTCAGGTACAAGTGCCCGACGAGGAATACAATCAAGCTCTTTGGGTTTCGATGTGAGAGGACGTGCCAATGGTATTATGCGATCATTTGAACTTGAGCTGCGTAACAATCCTCGCATCATCAACAACACCAGCATGACTCGCTCTCCTTTGGAAGAACAAGAACAACCCGACGCTGACTCTAACCGTGAATTGCTATCCATGTTGCATGATTTTCAACCAATGACTTGTGCCGATCGTTGGAATCAGGAAGCACGCATGATGTATGGAACAAGTGTGGCTGATAAGTCTCAAAATTTGCTGAATCCATTGTTGAATATCCTGGTCCCTATTGTCATGGAAGAGGAACGCCGAATGCGAGAAAAAGAGGAACAAAGACGTGAAGAGCAACGACGATTACAAGAGGAAAGGCGTAAAAAAGAAGAGGAGGAGCGACGTTTACGTGAAGAGGAAGAACGCAAAAGGAAAGAACATGAGGATGCCTATGATTCAGAGCAACAACCACAACAACCAGCAGCAGCAGCAGCGGATGGATCTAGTATGGGGCAGGATCAACATCAAAGAATGATTACTATCAATGGTGAATTGGTGGATATTTCCCAGACTGGTCTTGACGTTGAATTCCTTGAGGCGCTTCCTGATGACTTGAGACGAGAAGTTGTGAACGATCATATGCGTATATCACGTTCCAGATTGCAGGCAACAGAAACTGAATCGATAAGCTCTGAATTTCTTGGCGCTTTACCACCGGAGATACGTGATGAAGTGCTTCAACAAGAAGCGTTTAGTCGTGAGCGACGTGAACGACAACAACAACAGGAACAGCAGCAAGCAAATACGCCACTACCACAAGTTCTCAATGGTCATGCTCCTAGCCCACTTGGTTTACCTGATTCACCAACACGCCGTTTCCGCTTATCGGATGAGTTTCAACGTCTTGTAACTGAATTTGGCAGAAATGATCGCAACGGCAGCACACGAGAAGATACCCATCAACGCAAAGGCAATACACGACAAAGTACTATTCAGCTTGTGGATCGTGGTGAACTTGCCACTCTCGCACGATTGCTCTTTGCATTGCAACCTATTTCCAAGTCGATCCTCAGCCAGCTGTTGGTGAATTTATGCGAGAATACACAAACACGATGCGATCTCTTGTCATTGTTGGTGTGTGTGTTACATGACGGCAGCAATGATTTGACAGCGGTTGACATGTGCTTTGACAAAGTGATTCAATCATCATCATCATCCAAGTTGCCTGGCAACAACATGGCAACCGCCTCTACGATCACGCAAACAGCTCCGAATTTCATCACCCAACGGTGTCTTGGTTTCCTTATGCAACTCATTCAATCGAATGACAAGTCGCTTGGATACTTTTTGGTGGAGAATGATTGCTTGGCCGACTTGAAACGCAATAGCACTAGCAAAGGAAAGAACAAAATGCAGGCACCATCCAGCAAATATCCACTTTTGGTCCTTATCAGTCTACTTGATCGATCTGTGTTTGTGGACAACCCAAGTTTGATGGAGGATTTGATGCGTTTAATCTCAACGTTATGCCGACCATTCCCCGTTTTGGTGAAGAAGTACATGGATCGAGTCAACAACAAAGAATCAGCATCAAAACCGCCTGTGATTCCAGACCAATATCTTCAACAAGTGGTACACGTGCTTACATCAGGCGAATGCACCAGCAAAACATTTCAATACACAATCAGCGCTCTGTCACATTTGTCATGCTTGGATGGTGCCATGAAAACCATCATGGATGAGCTTATGCAAGCTGCCAAATCATCCTATGAGCGCGTTGCAAGCGATCTTGACGATCTCCTCGCCATTCTTAACAAGGCAACTCCTGACACAGAATTACAAGGATCAACGCTATCTCAATTCTCAGGTGCAAGCTCACATCAAGCCAAGTTGTTACGGGTGCTCAAGACGATCGATTATGTCTATTCACGTAAACCCAGCACATCATCTTCATCATCACAATCCAACGACAGCAAAGAGCAATCTGTATTGGAAGTCTATGAGGAATTGGCTCTATTATCTTTGTGGGACAAGTTGGGTGATTGCCTAGTTGCCATTCGTGAAAGAGACTACTTGTTGAATGTGGCTACGGTGATTCTTCCCCTTATGGAGTCATTGATGGTGGTGTACAAGTATGCTGCTGATCAAGCACAAGAAGGTTTCTTTTTCACATTTACGGAGCGCCATCGCAAGATCTTGAATACAATGGTGCGGAACAATCCATCGTTGATGCTTGGTTCCTTTTCTCTACTTGTGCGTAATCCCAAGGTGCTCGAATTTGACAACAAACGCAATTACTTTGTACAGCAATTACATAAACGCACATCAACGTCACGACACCATTACCCATCACTTCAGCTCAATGTTCGACGTCGCTATGTGTTCCAAGATTCCTATCATCAATTGCTTGGCAAAACAGGTGACGAGATCAAGTATGGTCGTTTGAATGTACAATTTCGTGACGAGGATGGTGTGGATGCTGGTGGCGTATCACGTGAATGGTATTCTGTTTTGGCCCGTCAAATGTTTGATCCCAACTATGCCTTGTTCATCACATCAGCTGCCGACAAGCTCACCTACCAGCCAAATCGTGCATCATCGGTGAACCCTGATCATTTGAGCTATCTCAAGTTTGTGGGTCGAGTCATTGGCAAGGCCATTTATGATGGACGTTTATTGGATGCTTATTTTACGCGATCCTTTTACAAGCACATTTTGGGTCGATCTGTGGATTACAAGGATATGGAAGCCATTGACCATGAATACTACAAGAGCCTTGTGTGGATGCTAGAAAATGACATTACCGATGTGATTGATTTGACATTCAGCTTGGAAGTGGATGATTTTGGCACAACACATGTCATTGATCTCAAGCCCGATGGTCGCAATTTACCAGTGACGGAGGAAAACAAGCATGAATACGTATCCTTGGTGACGGAGCATCGGTTGACGACAGCCATCAAAGATCAAATTGAAGCATTCTTACAAGGTTTCCATGAAATCATTCCAGCATCCCTCATTCAAATATTTAACGAGCAAGAACTCGAATTACTGATTTCGGGGCTTCCGGATATTGACATTGACGACTGGAAAAACAACACAGAGTACCAAGGTGGATATTCATCCAACTCGTCACAGATCCAATGGTTTTGGCGTGCGGTTCGGAGCTTTGATCAAGAAGAACGTGCAAAGTTGTTGCAATTTGCTACCGGTACGTCCAAGGTTCCCTTAGAAGGATTCGCACATTTGCAAGGATCAGGCGGTGTGCAGAAATTCCAGATCCACAAGGAATACAGCATGGACAATCGATTACCAACGGCTCACACATGGTAAGTAAAATCGCTTTATGTATAAGCAAAAGCTGATTGTGTTCTCTTTAGTTTCAACCAAATTGATCTCCCCATGTACGATTCATACACCAATCTTCGCCATAATCTTTTCAAAGCTATCAACGAGTGTGCAACCGGTTTTGGGTTCATGTAAAAAAAAGTTATTAGAATAAATCTACCTATATACATATCCATAATGAGGTCCTAGTTCCATTGAGATACTTTTACTAATTGCCGTTTGCCTTGGTGAATGAATGATACATGGCTCTTGTCAAAGTGGCGCGGGAAACTTTTGCGCTTGGACTGTTACACGTCCCTTTGATGCAGAGTTCAAACGCATAGTTGTACAACACAAAACCCAGCAAAAGTTTATTAAGGCACAAAGATACGCCATGATAGTGTACTTTTCATAAAGATGAACATGAAGGGTTTTCTTCCAACCTATAAGAAACAAAGCACCTGATCATAGAAAGCACCACCACGTAATCATTGTATACATAAGGGTGATGTCCAAAGGAAAAAGATTTTCTTGATTTGTTTATGTATTGGAGGTTCTTGGCCAATCAACATGATGGCCCCGGTGTTTTGGGTCAAGGTACATGGACATTGGCACTGACGTCGCCATGGTGGCACAAGAACGGCTCGATCTGATGAGCGCCGATAAAACACCGATTTACGCACGGTGTTGCCTTATGCAGACTGCCGTGCCTAGCCCCGATACAAAACACTTCTTTTGTTTCCGTTCTCTCCCAAAAGAATTAGCCGGCCCAATACACGGGGCGCTTTGATCTCTATATGTGTATATGAACATCACTAGAGCTTCCCCAAGCTGTTAGTCTCTTCCCCAACCCATTTCCACACGCTCATTAATATAGGTATCACATTTGTATACTGCTGGTGCTGATCGACTTTTGATAAGCAACGATCCCAAAGACACGTGCATATCAGTCAGCAACAAAAAACCAAGCACCCGCGGCTTTGCCGTCATCATCATGGCACCTCACGCATACTATATACCGCTGCTACCTGCTTTACAGCAACGTACCATAATACATTTCTTTCATTATACACTTTCATTTTACATTAACCCGCATTCTCCCGAACAACCCTTATTGAAATGTGTTTTTATACATGTTCAAAGAAATTCATATAGTAGAATATGTACATAACGATGTTTATTATTGACGTTCAGCAACTAATTCCTCAATGTGCTTAGCAAGGCAAAACTTTTGGAGGGTTTCGGTAGGCAAATGACGAGCACCCATTACGCGCTTAATGCACTGTGAACAAGGATCATTAGTATTCCTTGTACTTTTTACGACTAAACGACTACTATTTGAATACACATACCTGAGAAGATCCACACCAGCAATCAAAGGGCTGTGCCATATCCCATTCAGTGGAAGGATAAAAGAATGTAAGCTCATCACCGGTACGGAGATCCTTGAGAGCAGTGATAGCACGCTTGTCAATGTCCATACACACGGAAGGATCGCAGGAGTGGTTCATGTAAAGAAGATCACTGTTGAGCTCAATATGCTCCGTCTTTGAGATTTGCACGGATGAATATGCCTTGGGACCAGGTGTTAAGCCTTCAAGTTGAGCAATAACACTGCCCTTTGGAAAATCACGCTCGGCTACAAGCTTGCTTGAGTATTGTTCAGGGGTGCCTTGACGCACAATGCGAAAGTAGCCGGGATGGCTTTGCTTAGTAGCTTCAGGTTGTGTGGTAGCAGCAACAGTCATCTTTTAGTTATTGGATGATGGTAAAGAAAAAGAGAGAGAGAGAGAGAGGGAGAAGAAAAAAATGAGGCAATGTAGAATGCGAGACCTTGTTTATTTGATCGTTTAAAAAGTGTTGGTGGTTGTGTGGTGGTTGTGGTGATGGCCTTGTTTCGGCATTTGAACCAGGTGTGTGGTGTGTGGGGTACAATCCATATTCCGATTCGCGAATGTCATCAACAACCTTTTGTGCTGTTTATGGAATGATGCTGTGCAACGTTTCAATTTTATTTTGTTTTTGGATTGTTCAAGAGGAGGAGGAGGAGGACGCTTGTGGTGGGGCTGTGGAGGATCCTGATGATGATGACGGTGGTGTTACTGACGGAGCAGGAGGAGGTGTGACACTACTACTACTACTACTGTTGTTGTTGTTGTTGCTATTGCTGTTTGAAGAAGACAATGCACCGGTGGCTGCTGACAAAGTAGCAAACATCGATGGGTTGATGGCGATGCTCTTGGTACAATCTTGGGTCTTGTAAATACCAACAAGTCGATCAGCAAGTTCAAACATGTTGTTGCGAAGACTGATGATCACAAATTGTGCATTCTTGGTTCGCTCAGCGATATAGTTGGCTACAATCGATACGTTGCGGAAATCCAGGGCAGCATCAATTTCATCCATCACATATAATGGCGTAGGCTTGAAATGGTGAAGAGCAAATACAAGTGCCAAAGAGCTCAACGTCTAAATACCACAAAAGTCTTACTACCCCATTCTTCGTTACAGGTATAATTATCCTTCCTTACCTTTTCACCACCAGAAAGGTTAGCAATATTCTTCCAGCTCTTTTTCGGTGGCATGACACTGAACACGATGCCTTCAGAAAATGGGTCCAAACTGTCGACAAGCTCAAGCTCTGCATTGCCGCCCATGGTGATCATCTACATCTCGTAAGCAATGGTTACATCGGTTACACAATGTGTTGCCATGCATGCTACCTCTCCCCCCATCCATTCCCCCCATCCACCCAACCAAAACAAACTCGGTACCTGGTACATTTCTTTGAGCTTTTGAGAAATGATATTGAAGCCATGCATGAATTCATCGAGGCGTTGTTTGCGTAGGCGTTCCACTTCGCTCTTGACATCATCGCGTTTCCTCGTAATTGCATTCAAGTCATCCACCCGCTCATTGTATTCAGCTTCTCGGCGGCGATATTCTTCCAATACCGAAAGATTGGGTTGGGCGCTTTGTACAAAGGCTACACACACACACATAACAAACAATCAACATACGTCATACGATAATGGGTTACCGACTCGTCCTCATTGTTACCTTCCAACTCGGCAATTTCTGCTTTGATCGCTTGCGTCGATTTCAGGAGTTGTTGTTCAATCGCTTCATCATCATACACTTCCAAGTCAGGTTCACGAGAATCCATTCTAAGGAGAACGTGCACTGTAAGCTAACAAGTCATAGGCCATCATCATCATCATCCATGTCGTACTTGTAATTATGCAATGATAATCTTGATCTTTGGTCTTGCCAATGAGAAGCCTTTCGCTGGTTGTCCAGTAGACTACGTTGGTAATCTTCCATCTTGTTCTTGATTTCAACTTGGGACTTCCTCAAGGCGTTGATCTTGCTGGTCTTTTCATCCAAATCCTTTTTCAGCTTGTCCGCTTCGGCTTTCTTTTCTTGCATGCGCTGATTACATGCAATGTGAGAAACAAGTCGATATCATTCACGTGCAATCAATCATCCCTTACCTTTTTTGATTCATCCGCTTCTTTCATAATAGCGGCAGCTTCTTTGGCTTTCTCCTTAACATCTTCATCAAGCTCGTGGACTTGGGCCTTGATTTTCTCGCATTCATTGTCGGTGTTCACAATGCTGGACTCAAGTCGAATGACATCCTTTTCAGCTTTGGCTTTGGCAACCATAGCTTTGGTGATCTTGTTGTTGAGATTGTTGATACGTTTGGTCACGTCATCGACAACGACCTTTTGCAGACGTAAATCCATGCCACCTGCATCCATGATATCTTCTTGCAATGACTTGATGCTGTCCTCAATCTCAACCGTTTTCTCCTTCAACTCTTCCATTTCTTGCTTGAGTGTTTCAATCTCGCCTGCAATCTCGTCGTGCCGTTTGACATCCTGAGGGCTTGGTTCCACTCTCGTCCTATAAAAGGAAAGTCAAATGAGTACCTTTTTACTTTTGATATGATTGCCCCGGTCCAAAAAAAGGTGCCAACTTACTTTAGTGTCACAAGATGTGATTCTTCATCAGCAAGCTGTTGCTCCAAGCTAACCATGTCCATTTCAAGCTTCTCAATAGCGAGTTGTTTACGTGGAAGAGCATCATTCTTAGATCGTAATGAAAGCTCACATGCACGCTTTTGCTCCAATAAATCCCGAAGCTCTTCTTCAAGCTTGTGTTGCTCACGCTGCAAATCCTCTACTGTGGCTGCTGTAACACCTGTGTCTCTAAAGCGCGAATCCATGGCGCCTCGTAAAGGACGATTGCCACCACCTGACATTGCACCCGATTTTTCAATCAATTTGCCATCAAGCGTCACGACACGCCAACGTTTTTCTCCATAGGCGATGCGGTTGGCTTGTCTCATATCATTCGCCACCAGGGTATCTTGCATGATGCTGTAAAAGGCAGGGAGAAATTTGTCGTCTTTGGCTCGAATAAGATCAAACAATCGAGGTACATCCTCAGGCGTTTCAATGGGGTCCATGCGTTGATTCTTCAGCTTGTTCAATACAGTAAACACGCCACGACCAAGGTTGTTCTTGCGCAAGTATTCAATACACGCTTGACCCGATTCCACTGTTTCCACCACAATATTGTCCAAAGCGGGGCATGCTGTTGAGACCGCAATATCATACTTGTCATCAATCACACCAAGGTTGCCAAGGCGATCCTACATACAACGTGTTATTTACGCATATACAACAACAAAGTCTATCATTGAGATGACTTACATAGATACCATTGATACGACCAGCATCTCGCATGTGGAGTAAACTATCCAGCACCTTACCCCGGTTTTGGGATTGCATCAACGAGGATTGTGCTTCATCGGCTTTTTGTCGAGCGATGCTGACTTGTTGCCTCTGAGTTCGCTCCTTTTCCTCCAGCTCCTACAATGAAATCCAATCGTTTAGATATAAAGCCATACACAAAACCAAAGGTCTCACTTGCCTTGCTCTTAGCTTTTAATTCCTCAATTTCTTTTTCAAGCGTCTTGACCTCCTTTGGCAGTGATTTAAGTTCAGCTTCCTATGGTACTTTTTCATTAATACGATATCATATATATACACCATGTCATTGTGGATACATGCCTTGGACTTTTTTTGCTCCTTGATACGCCCAAGTTGTTTTTCAGCATGCTCAACAGCCTTCTTGCCAGATGTCAATTTCTCTGCCAGCAGCTCCTGTTCAGATTTGCGCACGTCGATATTCTTCTTTTTGTCGTTGATCTTTTCAGTCCATGGTGCAAGCTGCTTCTTGAGATCCTCAATCTCTGCCATGTAGATATCCGTATTCCCCTTCAGCTCGGCATTGATCTCCTCCAGCCTTTTCTCTTCCTCCTTCAGCTGCTTCTCAAGCTCCTTCAGATCCTTCTTCCGCTTGGTGAGATCATCGCCATGCTTCTTGATATCATCACGTGCTTGAGCTCGATCTTTGCGATCCTGTTCAATTTATTGTTGTCAGCTATCATGTATGCATCAGCTTTAGCAAACATGTACGTACCTTTTCCAATGTTTCTTGGGCTTTCTCCAACTTCTTTTCCAGATGCTGCTTACGTTCACGGAGCTGGACATCCTCCTTTTCAAACTTTGCATGGCGTTTCAGGATAGCATTGGTCTCTTTGTCGAAAGCCTATCATTCGTAGCAAAACAGCAATGAGCAATCACGATTCAAAAAGATATAAAGCTTAGCCTTACCTCGTATTCCTTGTACGCATCCTTATGCAGCTTCTCCATCTCTTTGACTTCCTTCTCATAATCAACATGATTTGCCGTCTCTTGCTCCAACTTTTCTCGGAGTTCCACCTATGATTGATAGATGGGTGAATCAATCCATACAAGCATAATAAAGTCATCCATTCTTACCACCGCCTTTTGTGCCGTTTGAACATTGATTCTTGCTTCATACGTATATATCTGATAGAGCTCATTCTTCCTCCTTGCAAGATCATTCTCACTCTCCAAAAAGTTCTCAGCCTCACGTTTCTTGCTCTGTAAATGAAAAAAGCGTTAGTCCATAATGACCCCTCATGTTATGATCACTAGAACCTACCTCGAGATTGTCCTTTTCTTTGCCAACATAGCGTGCACGATTCAACTTTTCAGTGCGTTCCTCATTGATAGTCTCGAGTTTGTTGGTTGCGTCTTCGATTGGTTCCTTATATTTTGACGTTCCAATGATATCTTCGAGATATTCGAGCAAGCCATCATCACTGTCATCCTTCGCTTTTGGTTTCATCAATGCGATTGATTCGACTTCACCCTAATGATCCATGTGAGCCGATATCCATAACGCGTAGCATTATCCATCATACATACTTGGAGAATCAAGAATCGCTTATGATCCAGATCAATGCCTCTTTCCCGCAACAATGTTGTCACCTCGGTATAGCTGCTGGTTCTGTCGTTGATAAAGTACTTGCTGGTGTTGTTGCGATAAGCTTGTCGAGAGACCACCAATCGTGAATTGGGCACCTTTTCATACTCTTTTGGTGTATTCTATCCAACCATTCTCACGTGTCAACTCCTTTGCACGATACACCTCGGGGTTGTCTACTTACTCCATCAATGATCATCTGAAAATGAACCTCCACTGAACATGAATTGCAATTGGGATGTTTGGCAGAATTGTGGATGAGCTCCGATAGCTTGCCTTGACGCATCTTGTTGGCTCGATATCCAAATACAAAGAGAAGAGCATCAATCACATTCGACTTGCCAGAACCATTCGGACCCACAACTAGTTACAGTTGTTAGTATCAAACACGACCTATACATACATGGACACTCTTGCATGAACATACTTGCACTAAAGGACTATAATGAACGTATATCAATATATCAACGTCTCCACATCAAGGAAGAAAGAGCATGATCTAACCTTTTGAAAAGGCCCAATAACTTGTCGTCCAGCATAGGATTTGAAGTTGTTGAGGACCATTTTGGTAATGACAAGTCGAGGCTTTCGCTCTGTTGGTTCGTCAGGTTCTTGATTGGTCCCGGGCGCAAATGAGACGTGGCGATTGTCGGTGGATTGTGTTGGTTGTGTTGAGGATCGTAATGAGGATGGTCGTGGCGTTGATCGATTGGTAGGCTGTTGTTGCTGTTGGGAGCTGTCGCCACTATCAGTTGACGCTGATGCTTCTCTTTGACTTTGGGGTTGCGATTCAGTAGCTTCTACGTCGTTGTCTATTGCATCGTCGTCCAAATGTATTCGTTTTCGTGGAGGTTGTTGTGTCATTGGAGAGAGAGTGTGTGTATGTGTGTGTGTTGTCGAAGTTAAAGGGAAGGAGTACAAGGAAAAGAGAGCTTGATGCCACACGAGAAATTTAGGATTCCCCTTCACGCGGAATACGCGTTCGTGTCCAATGTGCCTGAAATCTTGATCTTGCTGCTATGCGTGCCCCCTTCCCCCAACATAATGGTCATTCATTGTACAGCTTCATTGTTCGCATGGTATTCACCCTCTCCTATATTACATGCATTGCCTATTTGGGATGAGGGCCATTGTTCGATGGTGAAGAGCGATTTTTTTTGATTGAATCATTCTCAAATGGAAAGCTACAGATACGCAAAACATACACTATTATTATCGCATTATTGAATGGCAGTTGTATAAAGCGAAAAATAGAGTAGGTGGTCGTCGTGACAACAACGATTTGGATGACTACAGCCCTTTAAAGCAATATCGAGTGATCTTGATCTGACTGCCTGTGACCGTAATAAGATAGGTAACCTGCTGGGCTACATACGCGCTTGGATTTTCAGTGTTCCTTCCACCTGTATACCTGTCTAATGACATCGAGTACGACCGACAACGACGACTCACACTCTTTGAAACGCAAGCGTCAAGATGAGCTTCCTTGGTGTCTAGTTGAATCAGAGCCAGGTATAGCCACGATTATTACCTTTTCATACCGGCCATTTCCTTATACAACCTTGTTTCTTCATGTCTCAGCCATTTTCACCGAGATGGCACACACGTATGGCGCAACAAGTATAGCTGTCGAAGAGGTGTACGATCTAGACATGCTGACAGAGTATGTATCGTGTGGACCGTATGAGTGCTTTGAACCTGACGCCAAGCTTCGTGTCTATCAGTGGAAACATCTATGGCTTGATTTTCGCACATCCATACGAAGACGACCTCCCAGCACCTGTACAAAGCGATGAAGATAAAAAGGATGCTGCCAGTGTATTCTTCTCTTGCCAGGTAAGTGTGTCGTATGACATCGTTGGATCCATTCTAAGTGCTTTCGCTACATATAGATTGTCACCAACATATGCGCAACATTGGCTCTACTAGGCATCCTATTCAATATCGATAGTCAAGTCGACATTGGAGAGCATTTGAAGAATCTCAAAAGCGTCCTTGGAGATGTTGATCCGGTAGTAAGTATCATGGATAGACCCTTGTCAATGTTGCATTGACTAAATGGAATGTTGTCAACTATCATAGCTTCGTGGAAATGCTCTTGGAAACGACTCGTTGCTCCGGGAAACGCACAATAGCTTTGCAGAGTAAGTGGATTACAATTGTTACAGTGGAACTAGCTCACACCATACCTTCTTTATCAAGCGCACAAGCCAGGGCTGAAGCTGAAGCTCCTTCAAAAGCACGCAAAGGAAAGAAGGGCAAACGAAAGTTGACCGAGGAAGATGCATATCACTACGTGTCATATATATACTTGGATGGATACATTTGGGAGCTCGATGGCATGAACAAGTTCCCTTGTAAGGTGGCACCTGCAGAATCATCGAGTTGGATCGACACATTACGACCCTATCTTCGGCAACGCATGGAGTAAGTTGAACGCTTTACGTTTTCTTTTATTCAATGATGATTAACATTCGATGTGTTATAGGAAGCAGGATATGTTTAGCTTGATGTCGATTGTACCTGGAGCTTGGGTGAAATCGAATGACGACAAATTGAAGCCTTACAACACCATCAAGAAGAAGATCGAAAGCCAGCTGGCCGAGTTGACTGCACAACACGACAAAGCCGTTGACACAGGATCTCTTTTATTTACCTCATCACATCTATCCGCTGATGAATTGATCGATGCTCACTTGCGCCCTGTTATCATTCGCAAACTTGAAGGATTGAAAGATCAGCTGGAGCAGGAGCGGATACAATTGACAGATAGCGATGTACCAAATGAAACACAAATTGCAGCAGCAGAAGAGCTTGCAAGGACTCGGGTATGTGTATACATGATCTCTATTATACATCATTGCTAATAGGACTGAAAACTGCTTAGCTTGAAAACACACGAAGAAAGCATGACTATATGCCATTTATGCGTCTACTTTTCGAGAAGCTACACGAGCAAGACTTGTTACGAGATCTGATTGAAACATCAAAGTGATGATGGTGATGGTTTTTTATCTTTCAATATCATTGTACATAGCCTGATTCCTACACGAAATGTATATCATTTGTTTGAGATTATATAAACGTACTTGTTTTGTGGATACTCAATGCGAGCATTACTGCTGTGGTCGGACTTGCACCAAAAATGGAATGCCGTGGAGATGGCCTGATTTCTATTTTCTTTCTTTGCATTTCTCCCAATACAAGGTCGTCGTTGCTTGCTTGCTTGGTTCCTTTCTCTGCCGCTTTTCCCTTCCCAATGCCGTCCAAACGAGATAGTGATCGTAGCCAGTCACCCAGAAAGAGGACCAAGTACAAGGAATCGGAAGGTCATCGCTACGATCGCAAGATCCGCCGAGCTAAAACGAAAGCACGCTCAGGTAAAAGCAAGGTATATTTCTCCTGGAAACAACTTTAACTCAATCAGTTTAAAGAGCTGGATCTGTTCCAATGGTCGAAATGGCGATTCTGCAAGCAAGATTACTGGATCAACCCCTACGTTGACGTTACTCCTCGGATCGACTACCGATCGACCAGCAAGGAAGAGTTTATTGCAAAGTACGAGGAACCCAACTTGCCAGTTGTTATCACCCATTTGACCGATGAATGGCCTGCACAAAAGTATTGGACTGAAAAGGTATAAAGCAGAGTGAAGGAAAAGGTGAGGGATATGATAATAACGGCTATGTATGTATGTGTGTATTTAGTATCTCAAGGAACGTTATGGATCACATCTCTTCAAGATTGGCGAGGATGATGATGACAACAATGTTTATTTGAAGATGAAGCATTTCCTTCACTACAGCAACAAAGAGGGCCAAGAGGACGATTCACCGCTTTACATCTTTGACAGTGGATTCTACAAAGACCGACGACGACGATCTCGGAAATCCAGCAGCAGCAGCAGCAGCAAAAAATCGGATCAACCCAACACGTTGCTTGAGGATTATACGGTGCCAAGTTATTTCGAGGATGATCTATTTCGTCTCACGGGTGAACGTCGTCGACCTCCTTATCGATGGCTAGTGATTGGTGGCGGAAGAAGTGGTACTGGGTAAATATCCACTATTGGTATTGCAATCTCGGCAGAAGGATTAACAGGGACAAGGTAGAATTCATACCGATCCTTTGGGAACATCAGCATGGAATGCATTGCTTAAAGGGCATAAGCGTTGGGCGCTTTTTCCACCTCATACTCCCAAGCACATTATTGATCCACCTATGAAGCCATACGATCATGAAGCCGTGTCTTGGTTCAGCACTGTCTTTCCAAAGTTTCAAGTACGAGATGACCCTAATGATACTCGAACGTTGGGTGAACGATTGGGTATGGTTCAAGTATTGCAGCGACCTGGAGAGACCATCTTTGTACCAGGCGGTTGGGCACATGTGGTTATGAATTTGGGTAAGTGGTAGTAGTAGTAGTTGTAAACAATTGCATTTCAACTAACAGCCTTTGTAGATATGACCATTGCAGTAACTCAAAACTTTTGTTCGCCCACCAACGCCGAGTATGTTTACCTCAACACACGTCATAGTCGACCAAAGCTTGGTGCCAAGTTGTATAACAAGATCCAAGAATTGGGAAAGCTTTACCCTGATCAATACGACAGTGTCGCAAAACGGTTGCAGACTTTACAATACGTTCCTCGAATTCCTCCAAGTAGCAGCTCTAGCAGTAGCAGCAGCAGCAGCTCAAGTAGCAGCAGCAGCTCCTCTTCTTCCAATGTCAGCTCGACTGAATCCGAGACCGATCTCAGTGATGGCACGTGCATGTGTCATAAATGCAAGCGAAAACGAAAGCGAGAAGCCATCCGACATTAATATGTACACACCCACTCCATGATATCTTATTATCGCAAATCATTGTTCCTTTTGCTATTCATGTTTTTCTTTTTGCTATCATTTTCATTCGATTAAAAGCTATAATACATTTTGCTACTGCTACTACTACTACTACTACTACTACTACTACATGCGTTCCAAAGGCTCGACACCAATCAATCTCAATCCATTAGCAAGCGTTGTCTTTGCACTCCAAAGAAGGAGCATACGGGCTTCAGCCAATTTGGGATCCATGTCCTTGATACGAAGCTTGGCATTGGCTTGGCTAGCAGAATGAGCGAGTTTGAAAAGATATTGCACCAACGTACAGGGTTCGAGTTGTCTCCATGATAATTCCACAATGTCTGGATATTGGGAAATGAGCACACTAAGTTCAAAGGCTTCCTTTTCGTTGAGCAATGAGAAATCGCAATCCGGGGTGATGGGTACACCCGTCCTCCTTTCAATTCTATAAAAGAAATAAAAAAAAATGTCAACTCGAGCACACCACATTTATTCATCCATGACTTGTACTTACCCACAAATCCTTGCATGTGTGTATTGTAAAAAGACACCGGTATAACCACGAGCAGTTGTCATGCGATCATATGAAAAGTCATAATTCAATACGCGTCGAGAAGCCAAATCTTGCACAATGACGGCTGAGGCACCCAATTGATCGGCTACGGTATCCACTGCTTCTGAACCCAATAAACGTTCATTGCCTTTTTCCACACCCGTCTCCATAAGCTCGTCGTATTTGCCGGATTCACGCATGTTCTTTTCCATTTGTTCCTGAGCCGTATTCAAAATGTCGTCCAAGAACACCACCGTGCCTTTGCGAGTCGACATACCATTGACCTTGCCAAAGGAGACGTGTTTCAATTGGCTGTTGATACCAAGTTTTTGTGCAATGCAAAACAGACGTTGAAGATAGTGACCTTGGTCGTTACCAATCACGTAGATGCCGGTATCAAAGTTGTATTGCTCCATTCGCTGTAGCATAATGGCCAAGTCACGTGTCAAATAGAGTGTTGTTCCATCCGCTCGTCGTACAATGGGCCGACCAAGATTTTCCTCCTCAAGATCCACACACCATGCCCCTGTTTCGGTATCCACGGTAATCAAATCACGTTGTTGAAGCATGTCATAAACTCGATCAAGATAGGGCTCAGCCTCTGATTCACCCGAGTATCGATCAAACTCAATGCCGAGTCGCTGATAAGTGGGGCCATAGCTCTGTATACTCAGCTCACGCAACCTTCTCCATTGTGCCAATGCCTCAGGATCACCTGCATGGATACACACAATCAGCAACCATCGTATGTATATCATGGATTAGGCAACTCACCTTCTTCCATCCGCTTAAAGTAAGCATTCGCTTGTTGTTCAACGAGCTCATCCTTTTCACTGTTGATGCGCACATACACTTGAAAGAGATGATGGATTGGATCCTTTTGTAATTCCTCCTCATTGCCATACTTTTCAAATCCGACACTCAACAAGCCTAGAATCATCATCCATGAATGTCAAAAGAAGCACAACCGCAAAGATGATTTGCACTTTACCATATTGTTTTCCCCAATCACCAAGATAATTGATGCCAATCGTTCGATGACCCATCGCTTCATTGATACGTTTGACAAAGTTGCCAATGATGGTGCTCCGTAAATGACCGGCATGGAAGGGTTTTGCAATGTTGGGCGAGCTGTAATCGATCACGACGGTCTGTGGTACGTTCTGGGTATGACATCCATAGGTCGATTTCTCCTGATACACCTGTTGCAATGTTTGCTTGATGTACTCGGTCCTCCTCACACCAAAGTTGAGGAACTTGCCAGTAGCAGATACGTCTGCAATGAGTGGATCACATGAACCAAACTATCATATACATATATATACACACGTTCAGTGTCTCTATACAAGAGAGAGAAAAGAAAAAAGAAAATGAACCTTGTCAGCGAGATCGCGAGCATCGGGAAGGCGATCCTTTGGAAAAACTCGAGGAAGTGGTATATTGAATTGCTGCATCAGTGATGTCTTTGGTGTGCCGAGTGCTGCAAGGACTTCAGCCTCTGAACATGAGCTGACTTGTGCCAAACGTCTTGCGATTGCCTTCCTGAATTGAGCGGCGACATTCATATGCAGAGTATAAAGCGAGCGGAACGAGGAGGATTTGACAACACTGATGACAATGGAGGAGGTGCCTGCTTAAATCTGCAGTCACTGGGAGGGAGTACAGCATGATGCATGATTCCATTGTTGATGATGGAAAAGAACATCACATTGACCCCCGAAACTCATTATCGGAAAGCGATCACTTTTGGTGATGTTCCCTATGACTTTCAACAAGTAGAAATCCTTATGAATGAAAAAGAAGAATATACATTAGACGTTTTATAAAGTAAAAATAGTACAATAAGAATGTGAAACAAGGCGTATGTCAATATCTATAGCTGCAATAATGACTGTAAACAAGGTATAGGTGGTGGAGGAGATGCATCCATCATGAGTGGCGATTATGATTGTTGTTGTTGTTGTTGTTGTTTTCTGTTGGAGTGTCTTTATGAATCGATGACTCATCATCATTCTCACAATGATTGGTTGATGATTGAGTTGTCAATGCATTGTTGTTGCTATCGGCTGATGGTGATTGCTCTTCCGGATGCTGTTGCGGAGGTGGTTGTTGTTCTGTTGGATGAGTAACGATTTGTTGTAATTCCACAGACGAATCATGATTCTCGCCGCGAAGCAAATTATTAGTCTCGGTCCCAGCAGTAGCAGCAACAGCAGCATGATGTGATGATTCTCCAGGTTCAGCATGGTTACCATCATTGGCCGCTCGATCGGGTGGCATACAATCGTATTTACAAATCGGACACAAGGTAGATTTTTGTGTGAGCCATGGGTCTACAAGATGATCCAATAGGTGATGAGTCGACATCTCTTTTGTGCGACACATATATATCCCACACACACACACACACTTACCAATGCATAATACACAAAATCCATGACCACACCCCAAGATACGGATATCGGATTCTCCTTCCTCAAAGTCATCCAAGCAAATTGCACAGCTCCCATTCTTGATTTGGCCCGGTGTATATCGCGTTATGGGTAATGCATTCACCACGTCAACAGGTAAGGGCTTGGCTTGCATTCGCATTTGCATATTATAGGCATGGGCATTGAGCTGTGTCTCATAATCCATTTGTTCTCGTAATTGTCGTACACGCCACCAACGTAAAAAGATGACACCTGCAAACAAGGCTGTTGTTGTTGTTGTTGCATTAGCCAACATTCTTATTGGGCAATCATGAGTAGGGTGGGCCAATGATGATGATGCTTACCAACAAGAAACACCGCAGCCAGTGCGATAATGTAGGATAGGTATCCACGAGTGAATATTGGGCCATTGCGTTCTTGTACCGTTAAGGGAGCGAGATACGCTGCAACATCCCAAAACACGCGAATCGAGTCATTCATGTTGTTGTTGTTGACATTGATGATAGATTCTTGCATATCATCACCATACTTGAAAGGACCGAAATAGACGGGGAACGATATCAATGACGACCCATCTCGTAAATCATTATCCTCCATGAATGAAATGTTGCGTTCATTTGGAAGTGGTGTTGAATACTGGACTGCTTGATTGACCGTTTGTGGTGTATGTAATTGATAATCTGCGCCTGGATACGATTGATTATCGGTGACCATAAGAGCTGTCAAGTTGATGCCGTTGGTTGCTGATAAATGAGCAGCCATTGAGAGTTTCTCGGACCAGCTACAATTCCCTCGGTCGACAAGAGCCATCACAGCACGGTTTTGAATAGAAGGAAAACGCAAATTGTTGCCGTTGAGCCGCTGAAGTTGTTCAAACGTCGTATTCGTCGAGTTGCAACAAGTCGAGTAATAGAACAAGATACGCTATAGACGTTTATCTTTTAGCAACCCTCCTTTTTGTTACAATGAACAATAAATGCATACTCGTGTTGGCTGATGCAGATCGCTGCCCGCATAAATCGTTTGGAAATCTTGGGAGACGGCGACACGTTCGTGGCTGTTACGATCTTCTGCTGGTGCGGAAACGTTGTATCGTCTTGGGAGTTCCCAGAACGCTGGGTTGGAAGGTGATTGACATACTACAGCTGCTATCCACATAGTCAGCACGAGCAGCAGTAGCATGCTCGATCTAACTGTGTAGATGGATTTCATATGAATAAAGAATAGTGGGAAAAAAAACAGAGCGAGACAAAAAAGTTAAATCTGGGGTAACGATTACCAAGGCTTTTTTTCTTTTACGAATGCGGAGATTGTGTGCATTTATCGGTTCACTTTTTATTGAATCCAAATCGAAATCCAGCAGGCTTCTTTTTAGGGGCATCTAATGTAAACTTTCGAGGTGGTGTAGATGGTGTCGTTGTCGATGTCGTGGCTGATTCAGATACACTATTCCATCCACCACCACCACCACCACTATTACTATTGCTACTACTACCACCACCACCACCACGGCTGCTATTATCACTGGTACTTGTAGGCTGATCATTCACGGCTGCCCATCCACCACTTTTACCACCTGAATTGTCGTTTGCTGATACCCATCCACCGCCACTTGATGATTGAGGCACATTTGTCACCCATCCTCCACTACTATTGCTGCTTGTGTTGTTGGATCGAGTCGTTGTCGTCGTTGTTGTTGTATCATGGCTTGTCGATGACTTTGCACCACCACCACCAGCTCGTTGTAGCATTGCTTCGTGCATCCGTTTCAATTCTCGTTCTTCTCTCTTTCTCTCACGCTCTCGTCGTTTATCTTGTTCAGATCGCGCAAATCCAGATTTTCGAGTCGATTCCTTCATATCTTTGAATCTCTATAGCAACCATTAGACATGAATCCATTTGGTATCCCATATTCCCACGTACCTTTTTGTGATGGTGATCATAGCTTTGAAGATGCTGCTCGTACTCGGCAATCTTGCTGTATTGCTTGTCACAAAGCTCACAATAAAAGGCACGTTTGACTTGCTTCAATTCCTCAGCAATCAATTGTTGTTTCTCAGCTTTGCTTTCACGTTGTTGTCGTTCTTCAGCAGTCTCCTCCAATTGCTTTTCGCTGCCGAGAGCTTTGCGTTTGGCGGTGGATGATACGTGATAGGCTTGTTCCTCTTGAGCTTTGCCAATACCAATGACATCTTCCTTCACATCAATTCGTACAGGATCAACACGACCTATTCATCCCAAATGTCAAAGGGTTGAATCGTTGATGCATGGTGTGAATATGAGCCTTACCTTGACCAGTGGATCCAAGCCCTTGGCCCTCACGCCATCCCATCTTTTGCAATAATCTGTAGCCGACATTGGATTCTGGAATATGCGTTTCCATGGAAACATGGTGTGTCTTGTCGTAATCAATGTAACCAGTGATCTCGGCGTTGCGAGGTAGTGAAAACTCGTCTTCGTCATCAATGACATCCTCCATATCATCCGATACGTGCTGGTCGTATTTCCAAAGGAGCAAGCGAAAGAGAAAGAGAAAGAGAAAGAAAGAAAAAAGAAGAGTAGGATCGGGAGCGCATATAATAAAGAGTGCAAGGACACTTGCTCAAGCAGAAGCAACCCACTGCAATTGCCATTAGGTTGCCCACCATCTGATAAAGACAACCGCTGCATCTGCGTGTGGTTGATCCAAGAGCAAGGAATGCCGCCAACCTACCTTTCCTAATGTTGTCGAGTCATCCATGTGTGAAAAAAGGAGCAGTAGTGGTAAAAGAAAAGAGCAGGACGCAGCAGCAGCAGCGGAATTAACAATGTGTTATTTGAAAACACGCCTTGCCCATTGTTGTGTATTGAAACAGAGCTTTTCTTTCCATTTGGTATACACAAATATGCAGCGTGCATGGTATTCATCCAAAGCTTGGCTTCAGCGACAGGCACGCGATCCCTATGTGAAGGCTGCCAAATCCAATCAATTCCGAGCAAGAAGTGCATTCAAGCTTATCCAACTTGATCAAAAGTATAAACTCATACGACGAGGCAACGTCGTGGTGGATGTTGGTGCTGCACCTGGTGGATTCACTCAAGTAGCTGTTAACAAAGGTGCCACAGTGATTGGTGTGGATTTACTTCCCATTGAACCTATTCCACATGCACATTTGATACAAGGCGACTTTACACAACCATCAATACAAAAGACCATCATGGATGCACTCCAAGGACGACCAGTGGATCTCGTATGTTCAGATATGGCTCCAAGCTTCTCGGGTAATCATACAGCAGATCATGCAAGATCCATGGTAACCATCAATACTACTCCTATTATCTCCTCCCCAACCCATACACTCATTCTTTTATACACAGGAACTTTGTGAAGCAGTATTTGCATTCGCTGAAACAGTACTTGCTCATAACGGCTCATTGGTAACCAAGGTATGATTGGCATGGCAACGTAATTGATGGATGCCGCGTTTATTCAATGGGGTGCATGGGGGTGGTAGCTACTCATGGGCGGCGACGAGGTCGACTTTCGGAAAAAGCTCAAGACACGGTTCAGACTTGTCAAGCAGGAGAAACCAGACGCATCAAGGAAACAATCGACAGAGATCTTTATTGTAGCAAAAGGGTACAAAAAGGATATGAAGAAAGAAAAAGTATAGTTACTACGACTAGAAGCTTTGGGGTGCTACACGATTATTTCGCTTAAAGAACCATTTTCGAAGTTTGGCATGACGACGATGATGATCACTGGAGGAGGAGGATGAAGTGGCATTGGGTGGGGTAGTAGCAGTAGTAGTGGAGTAATAATGGTGCATGGATGATGCTGATGATGGTTGTGGCGCTGGTGGAGGAGGTGATGATGGGATAGAGGATGGTGTTGTTCTTTGATCCCTGATATGAGGGATCCATGCATCAGCCTTCTTACGCGTTGCGTCGGTGTGAGCATAGATATTTAGGCAACTAGAGGAGTTTTTGAGGAGAGAGGATGAGGAGAGAGGAGCCAGGGTCAAGGATGTAGCCTGATGTGGTCCATTATTATTATTATTATTAGCCGCTTGGAGAGTGGCACTCGTATTGTTATAGGATTGTTGTCTTGGTGATGCAACTGATGTTGAACAAGTCGCCGTAGTACATCGTGTGGTGCTCTTATGTCCGTTACTAGTAAGGGTTGCTGTTGAAGTGCATCGACGAGCATCCATGGCTTGAAGAAGCTGTCGCATCGCATATAACCCAATAACGCGTACATGGGTCTGTGCTGAGGGGGCCATTAATGGGAGACACCGCATCAAAGTACACCAGTGCGTGTATGCTGCTTGCAAAGGATCTTCATCTGTGGATAACTCACGGCATGGTTGTTGGGGCAATGGCCATGGAATACCTGGTGCAGCTGTTACGGTGCCTGGTGTTGTTGCCGAACAGCAGCAGCAATGATGCTGCTTATGCAAAAGGGGTTCTTGTTGCAAAAGCTTTTCGTATGATTCAAGTACCTCCATAGAAAAAGGGTCCACGGGGTGCTGCTGTTCATGAGGTGCCATAGCAGTAGCAGGCTTGTAATTGGATGCTGAATCATCCCGCTTTGCTTCTTCTTCATGTGGTTCCTCTTCGACTGTGCTAATACTTTCCAACTTGTCCAACTGAGCACCCAATCGATTAACCAAGTCTGTTAAGCTGTGCAAAGCTGGATCATCCTCTCGTGTCTTTTTCTTTAGTGCTGCTTTGGCAGCCCTTGTTGGGGGATCAGGGAAAGCAAATGAGGACAACATATGCAGGAATGAGAACAAAGAAAAAAAAGGGAAAAAGAAGACGTGAGAAAGGACATGGCATTCCAATCCATTTATCGTTATGTGTGATGTGATCCTAGTATTTCAACGGCAGCAGTCAAGGCTACAATGTGTATCTTAAACATCTTTTATGGATCAAACGAAACACCTTGATACTACCTAAGTCTAATTCATCCTACTAATTGCTACTCTTTTCTCCAAATTTACGCTTCCCTTTCGATATCATCTCTCCTGTATCGGTGTTTTTGGTTTGCAATGACTGTTTCCGCTTCCTTGATTGTTCACCAATACCAAATTGGGCATCTTTCATCACTTGTAACGATTCATTTTCATCGATAGAACCTCGCAATCTTGATTTGCCACTAGCTTGTACAGAGGACTTTTTGATGGTTGTGGGCGGATATTTTGCTTGCGGGTGTTGCAATGCTTCTCCTCTCAGGGAACCTCGGTCATGAACAATATCAGCATTACTGCTACTGCCAGCTTGATTATTACTGTCGTATGTGACCTTCTCAGATGCCCGTGCATGCGTTTGTATTTGAGGATGTTGCATATCGTCATTGTCGATTTCATCAAACGTAGAAGAACGAGCAGCTTTGCTGATGGAGAATGAATCTGGTTCACCGCTTGATTGTTGTTCGGGTGGTATCAACGTTGCTGGTATCATGCTGCTGTCGATAGGATCCATCAATACATCATCATCATCATCATGTGCCATCATCTCTGCAGCGATATTTGGCGCCATTGTTTGCGGCAAATTCAAAGAAATCAATTCATCAAGAGAGACTGCCTTGGCAACGGAATCCATATGATCCTTGTTGAGGTCGCCTGTCATGGCTTGTGCGATTTGCACTCGTAATTCCTGCATATAATGTCGTACTCGATTCCGCTCCTCCTGCATTTGGATTGATTGTTCCTCATTCCATCGCACCTCCTCTTTCCATCGTTGCTATGAGACAATATCAGGTACATACAACAAAAAGGATTAGTCTGATTATGAACGGGTCGACTAATTGAACGACAATCTACCTTTTCTTTCTCGACTTGTGCTTGGTAATTCTTCACTCGTTGTTTGTATTCATTCAACTCGCCCTAAGTAACATCATGTTTTCCCAATTAGTATCTCACCGATGATGGAATGTGGTATTTCTTACTTTCAGCTGCTCGAGGTTCCCATTCAAGGTCCCAACTTTCTTTGTGGATTCGACAACCTACGTGAACAAAGAAATGAATTTTCATGCATCACGTTACACGATCCATGCAATTACCATACCTCTTTTTGCATATGCTCTTTTTCTGCTATCAGGCCCACTATCCTCTCTTCAAGACGCGATATCTTGGCAGTATCAGCTCTCGCATTGATCTACCAAAAAAAGTCATTTGGGTCATTACATGTTCGGAGAAAAAAAGGAGGAGCACGCAGTAAAAGTAGAAGTACCTTGAGTCCCTTTGCTTCAAATTGTGCACGTCGAGATGATGCATCAAGAGATCCGGATTCCTTGTAGCTTCTCAAAGTATCACCCCTTGCATCTGGTGGGTATGTGCTAGACTTTTTTTTGTGAAGATTTAATAACTTATGAGTGAAATACCTTGTGGGTCACGCTTACCTCGTCATTGAAAGTGCCTTTGCCACGCATTGCAATAGCTATCCAAAAAACATGATTAAGAATTTGAAGGGGAATGTACAACTCATGTGATATGCATACCTTGACGATATTTCACTTTGAGTTCTAGGATGCGTCTCTCAAGCTCGCAGGCGTACGTAGCAGTCTTGCGCAATGCGTAGATCTCCCGTAACCTGGTCAGGCTTACCGACTCCTCGTTGACGTTCTTTGGATGATCATTGGTTTGTACATTTTGATCCTACACAAATAAAGTTATGAGATTGGGACTCTCTATGCACCTTCTCGAAGGACATACCTTCACCTTCCTCATTGGCACACTCCAAACAAATTCTAAATCATCCTCCTCCTCTTGAAGAAGCTGGTTGTACTTTTTTTGCAGTCCCTGGATCTGTTGACGTTGAATTTCCAGTTGCTCTTTGGCGTCGGTCAATTCCATGTTCTTTTTTGCAAGCTGAGCATCATGAGAATCCTGTCATAGTATATATATGATGGTTAGTGATTGGTTTGATGACATCCTCAAGCACCTTGCCTTCTTTTTGTCAAGCTCAAGTGCAAACTTCTTCATCATGTTGCGATAATAGTGGACCCGTACATCTGACTTGTTGGTTACTGCAAGGCACCTCACCATTTGTAGTGCTTGAGAGAATCGTAATGACTCCAACGCTTCATCCAAATCATAATGCAATGATTCCTATAATGAACATAAATTGGGTAAGTTTTGAAGAAGAGGAGGACGAGGAGGATTGCTTACATTGTAATGTGCATATACCAAAGTTTGACCAAAGCCGCAAAAGTGCTGTAGGAGCAACTGACTAAGCACGCTATTATCGATATCAGACATCGTCTCTGCAGGCTTCTTGGTTGTCACTAGCTCGATAATGGCTCCTGTATTTTTGCTTCGTCAGCCATCCATGCTTAAGCAATACATCATAATGCTTACTCAATTGTTCAAACGAGCAATAGATGCTGGCTGCTGGTTGTAACACGAGTGGTTGTCGGAATTCGGGTTGTTGTAAATCGACAATGGATAAATGACCCATGAAATGTGCCTCGTCTGTCAACCGAATTTGCAATACAAAAGGTACAGAAGCTCCATCTTTGACTCGTGACCAAATCTTGTCGACGTGGTTGACGCGTTTCATGCACTGGTCGATTCCTTTAGACATCATGATCGCATCTACATGGTATAATGTGTGAGTTTTGTTTGCGCAAAGAGCCGCCACGTGGTCCATCATACTTTCAATACGGTTCCCCATTCGAAGATCATAGCAACAATTGTCGACAATCCCGACATACCTACAGCAACAATAATATACATCCATCAGATATTGCCTTTAGGTGTATATCCGAATTGCTACTTACGCGTATTCCATTTGGATCTCGGTCATGGATTTCTTTTTGCGATCGGTGTTGACCTTTGTCAGCTGAACGCCTAGTCGACTGATGAGCTGGTGCATAAGATCCTTCCTTTGGGGATGATGGAATCACGTGATGAGTATATCATTTTGCTGCATGCCTTGGGTTCTGATAATTACCTAAGCTTGGATCCATCCGCGCCCCTAAGATCATTGTTAGCTTTCTCTCGAAAACACCAATAAGACAATGAAGAGCACTTACCCCACAGCCATAAAGATACATGCTGTGTTGTACCCTATCATGGAGAATGAGCATCCATCCCATCCAAATATCATAGCTGGATCGTAGATTACCTTCTAATGCCATCTCAACTAGCTGATGGTTCTCACGGGAGCATGTGCTAATAGATTGCTGATCTGCACGTAGGCACTTTGAAAAATGAAAAGCTTCACTGATAATCCTGGTAATGGGATGATGTATCAGCCTTGATAAATGCTTGTAAAGGTCTACTCGACATACTCGGGCTTGCTGTCTTGAGTCGATCCTGTTTGAAAAGAGTCTCCATTCAATCGAGTGTCGCGTTTGGGATCAAGCTTCCAATTGTATCATACCTCCATTCCATTCCACAGCTACACTAGTGTCGCTCATGGAGCGTAATCGTGGTGCCTGGTACGGGATTGTGGTTGCTGATCCAGGGTGAATCCACGCAATGACATTCAGAGGAGAGAGCTTCATAGACGTGTATCATGGAAGAAAGGGAAACAAAGATGTATCAAATTTCATGCAAGTCCTAATGTGGTCAAGTGCCGCTGGGCAGCAGCTGCAATTAAATGCTCCATTCACCTCTCACACTCCTTGACAATGAATGCATGGTCTTTGTACCATGATGGTACTTATTTATAGAACTACAATCTTGTACAAGATCATGTGTGAAAGCAAGAAGGATCTTTATATAAGCAAGCAAAAGTAAAAAACATCAACTACAAAGGAGGAAGAAGAAGGATGTGGGAGAGTACGATATGTACAATATATTCAGGAAATGGGTGGGTGTGCGTGTGTGTGTATATGTGACTGAGGGAACAAAGCAAAGGAAACAAGAAACCATTGTACAAGAACAAAGAAGAAGAAAGCTACAGAAAAACAAAAAAAAAGGATCGAAGATGGTTGATTGTTGTCGTAATAAGGATCAATGATGCTGCTCTCTATTGAACACGGTCTTTATGATCTTGGTAGGGCTACCGAAGAAATAAGCAGCTGTACGCCGTAATTGATCCCAATGATAAGAGTCATCATGTTGTGAATGAGCCGAGTGATGTTGATGATGAGAAGGCTGAGATGATTGCGGGGATGATGAAGAAGAAGGATGAGCTGGCTGACAATGTGATTGTTGTTGTACAAGATCAATGCGTGGTGGATGCATAAATTGGATATCGGCAAGTGGCACAGGCGTAGATGATTCAAGACAAGCGGATGATACTGGAACAGCAATCTCGTAAACCTTTTGTTGATCCGCATTACTTGATCCACGTAGTTCAATCACAAAAGACGATGCATTGTTGGCCACTGATAATGATGCTGTCCAAACTTCCGATTCCCGCGGAAATGATGAAGAATAGTACCATGAAATACACAATGCCGTGCATAGCACAACCATAATTAATCCAAACAAGTTGTGACGAGGTGCAATAAACGATGATTGAGTGCTTGATGAATCAGGTGTGGGTTCTTGTTTTGACACAGTATACACAGGTGAAGTGGATGATGGTGGTGATGGTTGCTGATGGTGGGTCGTCATTGTAGTAGCAAATGATGGATGAGCAGCAGCAGCAGCAGTGGGATCACGTGAACGAGTAATTTGTTGCAAGAGCTTCTCTTTTCTTAATGCTTTTTGTCGACATTGCTTGAGAATTGAAAATAAAGCTTGTGGATCGAGTGCTGAGAATTGTTCAACAGTAAGAATGTTGTAAGGAGCAGGTGCTGTGATGCTGGATATTGCCCAATCTCGACCAAGACGATTTTCAAGATTTGGATGTGTGGTGGTATGGTTGGTGTTTCTTCTTTGAAATGAAGGAGGTTGTCCAATATCCAAGCTTGAAAGTGCAATGTCGATGCATCGAATCTTGTATTTTGCAAGCATATCAGCAAGTCGTGTTCGGCGATCTGCCACTGATCGAAGAGGAGGATGAGGAGGAGTATTGAATAAAGGACTAGTGGGTGATCGCATACTAGCACGTCTCATTGCAGATGGTGGTGGAGATGATGATAAGATAGGAATGATGGGGATGCCAAGTTTCTTTAACTGCCACAAGATAATCAGGTCTTCCTCCACTTGATCATCCTCACGCGTGGTACCTGAACTTCCATCGTAAAAGTAAATGCAAAGATCGATACCATTGGGGGTTCTCTCAGGGTACAAAAATCCGTCGAAATTCTCATTTTGTTGATTTGAAGTGTTGGATGATGATGACCAAGGATCTTGTTGAATGGCATATTCGCATTGGATACAAAGATAGCGAGTGATCATATGATTGAGCTTGTCCTTTTCCGCCGACACAGTCGACCAAGAAAAATCAGCTTCGATGATTGATAGTCCATTGTCTTCACAGGTCTCAACAATGTTTTCCTCTCCATCCTCCTCATCTGGTAGTAGACTCATCAATAAAAGATGGTGTTTCCTCTCCTTGAATATGTGTGGATTGCGAATGAAAAATGATGGACAATCATGGAAGAGTGTAGAGAGGGCTCTCGACAGCTTTCTAAATAGTATTCGTTTGTCCTTTTCTGAACATGCTCCCATATACATCACACGAAATACAGTGGGGATGTTGAATTGTTGCTCGTCACGGGAGGAGGTGCTGCACTGCTCTTGTGCTTCCTCGATTGCTTTCATGCGTTGCTCAAGATCTCTTTGCCCACCCAATAGTTGAAATAGTGTATCAGAACCCACCCCGTCGTCGTCCTCGTCTTGGTCATTATCGCTCAACGCAAGCTCAAGAGACTCTCTCCCAAGCAACGAATCAGTGGAATCCGCAATGTCACAAGACGCCTCATCGTCGGCAGACTCTCCTCCTTCAAGTGCATCACTTAACGACAAGTAGTCAACTGGTTGCTGTTGCTGCCTTCTTGTTGCCGTGGTTACAACTGGTTGCATAGCTACTGGAATCGAAAGGCGGTGTATAGCTGCATTCGGGTGTTGAGGGTTCGATTGTACAGTGGAGGTTGATTCATTGTCTAAGGATGCAAGCTTCTTCGTGAGAAAGGCATGGTTTTTGTGCTGCGGCATAGCAAACAATAATTTACCGGGTCCTTCATCGTTCTCGTCAGAAGCAGTAGGTGACCGTAGCATTTTGGTATCAATAAAAAATGGGCTTGGATAGGAAATGTATTAGAGCACAGCGTGCTTGGTATCTAATGAGGATAATTGCTTGCACCAAGAGAAAAGAGAAAGAGAGAGAGCTGTTTGATACGGCCATTGCACTGAAAATTCACTGGCAATAAAGGTCGGAGGTGAGAGCAGCATATTGTCCACTTGCATTATTACACTTTGTAGATAGCTTCCATACCGCCCATCCACTTTTTTATCTCCACACAACACACATCCCTCACTCCTACCCATAGCACTTTGTGTGTATAATGCTGCATGACGATGGGGTCACCTGGCAGCAATCATCCTATCGATCTATTCATATCCCATCCGCCTTTGATAGCCAATGACGAAGCCCCGTGAGCAAACTTTGCTGCAGGGTATTTCCCAGGTGTGTATTACCGATTAGTTGACTGACATTGTGATACACTACTACCCCTCCTTCTCCTTTGTCATGATTCATGCATTAAAAGAAACAATCATTAAAGCACCATTGTTGTAGCATAATGACAATCATCTTATCAAACAATGAAACCATCATTAACGTGCTCCTGCTCAGCTACAGTATTACTTTTCTTTCTATATCATCATGCATCACCCACACATTTGATATGAATAGTGCTTGACGGATGAGATGGTAACACACGATTTTATGATAACACGACATAGCCACCGTTGTAATGGTAACAAGGATGTGATGTGAAACAAAGGCATCATATCATTTATGTGTGAAAATGGCGCATGTCCCATTCATGGGGGAGGAGGAGAATAAAGCGATAAGGAGAAGGGAGGAGAATAAACACACACACACACACACACATGTGCTGTCAATTATACAAGCAGCCCTATGAAGATAGGAGTCTCCTTATGTTTACACTCATCACACACACGCTTATTACACAACCCACTTATCCGGTCTTGTACAAATCGAGAGAGAAAGTATAAACGCTCGGGCTAGAATGCTCTGTGTCACAGGAGATATTCCGCGCACACACACACACACACACACAAGAGTATTGCACAACCTCCTACTTGTCCTTTTCTTTTTTTTTCCCTTGTATCAAGCAACTATCCCATGCTTCACTCAAAAGACAAAGTCAGGCCTCCTCGAAACTTACGGTCGGCACGACGCTCTCTTGTCAAGAACAAAATCTCGACACCTACTCATGCACCTGCCAATGTCCTCTCGACACCCAAGAAGATCATCAAAGCTCTGTACGATTACCAAGCACAAGGTCCTCATGAGTTGTCTTTTTCACGAGGCGACTTTTTCCATGTCACCAACCGAGAAAACGATACGCACTGGTTCGAAGCATGTAATCCAGCAACGAGTTCCAAGGGCCTTGTGCCTGTCAGCTACTTTCAAGTCCTCGACAAATCGGAACGCACATTGACAGTGGCAGGTCCTAATAGAGCAGCTGATTCCGACTTTATGGATCCAATGAATGGCCATTATGCTATTGGTAAAGATACAGAATGCATGAATGATTTCTTATCTCATCATGGATGTTGTCATAGGCGACCATAAACCACCACCACCATCATCATCATCCGCAGTGGCTCCATTGTATGGCGTTGTATTATATGATTTTCAAGCTGAACGATCCGATGAACTTGATGCGACAGCAGGAGAGCCGATCATTGTCATTGCACAATCTAATAAGGAATGGTTTGTGGCCAAACCCATTGGACGACTAGGCGGGCCTGGTCTGATCCCTGTATCCTTTGTGGAAGTACGAGATGCTGTAACTGGAAAACCTATCACCAACTTGACGCAGGCGTCACCCATGATACCACGAGTAGAGGAATGGAAAAAGATGACACAAGGTTATGAAGCATCCAGCATTTCTTTGACATCACGCTACGATATAGCACCATCGCCTTCCAATAGCTCGTCACTACCAGCATCACGCATCCCCTTTCATCCCCAGCAACAACAACATGGTATGGCGTCATCTCACAATAGCCATGATGCCATTCTTGATAGCTATGGCATGGAACACCTTGCAATAAGCGATCACCAGCACCACCATCATCATCACCATCCAGGACCTAAATCAGAGACACGCCCACATCGTCCCCGATCCAATGATTCAAGACGTAGATCAGATCGACCTATCGTGGTGGCTGCTACAATTGATTCGTATATTCTCGAGGGTGATCAATATTGGTTTATTGTGTATGTTCGACTCAGCAATGATCGCTATCGTGTATTATATCGTTTATATGAAGGTACGTAAATGATCGAGGGATCACTCTATGCATTGTACTCATACATCAACTACACGTAGACTTTTACGACTTTCAAATCAACCTACTCAATGAATACCCGGTGGAGGCAGGAAAATCTGATCGTGAGAGGATATTACCCTACATGCCAGGTCCCTTAACTCAAGTGGATGAGGATATCACAGGTAAAGAAAAACTACTACAAGTGCGTGTGTATGGTAGACTCATTGTATTATGGTATTAGCTGATCGACAAAGGGATCTCAACAAATATTGTGAGGAGCTATTAAATCTCCCTCGATACTTGGCTGAAAGCAATTTGGTGCAAATGCAGCTTTTTGGAATACATGAAGGGGATTTGGAGGTAGATCAAGATCCACGACTAGGAATACCAGGCACCGATGATGATGAGGGCGTTTTACAACAACAACAACAGCAGCAACAACAGCATTTACAGCCGTCACCAACGCCTGTCATAGTGACACCTACCACATCCATGAGTACACCTCGCTCAACGAAATCATCCGGCACAGTGAAGCTGAAAATTGCTCACAAAGACGACATTTTCGCTATCAAAGTACCTGCACACAGTACACTGGAACAACTACATACCAAAGTGCATGATCGATTAGGATTCCCAGTGACATTACAATACAAAGACAGCAACACTGGCAACAAGCTACCGTTACAAACGGAGATGGACATGGAAACAGCATTTGCATCCGCTATCAAATTAGGCAAATTGACAGTGTACGCTGAACGAGCATGAAAAGTGACCGGAGCACTCTAGTTGTGTAAAAAGACAAAAAAGCTATACCACCTATTCTTGTGTACTTGCAGTGAATTAATAACAGCTTGCAGCATTTCCTTTCTTTGCTCGCAAGACATCATCTTATCATGACTTTACATTGTATATGACCATTAAGATGGGATGGGAAGAGAGGTGGTTCTATGGGATGATGATGTTGTTAAAGTGAATCATCACTTCGTGCGTGTATATCATTGCTTCCTGTTTTCACAAAGACACCTCGCTTGAACGGCCTGTGGCTGATTAATACGAGTCCGAAAGGCTTTTTGCAATCACATTGACGTTGAACAGCTCACTTCAGTTCAAGTAGCACTCATCCACGCCATCATGCAGCAAGTTGATGCGTCGATTTAATTACCAAGGCAGCCAAACACAGGAGCAACGCAACTACCTTTATTTCATATCTAACCTATATAGCTACAAGCAAGAAGGAAGCAACATGTACGCATTACTATGGTAAGGTAGCTAAGTCAAAGTGGATAATGTTCCATTGCTATCATCCATCAATTGTAGCTGACATCGTCATGAGAACCACCCAAGTAGCAAAAACGTGATCTTGCATGCTTCTTTCTAAATGTCAACGAGATATGAGCGATCATCCTCTTGCCGTGAGCATGGTAGTAAATCGTGCTTGTCTGTGTCATTGCCGTGACTGATGTTATTGTGTATCTCGTTGTAGTTGTGAACGTCGTCTCCATAAAGAAAGGCAAATCCTGCAGAAATTACGTAGCCAAATCACTACGATGCCATCCTCTCCGACAAAGAAACAATGGTCCCCATATTACCAATTCCAAAGAGTACCCACCAAGGCATGTCGAGAGAAGAGAGTGTATTGCTGTGAATTGGCGATGTCAAATAGTCAAAAGGTATAGGCTTGGAGTCGAATCCAATGAGACAATAAGCTTATAGTACGATTCCCTCTTAAAGCATCATATTGAATCCAAATTTTCATTCAATGCATAAGTCGAAGAATAAGACATGGTAACGTGGATGTTTATCAAGTAAATAAGATAAAGGAACATCAATGTAAATTGAATGAGACACGGGTGATCACATAGAGGCAATAGGGATAACCGTGTCGTTGTGTTCTTGGTTGCTGCCATCATAACATCCTTCATCCATGATTGTAAAATAGCCGCTGCTTGCATTGACTTGAGTATACCAATACCATCCATGGCTGTAGGACACTTTCTCTTCAATCTCATGCAATCCATCATCATCCTCAGCTGTTTCCACGTGACATGATCCATCCTTCCTGCTGACAACGCGACAAGTAACCAAAGCAACATTCCAGGATTCCTTTCTCATCACTGCACTTGATTGCATGCACCCATCAAATCCAAAAAGAGCCATGTGATCGATGCTGGTATGTTTGCTTTTCCATCCGGGTGTTGGCCCATCTCTTTTTTGGTCGTTTCCATCACAGCTCAACCATGTTGACGGTTGCTTGTATTGCAGCGTTGTTGATAGTTGATATGGTATCATCCATTGGAATCCGTATGCACCAAAGCAAGTGGTTACAAGTAAATAAAGTTGCTTCTATACAATGGCTAGCTGCTGTTCACGTGATGAAGACCACAAGGAAGATTGCTGCAAGTAACTTGAGACGATGGAGTAAAGACCTTGCTAATGGCAACTGTTGTTGCGCTTCGTTGTGGCAGAGGAGCGTGCAAGAGCGTGTGTTGTAGTAGAATGACAAGGTTGTGAACGCTTCTTGGGATAATGGAGTAATAGCAACTGCTGGAATGAATGCTGTTACGTTTGGTCGTGGTAGACGAGTGTGCAAGACAATGTGTAGTATCAAGGAAGGTACGTGTTGTAGTAGAAGCGACAAAAAGGCTGTGTACACGCCATGGACTTGCCATTGAGTCAAAGACAATCGGATCAACACAATGGGAGGATTGGCATGATGGGTTGAAGCAGGACAATCGTTCGCAGGTGGTAGTTGTATACTTGAATGGGGCAACAGTTGAGAATGGGAGGATGAGACAAGAAGTTGGCGAGTGGAAGAAGTGGAAATTGAATAGGTCGGACACCTCTTGTATTAATGCATGAACGCTGTACATCAAACCTTGATATTGAGATTGCCTCTCTCGAACCTGAAACTTTCACACAAGGTGCTCTTGGTCATGCTGATCCTGTTGATCTAAAAAAGACCTCATGTTTCATTTGAAAATTTGGAATGGGAGGGTACAATGTGGGTTTACTATGTAAATCGGAAATGGAGGACAGCGCCGATTCATGATTTATGGAAATAGTATGTATTACCTTGGGATTCCCCATCTCGAACCTGAAACTTTGTCAGAAGGTTCGCTGGGACATGCTGATCAACTTCATTCATTTAAAAGTCGCAGACTTCATTGTGAAGATTTAGAATGCGGGGCGATCCAAATGGTGGATGATGGGATCAAAAGAGCGGACGGCCCACCGCCCCGAAGTTGCCCACTTCCAACTTGAAAATTGGTCAGAAGGGTACTCTCGAGCATGCTGATCAACTTTTTCTAATAAAGACCTCATGCTTCAATTGAAAATTTGGAATGGGAGCGTCCAAAAGTTTGAAAGACGGAGACATTCGCAGGGTCTGTCTTTCAAGAATTGACGTATTCTTTGTTTGGGCGTAGCTCAGTCAAATCAGCTCGGATCAAGAAGCTTGAATGATGGAAAAGAATGTCTGGAGTAGGAGCATAATTCCACTGTCACATAATGAACAAAAGTTGGGATTGGGAGGAAATGGCTATTAGCTGCCAATGATGAGCTGTTACTGGATATCATACATTGCCCCTTCCAATCATGCAAAATTAGTTGAGTTACACAAACAGGTCCCTCTGCATCCTTTGCTCTATCAGGGTCCAGCGACTTTACATTAAACAAAGACCACTTCTCATATAGCATCACGCTTACAAACATAAAGGTGCCTGTATCTCCGAACTTTACAATGAAACGTGGGGTTTTTATTAGAGCACTGTGCTCGGCTTGGCCAACAGCACCTTGTGTGAAGGTTTCACGATCAAGCTTGCCAATCCCAGATTTCGCAATGTCGCCACCAGCCAAACTGGATCCAGGGATCGACCTCTTCGATGACGACGACCAAAAAATATTTTTTGGGCTGTTTGCGACATTGAACGCGAAACTTTCACACAAGGTGCAGTTGGCCAAGCCGAACCCATTGCTCTATTCAAAACCCTACGTTTCATTGTAAAGTTTAGAGATACAGCCACGTTTATGTTTTACCTATGCTGAAAGCGTGATGGAGTTGCTTTTTCCTAGTGGATGGTGTCGGCTGCATTAACGGAAAGATGAAGAGCTGAGTGAAACGGCACGTGGTGGTTACACAGACACGTCCTTGACAGGTTGCTACACTAATGGATGATGATGATGATTGCCTTTTGTGTAAACAGCATCCAATAATGAAGGTGTGTCAAGGTATGCATCACATTTGTATGTAGAAGAAAGTCGAGCTGCATAAACCAATTTGTATATGTAAAAAGATACGTATACATATTGAATGAGTCACTCATCCTGAAACTCAATGGAGGGATCTCTTCACTTTTTTCTTCTCAAGCTCATCCCGCTTCCCACTCCTCCTTATTGTATCACAAAAGCCATGTACTTCTTGCATGATCGATAACCGGACCACCTTTATTATTCCATCTTCGAAGCAATAGTATGTAATCCACAAGCTAGCAAACTCCAACAACAAGCGTGTAATAAATAAACAATGCTTTATTCCATCTAGCTGTCTTGCTATGTACTGTACATTGCCACCACCATCGTCGTAGCCGTCCGCCGTCATCATTCCTACTCGTACTCGTCACCAGTCGTCAATCTCATCCGTCACACCAACATCCAAAAATACACAAGTTGAAGAGAATGGGATCTTGCAGGCTTCCTTTTGAATCTCGTTGTCGTCATCATTGTCATTGTTGTGGATGGGGTGATCATCGTAATCGCCGTCTCTACAAATAAGAAAGCAGGCAAGTTAGACCATCTGATACCGGGAATGATGACGATTTGGTATACCGTTAGGCGATCCTCTCCAAGGAAGAAAACAAATCCGAAGGAGTTCACAAACCAAATCACCACCATACGAGCAACGTCGGGCGATCCCTTGTTCTTGAGAAAGCACTGCACGAATCACGCAAGGCCAGTTCGATCCATGGCAAGGAAGGACATCACTTACGTAGAGTCCAGGCTCATAGTTGTTCTCATCCATCCTCTCCAAAGAAAGAATGATCCCCAATCCTTCCAATCATTTCCCACCTCATGAAAAGAAATCCTCAAAGGAAAAGAACGAGCCTATCATGAGAAGAGCATGTTGGTCCAACACATTCACAAGCTGTTGCAAATCCCCTTTTTACCTCAACACAGTAACCATGCTCTTCCAACAACCCATCGCCATCGACCCATCAACTCAAACGCAGGCCTATAGAGCCCTGGACGCGTTCCAAGAAGCTTTTCCAGCACACTTGGCTAGTGCAGAGCGACGCAGCGGCCACTTGATACAAGCTGGGACTTGAACCCAAAGAGATGACGAGGATGCCCCAAGTTGCATTGCCTGACCAAAGAAACCTATTCAATTCATTATTAGCACACGCACAATAAACACCCTTTTCATTGTTTGTTTCATTGTACTTGCCTTTTCCATATACACAAAGACCCGTTGTTGTTGGTTACTGGAAACCGAAAACCATGGTGTAGTATAGTTCAGCCGAAACAAAACGCCAAACCAGCCAACGTCTTGAAACCAAACTTGCTCTCTATACAAGCTGACGCGTCAATGGAACCAATTCGGCTGCAACATTGGACTCTGAATGTACCTGTTGACACCAAGCGTAGAGCGTCATGGCAACGAACAAGAAGAGGCCTCGGCTTCAACCACCCATTGGAATCCCTGTCTATGCATATTCAGTACTATTCCAACACCATACAAGCAATAAGAGCATTACCTTGATGGTCGCCGTGAATGGGATAAATGGAGGGAGAAACAGAAGAGAAGCGCTGTCTCATGTCGTCGAGCTGCTGGTTCCCAAATTAAAATGCAGCAGTGCTCATACCGAGGATATGGTTTCAATGGTTCATGGATAAGATGGGATGACAAAGAAGCTCTTTTCGGGGAGTATAAAGAATGGTTAGTGGGTTCCAAAAGCACAAAAGTCGTTCAATCATGTCCTCAGTTAGCTTAACAATCACACAATCCATAATTAAACGATGATGACATTATGACAAAAATGAGCATCTTCGCCATTGTATATATAAATAGAGGCAGTGATCCTTTTGAGATACTGAAAGGCCATAAGCCAATTAAGTTATACGAGTCTCAAGCTTCGTATGCATGCTGACAAGTCGTAGATCGAAATACAATGCTTCGATTACAGTATGTTTATTGATAGTCTATGCTTCGGAGTGTGATGGGGGGGTATGTATACAAATCATTTGTGTCCCAATGTTGAGGACATGCCAGTATGCTGAACAAGCAAAAAGCGTTTTTGACAAATACCGATTGCTTCTTGACATCGAGCGATCCCAATATCGATAGGATCATCTTTTTGCATTAAACAGGGTATAAAATCCGGTAAACGCTCCTTTGTAAAGATGCGACATAGTGACTTGTTCCCAGTGATACCGGTCTTTAACCATAAACCACGCGATGAGCAGTCGTAAAAACATTCCTCGTTTGCAAAGAGCGAGACGGTGTTGATGGCAATATTACGCCACGTTGAAGCATTTCGGTGGAGGAAAGTGATATCGTCTTCGAGGACCATACACAACATCTTGTCGGATTGTAAGCAGTGTCTCAACGTGTCGACGTATTTGTATTTGTAGTTGAGTTCATTATCCATGCTGCTGTTGAATGCATAGGTGTCGATGGTATTTGGGTATGGGCAGGTTGCATTATCGTTTATCACAAACGATGACTGTGGAAAGTACTCGTAGATCTCTTGCGAGTTACGTCCACAGCTGATCGTTTGAGTGTATACGTTGAGTCGTTTATCCACAATTTTGTCAATATCGACATCGAGGTAGTGCAAGTTGATTAGGGTATATGTAAGAGCACCGAGGGCGAAAGCAAGCAAGAATACAAAGAGAAGTCTGAAATTCATCAAGAGAAAAAAAGGTTGAAAAACATGCTGGTGATCTACTCAGCGCTTTTTTGCTGGAAGAAGAAATGCTGAGCACCTGGTGCGTAGGTAGCGGATCAAAGATGCACAAAGGTGAACTGTTATTTGGCGTGAATTTAAAATCTCATATGTAGGTGTTGTACACGCAGAGGGTCATCTAAGAAGCACGCCTATCGACACGTTCTGAAAACGAAAATGGGTAACATTCGAACAGCGTTGATCCGGATACTTGGTCAACCCTGGGTCTGGTAGTATTTCAATGATTTATTCCTCCTATATTTGCAGTAATTGGATCTTCACTCTCTGAGGATGGATCATATACAGTAATGGTTAATCACTTTTAGATAGCTAGCTTTGATCTGTACATGGGACACGCACTATGCTGGATGCATCATTCAAGTATTTGAAACATCGCATGCACTAAACTTGATTAGGTGTATGTTTCAAGAATGGAAAGTCTGATCCCTTGAGGCATCATTTTATAAGAACCGCTCAAGAGCAAGATACATTAAGACGACATGCGATGGGAAATCATTCAATGAGTCAACCACACCACCCATGTGAGTATACAAATAAGGTTACAACCTCAGCATTTGTCAATGGTTACACATCTTTGTTTTATACAATTTAACATCATTTCACAAAAAGGAAAGTGTTTTTTACACGCAACCAGAAATCAAAAGAGCACCAAAGAGAGGAAAGGAGAGAGGGAGGGAATGATTTTTACTTGACCGAGGGAGGAACTTGGGCGTACGATCTTTTGGCTGCTCCTTCTCGCAAAGAAGGATTTTCGACCCGTCAGGCCGTACCGTCCAAAACCTTGGTGATTCTACCAATAGCAATTGTCTTGCCTTCATCACGAATGGTGAAACGGCCGAGTTGAGGATATTCTTCAAAGGTTTCAACACAGATGGGACCGGCTGTTTCGATACGAGCAATCACCTTTTCACCTTGCTTGACGAATGGTGGAGGGCGCTTGGTCTTCTTGCCAGTCTTCTTGTCAATCTTGTGGAGAAGAGCTGAAAGAGTGATTTCCTCAACAGCAGCGTGCACGTGCATCACACCAGTGTAACCAGCGCAGATGATGTTCTTATGGTCGAGAATAGCCAATTGAGCTTCCAAAACAGTAGTCGACTTGACAGGCTTCTTCTTGTCACAAAGCAAGAAACCAGGAGAGATTTCCTAAAAAAATACATATATGCATAAGCATTTCCACCTTGACATTTCACCTTAAATGTCCTTTTTACTTACGTCTTCTTCAACACCCTTGAGACGAACACGAACGTTGTCACCGCAAATGGCGTGGTCAACCTCATCTTCGGTTTCGTTGTAAATGGTGCTGATTTCACAAGGACGCTATATGATCATGGTTAGATGACTTGATTTGATGAAGGGTTATACTGTAAAACTCACCTTGTTGGGCATAAGCATGTAGGTTTGGTTCTTCTTAATGTGACCAGACTCGATCTTGCCGACAATGATAGTACCCATGTCCTTGTACTTTTCAGCAATGGGAAGCATGAGAGGAGCGTTGAGCTTACGATCCAAGGTCTTCATGTTGTCAAGATACTCCAACAAAGAGGGACCTTCGAACCAAGGGCACTTGTCACCAACGCGATCCTTAATATTGGCACCAGTGTAACCACTGACAGGAATGAACATGACATCGTTCTTGGGATGGTAGCCAGTCTGCTTCAAGAAAGGAGTCAACTTGCCGAGAATTTCATCATAGCTATTGAAAATTAAAGGTGTTAGGAGATGCATGTTCATCGTAAAAAATGACATCAACATACCGAGCCTTGTCCCATTCGACGGTAGGGTCATCCATCTTGTTGACAGCAATGATCATCTTGTTGATACCAGAAGTCTTTGCCAACATCATGTGTTCTCTAGTTTGACCACCACGTTCGAAACCAGTTTCGAATTCACCCTTACGAGCAGAAATGACCATGACACCGACATCAGCTTGAGAAGCACCAGTGATCATGCTAGGAACGTAGTTCTTGTGGCCTGGAGCATCAAGAATGGTATAACGGCGGTTGGTGGTTTCAAAGTAAGCGCGACCACATTCAACGGTCTTGCCCTATAAAATCCAAAATCAGAACGTGTATTCTTATTCCTTCCCTTCCAAAGAACCCGCGTCCTTACCTTTGCACGTTCTTCAGTACCAGTGTCAAGTGCCCAAGAGAGGTACCAAGTCTCGCGACCAGCATCCTTGGCTTCCTTTTCAATCTTATCCATGGTACGCTTATCCACCATGCCAGTCAAGAACAAGATGTTACCACCCATGGTCGATTTACCGGCATCTGAAATCATCATCATCATCATCATGTCAGCCTACAAATTAAAACATGCAACTCTTTTTTTTGACACCTACCGACGTGACCCATGAACACAATGTTGAGATGTTCCTTGCCATACATGTCTTGCACGATCTCATCATCCACGTTTTGCAAATCATTGCTGACAGCATTGGACTTTTCAGCAGCCTTTTCCACAGCCTTTTCGGCTTCCTTCTTGTTGGCCTTGGGAGCAGCCTTAGGCTTAGGAGCAGCAGGCTTGGGAGCTGACTCAGCAGCAGGCTTGGGATCTTCCTTGACAGGTTCAGCCTTCTTTTCAGTAGCAGCAGGAGCAGCAGCAGCAGCTTCTACAATGATAAAAAGTAAAAGCATACAGTTTTTAGTGTTCGAAAAAGTGGCGATTGAATGAGTGGGTGGGTGGGTTGTTGTTATTGCTTACCAGGCTGGGAAGGAGTAGTGTTGGAAGTGAGCTTCATGACACGAGGAGCTGCAGCTGTTTATGATGGACATGTCAATACCGGTTGTTGGAGGGAAATGTAGAGTGATGAGTAACGTACCAGGTTGTGCAGATGAAGCAGGAGCAGCGGGTGCGGGTGCTGGAGCGCCAAATGAAGGGACAAACTCCTTTGCGCCAAGATTAGGCTTCCATGAAGCGGCATTTGGGTTGAGCGAGAGCTTTGATGTTGCCTGCGACAGCGAATCTTGGTTCTGACTCATTGTAGCTTGTGTAGTAAGGCTGAAGAGAAAGCGTCCTAGTAAGAAAATTTTGAGGAAGCTGGCATATTCGCCACCTTTCTCCTCCGCATGTGACCGCCCAACTAAAGCAGGATATTGCATACGTTTACTTACAACCACCCATTCTGTATCATCCTTAAACACTAAACCAATCATACTCCAACAGTATCAGCTCGCTTATAGATCGATTAATAATCTTGGGTCCCTGCAATTTAATTGCTTACTTGCATAAATGGATGGTACTAGAATACCAGCATTGTTGATCCGTTTGATGCAATCATTTAAAGAACCATTCGAATGGTAATGCAGCTATTTTATTCGTGGTTGCTATGACGACGTTGTGCCGAGAGAAGCGTCTATATTTGGGTAAAAGGGTAAAAGTGCTGCAAATCGGTGGTTGTATAGTGCAGCATGATCACATGTCGGGTTGCATCCCGGAGAGTGTGGGCGATCCAAAGAGGGTGTGTGCAAGTAGAGCAGCAGCAAATACTACCCCAACCAACTATAAACACTGAGTTTCTATCTTTGAAAATGAAAAAATCGGCAAGTCGGTTCCTGGGATTTGGACCTTCCCTTCTTCTTTCTTCTTCTTCGCTCCATCCTTTCTATCCTATTCTCGTCGCCCCCTTTTACCTACAATGGGTTACATTCCAGCAGAAGCGTTACCCAACTTGCATAAATACAAGTATGGCGGTGTGGACAAGTCTTTGGTCTCTCGTTACATCCTGTCAAAGTACTGGAATAACTTGGTAAAGTTGTTTCCTTTGTGGATCGCGTAAGTGGAACAAGGGGCCTCCTCATTGTGCAATGTCAAAACTCATTCCTGTCACCCCTCCTCCCAATTAGACCCAACTTGATCACTTTACTCGGTCTCTTGTGTGTCGTTGGCAACGTTGCTACCTTGATGTATTACGCTCCTGACCTTGGCCCATGCCCCAACTGGGTCTATTATACGTAAGGATTCTTGTTGCTGTGGATAATAATTTTGTTTATTGCATAGGAGCTGACACGTGGTGAATGATAGATTTGGCATTGGTTTGTTTGTGTACCAGTCATTGGATGCGATCGACGGTAAACAAGCCCGTCGCACTGGAATGTCAGGCCCATTGGGTGAATTGTTTGATCATGGTACTCTTCACATTGTATTTTAGTATGCTTCAAAAGGTACTCACAATATCCATTATAGGCTGTGATGCTCTCAATACGTCTCTTGGTTGCTTGACATGGGCCTCAGCTACTTGTCTTGGTCAAAGCTGGTGGACTGTTGGATCATTGGTGGCAAGCTTGGGCAACTTTTATTTGTCTACTTGGGAGGAATATCATACTGGCATCTTGTACTTGGGCTACTTTAGTGGTCCAGTTGAAGGTGTGCTCATGCTTGTAGCTGTACAGCTCGTGTCTGGTTATTTTGGTAAGTCATCTCGCATGGCTTAACATCATCCCATCTAATCATTCGATGCTTTTGATCATGTGCAGGTCCTGGTTTCTGGATGCAACGTGTGAGCGACGTGGTGCCAGTAGTAGATTGGGCTGGTCATCCTATTCGTCACCGTATTGGCAATGTGCAATTGAATCACGTGTTGATCCTTATTGGTGCTGGTGTCCTTGTATTCAACATTGTTGCAGCGTATGTTGTTATCCATATCGATGATGATTACATCTTATTGACTCATGTTGTATAGATTGATCAATGTTATCGCTGTCAAGTACAACCCCACTGATTATTCACGCAAGGACAACTCTGTTAGCAAAGCCTTGATGGGCCTTGTTCCATTTGTATTCATGACCGTGGTATCCTATGCATGGCTTCGTTTGTGGCCTTCTCTTGTATATGAGCATTTGGCACTTTTCATTCTCTTGATTGGACTTTTGTTTGGTCATCAAGTTGGCTTGATGATTACTGCACATGTTGCTAAGCTGCCCTTCCCATATTGGAATGGCTCTGTATACACCCTTCTCGCTGCTGGTTGTGCTCTAGCATACGCTGATGTCTCTACTGGCGGGTAAGGCTTCTCAATGACATGAATGAATCCCTTCAGCAGCTCACACACATGTACCACTTTTAGATCTTACAACATCAATCAACGTGTTGCAGTCAAGGTCATTCTTTTCCTTGCAGCTTTGCAGTATGCTAGTTTGGTTCGTGGCGTTATCAACCAACTTTGTACATATCTCGATATCCAATGTCTCACTGTGAAGAAGAAGAAGCAGTAGATGGCATTATCCCATTTATTTACATCCCATCCCATCCTCCCCCCTGAATAGATCAAGAATCAATAAAGCCTTCATGTGCATATCCATTATTCACATCTCTCTCATTGGTGGACAAAAGGCAGCTTCACTCACGATGTCCGTGCTCCGACGTATCATCACTTGTAAACCCTCCCCTCACAAACTTATCATGGCGTCGCGCGCAATAACATTGACTCTATTCTCTTCAAGCACTTGTTCCTTGTGTACTACAGCAAAAGATGCTATTCTAAAAGTACAAAAACATGTATGTCGTTTATTGCCATGACAACAGCAATCGGTGAGATGGGCTCATTGTTCCATTGTGGTTGCTATAGTATCCATTCCAATTGTCCGTGGTTGACATTCACAAACCCGAGTGTCCAAAGGAGTTCGCTGACAAGTACATTTTCGATATCCCTGTGGTGCATTTGAACGATCAGTTTTTGACACAGCATCGCGTTAAGGAGGATAAACTATTGGAAGCGCTTAAAAAGTATGAAGCAACAGGTGTAGTCAACAAGATCCCATCGTAAATGATATTTATTACTTGGAGTGATAGTCGTTGTTGTCGTAAAAAGCTTTCAATAAATCGGTAGAATCATTTCGCGTGAATCAAAAGAAGGGGAATAATGGCCAGCGAGAGGAGATGAAAAGGGATAATAGCGTTATATACACGTTGGTTGTTGTCGCTGGGGTGGATGTTTGTGTTATTGCGTAAGTGGATTGTGTACTCGTGTTTGCGTAATGTTTGTATATCGTCGGATGAACGTCCGTTATGGTTGATGTGAATGTGAGGCGTAACACCTCCAAGTTTACATGACGCTGCAGCAACCGCCTTGAGCATTGGGTGCGAATGGGTCATCTTTTTTGTCAATAGGACCCCAAACCGATGGCAACATAGGGTCTCGAGTATCCTGACAATGATCAATAAGCCTATAGAGAGAGATACAAAGACAATCTCGATAAGGTGAAAACATTCACGACGTTGTTTTAAAATGGAGGTTTATTACCGAGTGGATGCTTCGGATACGGTGATACGTGGTATATCCAAAAGCTCACGTAGTCGTTGATTGTATTCAAGAAGTCGATTAAGCTTGGCTTCAGAGAGATTTTGCGGTTTTCGTTGATTGATCATGGTGGTAGTAATAATAGTAAAAGGGAAAGAGAAAAAGAAAGGTGGAATCGGTTCTCAAAGATGTGCACAGTTGGGAAAAGCCCAAACGTGGTACATGTGTCACCAACACGGTAACCCAGAGCAGGTTGGTCCAAGATTGATTTGTGGAACAAGTGCATAACGATGACTAGCCATGGTGTGTGGACCCTTCTCAAACTCCTATTTTGCTATCAAGTATACAGCTTATAAAGGAGGTTATTCGACAGAAATCTAATTCATGCAAATGACATCAACCTCGTGATAAAAGCTCCCATCAATAAACACGCCCACCCCTTCATCCATATGCCAGGTCCAGAATAAAGATCCTTCTTACAAATATGTAAACCAGTAACGCTTTTATATATGCAATCCTTTGTTATGCTTCTTCAAGGTAACGATATTCAAATCTACGTAAACCATGATTCAATGAGTTGAGCGCGCATCATAATAGACGCATTAAAATGATTACCTGAAGTCTTCCTTTTTACGTTGGCACCACGCACTCTCGTAGTCAAAGTACACATAAGAACCTTGCTCGTACTCGTCCGAAATGAACTTGGGTTCTTCAAGCCGCTGGAACCATGTCAAGTACTTTTTGTGGAATCGCCATGAATGTCGTTTCAGCTCTTTTGCTGCGAGATACCTATACCGCTCATATGCATGAGTAACACCGCCAAATGTACAAGGATAGAACAAGATCCACTTACTGCTGATAGGTGCCCTGTTGGTAATAGAAGATGAAGAAGAGAGTGTGCATGTCCAACTTTTCAAACAAAAGAGGATTGTCGAATACAGGTAGTGGCTGCTGAGGATAGTAGTTCGGTGTCGGATAAGGGGATCGAGGATGGTAGGTTTTGGGTCTACAGATGTTTTTGGGTTAGCAAAGAACACGCCCCTCATGCATAAGAAAATGATGCCTATTACCTTTCAGAATCAATAAGATCTGGTACATGTTGTAAGCTTGCATCCAACATTTGATGTATATGCATGATATCAGGTTTGTCGGTGCCTATTTGGATGTATTAGAAATGATACAAAAGTCCGTCGAAAAATAACACTTGCCTTTGGATCGGATAGCTTCAAATGAAGGTGCAAGATCGGAAAGGGATGGTGGTAAACGCATATCCACAGGTTGTTGGTCTTGTTTGGGCTGTGAAGCGAATGGTTAGTATACTCCAAGTTTTCAAGTAATACTTTTATGACTTACTGATTTAGCAGCTGGATATTGAGAGGCAAGCAGTGATTGTGATAATGCCGTTTCACCAGATCGTGATTGTTGAGAGTCTCCAATAGATGATTGTCGTGTTGGATGATCGCCAATCTTTGGTGGTTCTGCCCATGCATTCTCGACTGCTTTGCTGCTCTCATCTCGTTTATGACCCTTCTCCTGTGATACACCTGCTGCTGCTGCCTGTGCATACTTCAAACCGGTTGATGCTGGTGGTGGTGGAACGATAACTTCAGATAAGGATCGGCTGACGGGCATAGATGGTGGTGATTTGAGTGGACTTGTGTTGAGGGATTTGGCTATGAACATTCTCTCTCTCATCAGTCTCACGGATCATAACATCCAAATCGAAGCATTGCTTACCTTCCGATGTTGGCGTGGATAATGGTTCTTCTACAATAGGATATGCATGTTAGAAGAGAATCCATATAACATAAAACGTATTTCTTACTTGATCTTGGGCTTTGAGCCTTATGTGGAGTATGTGGAGTTGTTGATGATGCATTTGAAGCCTATCAATGAACAATGAATATGCCTTTGTCATTCTACATGGCTCAACCACTTACAATCTCCTCTTTGTCTTTCTCCTTTTCTTTCTCTTTTGATTTGGCTGCCCGCCTTGGTAGTGGCTTCTCTTCTTCCTTGGGAGCTATAACATGTGGTTAATACTACAACGCATCGACAACCCTTGTTCCACTTACTCTCAATGGCACCATGTTCATCTGCAACAATTCCATATAACTCCTCTTCTTCTTCGAGATTGAGATCATCGTATATGAATTCATCTTCTTGAAAATCAGGTTCCTAAAAACCATCCCTCGTTATTAGATACCCGTTGTAACCTACCCCGCCTATACCACTAACCTGATTGCATTCAATGTAATACTGCACATCCTCTCTTATCTCCAAAACCTATACAATGATACCAATGAGTAAGAAGCAATCGCAACGATGTACATGTAACCTTACCCTTTCTGGAGCGAGCCTATCATTTTCCAATAAACGTAGGAGAAGTTCTAACCGGTTGATGTGATGCTTATGGCGTGTGATTTGGTGTTCCAATTCATCGATACGTTCAGCCTTTGCATGATCCTTCTTTCCACGTTTTGTTGTGCTCTGCAATGTCTCGACTTGTGCCTCGGACATCTCCACTTGTCGTTCCAGCTCGTTCTTTGCTGATATGATCCAATCGCACGCCTCTGTCTTTTCCTTCTCCTTGGGATCCATCTTTTCTTTCAGCAGCAGACCCTCTTTGGAATAGGCCTTGGTCTTCATTTCCTTCTCTGTCATCTTGAACCGTTCCATTTGAGACTCAATCAGCTTGCGATTCTCTAACAGGGCGCGCTTGTCCTTGATCTCGTTTGATGACAGCCATGTCTTGATTTGGTCGCGTAGACGTTGCAGCTTTTTGATCTCCTTCTTGAGTTCCAGCTCGTACTTGTCTTTTTGACTCGGATTGGTGGTGGAGTTGATCTTGTCAAAGATGGATTCGAACGTCTCGACGCCCTCGCTCACTTTTTTCAACACACGGTCGATCTCGGCTGTTTTTCAAGGCAAGTGTCGTTAAGAAGCTGTATCAATGAGACGCAGAGGTGTTGAATTCTAGGCTTACTTTGCAATTTCTTCATAGACATTGCGGTATGTATTAGTAGTCGGAAGGTAAAGATGTCTATTCACACAGGGAACTTCCTGATAATTGTGCGTCATGCTCAACCACACCACCCCGTCCCCGCTTAGTGATTGAATTTAGATTGTTCTACTAGCTTCGCTTCCTTCCAATCAATAAAACAACCAGATTGCCTCTAAGGATCATATGCATTGATGCTCTTTTACCCACTTTGGAGATATGGATGCATACCATACGTCTACTACGGCCATTTCAGCTGTACGCAAGCTTTATTGAAAAGAAATAGACATTGGATACATAGGCAAATTCGTTGCGCAATGTGTGGATGTTGACAACAAAGATGTGAGAATACATGATCAACTTGGATTTACTTTCCAAAAGAGCTACTTTCATTCATATGGAAGAAGAGGCATCAATTTCAGGTATTGTTGTTGCCAAGGATACCACCAGAGTAAGTTCCTGCTTATGTATGTTAACGAAAAGTTGCAATTGACACCAAGAAAGGACGTATGTTATACAAGGCTAGTCCACATAGCATTGATGGGATGCAGTAAAAGTAAAGCTCATGCGGTTGGGCAGGTTAATAGGCAAGAACTACATGCGGAGTCCGACAATTGCCAAGCGTGCCTCGCATAGCACACTCTCACCGACCTCTTCCACATTCGACTACATCATGCCAAGGCGATTGAGGGTCAGCATTCTCTCTCTCCTTTTATTCGTCACAACTCTTTCAACTGCACAAAACATTCAATACGCTACACGATTTCCAAAGAACAAGCTATACGATTTATCACCGAGCAGTACAGGCCTCGACAACATTGACGGCACAGTAGCAGCCTTTGGCGACTTCAATGGCGACAAATAGTACGTGCTTGCTGTTTATCCCCCCTTGATACATGAGCAATAGGCTAATCTCTTGCATTGGATAGCACCGATCTCTTTGTTCTCAGTGACGATCAGCATTCCTTATCTGTATATACTTGGCACCATCGTATGTCCACCACCACCACCAGACATGAGGGGGAGGGGTGGGAAGCACGTTCACTCACACATGATATTATGCCATAGAAAACTTCACCTTTATACCACCACGGATAACGCCACAGATCACCGTGGACAAAGACTTTGTAATTACAGGCGTGGTCCCTGGCGACTTTACCTATGATGGAAATCTCGACGTTTTACTTCTTGGCCAGACTAATCCACGAGACACTCAAGGCGAGATCATGATGCGGATATACACTGGCAATGGCGATGATACTTTTGGTAAGAGGATGGGTTGAAGGATTTGGTGATCTGACATGTATCTTACGCTGTGAAAAAGACGACAATTACATTACGCTACCTTCAGCCAAATCAGCTCATCCAATGGTGCTTGATCTCAATGGTGACATGAAGCTTGATCTTTTGGGATACAGTGCGGATGGCGAAAGTGGACTCAGCATGTGGATCAACAATGTCGAACCTTCAACACCTGCCAATGCATCATCATCCATGTTCAATGTGTGAGTAGCGTGGATCACATGATACGATAGTTTACTCACAATGTCTTCCATCTATAGCTCCACAGCATCTGGGATGTTTGATTCAGCCTTCACCAATCAATGCACATGGGCACATCCTCATTCAAATGCTATGGTGGATCTTGATGGTGATTGTATGGGAGGTAAATTTTCACGTGATACAAGTGGATAAGAAAGGGAGGCTGACGTGTAACGTGTAGATGTGGTATTTGTGTGTCAAAAGACCGGCTACCAGACACTGCAGCTATGGTTGAATCAACGTGAAGGAGGCTTCAAAATGGCAGATGAATTGCAATTACCTACTGGTGCAGGACCCGTTAGTTTTGCTGATATTGGTATGTATAGATGGGTGGTGGTATGGTGGAGTTGGCATGTTTATTCATTCGTTATCTTTGAATGATGCATAGATGGTGATGGCTCTGCCGATATTGTATTCCCAGTGAGCAGTGGATCGGAGCAAGAAATACACATTGTATACAATCAGCAAATGGGTCTTTGTTCGCAACAAAATAGCGGCAATTCTACAACATGCAGAAAACCAAACCAACTTTGTCACGGGGATCCCGATTTCAAGTTTGACATGAGTCACCGCGATAGTGGGGTAAGCATGGTATTGCTTGTGGATATGCTGGATACTCATGTCGAATATAGAACTATGTTGTCCTTGATTTGAAAAAGTATATTTCATCAGGCGAGACGATCCAAACAATGGATGCCGCATTCCAAGGGCAGCTACCGGTTCCTGTACAGCCTGGTAAGTGGAACAATGGAATCAAAGGAAGATAGTAAAGGTATGCTAATAATCGATTCAAAAGGCGATTACAACCTTGATGGATATCCGGATTTGTTAGTAACGACCAACAAGCAAGTCCTTTTATTGGAAAACACAGTGTGCAACAACCGATTGTGTTCGAGTCTTGCCTCACAGGCTGGTCGGCGGACTTTTACGATTGTCAAAGATGGCACGGATGCATTGACCAAGATCTCAAGACCTAAACATGCTACCTTTTTCGATATTGACGAGGACGTAAGTACATCAAGATAGGGTTGTGAATGAATGAGTTTTTGACAAACTTGGGATACGTAGGGTTCACTTGACATTCTGGTGCTTCAGCAAAGTGGTGGCAGCAGTGCTTCTCGGGTGCCTCGGTTCATCATCAACAACTTTTTCAACGATGCCTTTTTCCTCAAAGGACTTGGTAAGTAAATGCATAGGTCCTACAACCACTATACTAATCTCAACATGTTGTGCATAGTCTCCAATGGCGTATGCGGTAGCAATTGCGAAGCCAACAAGCCCTACGGCGTCAACTATCCAGGTGCTACGCTCAAGTTCACTGTACTTGACACATCAGGCACAAAAAGAGCACATCTTGGTAAGTCTTTTTTCCTCTCCGCCCATGCTGCTCTTGTTGCTGATTTATGTCCTTGGGTATTAGTCTCGCAATTAGCACAAACATCGTACATGTCTTTACAAACGCCGTATTGTCTCGTTGGATTGGGAAGAACCAATAACTATGTTGAGGAGATGTTTGCAGGTGTCTCACGGCGGCAGGTAAGAAGAAAAACTGCAACTTGGCTTACCGCGTATAATTCATATCCTATCTACCTTTCAGGATCAAAATTATCTATTCTATGAAGGCGTAATTCCAAACTCCCAATTGATCTTTATTCCATATCAACCAGAAAATGTGCATGACAGCTCAACGTAAGTGAGGCTATGGGGTTGATGACGGTGAACGTGAAAAGGCTAACGAATGCGTTCTTAGGTGGGAAGTTGAGTTATACATCCAACCTGGTGACTATGTACCATGGGTGTTGGCACTTCTCATTGCAGCAGCGTGTATCCTTGGTATTGTAGTAGCTGTATTATACTGGATGGAGAAGCGAGAAGACGAGATGGAACGGAGGAAGGCTTTGCATATTATCAACTTTGATGCACTGTAAAATAAACGAATCTCTTGTGTATAGACGTCATCTTGTTGAACCCATTACAAATCATGCGTATCCTTCTCCCATGCTTTGTTTCCAGGAACAAGCATTTGTCATCCGAAATCGGAAGTGAATGCGGGGGTGATATATAAATGCGGCGGGTTGTTTGGGTTTTATCTTTTCTTTTCTTATCATTATCAGAAAGCAATGCCTATCAACAAAATCCAAGTCAAGAATCCTGTGGTCGATCTCGATGGAGATGAAATGACACGCATCATTTGGCAGCTCATCAAGGATAAACTCATTTTGCCATACCTTGATCTCGACATCAAGTATTACGATTTAAGCGTCACCAACCGTGACAAGGTTTGTACATAGGCACAGGAATGAAATCGAGATGCATGCATGCCTAACATGGCTTTAATGGATATCATAGACAGATGACAAGGTTACAGTGGAAGCAGCTGAAGCTATCAAAAAGTACAACGTTGGTATCAAGTGCGCAACCATCACCCCCGACGAGGCACGTGTGGAAGGTAAAATGAAAAACAAACATGGTGGCTGTCAACAATTGAAGACTTGAACTTTTATTTATGTATGTAGAATTTGGTCTTAAGAAGATGTGGAAGTCTCCCAACGGCACCTTGCGCAACATTTTGAATGGCACTGTATTCCGAGAACCCATCGTTCTCAAGACATTACCTCGCCTGGTGCCTGGTTGGTCCGAACCTATCATTATTGGTAGACATGCATTTGGCGATCAGGTACCTACATGAGCCCATTTCATATGTGTACATGCATTGTATTGATGCAAATCGTTGCATAGTATCGTGCCACTGATTTGGTGACAGGGGGTCCTGGAAAATTGGAGATGGTGTTCACGCCCCAGGATGGATCAGCGCCTCGTCAAATCCAAGTATACCAATTTGAAAAGAGCGGTGGTGTCGCCTTGAGCATGTACAACACCGATGAATCCATTGAAGGCTTTGCACATGCTTGTTTCCGTGTCGCTCTCGATCGTAAGATGCCCATGTACTTGAGCACCAAGAACACCATTCTCAAGGCATACGATGGCCGATTCAAGGATATTTTCCAGAACATCTATGACACTCAATACAAGGCTGCATTTGAAAAATTGGACATTTGGTATGAGCACCGTTTGATTGACGACATGGTGGCGCAAATGCTTAAATCAAAAGGCGGCTTTGTATGGGCATGCAAGAATTACGATGGTGATGTCCAATCGGATATCGTTGCACAGGGCTATGGCTCCTTGGGGCTTATGACTTCAGTGCTTTACACACCTGATGGAAAGACTGTTGAAGCTGAAGCTGCTCATGGAACCGTCACGCGTCATTATCGTGAGCACCAAAAGGTAAAAGGAAAAAGAGAGACATGATAAAGATGAGAAGAAAATGCATTAATTAATGCGCTGCATGCTGGTTTTGAATTCTCAATTAGGGTAACGCCACATCCACCAATCCTATCGCCTCCATCTTTGCTTGGACACGCGGTCTTGCACACCGAGCCAAGCTCGACGACAACAAGGAACTTGCTCAATTTACCAAGGATTTGGAACAAGCGTGTATCGATCTTATTGAAGTAGACAAGAAAATGACCAAGGATCTTGCCTTGATCATTTACGGAAAGGGGTAGGTGGCTGCTATCATCATCACCTACGATCATTACTGCTTTATACTAATGATTGCTTATGACATGTTTAGCATGAAGCTTGAGCATTACTCAACAACAGAAGAGTTCCTGCAGCAGATCGCTGACAAGTTGGCAAGCATTCGTATCAAGTCGAGGTAAGAACCAAAGTAATGGTTGTGAGACATTAATGAGTAACCCATCCCCACCACGTCAAATATCCCATCTAGTCCTCAAACCATGCAACAGAAACTATAGATTGTCGAATTATAGCCCATTTGAAAGTACGTATAAAAGAAAAAGATCTACGTGGCAATAATTGGGATCAATCACTTGGGAGGTAATGATGGTGTGGTGCATTTTGTGTAACGTGGTCCTGTTTGCTCCCCATCCCGGCAGGCAATGCTTTCACCAATGAAGGATAGAGAGATGAATGTTTGTGTGAAATCTATAATTCAATACGAGAATTTATATAGGCAATAGATATTTGCTTTCCTTACTCTGGTGTATAGCACGAGAAAGGTAGATCACCCGCACGATGACCTGACATTGCTGGCTTGATGCATGTTACACAAACGAGAATGACACGAATCAGCGTAAATGGTATCATTTAAAGAGTTGTTTGATGAAGAGATACGAGGTGTATGGTTTGGGTACAAGGAATGTGGATGATTCAAGGCGATTTGTTCGTCATCATTGATGATGGGAAATTGAGAATCCATGTACACGTTCCATGGAGGATCGGTGTCAATGTTTATCTACTGCTGCTGCTGCTGGAGATAAGCTCTATAAATAGGAATGTGAGGTATATAGCTTAAATTAGGGAACATGGCAACCAGGCAGCATACATTACACTATATTGCAAAGTACATCCAAAAGCTATGATAAGTAAAAAAGTACAAGTTGAACGGGTGATGTGAAAAGGGAGAAAGTGTTTATTGGATAATGTTAGGGTGATGGTTACAAAAGAAAAGAAAGGAAGGATTTATTTTCGAGACCCAAAGGGGGAGAATGTGTGGTGGTGGAGAAAGAGAGAGAGTGAGAGAGTGAGAGTTGAGAGTTGTTTGACGCATGTTCAGGTGGTGGCCAAGCCCGCTTTCATCGGAGGAAGACATACGATTCAACTCCGAGAAGACATTGGCTTTGACGCCTCTCTCCTTTACTTCTCGACCTCATCTCTTTTTTTTTCTTTCATCTCCATTCCCCATTTCACACCAATGACCGACCATCACGAAGAAGACGACTTTGCTCCTACCCAAACTGCTGGCTATAAGCCCGGTGAAAAGAAGACTATGGAAGAATACCAAAACCTTGACGCCCAAGACGAGTCTTTGAACAAGTGGAAGGAGTCCTTGGGTTTGAAGGCTGGTGCTTGTAAGTATCTTTAGCTCTATCCATCCACCCCACCTCCAATACCAAGCCTTTTAACTTAAATACCTATGCTTTTTATTATTAGCTGCTGGTCCTACCGACGATCCCCGTAACGTAAGTAATCTCACATCTAATTTATATAACGCGCAAAAGCGCGTATGGGCATGTTCATGAAACTTGATCTGATGCAATCATCATTATAGGTTGTTGTTGAGTACATTGCTCTCGAAGTGGAGGGTCGTGAAGATGTGAAGGTCGACTTGTCCACTGCAGGTAAATTATTAGGGAAGGGAGAGAGGGGGAGAGAGATCAAGATTGAAGACTCATGTTGCATGATCCTTTATTGTAGATGCCATTGAGAAGGCCAAGAGTGCTCCATTTACCATCAAAGAAGGTGTTGAATACCGTATGAAGGTCAAATTCCGGTACGTTGCGTTAGGAGTTTAACAAAGACATATCCACCCACCCACACTCACCCCTGAAATGTCCTTATTATTGCCTCTTCCCTTTCTTTTAGTGTCCAACATGAAGTTGTCTCAGGTCTCAAGTACTTGCAAGTTGTCAAGCGCAAGGGTGTCCGAGGTAAGGTTCTTCTCGAATGAAAAGGATTGGAACAAAAAAGGATATTCAAGCCGTTTATTCATATAGTGGACAAGACTGAGGAGATGATTGGTAGCTATGGCCCTGCACCCGACGCCTATGAGAAGAAGTTCCAGTTGGAGGAAGCTCCTTCGGGTCTTCTTGCACGTGGTCACTATGACGCAAAGGTAACATACCGACTTTTTAACTTGAGAATTGCCTTTTTACTAATGACATTATGTAGAGCAAATTTGTTGACGATGACGGTGTTACCCACGTTGAATGGAACTGGTCTTTTGATATCAAGAAGGATTGGTAGATCTGATCACAAAACCACCCAAATTACTTTGCTCTCTCTCTTTTTTACCCCTCTTCTCCTACTATCCCTCAATCAAACATACACAGAACAACAACGGCAACCCATTTTTTCCTCGAAGTTGTACACAAGAAGCAGATGCATTAATACCATCTGAACGTTGGGGGATGCGATGGATATGGCATTGTTGATGGTTTCCAAGGTTCAAATTACATTTGTGTGAGTGTGTGTGCGTGAGTGAGTATGGGCAATATGGGCATGATTATGTATACAAAGGAGATGGATCTATGGTTGATGTGCTGTGTGTGTACGGATGGAGCTTGGATGATAGTTGAGCAAGAAAAAAAGAGTCGTAATGTGATGTAGCGTAATCGTTTACTCCAATTGTACAGTGGCACCCACAGCCTCCAGGGCTTTCTTGAGCTTCTCAGCCTCTTCCTTTGGCACCGATTCCTTGAGCACCTTGGGAACACTCTCGACAAACTTTTTGGCATCGACCAAACTGAGACCTGCCAAATTCTTAACCTCGCGAATCACCTTAGCCTTGGCAGTAGCATCCACCTTCTCCAACTTGATATTGAACTCGGTCTTTTCAGCAGGCTTTTCCTCTTCAGCAGCTGCAGCACCTTCTTGACCACCAGGCATCACACCCATAGGCATAGCAGGCATAGCAACATCTTCAATCTTGAGACGATCCTGTTGTCATATGGATACGTGAGTAAGATGATGATGATGATGACGATACAACGCCTATCCTATATACCCACCTTGAGTTGAGAGACGAGCTCTGATGCTTGCTTCAAGGTCAAGTTCTCGATTTGTTCAGCAATGCCAGCAATCTTGGGATCGACAGACGATGAGGAACCAGGCGTAGCGATGGGTTCTTGCTTCTCAGTGGTATAAAAGCGTCCAACAGCAGGTGCAGTAGCACTAATGAATGGCATTCAGCACAAAGTGTGAAAATAGCGTTTCGTTTTTCCTTTACCGAGCAGCAGGGAATGGGCGAACAAGAACGCGCGATCGAGACACAAGGTTGAAAGAAGAGCGAAGCTATGGATAATGGGTAAGTTGATAGGTTTGTTTTGGTGGTCGTATGCTGGGTTCTTACCATCCTGGCAAGTAAAGAAGTGAAAGAACAATTGACAGCTCGTCGGCCCGCCTAATTTTCACAAGCCGTGACGTCCGTGACAGGTACCGCCACCTTTCCCACAGCTGTCAAGATGTGGATGATACCTTCGCTGCTGCCATGGCAACCATTGGATCAACCTCAACTTTGATATGGATACATCATAATCGTAGACAAGTCTCCACTTTTCTTTCATGTCTCCTATATCAACAATTATAATCTTTGATTGGTGGTATTAATACAATGATGATTGGGTTATTTATTAGCACAGATGGAAGCGAATAAATAAGGGGGAACGATTCAAGTACGAAGGAAATGATACGTAATGTGGCTGGTGAACAAAGAATACAGGTGATGGATTGAAATGAGGAGGTGGGGGAAATGGTTGTTGTGCATCAAGCTATTGGACTACATGCAATGATGGGGTTGTTGCTGTTGTTGCATAAAAATAAGAAGTACGTTGGATTTCAGGATGATCGGCAGCAGCGTACTTATTATTAGTAGTAGTAGACAGGAGTGACATCCTCATCTCCTCCTTGCCTGGAGTGGCTGGGCATTCGTTGTGATGGATGGATGATGATGAGGAGGAGACTGTCAAGAAGGGAGTAGCATACGCTTGGATGTCGTCAAGTACAGTGGAACGAGAAAGGGTGATTTTGGTGCATGCTGGTTGCTCATAAGGAGGAAATACAGAGGATGGTACATGCACTTTTTGTTGTTGTTGTTGTTGTTGTTGACCCAAAAGAGTGAATGAACGACACTGAAGAATACGAAGACGTAATTCAGGTAACCCAATTCGACGTGCTGGATCCAAGCAGAAAATGCGTTCGAGAATAGCTTCAAGCTCATTTGATATAGAAGGAAGGATAACACGGAAAAAGCCAGGTCGGTTGGCATGGCAATAAGCGGCAAAAGAGGAGTCATTCAGGTTGGCTTGTTTCCAGGGATTGCGTCCTGTAGTAAGATTGATAAGGATGATACCCAGGCTCCATATATCATTTTGTTGTGTTCCATATCCTTTGATGCGTTGATGATTTCTGATAAGACCACCTTGACATTCTACTCATTTATATATGTAAGCAAATGATCAAATTTAGGTTTGAGCGATCCTATATATAACCCTTACCTGGTGAAAAGTAAAAGGATGACCCGCATCCAAATTCTGCAGATACAGCATGCGTGGTGGCAAGCCCAAAGTCAGCAAGTTTGATATGGTGCTCTGGAAATACAAGGATGTTTTCAGGTTTCAAATCACGATGAGCAACATGATGTGTGTGACAATGCTGTACAGCATCTAGCAGCTGCAAAAAGATGTGGCGAATGGCACGATCATTGCCAATGATTGGATTGGATGGGTGTGTGAGTGCCTTAAACAAGTCGCCATGAGGAGCATGCTCCAATACCAAGAACGTCCATGTCCCCATATCAACACGCTTGATGAATTTGAGAATGTTGTCATGGTTCGATACCAGCCGATGGATCTCGGTTTCGTTTTGCTTATTGCTGTGAGTCAACAATTTGACGGCGTATAATTCACCGGTCTTGAGATGACGGGCTTGGTACACGATACCATATGCACCCACACCCAGGATGGATAACAGCTTGTAGTTGTTATCATCAATGCATGTATTGAGGAAGGCGTGAGGATGGATAGGCTGATTATGGTGATTGTGTTGTTGTTGCTGGTGATGTGTTTGTGGTGGTGTCATTATTAAGGGTATAGGTGGGTGGATTAGTTGTGTGTTGGTTGTTGATGGGTATAATGAGTACAATGAGAAAAGGAAAGTTTCAACAATCACACAAGCATATTTAAATGAGTCTTGAATGACCACACCGAAAAAAGGAACCGTGTCCGTGTGTGATGATCATGTTTATGCTTCTCCAAGATGAGGCAAAGTTGCCGCAAACCCCCTCTCTTGTGATCGACTAAACCTCTTTCTCTTCAGGTAGTCCTAAATCGTGAATAAATCATCCCTTGATTTTTACAAGACCGGAAATCATCTATTGAGTTTCTTTCCACTCCTTGATATCGTTCATGTATATGCGTTGTTATTCAAACACCTCATTTTTAGCTATGATGCATGTATCATGTTTTGGCTCTGTACGATCTCGTGACATAAGCATGCAAAATGAAGCATTACACTTGCATGCATATGCTGTGTCAAACCAGTTTTTGTAGCTTTAACTTTACTGGTTGAGCCTTTTGGATTTGCAATCATTGCTGCTGAGCACTAAATGATTTGTTCAAGGAGTAGTGGGACATTTACCCCTTCGATCTATTCACACCGCCTACTACTACTACATACTAGCAGACGCCCTGTTCCCCACCCCCTTGGCTCTTTTATTGCAAAAAGCTACCAAATAGCCGGCATGTTTTATTCCAACTATAGATAGGTATACATACACAGTTGCTTTTCAAGATCTCGTCATCGCCATCAGTGTCGAAGAAAAAAGGAAATCCGAGGGCCCCCTTTCATCGCCAACACCCCCTGTCCAACATCTTTAAAGTCGTCGATACAAGGTGTAGCGTATCGTGAATGATTCACGTCATAATCCTATTGTCGGAATTGTATATATGCATATGCTACCCTTATCTCTTGCGTCCCCTTCTGACGTGCATATATTGCTTGATGGATGATATACTACCAGAAATCGACAGCTTGGATGAAGGAGAAAGGTGCAATTACACATAACGAACGCTTGTTACCTTATTAAACACAAATTGGAACATGATAGAATATAGGTTAATAAGCAACCACCCATAGAATGGAGGAAAAGGAAAGCTGACAGCTAAAAATGTGCTATCCCCAAAATTGATTTCTCCCCGCCAAGAGCAGCAGCAGCAGTATACACCAAAGCTGTATTATGCAAACAAGCTCCTTGCATGTACATCATCATCATCCTTGGGCACTATTATTACGTACTAACCAAAAAGGATTCCCACCCTAATGCTCCTTAACTTGTTGTCATGACAGCTTTCCTCCAACCTGATGTAACACTTGGCTGTGTGTATTGTATATGACAACAAACTTGTAAATCTTAGTATCCCCTTTCCTTCCACTACTTTATCAGCACATGGTGTGACAAGAAGAATTGTGGCATAAAGGTAACATAAAACAACCTGTATTTGAGGGTGGGTGGGGGAAGTAGATGGATAAAGCAAGTAGTAGTATCAGATGTATTACTATCACGCAAAAGAAGAGAATGCAAAAAGTAGAAATGTAAGAAGCGAGAGCGAAAATAATATACAAAGATGCGACAATGAGAGTGGAATAAAGATAAAGGAAATCAAAATAAAATATGGAGGTGGGTTGTTGACTACCAATAAGTGCGCGTCCCTGGGCCTGTGCCTGCCAGGCTTGTTGCAGTCGATGCCGAGTAAGTAGTATCCGGTTGACCACCCAAGAAACCCAAGATTGCATTACTTTCTGAAGTGTTGTTATTGTTGCCATTGGTAGTAGTGTTATTGCTTCCACCACCACCACCACCACCACCGCCTGAAGGAGCTGATAGATTGGCCAATTCATTGACACCTTCATCATTGTGTATCAGATGCTGCTTGGGCATACCATGATTCGTGGGACCAAACGTATCTTGTTGTTGTTGTTGTTGTAATGGTGGAGGTGGAGGAGGTGGTTGTTGATGGATGTTATTGCTGCTGGTAGTACTAGTAGTAGTAGGTTGAACCATAAACCTTGGCGATTGGAATTCGTGCGAAGGGATGAGTGGTTGCGATGATACGGGTTGCTGTGTACTAACGGTGCCTTGTGCTCCCAAATAGCTATTCCATTCATTCATATCGAGTGATATAGGTACACCCCAAAAGGCTGCACCCATTGGATCAAATTGAGGTTGAGCTGCAGACTGTGACATGGTTCCTGGTGCAGCAAATGGATCTACGGTAGGTACCATTGTCGTTGGTGATGAATTGGATGATGATGTGCTATTGTACCCTCCAAGCCATGGATATCGTGGAAGTAATCGATCTGCAGGTGATGTATTCCATCCTGGCCCTGGTGCTGTGGATGTTGTTGCTGCTTCAGGGGGAGCTTGTTGCTGTTGTTGTTGAGGTGAAGATGTTGAATATGCAATCGATAAAGGAGGTGTATCATCTCGCTTCTTGTGATCATCTTCATATTCCAAGTTGATATCTCTGAGACCAGCCAATTCACCAAGAATGTTCCCACTTCGTGCAGCAGTCGTCCAAGTAAGTTCAATTTCATCGAGGGCTCTCATGATCTTGTTGATCTTGACTTTGGCATCCAATGACTTGTGACCATCTTCGGAAGAAGCAGCTGATTTCAAAAAGATGATGCCGGCAGTAAAAATATAATACACAGTAAAGTTGGATACATATTTCAAGTGATTCTCATTGAGCATAATATCCACAATATCCAGGATGGAGTTGGCTGCTGATGCACAAATGTTGTATGATCCGGAGGATGCTTCAACCGGAATAAAAGGCCGATGAAGTAAAATCACCGTTGTATAGTAGATCAAGTGCATTTGGGAAATCGGCGTTGGTGGATCGGACATAACTCCGTGACCTGCTCCCACCAAATCATATTGCAAGGATGAAGGCATATTGTTGTACCAATTGGTGAGTTGTTGGTTGAGAGCTGATAGTACATGATCATGATGGGTTCCTGGGGCATGATGTCGTGACTTTGCATAGTAGATGCTCTTGAGTACATGTCCCAATATATCACATATCTTGATAAGTTGTATAAATGCATCCAATAATCTCACAGGAGCACGCCCCACTGTTGATGCCGACTCGTCTGTCAATGGCTCATCGTCATCCACGGATGGAAAAGGCACATCACAATCACGTTCCTCGAATACTGATGCACGTCCAAAGTTGGCACTGAGTAGCCGATCCACAATAAAACAGCACCAAAACACCCGTTTACGACGTTCACGCTCATCCGGTTTGATATCCCAATGATCACAGTTGCGGTTGAGTCCAAGATCTTGGGCCATCCGAAACGCCTAAAAATTACCATAAAAGTGTAAATAAACTAGCCACATGGTTGCTTAGCAACAACAATATCCATACCAATCCACTATAGAGCCATGCCCTTGGTGCTCTCATTGAACCATGCTGATGGAGTGCCATAAGGAGTAATGCTTGCACTGTAGATATCCGTGGTACATCATAATAATTATCCAATAGACATTTGGCTCGCTCAAAGTAAATGTCTCCTGCCGTATCAGCTGATCCAGGATCTGATCGTACACGTAGGTCTGGTGATACACGGGATGCCACGGCGTAAATAGCATTGAGTAATAATGGAGAAATGGCATCTGCAGGTGGATCCATGGATGAAGCAAGACGACGTTTGTAGAAAATGGGAAGAATCGGATAAAAGTGCTTAAAATAGAGATGGATCAAGTGCGTTGATAAATCCTTTGGTGGTAATTCAAGCGGATCAAGTGGTGTTGTTGAAGAAGATGGATGCTTGTATCGATGACCCCACCCTGCCAAATGAAATGCACCGTTTTGATACGTTCGACTGTTTTGCAGCAAATAGAATCCTGAAGACTTCCCCAAATAACGCACTTGACCCGTTTCATCCATCGAAAGTTGACCATTGCTATCGCTGATCACTGATCCAGGACTACTTGGTTCACCCACGGTTGTTGTATCAGGTGCATTGCCATTGGTGGGACTTCCCATAAGTGAAGGTGAACGAGGATGTGGTGGTGGAGTAGCTGATTGTTGTTGTTGTTGCCACATAAAAGTGCGATTCTTGTTACGTCCGCGGCCTCGGCGTACAGGACGAGTTGTGATCTGCTCCCCATGAGGTGTTTCGAGTGGTGTATGCAGCTCAGCAAGTAATGCTTGGGATCGTGGATCATTGTTGTCTCCTGCGATATCGGCAAGCACCTGCTCCAATTTATGTAATCGATTCTCAATGGCTTCAATGTATCCTTTGGGTGGTCCACGCTAAAAGTAACCAAGATGTGAGTGATCTCTCGTTCCTTTTATCGGCCCGTAGCCACTCACCTTTTTGGTCGTGTCCCTGTAGGTACATTCAAGGTTGAATGCTTGACAATTACTGCACACAGGTACAAGACCATCGCACTTGATTTTCTTTCGTCGACACAGATCACTATACAAGTGTTCGTAATGAGTAAGCTGATATCTATGCTGTGTTCTAAAAACGACACCTACCACGCTCGACTGACTCGCTGCCGCTTTAAATTAGCATCGTCGCCGGCATCACCGCTCGTCAAGTCCATGGCCGAATAGTGTGGGGGGAAGTGTTGTACACTTTAGGTTCACAAGGTTCGTTTGATAAAGAAAAGGAAAAGAGAGAGGAGAAGAGAGAGAGAGCGAGGAAGGAAGAAAGAGAGCAGAAATCAAAACGGAGTTGTTGGTCTACACTCACCACACACATCACACACCACACACGCACCACACACACACAACCATACATAATCTACAAAGAACTTACAACAACATCTCCGGCTAAGAATAGCAGTACGTACGGTTACACAGGATCATTTTGCTCTTTGTATCGGCAACGACCGATCGTTTTCATTGATTGCATTAGATACAAGATGTTCATTCAATAAAGTAAACCACTTGGTATATGTAGCAGTGTTTTATATAACATTTTCATTATACAAGATGTTTGGAGTAGTAGCACATCGAATGGCTATTACAAATACCGCCCTTTTCCACCCACTTGTTCCATTGATGCACTCGTCATCCTTCATCATCATCATCATCATCATTACCCCATTGCTTATCATACAATCAATCCTAGTAGTCTTTTATCATGGACAATGTCATTACAAGTAAAACAATTTTATCATCGGCATTTGCCGGAAGGACCGGAGCTAATGTGCTTTTATATAACTCGCATTGCGGACTCTTCTTGCAAGTACAGGTTTCTAAAGGGTTCTCTCTCTCCCTCACTTTCCCGTGCATTCGGTAATCACCCCGCTTTGTGACACCGACAAATGCTGTCCCTCAGCAATTTCTATTACCAAACAGAGGCAAATAATCTAAAACGAGTTGCCAAATTGTGCGACTTGTCCCAATTAGTGTACCCATCAAGGGCTTTTGAGACGAACCAAGCGTTTATATAAATTGCTTTTTCTGATCTGGTATACATGAGAGGTAGACAAAGAGATTAGGGGGGAGAGGAACACAAGGATATAATCTGTACAGGGTGTGCGTGTGTGTGTGTGTGTGTGTGTGCGTGTATGTCGTCATTGTTTTATACAATTCTAAAGTCCCACCATGCCAAAGACACAAAGAGCACCAATGTATGGAACAAGCACCGTTTTGGCCACAAAGTAGAAAAGAATACCAAATGCAATGGATATCGGAAGTGCTGGAAGAGCCTTCTTGTAGATGGCTAATAAAAAGATCGTGGTCGTCAAACCCATTAGGACTGCAATTGTGCAGCATACCGTGGTGATCCAGTCATACAGCGCTATTTTTTGGTGTGTGTTCCAGAATCAGTTTCACTTCCTTGGCATTTGTACTATAAAAACATACCTGCTCGTGCAATAAGCACACTATAGAATACAAAGTCTCCTAATCCAAGCTTTAGACCACTTCTTTCAGCTAAACATGTGCTCAATGGTTAATATTCCTGTTGATAATCCAAGTTTGACAAGTACACATACCATCCTCTTCATCACGATCCTCATTATTGGGGGATGTTTCATGCCTTGATGCAACGGTGGTGCTGTTAGAATTACTGTTTCGACGTTCATGTTCTCCACGTTCTGGTATATCGGAGGATGACGATGATGATGATGCAATATGATCTCGCCGTGAGTCAACATGAGTAGTAGTAGTGGCGGTGGTGGTTGTAGCAGGTGCAGCTGCATGAGCGTTGAGAGGGACAATGGAGGAGGTAGATGCGTCATAATCAGTATTAGTGTTGATGGAAGTGCTGATTGTTTGGATCGAAGTTTGCGTTTCAGCTCGTTTACGGCCTTCTGACATGGGATCATCATGTGGTATTGGAGCAAGCTCTTCAGCTGTTGTCATCATGAACCATACTGCATTGACCGAATAAAGAAGTGCTGGTACTTCACGTTGCTGATTCCTCGAACTCTCAATCAACAGCCTCAGTGGACCAAATGGACATAGTACGGCAATCAAATCTATGATCACAGGCCACGTCTTAGCATCTTCAAAGGAATTCAGTGTGTGTTACACTTACCCCACACGGCCAATAGACCCAATAAAATCCATGTCGTCCATTCTTCCAATCCAGTCAAAGAAAATGCCTTTTGTCATCATAATCATCATGATCAGCGATCTCTTTCGTAGAGCAAAACCAAAGTACGACTTACCATAAGTGAGCTCATGATCGTCAGGTAACCTTGCTGAAGCCAAAGCGGGCCCTTCCAAAAGATCGACACCAACCCAACGACTGCAAAGTTCCATAGGGCAAAAACCATGGTGATGTAATCCATTGGTATGAAAAAGACCTCGATCAGGTTGCTATGAATGCACATTAATTGGATACATCCACCCCTATAAATTTCACTCTCCTTGGCCAGTGCACTTACAGTAACAGGAGATACGACATGAATCCAAGCAACATGAGAACGACAATCATGAAGAATCCAACAAGCACCTTCATCCATCCTTTTCGAAAGAGGACCACAATAACGACCGTCACCACGATGATTTGCCCGATAATGATCAATGCATTTGTCAATGATCCAACAATAGGTGATTGATTGCCTCCATCATCGCTACCGCCTTCTCCGCCACTGCTGCCATCACCACTGCCATCGTCGTTTCCACCACTTGAAAAGGCAATATAGCCTGGTCGACTTGGACTAGGTCTCGTTAGTTTTGTACAACCATCCACCCACCTCCTTTGTCCTCTTGCTTACCTGTAATCACTCCCTCCACTGAATGCAACCTTGACCCAAAAGATACTGAGAATGATACATGCTACCACTGGCTTGATAATAAAATAGATTTGTTGCATGTAAAACTTGAGATCATCAGCGAATTCTTCATCATCATCATTGTGATTGCCGTTTCGATGATTGCTGTCGGTATCAGAATCGACGGCGAGAGTAGTGCCTGTATTGTTGAGATCTTCCAATGCAATGTCCCCTGAACCCATTTGAGCTTGTGATTCTGTTTTTTAAAAATGAATACAAAAAAGCCGTGGATGATGATGATGATGATGATGATGATCATATGTACCTCGTTGAGCAGCACGTTCAGCTTGTCGTGTTCTTCTAGCAGCCTTGGTAGCCTCGCAGTCTTTATAATGCCTCAATTTCCAATCGATTTTTTGACAGTCGACCGAGCAATAGCGTGGACCCGCAAGACCACATGATGAGCACATGAAGGTAGCCGAGTTGTTGCAATGAGTGCATTCCATGTCGATGGTGACAGGCGGGGTTGTGGTTGTTGTGTTGGTTGGTGCTACCGTTGTCTCATCATCCGTGTCGCCATTATGCAGGGAGGACGGCGAGCTTCTAGTCATCGAGAGTCGCTAAAGCGTTCAACTGCAATGCGTCGCTCAATTCGATAAAAGATGGTGGGGCGAGAAGCAAAAGAAAGAAAAAGTGCAAGAGAAAGGAAGGGAATGGGAATAAAGAACGACGATGCCGGAGAAAAAAAGGTAGTAAAAGAGAACAAAGATAATAGGCTTGGTAGTCGAAAGAGGAAAAGAAACCAAGGTGAATAAAGTGTCTTTGTCGTACACGCTGTCGTTATTATTGGTGTCACACAAAACAGTCGGTGCACTTAATATGCGTGCCTATACATGCATGTAATACTATATAGACAACCTTGCTATCCTATTATCTGGACCACCACTACCACCCCATGCACGCAGCGACGCATGTAATAGTAGTAATCCTTTTTATGCATACCATTGCCCCATCCTCATCAATCAACCCAATCTCCACAAGCTCAAAACTTTAATCATGGAGATGATATCCAATACCACCCATTTCCCCCAACCAATATAGAAGATGTATGATAAATGGTGATTGTTGTTTATAGTAAAAGTAAGATGTAGGACGGCGTCTAAAGATGTTTGAGTGATCGGGTTGAGCATGTACATGAATAATAAAGGGAACAAGAAAGAAACAAATACAAAAAGAGATACATCTATGATACAGAAACACATTGCAGTGATGAGATAAGGATATAAGTGTGTTTGTAAATGTTGAATGGGATGATGTATGAATATACTGGGTATGTGTTGAAATGAATTATGAATGTTTCTTGTTGGCCTTGTCAGCACTGCCTGATGATGTTGTCGATTCATCCTGATCTTGCTTTTGAGCATCGAGAACAATGACATTATCAGCTGAAGGGGCTGCGTTGAAAAGATGATGCATATGTCCGCTGGCGTGCTCATTGTGCTGACACATGGCGATACTGCTGACCCAAGGGTCGGCAAGCACTTCCTCAATGGTGCATCGCTTGGCAGGATCAGTTTCGAGCATGCGTGTGATGATGTTATGAGATTCTCGTGGAAGTAGCTTCATGAGGCGCTGAGGACCATGGTTGCTGAAATGATTAAATGTCTTGTCCTCTTTGAGTGGGACCTTCCAAGGAAAGCGACGACTCGTCATACAAATGAAAATGATGGCACACGACCAAACATCTGCTGCTGCTGGCATGTATTCACCTTCGTATTGCTCAGGGGCAATGTAAGGATCAGAGCCACACACACCCTTACAGGTTCTTGTTTTCTTATCGAATGGGTACTTGTAGACCACTGAACAACCAAAGTCGATAAGCTTGACAATGCCACGATCATCAAGCATCATGTTATCCAACTTGAGGTCACGATGTGCAAGGCCCATCGAGTGAAGGTATTGAACACCATGCAGCATTTGACGCCAGCAGCACGCAATTTCTTCACGTGACATTTGACCACTCATGACAACGTTGAACAAGTCGTTGGGTGCATATTCCATGATTTCATAGAATGCTGAACCTTCTTGTACCATATCGATGGTTTCGATAATGTTCGGGTGATGTAAAGTGGACCCAACACAAAACTCGGCAGTGACCTTTTTGACATAGTCCTTTTCCTTTTCATGGGGTTGGCGTTTACGGAATTGCTTGACGGCAAATGTTTTACCATCGGTGCTGCGGCGGATGACTCTCACGGATCCTCCTGCTCCCTTGCCGACAAATCGTCCTACATAAATGATAAAATTTCAGTCAGCAAACGTGCAACATGACGGGATCTCGCGGCATTATTTATCCGCGCAATGTAAAACGTACCCCACTTGCCATATCGGGCTTCAATGTCCTTGTTGAAACCATTGGCAAAGCTCAATGAGCGGCCACTGCTACTTGTGCTGCTTCGAATACTTCCATTGCTGCTTACAGATGAGGTGTTGTCCTTTTTGAAGAATCGTTTAAGCCCATGCAATAATCCACTACGTTTTGCTGGTCGATGGAAATGGGTTTGCTTGTACTTGTTATTGTATACAGGCTTCTTGAATTTGAATTGGGATGAGAGACGACCTGACGTTGTGCTCAAATCGGCTGTAGAATCAACTACTTGCTGCTCTTCTCGTTCATCGCTAACAATGGTCGTAGGAGTACGCACATTGGAAAGGGTTTCATCATCACTCGTAGCATCATCATCCATCACTGGTGGCGTGCCTGGAATTGATAGTGTCATGATGCTGGTGGCGCGCTTCTTTTTCTGAAGGATCTTGGCAGGTGATTCGAAATCGGCATCGTTAAAGTGTTGTGGTGTTGGCAGTGTGGCAAATGTTGTGGTAGCAGTAGTCGATCCCATTTTGTTGGAAAAAGTGAAAGAGATGCGTAGAATGTTCAAGGTGGCAAGGGAAAAAGATTTATGGAGAAACGGGATTGTGCTTTTGTTCCTTTTAGGGATAATCTATCTCGGTTGCTGATATATACACAAGCAAACAAAAACTATAATGGATAAAGAACCAGTGTAAGAGATGTATGTGCAAGGCTCTTTTTATTCCTTTTCTTGACTACCCCCATCAACCTTCTCACCTTGCATGATTGTTTGGGATTACTTTGTTGTGGTCTTCTTTATGCATATATCGGAAACACAACTTTGTCGGCCAAAATTCACCCGCTTGATCGCTATCTCTCTAATGTATGATTGCACGAGGACAACTCCGGTGGCAGCAGAGGCTCCTTCAGGGATAACAACACCATATTAGTCTCATCCCTTGATCAACCCCTCCTTAACAAAAGGTGCGTTTGCTAATCAAAAACCTAAAACGTTTCTGATAAAAAACAACAAGGCTAATGTTTATCAACTATTTCCGCGCGTTCTCCTCTGATGGGGTGCTAATAACAACTTTTTCCCGCAGCACAACCATTGTTAGTCGTTTCCTTTCTTTGATTCGCGTGGCAGCTTGTGTAATCTTTCTTTGCTGTAACCCGAGTAAATGTTTGGTGTGTCATCTTTCAGCATGATTGCCACATGAAAGAGCTACACAGATCATGAATACGCTGTTGAAATCAATCACACAGGGTGAGCAAGAGGAGTAATAGCCATGCGAGAAGACAATGAAAATTTACAATAGCAACGTGATGGGACGTATATTTCTCAAGCTGCCGCAGCAATGTGATGCTCATTTATCTGATTTTCATCAACTCTTGGTATACTTCTTTGAACACCGATCCACAACAGAAACACGTTTAAATGACACAACAAGCACACAATCGTATAATCTTGCTGATCATTGATACGTAATCCATGTCACAATAACGTAAGTACAAAGACATTCAAAGCATTATGAGTCACTACCAGCATGGTGGGGATAGTGTAAAAGGGAAGGATGAGTAATACAACCCATGATGGCGGATGAGTAATCCACCGTAGCCGATATTGCTGCGGCAAATAGTGGGCCGAAATAACGGATATGTATTTGGTGGCGCGCCGGCGTAAGCGGCGGCCCGTGTGCAAGCACACATAAGTATTTTCCCGCGGGGAAACTTTGGATTCTACAACAATTTCGGGAGCAGCAAGAAGCACGTGTAAGTTGTTGTGCAGATCTGGACTCGGCGCTATTTTAACCCGTAAACCAATGTGTGGACCAGATCAACAACACGGCGTTCTTTTGATATGTCAACATTGAAAGGAGAAAAGGCTGTATCACTAGTTGATCAGCAAAGGCCTTTATGGTTTTAAGGGATCAAACCTATGGATGAAGGCGAATGTCAATAGGAGAATGTTCTTTACAGCTGCCGTTTCGTTTTAGAATATGCAATGAAGGCGGCCAAAAGACCTCTTAAACAACATCTAGATTGAAATGGTGGACCACATGTCTTTGTCTCTTCGGGAAAAAGGAAGCTCCAAGATAATGTTTGAGACAAAATGACCATACCAAAGATTGCCCAGACTCCCGTTCTTCATTTTACGGATTTGCTTAAACAAAGAACTACGAAGGAGAATGATGATGATCTCAAAGCAATAGTGCATATTGCATCGGCTCAGGGGATTGCTTTGTGTAACCATAAATACAAGCGCATTCGTGGATGCGTTCATGCAGCTTTTTTCTTTATCGCCTACACATCCAAGCACCATGTTACATGGGTGTATCTTTATTATTCCTTGCTTAATGTCATACAACAGCCGATGGATGATGGTATCCATGTCTTGAATGTAGCTTGCAAGTATCCAAAAGGCAAGTTTATTAAGAAGGGTGGTTACCCAATAGCATCCGATCTTCCCATCTTCACCATCAAATCAGCATACAGATTGAACGTTCAATGATTGTATGGATCATAAATTAAAGAGCATACGTTTATGCCATCAGATGACTTTTAGGATCCAGAAGCATCTTCATCACGAGGTGTGGTCTTAAAGCTTACTCTGCATCATAACCAAAATCATCGATATGGATAGAATCATATAGATGGATGATACCTTCCACTGTTCGTATGCATGCTTAATGATATCATATCAACCATCCGCCATCCTCATCGTTACTGCCACTGGTGGTTGTCATCCTCCAACACTGGAGCATTCCACAGGGACTCCATAAGGCCATATCATCTTATGGTGACTACCTGATCATTATAGAATGGGATATAGAAGCGTTTATTGGATGCAGTGTTGATGCTCTAAAGATCTGCTGTAATTGGTTCTTGTATGGATGGATGACTTTCTATAGCTGTTGATCTCTTCCAGTCCCTTTTCCGCATGAAGCAAATCCATGGTTACGTTGTATCCAATTCCATTCAACCCATGTACCAAACAACATTAAGGTCCATATCCATAAGAAGTTGTATGTATTGAAGCAAGTTACTACACGTAAATAAAGCTGCTTCCATATAATGGCTATCTGCTGTTCACATAAAAAAGGCTGCAAGGCAAGGTGCTGCAAGTAAAGAACGCTGCTTGAGACAATGGAGTAAAGACTTTGCTAATGGCAACTGCTGGTACGATTGGTTGTGGTCGACGAGTGTGCAAGAGCGTGTATTGTGTCAAGAGGCTCATGTGTTGTGGTAGAGTGACAAAAAGGCTGTGTACACGCCATGGACTTGCCATTCAGTCAAAGACAATCGGATCAAGACAATCGTAGGATTGACATGATGGGTTGAAGCAGGACAATCGTTCTCATGGTGGTAGTTGTACTTGAATGAGGCAACAGTTGAGAATGGGAGGAAGAGGAAATAAAGTGGGGAGTGGAAGACCTGGAAATTAACGAGGTTGATCTGATCTTGATTGATGTTTCTTTGTTTGAGAGTTGTTCATTCAAATCCACTCGGATCAAGAAAGTTCAATGATGGGAATGATGGGCTGGAGCAGGACAATCGCTTGTGTGCATTGTATTGGGCAACAAAGGTGAATGGGAGTGATGGGCTGCTAGCTGGCGGTTTACAAATAACTTTGCAAAATAATTTTTGTGAAATTGGATGATGTTTTGTGCTTGAGCGTAACTCAATCAAATCCCCGCGGATCAAGGAAGTTGAATGATGAGCATACTGGGCTGGAGCAGGAGAATCGTTCGTACGCATTGGGTTGGGTAACAATGGCGAATGAGTTGAATGGGCTGCTAGCTGGCGATTTACATATAATCAATCAAATTGATTTCTCTGATTTTGGATGATGTTTCTGTGCTTGAGCGTTGCTCAGTCAAATCCCCTCGTATCAAGAAAGTTTAATGATGGAAATGATGAGCTGGAGCAGGACAATCGTTCACATGTCATAGAATGAATAATGGTGCCAATCTTGAGGAAAAGGCTGATAGCTCGCAATTTGTGGACTACCTTTGCTATAGCAACGAGCATTTTAAAATGAAACAACGAGCTAACCAGAGGAACAATGTGACACCAAACAATCTTCGGGAAGTCAAAGTGGACGTACTCCTTTAAGACATTCGGAAACAAAAAGTAGCCGTGCACAGACCACATACTCTTGTTTCAGCTCCTGGAAGATGCACCTACTCAAAGTTACATACCTACAATGCCTTAAACTGTTTGCTACTATCCATGGCAACGACTATCACGTGCTGTAAAAATGGCTGGGCAGTAAATAGTGTGACGGGGTTTACACGCGTCTCATAACAGCAGCGTTGGGTGGCCATGGCAACGGTTGATCTCAACCAAAACCAACCTGGTTTCCCTTGATCAAGACCGTTCAAGGCCATTGTCAATGTTGACTACTTGTGGGAGGTGTAAGCAGGTGAGTTAGAGTGAAGGATCGGTACAACTACGTTGTTTCACTTGGTTGCATTGGGTGGCAATAGGGTGCTCTTTATTTGGGGACCTGTTTACAATTGGCATCTCAAGAGGTATGTTGGGCCTGTTCTATTATGGCAATCTCTCACTCATTGTCTACTTTAGACTACACTACCATTGACTGGGAAAAGTTGGCTATGGGGATTGCATGTTATTGAATCTTCCACCTTTTGGCTCGTATTGTTCCAAGGACACTCCCTCGCCCCAGTATCGTTCTGGTATCCCCCCAGCGGCAAGATGCACGTATGGCTATGGCTTCACGCAGTAGGTGCGGCGCATATGATCGCAAGTGGTCTTTTGGCCTATTCGAGATCGTCAACAAGCTTGGTCCAACTGGGAAGCGTGAGACTGGATCATCGAAGGGGAAACGGATTCGTGTCGGTTCAATCGGGTCATAGGGCGGGGCCCATAAGGACAATCAATGTGTATCTTCTCCTGGCCAAACAAGCGACTTTTCCTCAGCTTGTCAAAGAAAGTTATCCTTGTGGTTCTCTTGCACCCAGAGCTCTCTCACGTTATGCTTGGTGGATGAGGGGTACGTTTGGCATTCTTGTTCTCTGCACTGGTGTTTCATCTCCCCCCGCTTGAGGTGCCATCGGTTCCATGTCCTGTGTGCTTGTGTTTTTTCAAGTATTATGGTTGCATGTGGGATTTGTAGTCAACCACCTTTCCTTGTGGAGGGTGCCAGGGACTTTTTGTTCTGCTCTTCGGCTTTAACCTACTTGCTGTGCAAAGCCTTCAAAGGGGTTGCCGCGATGACCACTTCAAGAGGGACCTCAATGGCACTAGCCTGCCAACTCTTGGTACAATCCATTTGTTAGGCAATGTGGAGAAGAGGATGTGTAGTGGAGCTCCTGACACACAAGGGTGATCATCGCCCAAGGGGGCCACAGGATTTCTTTCTTTGGTACATACAAGCCGTCAAGTCTTTGGGTAAGTGGTGGCATTGGATGATGTCCTTATCCTTGGTTTGATGGCGATTGTAACAAGATGACGCACATGATGGACAAGTAGCTAGAGTCATTGTTGAATCCACTTCCACTTATCAAGCCTATTCCCTTCTTGCTTGTAAATGATAGGGTAGATGGAATAAATTCGTTCCGTTATCGGTCATGTACGAATTATACATCTTTTATGATGCAATGTTCATCATCCATTAATGCAGCAACCTGTCAAAGACGTGTCTGTGTAACCACCACGTGCGGTTTCACTCAGCTCTTCATCTTTCCATTAATGCAGCCGACACCATCCACTAGGAAAAAGCAACCCCATCACGCTTACAGCATAATAGGTAAAACATAAAGACGCCTGTATCTCCAAACTTTACAATGAAACGTGGGGTTTTTATTAGAGCAATGGGCTCGGCTTGGCCAACAGCACCTTGTGTGAAAGTTTTACGTTCAATGTCGCAACTAGCCCAAAAAGTATTTTTTGGTCGTCGTCGTCGAAGAGGTCGACCCTCAGATCCAGTTTGGCTGGTGGCGACATTGCGAAATCTGGGATTGGCAAGCTTGATCGTGAAACTTGCACCCCAGGTGCAGTTGGCCAAGCCAAGCACATTGCTCTATTTAAAACCCTGTGTTTCATTGTAAATTTTGGAGATACAGGCATCTTTATGTTTGTAAGCGTGATGCTATATGGGAAGTGGTCTTCGTTCAATGTCAAGTCGCTGGACCCTGGCAGAGCAAAAGATGCAGAGGGACCTCTTTGTGTAACTCAGCTACTTTGCCTGACTAGAAGGATGGAAGGATGATACTGTATACTATTGACAATATCCCATACATTGCGAGCTAACAGCCATTTCCTCACAATCGGCAATGTTGCCCATTCTATGACAGTGGAACGATGCTCCTGCTTCAGACATTCATTTCCATGATTGGATTATGTTGATCCGAGTTGATTTGGCTGAGCTACGCTCATACAAGGTTACTTCAGTTGAGCAACATAGAGCATGGTTAGATGTGTGGATTGATGTAATCCCTCTTTGGCTGTATCTCGGTCAAATCAACTCGGATCAACATAATCCAATCATGGAAATGAATGTCTGAAGCAGGAGAATTGCTCACATGTCATAGAGTGGACAACAGTGGCTATTGTGAAGAAATGGCTGTTAGCTCGCAATGTACGGGCTTTTGTCAACAGTATACAGTATCATCCTTCCATCCTTCTAGTCGGGCAAAGTAGCTGAGTTACACAAAGAGGTCCCTCTGCATCTTTTGCTCTGCCAGGGTCCAGCGACTTGACATTGAACGAAGACCACTTCCCATATAGCATCACGCTTACAAACATAAAGATGCCTGTATCTCCAAACTTTACAATGAAACACAGGGTTTCAAATAGAGCAATGGGCTCGGCTTGGCCAACAGCACCTTGTGTGAAAGTTTCGCGTTCAATGTCGCAAACAGCCCAAAAAATATTTTTTGGTCGTCGTCGTCGTCGAAGAGGTCGACCCCCAGATCCAGTTTGGCTGGTGGCGACATTGCGAAATCTGGGATTGGCAAGCTTGATCGTGAAACTTGCACCCAAGGTGCAGTTGGCCAGGCCGAGCACATTGCTCTAATAAAAACCCCGCGTTTCATTGTAAAGTTCGGAGATACAGGCACGTTTATGTTTGTAAGCGTGATGCTATATGAGAAGTGGTCTTTGTTCATTGCCAAGTAGCTAGACCCTGGAGAGCCAAAGATGCAGAAGGACCTCTTTGGGTAACTCAGCTAAAAAGTCAGGACTTCAGGGACAATGCATGAAAGGTACGCAACCCTCACTTTATGTCATACGTTGGCAGCTAATAGCCACTTTCGTGCATTCCCAACTTTTGTGCATTCTATTGTAGGTGGACGATGCTCCTGCTCTAGACATTCATTTCCATGATTAAAGTAGGTTGATCCGAGTTGATTTGGTTGAGTTACGCTCACACAAGATTACATCGGTTGAGCTACATCGAGCGTGCTCTATGTCCAGAGTGATGTAATCTCTCTTTGACCGTAGCTCAGTCAAATCAGCTCGGATCAACCTACTTTAATCATGGAAATGAATGTCTAGGGCAGGGGCATCGTTCCCATGCAGTGGATCTCGCAACAATGATGATTGGATAAAAGTGGCCGTTAGCTAGCAATACATGCCTGTTCCTAGATGATCCATAAAGTAACTATACATTGACCCTTTCATTCATGCAAACGTAGTTGTGTTACACAACACGACCCTCTGCATCTTTTGCTCTGTCAGGGTCTAGCTACTTTACATTAAACAAAGACCACTCTTCATATAGCATCACGCTTACAAACATAAACGTGCCTGTATCCCTAAACTTTACAATGAAACTCGGGGTTTTGAATAGAGCAATGTGCTCGGCTTGGCCAACAGCACCTTGTGTGAAAGTTTCACGTTCAATGTCGCAACTAGCCCAAAAAATATTTTTTTGGTCGTCGTCGTCGAAGAGGTCGACCCCCAGATCCAATCTGACTGGTGGCGACATTTGCGAAATCTGGGATTGGCCACCTCGATCGTGAAACTACACCACATGATACTTTCGGCCCCGACGAGCAGCTTCGTTCTCTTAAAGACTCCGCGTTTGATTGTAAAGTTTCGAGAGATGACCGTCTTTATGTTTTAAGCGTTATACTATATGAAAGGAGGTCGTTGTTCATGGCCAATCACTCGATCATGCTAGAGCCAAAGATGCAGAAGTACATGTTTTTTGTGTAACAAATGAGAATGGAGGATTCGCCGGGCTAATCCTATTGGTGAAGGATGCATGATGACTGGAAGCCGTTGTATGATCCCCATGTTAGGGCACATCTATGTTTGCGCATAATACCTGTCGATGAAGGAGCCACCGACTTTCAGCTATTTTGAAATCACTACTCACACAAAATCCTCGAACAGCGTGGAATTTAGGCACAGCAAGTGATCATTCGTGATAGACGATGGATGGTAACGTTGTTTGATGATTGTGATCATAACATTACTCCATTCTTACTCATATCACTATTTAAGATTGCTGACACCTTCAAAGTTCAAGTTGGGTTGAGTATCTGGGGGATGTTTATTTTGTGAGTGATCCATGTTTACTATATACTAATATGTGTGATGGTCTTTTAGCGCTGTTTCCTTGTCGTCATCTCACTTTAATTGTCATTGGAGTATTGGGCTCTTGTTTTAAGGTAAAGCCTAATCATCTTGCCTGATGATGCACATACACTCGCAGTCCCCTCGATGCAGCTACATCTTGGAATGTATATTCAAACATGGATTGGGGGCATCTTCTACTACAAGCTATATGGTGGTGATAAACGCTAAATGTACCAACACCCGACGGCCATCTTCTTATCAAAGAAAACAGCGAACTACGACATCACATTCATCAACAATAAGATCCCATGTACGGGCTTTGTAACAATTCTACACTTTATCCCCGAGGTGTCTAAAACGATATGCCGAATGCAATGTAATAAAGCATAATGTATTTCATGTTTAAGGTAAATGAATGGGTGGGTGGTCGTGGTGGGTGAACCAGGCATTGGTTGCTGGCTTGCAATCACCTATGAAACCAGTGGTATAGATTAATGTTGGGTCCACAGTCACCGCCTTGCTCTTTCTCAGCTTCCTTTCCTTTCAGTTGTATATATCCACATATCCCTGACACACGACAACACACCTTAGCCATGGCAGATTATGTTGGGATCAATCTTCAAGTGACACTCGTGGGAGGAGTCGTCATCACAGGCGTTGTAAGCGACTTGGACGCAAGCACTAGAAATATGACATTGAAATCAGGTATGGAGTGGAACGCGTGGCTAATCGATGCATGACATCTATATACTCATGCATACTTGTAGTGGCTGTTTGTCCACCGGGTGGCCCTGTTCAATTCCAGGACATGCTTATCGTAAGCGGTCCACAGATACAAGATTTGAAAATTGTCCCAACATCCACGCCACAACAACACGCACCTCCACAACAACAACAACAACAACCTGCTGCTGCTGCTTCATATCCACATCCACATCCACATCCATATCCTCCTCCAACAGCCAACACACCACCAAACAAAGTGCACGATACTCCAATGACATCCATGGCTACCGATGCTACACCAAAGCCAATGTCATCCACGTCACAGACATCTTCAAAACCAGCCATGTCCATTGTCGATCCTGCTATCGTCCATGTAAGCATGATCCATGATTGGTCTATTTAATACTGTTACTAATGTCATTGCTAGATTGGATCCGTATCTCCTGAACAAGTCAAGAACAAGTAAGTTAATCGTAATTGGTAATAGTGGATTGGAAGGATGTTGTGCCTGACATTGGGTTCACTAGGTTTACGCCCACTGCCCCTGCAGCAGCGATTGTAGCTACACCTTCACCGCCAACATCAGCAGCAGTGACCAATAAGCCGAATGAAGTGACACCTTCACCCCATCAAACACAATCAACTAGTGCATCCACTACACCATCCAAACAGAAAGGTCTATTATTTGGTGCCAACAGACAATCCAGCAAGCCGCGTAAGCTTATTGTGGAACCTGAGATCTTCGATTATCGAGATTTTTCGCGTGGCAAAAAGGGCAAACGTGCTGTTGCTGCTCCTGCTGCTGTTACTGGTACCAAAGCGGATACCGAGTCTTCCTCTCCAGAAACAGCTACCAAGCAACCATCTACTACTTCTTCCAAACCTGCTGCATCTACCACTACAACAAGTACCAGTCCCAAGCAAAAGAACGAGGTAAACGTGGATAAGCATTTGAGGATGATAATGGTATACTTAACGAGTTTAAATAGAATGGCGTATTGAATGTGGAAGCAACAGCATCATTGAACTCTTTGCTTAATACCTCTTCGTCATCATCACCTTCGCCAAGAAAACTGAGCCAGGCCGATGTCAGCATTCCAGCCAGTCTCATCCCCCCTAAAGCACGTGCTATGGCTAATGGGAGCAGTTCGACATCCACAACAAAGAAAGCAGCCGCCACCACCACCTCACCGACATCATCGTCTTCTCAATCGCTTAAACCCGTTCAAATCCTCAAACCGAACAAGCAGACACAGCAAAAGCAGTCTTCATCAAAGCAGCCATCCAAAAAGGTGGAACAACAACAAAAGGCCAAGTCGGCAGAATCATCGCCTAAGCAACCCAATGATGTGGTCGAGAATGAGCAAGGGGGTCTCGTGATCAAAACGGCTGCTCATGGTATTCAATGCCCAATTGTGACTCCTGAACAAATGCGTCAAGTCGAGGAGATTTGTCGTAAGTATACGTTAGCAAGGTATGAAAACGGGATTTATATGCTAATTATCATTGTAGAGAATGAGACGGGTCCCAACGAAGAGATGATGGTAGAAAATGCAGGTCATGGTGCAAGTATGATGGCACTCAAGGCATTGGGTAAGTAAAAAAAGTCATATGGAATGGTGGTTATATATGCTAATCGATCTCTATAGGTGGTGGACGTCGTATTCAACCTGATAATCATAATGCTGCACCTGTGGCCGTCATCTTTGCAGGCAACAACAAAGTTGGAAGCTATAGCTTGTCGGCTGCTCGCCATCTTGCCAATCGTGGATGCCATGTTTACATTGTCATGACCTATCGGAAGGATCGTGAATTGGAACCAGTGGTAGCTATGCAGAAAAAGTGTGCCGAGTTTGCAGGTGTCCAGGTGGTGGATGATGTTGATAGTAAGTGATGAAACTCAACGCATGGATGTCGACAAAGGTGATGACCGATTTTCTTTCTTCTTAGGTCTTCCCGAACAACAAACAACCCCTGTGGATCTTATTATCGATGCGATGATGGGTTCGGAGCTGTCACTTGCAATGTTGCGTAACGACTATGAAACGCGTGAAATGTTGTGGAAGGCTATGGACTGGGCGAATGCAAACAAGGCTCCAGTGTTGAGTTTGGATTTCCCTAGTGGTATCAATGCATTGGATGGTAGGTGCAAAAGAAGTTGGTAATTGCAAAATGCAGTCGTTGACATGATTACTCCCCTTCAAGGTCATCCTTTCCACGTGATGCATCATATTCAGCCTAAATGGACATTGTGTTTTGGTGCTCCCAAGCAAGGATGTACGTCTCGAGCAATCACTGGAGAGCTGTTCTTGGCAGATATGGGTATTCCTAGTGCTAGCTGGCGAAAGGCGGGTATCAATCGATGCAAGATTCCTTGGGGTGCAGACTTCATTCTTGCTTTGGAATATGGATCGTAGAAAAGAACATTTACGAAGAAAAAGTTACACTATAATACAGCCCAATGCGGCTTCAATCTTTGCTCTTTTTGAGCGTAGCACGCTTATTTACTTTGTTCACGATCACAAACATTTGCTTTATTTAATCCGTTCCAAAATATCTAAGTAGTAGTTCATGCATATGTGTGAGATCATTTACCACGCGTATTTGGTTTAGCTCCTTTTTTGTCTTTCTCTCTCACCTGCAACCAAAATCACCCACGCCTGGTACAATGTACTTGTTCTTGTCCAGTGTATCATCAATCTCAGCACACACAATCTTGATCTTGGGATATCGCTTGACAAAAGCATTCATGCCTTCGGGGGATGCAATCAAATTCAGAAATGTAATCCGATCCTCTTGAACGTTGTTTTCTAGGAGAACCTGCACAGCTTGCATTGCGGAGCCTCCCGTTGCTAATAATGAATGCCCACTCAAAATCAGTCCCACGGTGATTTAAAGTTGTAACCAAATCCAGCCCGCATGATGTTACCAAGCATGGGATCCAACAGCAATACATATCTGGATTCAATATCCTTAGGCAGCTTGGCATAGAACAACTAGAATAAACGTGCTGTTGTGTCAGTAATTTAAAGTTCGGGGGAGAAAGGAGAGGGAGCGGGGATTGGTGTGTGTGTGCGTGTGGCAGTACGAAAATCATGCATCATGGTCTCACCTTTGGTTTGTGCGTTTCCTCATCCCGTTGGATCAATATCTTGCCAATACGCACGCTCCTAGCAACATAATAACGATAAAAAAGTGAGTACGTGTGTATGCCATATATCACTTTTATGTGTACTTTTGATGGTGGATTGCACTCACCGGCAGCAATCACGGAGGCCTTGCTCCATGCTTTCTCCTGCACGCATAATGGACACGCCACAGATACGACCTTCAAAATCAATGCCTTGGTAGTCCGTCCCAGTAGGCGTCTCGACAACCTTGTCAATCACTGGTAGGTGGTTTAAACCTATCATGCATATGATGATACATGATCATGTATACGCGTGGGTATCAGCAACAGCTAATCTTGCAATGAGGTAGGTTGCGATCACGACGTACCTTCTTCCACCAGCAATCGTATAATGCGATCGGCATAGAAAATGAAATCAGCACGTGGGGTATCCTTGCAACGGATAATAGTCATTAGGCCTTTAAGCTGGGGAGTGGCAGGTAGCAGTTTGACTTGGGGTGGCAAGGCGTCGGTTGTCATGGTAGTAGTAACGTAAGAAAGAAGAGGTCGCGTTCATGCAATAGCTGCACATGCCCGATTTATATCGTTTATCACTCTCATCATCCCTGCAGTTTATCAGTGAACACAACATGGGATGTATACGTACACACGCCACATTTGACTTGCCAAAGTAACTGCTACATGCACACGCTTACATCCTTAAAACGTTACTACCATGTCACTTGTACTTCTTCCACACTCCTTTTAGCTTTTGGGGGATTGATCTCAGCTGGATCCTTCAGGCACAGATCTCGCTAGTGCAACGTGATAATAAATGGACGAGCGCATTCATGCACATGTAGGTCTGCAATGCCATGTAAACATGGTATATACCTAATCCCATTATAGGAGAGAATGATAAGATTATACATTTGTGCGATAGTAGATAGCATAACCGTGGGATAGCAATTCAATTCTCACGATCCAATGATGCATCACCAGATAAGCAAGAATCATTGTCATGGAGTGAATGTGTGCCATTTTTGGATGTGATGACACTTTTCTTTGTTAAGGACTCTTTCTTTCATACAACCACCCCACCACCCATGAATCAAATAATAAACAAGTTGAGTTGGCGATGACTTTCATTGTTTTGACATTTACTACGGTAATCATTATAGGGGCCTTATATGGCGAATGGTACTCTTCGAGCTCTTCTCATTTCATGTATCACTTTTTCCTTCCAATCCATTACCATGCGTGTATCTAATAAATCCAATCCCATCTCTTTATTCCAAAACATCCTTCAATGACTACTGTACATACGTACGTATCCTAGGCAACGACATTGACCTGCTTCTGTTGTCCGCAACATTATCCTCATCAATGTACACCATACTCATCTCTAATGATGATCCCAAACCGTCCAAGGTCCATGGCACCACCTTCCTTGACATCATGAGAGTGTTGTGTGGTCGTATAATGCGTAGCTGTCAACCGAGATGGGCAAGATCCTTACAACTGTTATACGCACATCCATAGTATCTTCTGTGGTAAGCATTTTGGTTTGTACGCTGTAGCCAGTATTTCCCAACGTCGAACATACCCGATGCCGTCGGTCCCAAGATAGAGATGCGCCAAGCGATCGTGTTCTGTCGACAATGGAGGCTCAAAAAATCGTTGTCGTTTAGCATCGGCAGGCGTTGTTGGAGCATTTGAAGCCAAACCTTTGGATCGTTTTGTAGGCAATGTTCCTTGTAAATCCTATAGAGTAGTAGTATACTGTTGATGCAATAAAGCTGCTGGCAATCTCATGCTGACGTTGTGCAAGTTGAGTTGGTAATAGGCGGCCGACAAAGAGAAGGAGGAAGAGGTAGGGTGAGCTGACTGAATTGCTGCAGCCGATGAATAAAGCCCGATGATCGAAGTTCATTGTGATCCAGGTACTTGGACGACACTTACTCATTTAGCAGTATAGCTGTCGGCTTTTATATATGAAACTTGCCATAAACGTGTTCCTTCTTGCTCTTGAACATTAAATGTGGACGTTATGAATGTTCTGTATCATCAAGTTGGATTGAAAATGTGTTCACCCACTCTGATTCAATGCAGCTTGCAAATAGTCCTGGATTATGTGCACGAAACAGCAAGTGCGGTAGTACATAGCTTCACTCCTAAGCGCACGTCCCTCCGCATCGGGATACATGCCTTGGTGTTACAGAGGCAGGCGGTATCAGTTCTCCGTTGCATGAATTGCCATGACAACACAATTGTATTTCCCATCCCACTTGCCCACACTGTGAAAAAAAACGACGTCTTTAGGCAGCAATTAGCCTGTATAACGCGCTGACGCGGTACGCGCTGAGTATAAAAGGAAATTGGACGAAAAAGCGCGTAAAAAAGCCACGAAAAAAATCACGCTGGGTCTGAAAAAAAATTGCGCGTTCCCTCACGGCTATAAAAGCAGCGCCTTTTTTCTCGTTTGCGCAGTACGCTTCTTTCTCTCTTTTCGGGAAGGGGATCGAGGTTAAGTGATAAGAAGGGTTTTTTCCCACCTGATCTTACGCGGAAGTGATGGTGGTTTTCCCATAAGGAGGGTTAAGGCTTCAGGCTGTTGGAGTGTTGCGTTATACCAACAAGTTCTGCTTGCCGCCCCTCCAAAAATATTCAAAAGCAAATGATAATACCCATAAGATTACCTTGTAATCAACCACTTGCCCTCTCTATAAGACAAATGGCATTCCCTCGGATTCTAAACCACGTCCCCATACGTTGTACTTTATTACTAAGACTTGCTACATCGTTATGGCGTGTCTGTTGGTCATTTGTATCCATGTACTTGGTTGGCTGGATCGCGTTGAAGATCACGTATGCTTCCTTTGAAGACCATTCTTCTCCTTTTCTTTTGACGCAATGAGCAAACGATCTCCCCGAAACCTGATCCCCTTACCTGGATTCGAGATCAATCTAAAGGACAAGGACTAGAGTGTACAGTTAAGGTTGCAAGGACCACATTGGCTTTATGACCTGCTCAACGACCCTTTTCTGATATCCAAGTGACACATAGTTGCCATGGAGACGATGAAGAATAAAGTGCACCATTCTCTATAATGTTTGGATGCTTGTTCAACTACTAAAGACTTGTGGATGAGCTTGATGAAGACTACTAACGACCAGCAGCAGCCAAATGATGATGATGGCAGCATCATAATAGTGAATGGTGGGAAGCGTTACTACGAAAGATGATCCTTGTTAGTTCATCCCTCATCGATTAGCTGTTTTGGATAAGAATTTACCAATAAACCTTCTCTTCCTGCAATAACACATGTTTGGATCACTTCATGTTGGGTTACGCAGTGAACAATAATTAAGCACATATGATCCTCGTTAATAGCTGGTGTCACCATCGGCCATAATGCACGGCAACATTCAAAGAAAACACCGATAATGTCCCTCTTGTCCCGAGGATATCCTGGAAGAGAAAATCTCCATATAGGAAGTCTATTTAAGCACGAGGATTTACCATCACATTGCCTTTATCCAACTTCCTTTCCTTTCAAAATGAGAAAGCATCTCGTTGTTGCACTGTCACTCCTTATCAATTGTGTATGGGCAGCCACGGTAAAGGTGTCTCTTGATCAATCGGTTAGTTAACATCACTGTTATGCATCGTTAAGGTTGAATTCGAATTGACTTCTTATACATTTTAGATCCAAGATGCCATAGACTCGTTGCCAAACGACGACTCGCAATCGATCATTGAAATTGAAAGTGGCGTTTATGATCAAAGCATCATTGTGAAGAGATCAAACGTCGTCTTTCGCCCTTCCAACGAAGGCCGTGTTACCTTGCAAACCAGCATTAAAGATGATTCGGTGGTGCTTATAGAATCGACTGCTGAAAACGTAGCCTTTTATGACTTTGACATGATCAACACCATTGGCGAAGCTGCTGGCAATCAAAGGGCTCTCAAAACCTACGGCGCCAAACTCGCGTTATATAACTGCAAGGTCATTGGTTTCGGTGACACTGCTCAGCTGGTTCGTGGCAGTGGCTACTTTTACAATACTTGGGTGGAAGGCAGTATGTGACATTTGTGCTTTTCAATACCATAATCGTTATACTCATCATTACACGATAGCTGTTGATTTCATTTATGGTGAATACGATCTTTATTGTGAGGGATGTACTATTGCTGCTAGTGGCAAAGGTGCACTCACTGCTGCTTCAACGCTCGCTGATGATGTCCATGGAGGCTTTGTCTTCCATGCTGCCAACCTTACACCTGTGGTATCAAGCATCTACGACAAGCGTCAAGAAAATGATCATTCATATTCATCCCCACTCAACCCTGCTGAATACCAACATAGCACGATTCTTGGACGACCCTGGCACAATGCACCTCGTGTTTACTTCCTTGAAAGCTACATTTATGATCACATCCAGTGAGTATAATATCACCCCTACATGATTACATGAATGACTCAAATGTAAATGTGTTCTATTTAGGCCCTATGGTTACGATGCATGGGAGTTCACTGATGAAGAGCTTGCTGGTACCTTTTATGCTGAGTATGGAAACAAGGGCCCCGGTGCTGACACGGCTGAACGTGTTTCATGGGCTCATCAATTGAATGCCGATGAAGCTGCACCCTTCTTGTCGGCCAAGACCTACTTTAACAACTTGGATATCGGCACCGATTGGATTGATCCAGATTATTTGTAAGACAATAAAGTTCATCATTACACATACATGCCGCGGATTGCAATGTGAAGAAAAATTTACGTATTACCCCGGTTACGGGATTTACAATTGGATAGCCATCAATGATGGATAACTTTCATTCTATTCCATGCTGAGTAAACGATCCCAATCCATCATTAGGTATGCAGCAACGTCTAGACCAGTAACATCGATGACCTTACATAATCTTGTATTTGCTTTTTTGTGCCACATGGCGCGTCGATCCCTACTTGACGCGATGTAAAGTTGACAAAGCATACTTTGATATTAGAGCGGGTGATACCTTGTAGCCTGTAGAATCGATTTCAAATGCTATGGAATCCACGTGTAGGGAACATCCGGAATTTGGTAGACGCCATTTGTTCAACGCATATTGTTGATGTTGTCGGTTGCATGTTACACTGCATTTCTTGGGTAAGTTGGTCTGATCAACGTGTGCATGTATAACATCATTCGGTGTCTTCCTATTTCGGCCGACAAACATGCATAGTATAAGGGCAAATATACATCCTTTCGAAAGTTTGACGTCCTCATTCGCTGCTCTGTCTCATGTTTCACAATAAGCATTACATCCCACGTCTCATGTCATTTGCAGCCAAGCTGTGGGTACTTGCTTAGATAGATCATGTAGTGCAAAAGCGGGGTAATTATGGCAATGGATTCCAATGCTATCCCCTTGTATCAAGTGTCATCTGAAAAATCAATGGGAGGAGATGTTGTTTTTGTGCTTCATGAGAGATAAATGCTTGATACCTAAAGCTAAGACATATAGAGCTAGGGCAGAGGTTTATTAGAGGAGCAGGAGAACGATCTTCTTCATGTGCCTCTAATGCCGCGGAGGTTGTGGATAATGGCGTTGCATGGCGCAAATGCCTATTGCGACCAAAGTAAGCAGGAGATTTTGCCACAAATGGAAATGAATATCCCCGCACAGGCCTATGGACCATGATGTTACCTTGGATTCTCATACCGGCAAAATTGATCCTTCTTCTTGCATTGATGTGAAAATCTAAACGTGAGATATCATTTATGTATTTTGGAAAGCAAACGATGCAAGGAATATACGCATGTGAAAATTGCTATTGTCCGCTATATCCCGGCAACAAATGTCCTCCGCAGAAAAAGGAAATGGTTTGGTGCCATGGCAACCGCACTGAGAATATGACCTTAATTGCCTGCCATTGGTAACCAACATAATATCGGGCATAATCACTTCCTTATGAAACGATCCAAAGTTATAAAAGAAGAGCACCGTTTTCGTTAGCCACTATTCTCCAAGACGACGCTTACCCATACACGCTCCTTTCTTAAACACAATGACGCGTTTTTCCATCCTTGGTCTTTTTGCATTGGCCACAGCTGTTGTAAATGCTTTGGATTGCAATGTCGGCAAGCCTTCTGGAGGCGATGATACACCTCAAATCCTAGAGGCAATCGAAAAGTGTGCTGCTGGTGGCACTGTCAACATTCCTGCAGGCGACTACACGGTACATTTAGCATCATGGTTCATTCACAACATGCCTATGCTCATTGTAATACTGTTACTGTATAGCTTGGTACACCCATTGAAAAGGAAGGTCTCAAGGATGTTGTGATCAATATTGAAGGCAACCTTGTCTTCCCTGCAACCATCGATGAGCAAAAGAAACCAGGTACTCGCAACTGGATTTGGCTCGAAGGCACTGGTGTTACAATCACTGGTGGCGGCACGCTTGATGGCAATGGCCAAGTTTGGTATGATACTCAAGAGCTTGATGATCGTTTTGCCATGCTCGGCTTGCAACTTCAGGATTCATCGGTTTCCAACTTGCGCCTTGTACAGCCATGCAATAACTTTTTCAATGTTCGGTAAGCAAAAGAGAGTCTAAATGATGATCTCGATGAGAAAGAAAGGAAAGAGATTGATAATGTATGTGACTAGTGAATCAAACAACTTGAACTTTACCGATTTATACTTATCAGCTGAGAGCAATGATCCTGAGAAGCCTCCACACAACACCGATGGATTTGATCTTACCAACTGTGATACCATGTACATGGCAAACATTGAGATCCACAACCAAGACGACTGCATTGCATACAAGAATGGTAAGCTTTGCATGATAAAAAATGAGATGATGATGATTCGAATACTAATAACAACACCACATGGGTGCATGTGATTATAATAGGCACTTCCCATGTCACGGTTGAAAACGTCTACTGTAGCGGTGGTCATGGCTTTTCGGTAGGAAGTCTCGGTAAAGATGCCTCGTTCGGCTACAACACCGAGATCTCGATGACCAACATGACATGCGAAGGCTGTTGGGCTGTTGCTCAAATTAAGGTTTGTATAAATTAGTTGCCGCGGAGGTGGCGGTGGTGAAGCACGCAATTTCATGCAGGTGTTGACGGCATCCACTTCCATTTTAGTACTACGCTTCAGGATCCACTGGTGAGGTTTCCCATTTCCATTGTAAAGACTTCAAGGGTAAGTTGATAAGATAACGCTTGTGCCTATGTATGTGGGAGGGCACTATTCCATGCCATAAGCAAGCAAGAAGAAAATGATTTGCTCATGCATATTTTTGTATCATAGTCAAGGACGTCAAGATCCCTGTTTGGGTCAACTCTCATTATCCATGCGATGTCAGCGAGTTCACCGAAGATGGTGGTTGCAAGGATTATCCTGGTCCTTCCAAGATCCAAGTATCCGATCTCAGCTTTGAAGGCTTCACCGGCACCACCAATGGTGCCTATGATAACAATGTCATCATCTTTGACTGCCCTTATGGCACCAATTGCCAGAACATTGTCGTTAAGGATTTTGATGTCACTTCCCCCAAGGGTGATCCATCCTATGTTTGCAACAACATTGATGAGGGGCATCTTGAAGGCATTGATTGTGAAATTACTCAACTTGCCAAACCTACTTGGTAAAGATGTATTATGCATTATGCATGTAGAATAAAGAGAACAAACGAGAGCAGTACGCCATTGCATTTGCAGGTGACGTGATCATCTCTTGTATTTTACCATATACATGTGTGCGTGTGATTTGCCTTTATCATTTGTAAGGATGAAAAAGTGAGCTCAATGCGTGTGAACACGCCATATTGTTCTTCCTGCAACCATCATTGATCCTCTTTTCCGCGCGCCCTATCGCGCAAATTGCGCCATCATCACACCCATTTTCGCAAAATCAATGTTGTGAGATCTCGATAGATTCTTTTCGATACTTTTGTATAAAAGAGGCATTATCAAACAAAGGTTGCCATCATTACAAAGCTCTACTACACACAAGTTATAGCGACATGGCTCCTCCCAACACTGAAACTACCTCTGTTCAAGATTCTCAACTCGCACAAGAACTCGATCAAAAGCTCGATTTGAAGCAATTGGCACGTGAGAAGGGTCGTTATTTGGTTTATCCTGACACCAAGGTATGCTTTCATATCCCCTGTTGCGTTATGGATGACATTGGTTTTACTGATACAGGATGCTTTACATGTTTAGTATGCCGAGATTGAAGACTTTGAACATCATGATCCAGGTCACCGTGCTGATCCTAAGAAGGCCTCCTTGTATGATAATGCCGAAAAGATCTTTGATGTTACACCTCACATTGGAACTGAAATCCATGGCTTGCAACTCAACAAGTTGACTGATCAGCAAAAGGATGACCTAGCCCTTTTGGTTGCTGAGCGTGGTGTGGTATTTTTCCGCAAGCAGGATATCAATGTGCATGAAGCCATTGAGTTAGGCAAGCATTATGGTCCATTGCACGTGCATAACACATTTGGTCATCCCCCCGGTTTACCTGAGATCCATGTCGTCTACTTTGATACCAAGTAAGCAAATCAGCATGTTTATTAATGCATTATCAATATTCACATATACATGCTTGTATAGGACACCCAAGGATTTATTCAACTATCGAAATGCAGCAGTAAGTAACCTTCTTTTGTTGCGAGGATCTACAAATCATTCTAACCAAGATCTTCCAATCGAAAAAAGGATGGTTGGCATAGTGATGTATCCTACGAGAAGCAGCCTCCTGGATTGACAGTGCTCAAGATTGACTTGCTGCCTGAAGTGGGTGGTGATACTTTATGGTCTTCTGGATATGCTGCATATGATCGTCTCTCGCCAGCATGGAAAAAGTTTGTTGAAGGTTTGGAAGCTGTCCATTCTGGTGAGGATCAAGTTGTCGAGGCACACAAAGGTGGACATGTTCATCGTCGAGAATCTTATGAGGCTGTACACCCTGTTGTGCGCACACATCCTGTCACTGGATGGAAGGCTTTATATGTGCAGCCTGGTTTTACTCGTCGCATTGTGGGCTTTACTCGTCGGGAATCAAATGCTGTCCTCAACTTTTTGTTCAATCACATTGAATCTGGTCACGACTTTCAGGTGCGCTTCCGCTGGGAAGAAGACAGCGTTGCAGTATGGGGTAAGTTTTCATCGATCAAATTCATTGCTGAAGGATGCTCACATCTTATTGCTACATTATAGACAATCGTGTGACCTCCCATAATGCCATCTTTGATTATCTTGACATCAGCGCAAGACATGGTTTTAGAGTGACACCTCAAGCCGAGAAGCCTTACTTGGATCCCAACAGCACATCGAAGCATGAAAGCGAATTGAAAGCAAGGCAACAACAATGATTCATTGTATCAGCCATCAATCCCTCTCCAAATCCTAGCTATGTTAACCCCTTATCTTGAATAAAAATCGGCACAATGACCATCCCTATTTATATGTTCACAATGAAAACCAAGGCTACTTTTATTATCTTTCTTGAAAGTAATACTATAATTATAAAATCAAGGTTCTTTGTGTATATCTATATACTGCATTGCATTGAATTCGATTATAGGATTATGATAAAATGAATGTTGTAAAGGATCAAAGTGAAGGGAATCATGCTTGAATGGATTGGATGATGGTGGCTTGTGAATCCCCGCATATGGCCCTGGATGGGCAGGGCATTTTTGTTATCTAGCAGCTTCAGCTTTGTCCGCTCACGTACGATACAACACCATGGCATCACGCAGCCTCCTACGCAGAATCGCTCAACAACCATCGCCAGGTATGTCGTTTACCATTCACCTAGCAACAGTGATTGACCGTAAATGTAGTTGCTGCTTGTACTCGTGTCTTTTCCACCGCACGTCCTCTTCGACAGGAAGCTGCACCTAGCGACCTCGGTAAGCATTACAGCCTACTTCCTCAACTCCAATCAGACGTCCATTGTGATGCTTACTATTATCTATCATCAGTTCCTCCACCCACAAGCGAAGTGAAGAAGCCCATTTGGCGATCGGTTGCCGAGTCAGCAGGACCCGTGACACCATACAACCTGTCAATTGGTCGTCTTTTGGCAGCTGGTTTGCATCTTGGTCACTCGACAGCTCTTTGGGAACCAGCCACATTGCCCTTCATCTTCGGTACTCGTCAAGGTATCAGCATTATCAACTTGGAGCATACACTTGTCTATTTGCGTCGTGCATGCAATGTAGCACGTGAAGTCGCTTATCGTGGTGGCAGCATTTTGTTTGTTGGTACTCGACCCGGTTTCCAAGATTTGACGATTGATGCAGCACGACGATGTGAAGGATACCATGTGTCTTCAAAGTGGATTCCTGGTACGCTCACTAATGCACAACAAGTGCTTGGTCGCCATGCACCTCCGGATCCAGAAAACCCAGGTCGTATTCCAAAGACATTCAAGCCGGATCTTATCGTCTTGCTCAACCCTCTCGAAAACCGTATCGCTATCTCAGAGGCACAACTCAACATGATCCCTGTCATCGCCATCACTGATACTGATTATGATCCTCGCCTTGTCACTTATCCCATCCCTGCCAATGACGACTCTATTCGTGGTGTCGAGCTTATTGCAAAGGTCATCTCCACTGCCGCAAATGATGGTGTCTTGCGACGTAAACAGCTTCTTGATAAACGCAGCAGACAACACTAAATTGACATACGAGACATCCTAATCCTTATCACACCATATCTCATTCGACCCAATTCTCTTTCATCATCCCATCCATACACGCACATATCATCTTCCCGTGTTCGTACATACACAATCTTAAATAAAAAAACATAGATGATTTTATATAATCCAACCCATTGTCTAACGTAAGGGATGTCATGGATCCTTCCAAAGTGCATACACGTACCTCTCGCTCTATATCAAATACAGCCAATTACTATGGACATCCACCGGGTTCGTTTACTATTATACAATACAATCAGATTATTACTAATCTTGGGTATCATAATGTGCATTGGTGGGTGAGTGGGATTCAAAACTAATCAAAATGGAAAACTGTATCTCGCAAGCGGAATTGTCGATTGTTGGCAATTGTCATGTATGATTTCATCCCAATGTTAAGATAAAGGTCTGGTTTCTCAGGGTTCGCTGATAAGATGTGATCAATCATATCCTTCAAGGCAAGAATGTAATCCTCTTCTGGCCTATGGCATATTGTTAGTACTAGCCCTTCCTATTATTGCTAGTAATGATTACCTGATGGGTATCAAGTTGGGAAACATGGCCTTCTATATTTGCAAAGGCATGAGATATACAAGACAACCTCCTCATTTGCTAATTGCTTACCGCCTCCTCGCCGTATACTTGCAACTGCATCCGCCGACTATGATTGTCTTGCAAAAGAAAGGCTGACATCAGGGTGTATTCATGGATTGATTGGTGACATTGGCTGCAGAGGTCAGCATCAGGTTCCTCGCTGAAAAAGCTCTTGTGTGAGTGCGATAGAGAAAAGTTATCCATGTGCAAAATCCCTACTTACATCCACTCGCATTTGGGACACCATTTTTTGATCCAACTTTGTAAATTTCGCGGCTTGACATCCAGCACAGCAGCATGAACAGTGTATTCCTTCTCGACCTATCATGCATTGTGTATCATTAGGCACCCCACATTTTGTGATTTGAAAGATTACCCTCACCTGGTTGTCATCCAATATCTGCTCCACAGTAAAGATTGAAGTGTTACCACCAACCACTAGTGGAAAAGTACGATCGTTATAAAAAGAACTTCCTCTCCTTCCCTATGACAATTGTAGCTACCTGTATGGACATTTTGTGTGTGTACATCCTTGGTTTCCTCGACAATCGGAGGCATCACCTCTTTCCAAAATGTATCCTCTCGTCTAAGATAATCATGTAAGCTGGTTGCCATGTACTTGGAGGTGGTGAATGAAATACTCAACTGCATGATACGTTTAACTCTATCATCGTCGTGTACGTTGTTGATCTTTTTGACTTTGGGTGCCTTTTTTCCAGAAGTGCGATCGCCTCTCACTGCCAATTCCATATAGCCCAGCTTACTTCGCTTGATGTGAGCGTTATGCAGCTCGATGTAGTCACCATTCTCAATATCACGACCGGCTGTAGCGTTCTCATCCCATAATGAAGCTTGGATCAAAAGCTCACTAGGGATCAAATCTTGACTTTGGTAATAGTTGGCCATAGGAAACTTGTTGGGCGTATAATCCGTAAGGATCAACTGCAGCAAATTGCTCTTCTGTAGCTGGGATGCTACGACCTAAGCAAAGGAGACAAGAGGTTACAGTTAACCATCATTATCCATAAATGACATCTTTTGTTATACCTTGCCAACGTATCCACAAAACTTGTTGATCTCCATTTCCTCCGTTGTCTTGAAAGCAGGGAAGTAGTTGGTAGGTGTTGGCGGGGTGATATTGCTAGGTGTTGGAGGGTGGATGATATTGCTTGGTGCTGGAGGGGTGATAATGCTAGGTGTTGGAGGGGTGATATTGCTTGGTGCTGATGGGGTGATGTTGCTAGGTGTTGGTGGATGGATGCTTTCGGGGGAGGGCATAGACCATGCCTTCAGGGTCTTGGCAACAGCAACATCCTTGTCGTTTAACTCGAGAGACATCTTGGGAGTCACCCTTGGCTGCAACGTCTCACCGTCAAGGTAACACCACTTTGATGACTTGGTAAATTTATTTGTGGTCAGCATCATGTATCCGACATTCTTTGTCACCTAGCAACGCTATGTCAATATTCATCATCCTCTCCCTCTCTCTCCCTCCCTCCTTCCTACCCATACACATACTTGGACATCATGCACCATGAAAATGTCGCCAACTTTGGCATCCTCAGCTATGGCTTCTCTGTCCTTGTGGAACAGTGTAATGCCCACTCCCCTCTTGTATTTGGAAAGCGTCCAAGATGGATCACGCAACCGGAACGACTGAGACATGTTACCACCTATAATAGCAATTGGAATGTTAGTAGGTAACACCATGCTGTTGTTTCTTTCAATGAGCTTACGCTGAGTGCGCTTGATCGATCCGAGCTCGTCAATGACACCATAGATCGTGCCCGAATTGAGAGTTGCTTTTGTCTCGTCAAAGACAGTGACATTAAGTTCCTGAGCATTTGTGTGTCAGCGTGTCATGGTTGTCATGGTTGTCGTTAGGTACCTTGAGTTCTTTGATAAATGAATCGTGCTTTGACATTTGCATAAAAGGAAAGAGCGCGTTGCTGGGTAAAGCATCCTTCATCAGGATTTAGAAATGTCTTTGATATACACCTTACATGATGATATCAGCATTAGGCTGTAATCCGATAATCATATCTTGTATAATGATAATGAACCTTATCCCGTTTATTCCATCCAACAAGAGATGTCTTATATAATTATGCAGCATAGTCGTTCATATTTTGATTGGGTATCTTGGTGTTTAGTCGAAATGGAAAATTGTGCTACATAGTCGAAACCGGCGTTCGTTGTCAACTGTGATGTATGATTTGATCCCAAAGTCGAATGCGATTTCTGGCCTTATGGAGTTGGTAGATAAGATGCGATCAACGTTTTCACGCAGGGCCTCAATGTATTCATCATCGGGTCTATCGTAGCCTACCACTTAGCAAAAGTATCATACCATCCCTCGTTGCTATGGTTACTTGCCTGATGTCTTTCAAGTTCTCAAACATGACTTTCTATAAGGCGTATACACTTATTAGGATCGCATCGACTTGATTAGGATAGCTCGCTCTTACCGGTTCCTCGCCATAGATATGTAATTGTAGTCGTCGATTTTCATGATCTTGTACAAGGAACGAGAACATCAAGGTGTATTCATTGATTGTCTGGTGGCATTGACTACATGCAACGGCGTCCACATCTTCACTAAGAAGTTCATTGTATGTTAGCGAAAAGCCATTCCAATGTGTGACATCTCTTACATCCATTCACATGCAGGGCACCACTTTTTCATCCAATCTCTCAAATTCCTCGGCTTGACATCCAGCACAGCAGCACGCGTGGTATAGACATTTTCCATCTATAGAGGAAAGTTAAAAACAGGCATCATTGTAATATCTTGTCTACTTGCATTGTTGTCATTTAATATGTGTTCAAGTGTGGCGTGAGGAGCTTTAAGTTCGACCGCTATGTTAAACAACATTAGCATCCTTGCCATACAATCAATATCCCAAGTAGCTTCCAATACCTGTCCAAGTGTCTTCCATGGTAATCTCAGGTTGCGAGTGATCCGCTGCCGGATGCCTTTGTGATCGCTCAAATTCCTTTTTCCTCCTATTGATACAAACGTCAATCCTCAAATGAATATTTGGACATACATCTTGATCGAGGTTACCTTTTGATCTCTACCACAGCCTCATCATTTTCATTGTCTACCTTGAAGACTTTGCGAGATTGACTCTCTGGTGAGTGTCCAGGTCGCACCACTATCTCTTGATAATAGCCCATCTTTCGTTTAGCATTACGGAGTCGCAGAAAATCACCGTATTCCAGATCAGGACATTCATGTGCATCCTTGTCCCAGAGTGTACATTGGATAAGTAACTTGGGGCTGATGGAACCCACACGTTCTTCTCCCTTCATTGGTATAACATTGGGCGTGTAATCGGTGAGAATCATTTCCACACGCTTATTATCAAAGCTTCGACGAAAAGAAACAACCTGAGGGTAAGATGATGTATCAGCACATCGCACTCTTCTTCCTTCCTTCCCAAAAAGAATACTAACCATGCCCACATAATTGAAATAGGTGACGTTTTCATTGATTTGTTCGGTCGTTAGTTGCTGATGAGATCCACGCTGCTTTGGTATAGCTGGCATAGTTGGGACGATGCTGTGGTGCCAGTCGCGTAGAATCTTTGCAATACGATGGTGGTCATCAGATAACTCGAATGGCATATCTTTAACGACACGAGGTTGTAAATTGCTGGCATCGATCGCACACCAAGATGAGACCTTCTTCTCTTTGCCCTGAACGACCGCTTGTCGTTTCCCATGGAATTCATTCATCTGCATAATACATCAGAGAATCACGTCATTTGATCTTTGATCTCATAGGCTCGTACCCGTGCACCTCGAACAATAAGGATATCACCATAATGGAGTTGTTCCAACAGAGCTGTAGATGATTTATGGAATAGCAGCGTAGTGATGGCTTCGTTTGTGCCCGTAGTAGTAGGATCAACCAAAGTAATGCTTTGATAAAAGTCTATGTATAATAAACAATCACTATCCCACATTGCCTAACACAATTGACGCAACGTACCTTGGCCTCCCCTTCTCGATTGACAAATCGAGTTGTAGCCCTCGACGATGCCAAACAAGTCTGCATTGGGATTGCGTGAATTCCACTGATCTTGTAATGTTGTGACTCCAAGAGCCTGGGTATATGCAACACGTTGTTAATATGGCTGTTGTTGGACGTCCCATGATACGTATCCGTACTTTTAGCTCGTCTGTAACGGCACAAGAGTTTTGAGGAGACATAAATGTAATGTGGATAAAGAAAGAGAGCTATCGTGTTGCCGAAATTGAAAATCAATGCGTAAATCGCGCAATCAACGCGTGAGCTTGGTGTCCGTGGCCTAATCGAGTTGTAATGTGACACCATCCTTTTAATGATATCGCATAAAACAATGAGCTATTCGGTACGTGCATTAGCGTCGGCGTTGATGAGGCCATCAACTGGGTACTTTATTGGATGCCCACAAGACCTAGATCTCGATGATTGAACACTGGTGGGATGATCCATGTCGCTATAATATGGCAGCAAGAGAGCAGCAATGGGCATGTGGTGTTGCATAATTAGGCTCAAAAAGGTTGACGACATGTGACAGCAAGATGAGATAACACGCTTGCCTCACTCCTTGATCTTTATGTAGTATTCCATGCACATCCGAGATAGGATCGACGACCTGCTTATTGGATCACCCCCACATTGCCTTTTCCTTGGATCTATTTGCTTATTGCTATTATCCCCGTTTCACATGCCGCATGTCGTTGACAAGAAGAATGCTACAGAGTACATACATGTTGTTGTTATTGCACATCTATGGCGATGATGTTTATATGTAATTTGAGTGAGGAGGAGGGGGGTAGTGATCAAATGTGGAAAGCAAGAACCGAAGAAAAAGCTGAAACATAAAGATGTTTCTATAAGCAGGAGGTGGCAAGTTACACATCCAGGGTATGTGCACCTTTTTCTTTTGGTTCATGGTGAGTGATGAAAACCTTGTCGGTTGCACAACACCAACTCTGTCGCATAAAGTGGCGCTTCATAGGTTGAAAAATATCGTTTCCGTCCCGAGTCTTCCGATGGATTATTATTAGCGATAAAGAAGAATACTATTAGAGAATGAACTCCAAGGATAGCTACGAGCTCATAACACAATGATGCGATTGGCGTCAAAGACATGTCAGGTGCGTTAGAACCTTGTGATCACAAGATGGGCGGCATTGTATGGATTGGGGTGTTCGGGGGTAATGGGCGAATTTTAGGGGGGCGTCATCGACCGTGATTGAAGAATCATATAGCGGGAAATGAGAAAGGAAGAGAAAGAGAAAGGTTAAGCTGCGCGTTGATCTCATTGTTTTTGGCACAATGTTTACCTCGCTTCCAAACTAGGACACACATGATGATGAGGAAGTGCTTTTCATACACACGGAACAAAGACTGACAATTGGATGATGCATCCTGCAGCTCGTTGATGACCACGCGGAAAAGGTACCTACCACGCCGCTGTACCTTGTTCATCCCCCGCTTGGGTTCATTGTCCATAGCGTATTTTATTGTCTTGTTTGTTTTTGGATTATAAAGAGCTGTCAGTGCAGATGATTTCTTTGTGTTAGCAAAGTGGGCTGTGTACGTGTGTGTGCAATGAGTGTGGTTGGGGGTGGGGAGGGGAAAGAAAGAAGACATGTTGGATGGGTGGTTGCACTGAAAAAACGCCAAGTGCTACTTGAAGGAGCATCCGTGTGGAGCACATTTTATTCATGGTAAGTCGAGTGCAAGTAGATAAAGTGCTAAAGCTAGCGAGTGCCTATATATATATGCGTCCTTTCTTCTCATCCACCCCCACTTGCAGCTTTTCTTTCTTTTTCTCACACATCTTTTCATTCATGGCTTCAAACCAAAACATGGCTGCTGCACAACAACAAGCACAGGCACTCACTTTTCAACTGGTTCAACCACCTACTTCATCTGTATCATCACCAGCTACTCCTCAAAGTCAAACGACATCAAGTCAACGTGAACGACGTGCATCAAGAGATCGTGCTAGCAGTGCTCAATCTTCGTGTATGGGTGTGATTTCTTCTTTTGCCATCATCCAAGAGACACCAAAGAAGACTACTAGCAAGCCAAAGTTACACAATACAATGGCAACATCAATCGACGCTCATTTGGGTGATGAACAACAACATCAACAACAACAGCCGCAACAAAATCAAAGACCAAAGGCATCCGAGCTGAGGTTCAAGATTGAATCAGTGGGCACACATTTGGAAGAAGACGATGATCTTGATACATGTCCCGCTCGTACTCGCGCAGCTTGGCCTCGTGAAATCACTCCATGGTGGACACCTACACATCGCTATGAAAAGCCGCCGTATTCGTATGCTACGCTCATTGCTCACGCCATCTTGTCAAGCAAGGATGGTCGTCTGACTCTTAGTGACATTTACAAGTGGATATCGGAACACTATCCGTACTATGTGCCAGGTCAACATGGTTGGCAGGTAACGTGCATCATCATCCCCCATTTTCTTTTTTGCATATTTGTACTTATATATACCCTCTCTTAGAATTCAATTCGTCACAACCTATCGCTTAACAAGAAATGGTTCTTGAAACTCGATCGACGTCCTACTCAAGCCAATCCTGGTAAAGGTTGCTATTGGACATTGGTTGCTGGTACAGAGCAATACTTTATCGATCAGCTTACACAAGCCGGTGGTCACAGCCGCAAGCACCATGATATTGGTTTAACTGCTGAGTTGTCAATCGGCAATCACCGAAGAGGATCTTGTTATTATGGACGCAACAATAATGGCAACAACAACAACAATCGATCTGATGACTCGTCCTCAAGCGGTTCCACTGCAGTGCATCATGGTAACATGCTGATCACGCGCCCTGAAGACTATGAAGCACCGAAAAAGACTCCGGCTCCACTTGGGATGTATACCACCTTCCGTATGGCTGATATGGATGACAAGTCAAAGTCTAAACGTGAGAATGGCTCTCTTCACAAGCAACGCACAAACAAGAAGCGACGTCCTCAACAACAACGTAACAACACTGAATCCGGCTATGATAGTGGTGTGGATGTTAGCAGCAAGTACGTTCAAAAAGCCAAGGCAAAACAAAAGCAACAGCAACAACCACCACAACAACAACAACCACAACAGCAACAGCAGCAACAACCATCACCTTCGACAACGATCGATGACATTCTTGGTGGTGGTGATTATAGCTGGCAAGACAACCTCTTGGACGTGGCTGTGCCATTTGCCAACCTTGATATCAATGACTCCTCCTTTTTGTCTTATTTGCCCCAAGGATATGATGCCAATAACGTACAAGACCAACAAGAACCATGGGTGCTGCCAACAACATCAAGCGATTGGTTTCAAGGAACAATGTCAACACCTGCTTACATGTTTAATACACCATTGTTGGATCATGGCATCGACTCTAATACCAGCCAAGCATGGAACCCCACAACATCACAAGAAGTGTGGTCTAGCAACGAATTCTTATCATCCGTTTCGGCACCTGCTATTGATGACATTCAACCATCTCTCTCTTATCCAACACTCTTGGCTTCTCGTTACGAGCCTCCTCAGCAAGAATCCACACCCATGATGCCCTTGAATGATCAACAACAGCAATTGCAGCAGCATCATGAATCCTATGACCAAGACACCAAGGTCGAAGATTGTCTCAAAAAAGTGCTTTCCTATCAGCAATGTCTTCAACAACATCAGCAGCAATTTGACAGCAATAATGATATCGTTGCAAGCACCTCATGTACCCAAGCAACATCATTGTATTCCAATCAAGTGCTCAAATCCGAACCCATTGTGATCAACCTTGATGACGAGGAGGTTACAACAAAGTATCTCCATTTTGAGGAAGATCAAGCCGATGCCGACGACGAAGACGATGATGATGAGGAGGAGAATGTCCCTTCCACAAATCCTTGTAATGATACCCCAACGTCTGTGCTCGAAGAGTATGGATCCATGTCTGCCCTTTTGTTTGCCTAATCCATCATTTGTTTTGTTTACTTCAGTTTTCATCCACTCTCCCCCCAAACATGTCACATTATCTCCCTTTGGTCATGAATAATAAAAAAACAATCATACAACTATAGAAATGTGCCTCGATACATGTGCCTCGTTGACGAATCCTTCTTCCCAACCCAAACATGGTAATCCCAAAACAAACGGTCATATCTTTCTTCATCAAAAAACAACCTTGTTGATTGCGTTATAGTGTGCGAATTGTAAAATTATGCAACTGTAAAAAGAGGAAACGACGGGTAAAGAAAAAAAGAGAAATTGAAAGGAGATATGGGAAAGTGGAGGACTTTTGATGATTGTCTTTGGGTCTTTTTTTACGCATACAAGTCGTCATCACCACCTTCTTGGCCAAAGCTGCTTTCACCACCGCCAGTTTCCATGGGTTGGTTGCTACCGCTACCGCTCTCAGGGAACTTGAAGGTACCAAAGCCACGCTGTTGTTGCATGTTTTGTGCAAACATCTCGTAACGACGAATATCAGCATCACTCACTGATCGGCGAGCAAAGCGCATTGCCTCTTCAAAGTGTGCCCTGGAAGAAGAAAAAACATAGACGTAAGTCATACCTTGACTCCATCATCAGCTTATATATAAAGATACTTACTTGGTGATATATGAAATAACCTCTTCATCATCGTCTTCCTCCATACCAACATCCTCACCAGCTTCTTGTCTAGCTTGACGCTCCTTCTCCTTGGCAATATCACGCTCAATATCTTCACGAATAGCAAGCTTGGCTGCTCGTTGGCAAATTTCAGAAAGATCAGCACCAGAGAAGCCGGCAGTGTTCTTGGCAATGTAAGTAAGGTCGACCTCTGGGGAAACAGGCGATTTGCGGAGTTGTGCTTGAAGAATGTTAAGACGAGAGCTCTCATCAGGCAAAGGAATGTAGATGAGTTGATCCAAACGACCAGGACGCAAGAGGGCAGGATCAATTTGATCAGGACGGTTGGTAGCACCAATAACGAAGACGTTCTAATATTTACGATCAGCATGCTGTTCACATACATGTAAAGAATAAACATTTTCATACCTTCTTTGCGTTCATACCATCCATTTCGGTCAAGATTTGATTGAGCACACGATCACCAGCACCGCCAGCATCACCCATGGATCCACCACGAGCCTTGGCAATGGAATCCAATTCATCAAAGAACATCACACAAGGAGCAGCAGCACGTGCCTTGTCAAAGACATCACGAACGTTGGCTTCTGATTCACCGAACCACATGGTCAACAATTCGGGACCCTAAAATGAAAGGTCAATCAATGCATTGTAAAATCACACATACACACACACACACGCACATACCTTGATGGAGATAAAGTTGGCTTGACATTCGTTGGCAATAGCCTTGGCAAGCATGGTCTTACCAGTACCAGGAGGACCATAGAAAAGAACACCCTTGGATGGGCTCATACCAAACTTCAAGAACTTCTCAGGATGCTCAACAGGGTATTGAACGGTTTCTTGCAATTCGAGCTTGACGTTATCCAAACCACCAATATCGTTCCAGTTGACAGTAGGCACCTCGACCACGGTTTCACGCAAAGCAGATGGGTTGGAAACACCAAGAGCATACTAAAATAAAAATGATTAATAAATTCATCATGAAAAGAGGATATGCATCATGATCACTTACTCTAAAGTTCTCCATGGTAACAGCCAAGCTATCCAAGATCTCAGCGTCAATGGTTTCCTCTTCCAAGTCAATGAGATCCATCTTTTCACGGATTTGTTGCATAGCGGCTTCAGAGCAAAGGGATGCCATATCAGCACCAACGTAACCGTGAGTCTCGGCAGCAATTTGTTCAAGATCGACTTCGTCATCAAGCTTCATGTTCTTGGTGTGGATGCGGAGAATCTCAAGACGACCAGTAGGATCGGGAATGCCAATATCGACTTCACGATCGAAACGACCGAAACGACGCAAGGCAGGATCAATGGAGTTGGGGCGGTTGGTGGCTGCAATAACAACAACGTTTGAGCGAGCCTTCATGCCATCCATAAGCGTCAAAAGCTGAGACACCACACGACGTTCGACTTCACCGTTGGTCTATAATTCTTTGTGTGTGAGAAAACGTATTGATCCCATCACTATAACTTGACTCGTTTTACCTTCTCACGCTTGGGAGCAATAGCATCAATTTCATCAATGAAAATGATAGCAGGGGCATTCTTCTCAGCTTCTTCAAAGGCCTTACGCAAGTTGCTTTCAGATTCACCAGCCATCTTGGACATGATTTCAGGACCATTGATCAAAAAGAAGAAAGCACCGGTTTCATTGGCAACGGCACGAGCGATCAAGGTTTTACCAGTACCAGGAGGACCATACATGAGGATACCACGAGGAGGCTTGATACCAATGGACTTGAAGAGTTGAGGATGACGTAAGGGCAATTCGACCAATTCACGGATTTGGGCCATTTGCTTGCGGCAACCACCAATGTCATCATAGCCGACTTCGTTCAAGCTTTGTTCCTCATCCTCACGCTTAATGGGTTCACCTTCACAGTGGATGACGGTATCTTGTGCAACCTACAATCATCACAATAGACGCGTCAGCTATCTATCTCCTTTCCTCTTTGTGTATGTCTCTTGCTCTCTTTGTTCCCTCATAAGATGGTACACTTACAATACAGTAATCTGCAGGATCGGTTTCCACAACCTTGAATTCCACAGCACGCATACCACCACGAACAAGGAAAAGATCACCCTTACGAACAGGACGGTAGGCTTCCAAGAAGTAAGGCTTGAGGTAAGTATCAAAGAGATTGCCGGTCAAGCCCTCGACGGTATCATCAATAGGAAGAACGTGGATACGCTTGCCATACTTGATATCAGGGCAAGGATGGATGCTGACAATGTCGCCAAGACGAATGCGAAGGTTGTTGCGAACAACTAGATATGATCCACGTCTATTAATCACTGTGCCATATTCCATAACAAGAGAAACACCTACCCTTGTTGACGCGTGCCTTGTTATCCTCGACATCGTCATCTGCCAAGACGATCAGCACGGTGTCTCTTCTCTTCTTTCCCTTGACCAAGACGGTGTCGCCTCTGAAGAGCTGGAGAGCTTCCATGGTAGCGTTGGACAAGGTGATTACAGAGTTGTCGTCATTGGTTGCATCATCCACGATAAGCTTGTTGGGCGCGTTCTTGCGACGAAGAATGGCGGTGGCAGGGTCATGATTGGGATCCACTTCCTGGCCATCGATACCAGCGTTGGGACTAGAATAGAATGTTAGTATCTTGTATTGAAGAGGGCGTAATGGCAGTGTCCCTTGAGATTGGCACCTATTGTTCCTTTCCCCCACCCAATCCCTTTACGCGTTTCCCTCCCTCTTGACTAGGCAGAATGGCAACCCAAAGAATAAAGGAAATGTCAACTTACAGAAGCTTAGATTTATGTTCGTCTGAAGACATATTGAAAGAGTTGAAAAAGACCTGTTGCGAGCTGCAGGAAGGGAATTCTCTTATATGCGATCACAGGCCACGTAAGATGTGTCCGGCGTGCGGCTAGCGGAGATTTACAAATACGTCATTAGCCCATTGGTGCTTTTGTCAGCTGTCCGCAGCCAGCCTTTCATTATAATACGTGTTGCTTCGAGAGTATGCTAGATCCTGCTCATTGCTCAATTCGGCATGTAAACAGGGATATATTTGTAAGGGGACCTAATGCATCATGGAAATCCTTTTGCACACACATGCATTAATAACCGAAATTCATCATCACATACATCTGCCGCCACAACACCAAACTCATCATATCCAATTACTTGAATTTGGATGCTTTGCCTTTTATTGACATCACTACTACCGTTGTCCACCAAGGAGCTTCATATTGTTGACTCAATGAAAAGGTGCCGTATGTTAGATGATAATCGAGCATTGTATCATGCATGAATTTGTTGCGTGTAGTCCGCCATCGACGTGATGTAGTACATACCAAGGATGAGTACACCACCTATGGGCCAATACATAAAGCCATGTGGTTAATCGCCTAATGTCAATGCATATTGGTTTAATGTATAATGCAAGATCAGAATCCTCCTATACGCCCACCACATATTTAAATTGGGTGTGATCTCCTCCGTAGAAAGATCCGGATTGTCAACTATGTTCCAGAGGCTACATACACCTTTTGCTGTTTCGATTGGCATGGCATATCGCTGTTGATCGTTATTCTTGGTTGGTGAGAAATGATGCATACTGTATCGGTAACTGGAATTCAATGGAGGATCATGGTCAACCTCACTCTTCATTGTATCATAAAAGACGTATACTTCGTACATGACCGATAACGGAACGAATTTATTCCATCTACCCTATCATTTACAAGCAAGAAGGGAATACGCTAGCTAAGTGGAAGAGGATTCAACAATGACTCTAGCTACTTCCCCATCATGTCGTTATCGTTTGCATCATCTTGCTGCACCAAGGACAGGCCACTTGGAAAAGATCCAATGCCACCACTTACCCAATGACTTGACGGCTTGTATGTACCAAAGAAATCCCCTGCCCCCCTTGGGCGATGATCACCCTTGTGTGTCAGGAGCTCCATTACACATCCTCTTCTCCACATTGCCTAACAAATGGATTGTACCAAGAGTTGGCAGGCTAGTGCCATTGAGGTCCCTCTTGAAGTGGTCATCGCGGCAACCCCTTTGAAGGCTTTGCACAGCAAGTAGGTTAAAGCCGAAGAGCAGAACAAAAGTCCCTGGCACCCTCCACAAGGAAAGGTGGTTGACTACAAATCCCACATGCAACCATATACTTGAAAAAGCACAAGCACACAGGAAATGGAACCGATGGCACCTCAAGCGGGGGGAGATGAAACACCAGTGCAGAGAACAAGAATGCCAAACGTACCCCTCATCCACCAAGCATAACGTGAGAGAGCTCTGGGTGCAAGAGAACCACAAGGATAGCTTCCTTTGACAAGCTGAGGAAAAGTCACTTGTTTGGCCAGGAGAAGATACACATTGATTGTCCTTATGGGCCCCACCCTATGACCCGATTGAACCGACACGAATCCGTTTCCCCTTCGATGATCCAGTCTCACGCTTCCCAGTTGGACCAAGCTTGTTGACGATCTCGAATAGGCCAAAAGACCACTTGCGATCATATGCGCCGCAACTACTGCGTGAAGCCATAGCCATACGTGCATCTTGCCGCTGGGGGGATACCAGAACGATACTGGGGCGAGGGAGTGTCCTTGGAACAATACGAAGCCAAAAGGTGGAAGATTCAATAACATGCAATCCCCATAGCCAACTTTTCCCAGTCAATGGTCCTGTAGTCTAAAGTAGACAATGAGTGAGAGATTACCATAATAGAACAAGCCCAACATACCTCTTGAGATGCCAATTGTAAACAGGTTCCAAATAAAGAGCACCCTATTGCCACCCAATGCAACCAAGTGAAACAACGTAGTTGTACCGATCCTTCACTCTAACTCACCTGCTTACACCTCCCACAAGTAGTCAACATTGACAATGGCCTTGAACGGTCTTGATCAAGGGAAATCAGGTTGGTTTTGGTTGAGATCAACCGTTGCCATGGCCACCCAACGCTGCTGTTATGAGACGCGTGTAAACCCCGTCACACTTTTTACAGCCAAGCCATTTTTAAAGCACGTGATAGTCGTTGCCATGGATAGTAGCAAACAGTTTAAGGCATTGTAGGTATGTAACTTTTGAGTAGGTGCATCTTCCAGGAGCTGAAACAAGAGCATGTGGTCTGTGCACGGCTACTTTTTGTTTCCGAAGACAGGAGTACGTCCACTTTGACTTCCCGAAGATTGTTTGGTGTCACATTGTTCCTCTGGTTAGCTCGTTGTTTCATTTTAAAATGCTCGTTGCTATAGCAAAGGTAGTCCACAAATTGCGAGCTATCAGCCTTTTCCTCAAGATTGGCACCATTGTTCATTCTATGACATGTGAACGATTGTCCTGCTCCAGCTCATCATTTCCATCATTAAACTCTCTTGATCCGAGGGGATTTGACTGAGCTATACGGTCACGCAAAGGTATATACATCCATTGAAGCAGGTAGAGTGTGCATACTTTATGGTGGGAAATCCCGTACCGGTCCGATTCATCACCTTGGGTATCCTCATCTCGAACTTGAAAATTGGGCAGACGATGCTTTCGGATATGCTGGTCATCTTTGTTCAAATAAAAACAACACAATTCATTATGAACGAAGCGAGAAATGGTGCAGCTAGCTGTATGTTCAATCACGGGTAATACATAAAAGACGCGGCATGTCAATGCACAATGAAATTACATCCCCCAAAAGAAGGTGTTCAATGTTATTCCAAAGTCCCATAATAGAATTCAGAATATAGATTATTATGTATATGTGGTATTGGTATCTAAACCGTAGGGATGTTTTCTTGATTATCAGCTATAGATTGGTGTGCTCTCTTGCGTAGAAAGATCCTGGTTGTCAATGGTGCGGAGCTTACACCTTCTGATTTTTCGTTCGGTAAAGCGTATCGCTGTTGCTCATGATATTCTTGGTTGGTAATGAACAGCGCGTATCGGTAGAGTGTGATCACCAACATCAACTATGATACGTGGTAAAGTTGAAGGATTTGTCAATAAGATCCAACAACGCAAGCATTTTACGATTTCACTTACATCGAGTATAACAAAAGGTCCCATCATGCATACAAAGACAAGGATAAAAAGGTAAAAGAATAAGGGTGAATTACAAAACTCTTCCACGCTTTCGGTATCAGTAGGAGAATGCCTGTTTGCGAATTGTTCTTTGCAAATATCTCCCACAGTAGTTGTCATGAAATCATAAAGCAGTTCTCCGGTGTGATAGATGAACATAGCTAACTCGTATAGGGCACTTATCCGAATATAGTTTGCTTTGCGCTACATGACCATAAATCATTGTAAGCACCAAGGTTCATTGTCGACATAACATCTTTTGTTGCTTACCTTCCATGCTCCCATAAAGCCAAGAATCAACATCGCAAGGCAGACGAACGGCATGATGCGGAGAGTAGAAAATTGAAAGTCTCCATTGTTAAAAGCAACCCGGGCTCTGTTTAGATTGGCAAACAAAGAAAAGATATTGACAATGATATTAGCGACTATTTGCAGCAAGGATGCAGTCCTTAAGGCACAAAGAAAATTAGTATCATTGATATCATCATCAACATTGTTAGATTGATTTACTCACCTCAAGCTAAAACAACAACAGCAGGTAGGGTTGACCATTTGATATCGTATATGCTATTTCACGATGGTATCAGAAGAAGGAAGAAGCTGCTTATATAGACAAATACACACGTTGAAAAAGGAAAAGGAAAAGAAAGCGGCGCTTCTTAATTGCTGTTTGCGCAGCAAACTCGTGGCACCAGCGGAGACGCATTCAATGTATCTGGGTTACGCATAGACGGGACATTGGTTACATGCTTAGCATATGATGAGTAGTGTTTCAACAGAGTGGGCGATCAGGGTAATGTTATATTATGTGCTATTGTTGCTGTAAATCATGGATTGTATCCAAAATGAAGAATGAACCATTAAAGTAGAAATGGGATAATGAAGGTACATTGTCGATTGATTCAAGTGGTCTGTGGGGGGTAACGTTCATTATTGCACTGACCATAAAATCGGGACTTGGATTTGTGCGCATTGAAAATAGCAAGTGCAGAATGTCATTGCACACCCGAAGCTCTTCCTTCCACCTTGCACCACCATGGACGACGAATACACACATGCCAGTAACTTGTTCGAAGCGATTCCCCACATTTCAAGAGAAGTTGACGACACACTCTATGAAAAGGTGTTTTCTTTCCTCAATGGCGTTATCAGCAAAAGCACTCTGCAACAGCTCGAATCGTTGAATGCTCTTGACGTTTTGAACCAGGTTCGCTCATAGATCGACATGATCGCATCGATATACGACTTCTCACGTGCATTTCTCTGCCTTTGATGTATGCATAAAAAGACTTGCGAACAGCCTGAACAAGATTATCGCGTGCGTGCTCTATGCTTTCGGTTACTGGGCAGCATTGTATCACACAATCCGATCGTGTTTCAAGCGTTGCAAACCACGTATTCGAGGACATTGGATCTTATCATGGAGGGATTGCATGCTGAAGAACCAGCTATGCGATGTGCAAGTTTGGAGATATGCCGTTCTTTTTTATCATGCGAACCAGCCCTGGAATGGTAAGCAACATGGCAAAGGACCACACCAAAGCAGGGATTAACGATGCATGATTAGGATCATCAATCATAAAGCAGTAACGGATGGCATTCAACAAGGATTTACGGATACGAGTCTTTATGTAAGTGTAAAAGTAGAATGGGTATGAAAGGCATGGATCTCTGATTGGATGTGTCTAGGTTGTGGCAGAGAGTTGCAGGACGTTTCGATTGGTGATTGAGAAGCACGGCTCATCAAGATTATATCAGACGCTCAACCCCACATCACAAATCAAGAACATCATCAGGCAAAGGGACAAGAATGTGAGACTCTTATTATCCGCACTCGAATTTTGCTGGGTAATGGTGGATTCAAAATCAAAGGCTGCTTTGGATTATATGCTTCATGAACGATTGGTAGGTTGGGAGTGAAAATGAACATGGGATACACGATGTCTAATCATCCTATCTCATATAGCTAAGCGATTTATTGCCATTGATCCACGTGACCAATCGTATAGCCTTACTCAAGACTTTGGAGATCTTAACGGTGATCTTTGAATGGGTCCCTTCTCCTTTGTCGCTATTGCTGGAAGACGAGCCGGTGGATCTTGAGGGTGATTCAGACATAAAGAAAGGTACATGTGAAGATCACTCGCCATACTTACTTGCTCACACACAATCACTCTCAAACAGCTTACGAGTATATGGTGGGTGAATCTGCAAGGATGACAGAAGGTCCTGCCAAGCTCACCAACGTCCTTACTTCTGTGTCTCTGAAAGAAGCAACCCTTCCCTTGCTCACAAGATTTGCAAGTGCTGGATCACCACAAGTCAACACCTTACATCAAGAAATGCTTGATTTGCTTAACGCCTGTACATCACCTTCATTATCATCCTCAGCAAACAATCAAACGGTACGGCCCACCTGTTATGACATGGAGATAAAGATGGTTTACTCACAATCTTAATTGATGCTAGACGTTATTACTCAACAATGTCAGGACACTTCATTCCCGCAAAAGTATCATCCAAGTGATTTTGCGGATATTGAACACCTTGGTATCCAAGTTTCCTGGTATATCCATGGTATGTGTTGGTGTATATAAAGCATTGAGCTATGGCTTATACCGAAAGATATAGAGCACAACCCTTGATGCTGTCGAAGGCGTTCTTGAAAAAAGCGAACTGTCATCGGATCAACGTGTTCTCAAGCTGGCATTGAAGCTTATCCTTACGCTCTTTCACAATTTTGCCAATGCTGATTCGGTGGATATTGTTTCAAAGGTAAAGGGTTCAATGATTGTGATAGGGCATTTCAACTTCTAATACGTTTAGGTTTTCTTCCTCGATATTAGACAATGCGAAAGCTGTTGTGGTTGCTTAATGAAAAGATCATGGGCGGTCGAAGCGCAGCACTCGTCTTGGAAACGTTTCAAGAGCTCATGGCCCATGACAAGCTGGGGACACTAATGATGGACAAGGTAATGGTATACGATGTTTAAGGATGACATGACCTAATACAAAGAGCGGATTAGGCAGTTGCAGGATCCTTTATTATGGCACTTGAACTCATGTTGGTGAATCAAGAATGGGATGTACGAGATTCGGCTATTGAATTCATCGGGAATCTGTTCAAGCCAGTGAGTACATGGATTTGGGTACTTGCAATGCAAGCCTTGTAGCTTACATGTGGACTTTTTACTTAGCCACGATCCGAATTCAAGATGGCATTTGCTTTGGAGCACAAGTTACCCTTTATGGTTTTACGATGCATCAATGACAAAGAACCTTATGTGAGAGCAACGGCGCTGGACGTGTTGCAGGTAAATCCAAGGGGATGGATTGTGGTTGGCCAGCCTACCTTCTCAAGCTAACTTTGACCTTGCAAAGAATTTCATGCGGAGTAAAGATGGATGGTATTTTATTCAGCAGCATCAACGAATTCGTGAAGTGGCATCACAACTACCACGATTTTTATACGACACGGAGGCATTTGTACGTCGAGCAGCTTTGGATGCCATTTGTTGCCTTGTGAGCAATCGATCTTGCGAAGGAATGACAATCGAATCCACGTCGTCTACAGAGCAAACATCTCTCAAGTGAGTGTTAGGATGGGCATATTATAAGCGATGCTGACATTGTTTCCTTTTCCTTTCATAAAAGCCCTATCATTGTTTCCAAACTAATGGACGACCCCGATTCGGATGTGATCATGCGTATGTTGCAAGTACTTTATGCATTTTGGAAACTGCATTTGCATGAAAACGCACAGCAAAAGCGCACTCGTACCGAAGATGATGATGATGCTGCCATGGCAACCGAGCCCGAGTCTGTATTTTTCATGATCAAAGGCGATCACTGGATCATTGAAGCGGTATGTTGAGTAGGATAAAAGGGAATATAGGTAAACACGGATTGACGTATGACATAAACATAGACAAAAGATACCCAACGTCGAGTGCGAGCTCAAGCATATGATGTCATACAACATATCTTGCGGGATTATCCCCATGTTTCCATGCAGAAAGGCGAACACAAACGAGCATTCGATGAGACCCCCAGCAAAGAACAAGAGTTTATCAATGCACTTGGCCTATTGGATATGGAAAAATTGCAAGGTGCACTTGATCCCGAACACATCTTCCAAGAGGCACTCGATATCAATGCTGCCATGATGACAATGTCACTTGATCCCAAAAATCCCGATGATGACCGCAACATCCTGGATTGTTACAATTGATTGATGAGCATAGCATTCATGCAAGAGTTTTCTGATTTGAGTGTTTGTTTAAATACAATTTCCTATGTATAATATTTGGACCTGCCATTAAGACCATGTGATAGCGGGGATTAACCTGCTGAAGGGAAATAATAGGATAACGGTGGGGGGATAAAGGGGAAGGTCATTGTGTGTGTGTGTGTACGTGGTGTGCGAGTTGAAAATATAGGATATGGAGTGCATTTACTGCTCCTTGCCCTCCTTCTTAGCAGCCTCCATACGACGCTTCTTGATCATGGTGTTCAAGTAGGTGCCAACGACTATAGATACAAAGTTAACATTTTGCTCCCATCATCCATCCATATTCCCATCCATATCCTTATTCGGTCACTTACAAAAGGCGGTCAAGTTGAAGAAAGGCACCCAGGCGAATTGGGGAATGAAGTTTTGAGCAAAGATCATGCTGCAGGGGGAGACGCACCATGAAACCTTTTGCATGGACAAGATGCCGTTCTTCCATGCCTTCTTGACTTCGTCAAAGGAACGAGCACCAGCAAGAATGGTCATGACACTGATGTAGACTATATTCCCACCATCAGTCATCTTTTATCCTTGATACCCGCAATCCCGCTTTTTTGATTACTTACTGGAATTCATGGTAGGGGAGATGATGAAGTTGCTGAAGAGCAATTGACCAATCTTAGCTTGCTTGGCGGGCTTGCCAGCGAGCAACTTGCCCATAATCTCATACAACAAGTGGTTCAAGGGACCAGCAATGAGAAGACCTGGTGGAATATGAATTTAAAGTTAGACATCAATCATTCATTCTACACAATAAATATGCAGCATGGTTGTGTGTGTGTGCGTCCTATGCATTGCATGCCGTACTTACCGTAAGCAGCCATTTGGAACACACGCTTATCGATGCTCTTGCTACCGGACAACTTTTGGGCAGCAGCTTCTTGGTTGGCTGCCAAGATACTGTTGGTGATAGCCTTGGTGCGAAGAGGGTTGGCAGCAAGTTGGGCAAGGTACCAAGCGAGCCATGAGGGCAAAGAAGAAGCTGGAGCAGTCGACATTGTTGTTGTAATGTAGAATGGAAGTAAATGAGAAGTTGAAAAGGAACGCAAATAAAAGGCCGAGGTCCAAGTTTTATCGGTGTGTGGATGTGGTGTCTCGATTAAGGTGCGGCTGTCTGGTATGTGACACTGTTCTGTGTTAGCACTACCCCGTCGAGATATACCTGCTGGGATACAAATAGCCTTTCGCTGTCTCCCAATATACATGCTAATGATGAGTTTTCTCATGAAACCTGCTGCTTCTAAAACATCATTTGTTTCTCGACTATCCTTTTCTTCTATGAAAATGTGATACTTTGTACGTGCAAAGCAACATGTCTATAATCAAGCTTGCCTTTTCTTGCATTACCCACGCAATAATTACACACACACACGTACAAAGGAAAAAGGTGGGGTAAGTTTATACTCAGAATATACCTTGTCTCTCTCTATAGCCGCCGGACCGAACCGGGTCAAACATAAATTGCGAGGCGTCACATATAAGCCATCATTGAATTTGGCAACTTACCTTCTCAGGTACCAAATCCCCACGTTCCTTCAACTACTTTGGAAAGATTATCATTGTTTTTTCACGTAAAGCAAGCAACAAAGGTCGTTGCCATGGAAGTGCTCTTGTAGCATCCACTTACAAATCAACCGGCAAAATTTGGGGATTGCTTACTAAGTGAGAATTAAAAAAGGCCAAGGTAGCCAAGGGAGATCGAATCTATGTCATAGTGCCATTATCCTCTTCCAAGAAAGCATTGAGAAGCTTCCTCGGTTAAACTTGTTTAGTATACATAAAATCGCATGATGCACATGGTGAACGTGTGCTCCAGTGAAAGTATCCCATTGATATTGCTGAGTGTGTAAGAAAAGTCACCCAGTATAACAGGATCATCTATATTTCATTCCCACAGATGACCCGAGTCTTCCAGCATGCTGTATCACGCCTTCTTCATTTAGCTTGTCAATGGTTGTTGCTACCGATAGATTGGAAGACTAGCACTCGTGAAACCGAGATAAAGCCCGGTAATGGGATACGCTCATCGTTTTACTATCTTTGCTTACTACTATTCCACTTGCATAAATCGCTTTATGCCGATACAAGTTGAAGCATCCATCACGTTGAGGATTTTGTTATGACTCATTCAATAGCAAAGAGAAATTTGGGATCCATGAAGCGTTTGCTTTTTGCGTTGAGTTACAAAAGCTGGTGCTGTAGCCTTTGCGTATACAAATCAAACACATTATCAATCCTTCTAATGCAATCATACATGTAAGCTATGCTGCTTCGTGCATAAAAACCTGTGTCACCTTCATTGTTTTGAGGATAAACCACAGCAATGCGGACATCAAGGAGGACGTCTGTGCTTGTATCGTTGGAGATCGAAATCGTGAGCTGCCTTTCGGATATGCAAATGGTTGGCCAGATATGGTGTGGTGGGAATGGGCTTTCCCACAACAACAACAACAAACGCCATACTCCTTGTGAGTATGTACAGCACCATCCAATATCAAGCATCATCCTTTAGTCCAATAAATCGGCCATCTTGTTAAGGGTAGCAACGCTATTGTGATGGGGATTGTATTCTCGGTGTGGATGATCCCTTACATGTACGCATCTCAAAGTGGGGATGGTGGTGACGTAGTCGCCTGCTATCTATTGCTGCAATTCATCCTTCGGATTACCCGTATAGCTGGGTCCATTGAATAAAAAGAAAAAGACATCATTGATTCTTGATGCTGATGTCATTCTCGGCATATCCCTTATGCATCTATGTCATCAAAAAGAGGCTTTTCTTTCAAAATGCTTTTGATCGTCCATCCTTTTTATTCATAAAGGCTTCTTCAACTACTATTGTATCCTTCTTGGTGACTCCTATGCAACGTTCCTATTGGCGACTTAAATGAAAGAGCAAACCCAATTTGTGATACGACGCATCTCCATGGAGATAAAGGCTATGTTGCATGGATACGGCGGAACCAATTAATATTGGGTATTGAGATCGTCATCGTGGCAATAGCAAAGCACCATATTGCATGAAAGCCTGTGTTACGTAATGGTGGTGGGGATGACAGCTGTTGGTCAAATGTATATGTGCATGTGCTTTAGGTGCATATCCATGCTTGTATACAAAGTTTGGGTCCAGCATGTTATGGAGCTACGAGATTGTGATAGTGGTTGTAGCACATAGTAGCTGCAGTAACGAGCAAACATGTGCCAAACATGTGCTGCACCCGATAATGGTCATGACCCAGTGTTGGCGTATTTTCTTCATGGGTCTCTATATGAGCTCTACAAAGTCATCATCAATGAAGGTATGCAATGTTTTGTGCACATGGTATGCTAAGGCATAGTAAAGACAATAAAGAGAGGGTTTATGGAAATTTCCCCTTAATTGCGACATGGACCAACCGCTCGTGCCGTTGGATAAAAATGTGTCAATTTCCTTTCTTGTGCATGCCGTCTCCTTTTATAATGGAGAATGGGCCATCTCTTTTGCCACAGGGCTCTATTTTGCGCGGAAAAGTGTGTGTTAGAGGACATTGATGCTGCATTATCCCGCCACAGTTGAGTTATATTGACGGAGATGTATGTTCTGCTTCACTCGAAAACATATTCTTTACTCGTGGATATTTGCCATAATCGGGACAAGGTTTTGACACATGTGGGTGGGTCGAGGCGATGGGTTAACGAGCATGAAACACGTGCTTCTGTCATACATAAACATCACACAAAGGGAGATGTGCACCGTGGCCATACCTGGAGCTGCATCGTACACTGTCAATAAAATTTGCAAAGTTAAGAGCTGAATAGTAAAAATTGACCTATTGACCATGATCGACAAAATGGGTGCACACGTTTTCTTTATGAGCTTATGTTGCCCCTGATATACAAGTAATGATTATATAAAAGGTTGCAGCTTAATTCAGTGATGATGAGCGGAGGAAATGAGGAGAGAGAGCAAAAAGAGTGAAGATGAGGGGGGAGGATCCGGCCATGTGGCGCTTGGAGATAGCAGCACGTGCTAACGATTTGCGACGCGGAGTCTACACAAACAAAATGCGGGTCTCCTCCATTTTGCAGCGTCTTTTACTCTTTTCTCTTTGTAACTATGCTGCTCACAAACCACTTTCCATCTTCCACTACACCACCACCTCCTCCCCACGCTCGTATTCCTTCTTCAACGGAACTTCATCACCATAACTCATCACCACCGCCACCTGTTGTTGCTAGGGCATCACCTTCTTTACCATCTTCTCGTCGACCTTCACTTGATCCTGCATCAAGGTCTTTGCATCCACTTCCATCATTCCGCCATCATCCTTATTCCCAACCTGACCACCGAGCCGCTGCTGCATCCGATTCTAGGAGAAGCTCATTAGCAAGTATTGTTAGCACAGCAACCAACACAAGTAGTTCACCTTCTTCACCACCAAATCGTCGTCGTTCACCTTCTGTTCAATATCAATATCAATACCGCTCGCCTGAATCTGACCCATTATCCCGTTTCCATGCCAACACACTTCCTCCGCCATCGCAACAATCTCCACCATCACCGTTGCATAACCCAGCTGTTAATAGCAATGGTGTGGAGCCCTGGAGACGAGATTCTCTTCCATCTATATCACAAATCACAAGGTTTAGGGATAATACCAATGACACTGAAATGTCAATGTCATCCACCACAGGGAACAATGAACCCTCTTCTTCCACCTCCTCCTCCAATGCAATGTGGCTCGATGAGCCTGTATCATCTCAACCTCAGCATCCAGCTATAGTATCACCAGCGGATAATATGCGTAGGCATTCTGTTGCCATCACATCAAGTGCACGATACAATCCACGACAAAATGGTGGTGGTGGTGGAGTTGTTACTCCTTCATTACGTCGTTCAAGCCTTGCACGAATGAGACAACCTGATGATGAATCGGAGCAACTCACCACAAGAGAACGAGCGGGATCATCATCCTCTGCATATTCTCGATCACCCGAGTTACGCATTAGCCATAAGCTTGCCGAACGTAAACGACGTAAAGAGATGAATGACCTGTTTGACGAGTTGCGTGATATCCTGCCAGTCGAAAAGGGGCTCAAAACAAGCAAGTGGGAAATTTTGAGTAAAGGTAAACATGAGCATAATAATGCAGGGCCATTTGTTGTTTTCTCACACTCACCTTGGTATACGTGTATATGCCTATCTTAGCCTTGGAGTATATCGCAACGCTGCGTGAACGTGAAACACAATGGACACAAGAAAAGGATCAACTACACCGTGAATTGGCGTCGTTGCAACAGCATCCATCATCATCATCAGCATCCTCGTCATAACTTACGACCATTTACCAACAACTTTAGTCATGTTCATCTTTCTTCTTCCCCCCAACCTTACTTACTTTCAATAGCCATGTGTATAAAATACCTTTCATCCCTCCTTTCATATCATTGCAGGCGTGTGTATACGTGTTTTTTCTTTTTGGGTCAATGGATGATGACGATGGGTGGCAAATCAGTAAGAATGTGTGTGTGCTTGGGTAACCACGTGCACATGTTGCTAGCCTATCGTAAACGCTCCGCGCATCTCGCTTTGTGCATCACCAAAACTCTCATCACACCAAGATGGGTGAGCAACGGCTGAGTCGAAAGCCAAACGAATGGTACTCCCACATGTCTTTTTGTGTCACTCTTTTTTTGGTGGGTAGGATGCATGGATCATTATACACCCTCACCAAATCTGCTTCACATTATGTAATCCTTCACCGCTATCACTGTCAAAGCACACACTGCTATTTGCAAGGGCGGATTAGACCCTGCGTGCAAATCCTCTTTTGCGTTTTTAGGTCTTGTTTCACATAGCGTCGCATTCATTCATATCAACAACGCTTAATAATGCCATTCAATGCAATCGAAAACTTTATTGTGCATCAATGTCAGCATACACACACAGCGGGGGGAAATGTGTTCGTGGGCGGAAGTATAATGTCATTTCAAGCATTAAGCTTATCAAAAAAGAAGGTCATGCCTTACCATGAACGGCACATGAATAGGATGATCGGCAAAACCACCCCGTGAATTCGCTATATCCTCATTCTTTATCTTCCATCACACACCTGTCATTGTTCCCCATGTTTCATTATGACGTGTATTGAATGGGTGGTTGTATCTAGTAAAAGCAAGGAGAATGCTTGTTTATCATGAGGATCCGGTGCGTGTGAGTATGGGTGCAGCATTGAGTTTGATCACCAGTTCCCGATGTTATGGGAGTGGGCTATTACGTAGCTTGTATGCAGGAATAATGTTGAGAACCTGCCATACATGTGTGTGTGTGTGTGTGTGTGTGAAAATCATTCTCATCTTGCATAGATCCCGACAGCCCGCACATATTCCAAACCAACCGTGTGAAGAAAAAAATTACGCTCTGCACATGGATGATGGATTTCATTTCCACGACGCATTAACTTGGTGTTCGTAGCACACAGGATGATGATGGCTCAACTTCTTTTGGGTGCTGATGGAATGCTGGTAACCATGATGATGATGATGCATGCGTACATGCTACTAGTAGAAGCATCAGCAGTAGTCGAACGTAACACTTGGCACAGGCCAGCTGTTTAATGCCCATGTGACATACAAGTTTTAACCTGGAATGTGTTTTGACCTGTGCAAGGCGATAAACGCGTGCTGATATGGATACCTATGCAAGTGGTTGTGGTTGCTAGGCAACAAAGCGACGACATAGTATGACGCTTGTTCACTCAGCTATTGCCCTTTTTGGAAGATACATAACAACAGCTAATTTTTTTCTATGATCAATCTCATTTTGTTTATTTTACTAGTATAAGGAATGAAATGGCTTTGTAGGAGGTTGTAGGTATCCAAGGTGGTTGGTTGTTGTATGGCATGAATTCCAAAGTCAGTGCAACAGCGACATGCAGCAACAATACCTGTGTGTGACGATTTTCACCAGGTGGCTTGCCTGATAATATTTTTTCTGGCAACAGGTTGGGCGGGTGGGGTCCACTTTTGAGCGCTTGTCAACTTCTTCCACAGCACCACACCACACCTTCGAGTATGCTCGTCCTCTACGAAACCGCTGCAGGTTATGCTCTCTTCAAGCTCGTCGATGACGGCAAGTTGGAGAAGCCCGATGACATTTGGAAGCACTTTGAGACCGCCGAAAAGGCTAATCAAACGTAACGTATTATATGGAATCTACTACCTCTTTGACACATCCGATCTGACATCCTACCTAGTGTCAAGCTCAAGGCCTTTTCCAAATTCGAGAACACCACCGATGCCTTGTCTGCAGTGACTGGTATTGTCGAGGGCAAGATACCCAAGAATCTCAAAAAGTTCTTGTCGAGCGAGATCTCTGAAAAGGAAATGAAGAAGGAGAAGCTTGTCGTTGGCGATCCCAAGCTTGGTAATGTCTTTTCTTTTTTCTCCTTTCTTTACTAGAGTGATGGATTATTGACATGTTGAAAATAGGCAGTGCTGTCAACAAGAAGCTCGGCATTAACGTTGTATCTGATTCGACTGTTATGGACTTGTACCGTGGTATTCGTGAACAATTCGAGTCCCTTGTGTCCGGTCTTTCGCATCATGATTTGAACGCCATGTCGCTTGGTTTGTCGCATTCGCTTTCTCGTTACAAACTCAAGTTCAGCCCTGACAAAGTCGACACCATGATTGTGCAAGCTATTGGATTGTTGGATGACCTTGACAAAGAACTCAACACTTATTCGATGCGTGTCAAGGAATGGTACGGCTGGCATTTCCCTGAAATGGGCAAGATCATTGTCGACAATCTTGCTTACGCCAAGGTCGTCAAGACTATGGGCTTCCGCACCAATGCCCAAAGCACTGATCTTTCCACCATTTTGCCTGAAGAACTCGAAGCCGAAGTCAAGGATGCTGCTGAGATCTCCATGGGTACCGAAATCTCGGATGAGGATATTGAAAACATTCATTGTCTTTGCGACCAAGTCATCAACATCTCCGAATATCGTGCTCAACTCTATGAATATCTCAAGAACCGCATGAATGGTAAATGACTCTCATGTTGATGAAAAAAGATGATTACTTACACACACACGACTCAATAGCCATTGCTCCCAACCTTACTACTCTTGTGGGTGAACTTGTTGGTGCTCGTTTGATTGCCCATGCCGGCTCTTTGATGAACCTTGCCAAGCAACCTGCATCCACCATTCAGATCTTGGGTGCTGAAAAGGCTCTTTTCCGTGCCTTGAAGACCAAGCACAACACACCAAAGTATGGTTTGATTTACCACGCTTCCTTGATTGGCCAAGCTGCTCCAAAGTCCAAGGCAAAGATTGCACGTATGCTTGCTACCAAGTCTGCTATTGCCCTTAGAGTCGATGCTCTTGGTGAGACTGAGAATGCTGATGTTGGTATTGAGGGTCGTACCAAGGTCGAAACCCGTATTCGCATGCTTGAGAACCGTGCCAATGCTCGTGTCAACCGTGACAAGTCATCCTTCAAGCAAGAAAAGTTCCAATTCAACAAATCCAGCACATACAACGCTGAGAATGATGCTGTCATGACTGAATCTGCTCCTGTATCACCACCAGAAGAACCCTCCAAGAAGCGGAAAGCAGATGAAGAAGCAGCAGCAGCCAAGCCTGCCGAAGCCGAGGATGAGCAACCCAAGGCTAAGAAGGCAAAGAAGGAAAAGAAGGATAAAAAGGACAAGAAGGAAAAGAAGAAATCAAAGAAGGAAAAGGAGTAATTTTGTAAAGCCTACCATTGTTGTCGTTATTTCTGTTAGTAGTATTAGATGTTATGATCACACATCATCCCACGCTCACACTCTCTATCTCTCACTCACTCACCATCCTGTTTTGTTATGTTATATTTTCTCTTTTCATCCGCTCTCTCGCTCTCATTTGTATCAAGAATTGCATTTACAGTCAAAAGTTTATTCATATTATTGAATCGTGTGATGGTCAATGTGTATGTGTCAAATCAATTGCTGTAATTGGTATGCGAATCCTTTTTGGATAAAATGAAAAGTAGCATGAATGGGTGGTTTCAGGCTGCGTTTTTTGACCGAGGCCATACATTTTCATTTTCCCTTTTCCTATTTCTTCGCTTCTTTCGCAGTTGTATTATACATTCCCATCATACCGCGTTCCCATTTGATACGCACATTAGATCGAGATACATAGGCATACATCTATACGGCTGTCGTCCATATGACTGTCGAATTGATACCAGGTGAATTCTCCCAATTCACCATTGCTATTGCCATTATCAGCGGCTTCATCGTCATTTTTGGATACGTGTCCATATTTGTAAAAGAAAGATTGTTTATATCCGAAGCATGTAAGTGGTTCATGGATGAGGAGATAACACGTAGCATGCGCTCATTGTGATGCGATAACATAGTCGTGGCACTTGTCGTTGGTATCATTGCTGGGCCACTCGTAGCCAATGGAATTGATCCCTATTCTTGGGATGACATGAATGAAATCACCAAACAAATAACTCGGTGCGTCATTGCCATCCAGGTTATTATCATTATTGTCACATGCTGGATCAACAATGAAGTGGTTTTCTCATGATTACGTTGTGCATATGCAGGTCATGGCTGTAGGGATCGAGTTGCCAAAGTAAGTACTATCATACATTTTTGAAGAGAGATGTAGTGGATGTATTCACTCAGCTGTCATAGGCATTACTTGAAGAAAGAATGGGCAACATTCATGGTGCTAATGTTCCCTGTGATGATATTTATGTGGTTGATCAGCGGGCTTTTCATATGGGCTCTCATCCCCCCTATTGACTACGTATGTAAGAATGCTACATAGCAACAGCAACAGGTTGCCATGGAAAAAATCTAACAAGGTCAATACGTAGCTGAATTCTCTTGTGATTGCAGCATGCGTCACACCCACTGATCCAGTAACGTACTCAATCTCAATCATGGCGACGATGAAATCATCCATAGAGAGAGATCTAACATGTATGGTTTATAATAACACCAGGTCTTAGCCAATTCAGTTGTCAAGGGACGATTTGCAGAGAAGCATGTTCCATCTCATATTCGTAATGCACTCGCTGCTGAAAGGTAACTATCTTGTGTGTGTACATATGATGTGAGTGGAGAAGATGACATTTTATCATACATCAGCGGAGGCAATGATGGGATGGGGTTTCCATTTCTATTCCTTGCTATTTTCCTCCTCGGCGAACCAGGTACAGGCAAAGCAATCGGCAAGTGGATATACGAGACATGCCTCTTCCAAATCGCATTGTCGGTCGTCATTGGCGTCATTGTTGGATTCGTGGCACGCAAGATTCTGCAATGGTCTGAAAGAAAGTAAGGACGTGGATCTTGGTATGATAAAGGCTGGATCATTGATTGTTCTTGGATACGTAGTCGTCTCATTGACAAGCCATCATTTTTATCCTTTGCAATCGCCCTTGCTGTAAGTAAACTTTATCATGGGGAATGTGTATAGGATGTCGGCATGATGACACGTGCGTGTATGTAGTTGTTCCTTATGAGCATGACCGGATTTTCGGGAAGCGACGATGTGCTGGCATGCTTTGCAGCTGGCAATGCCTTTTCGTGGGACGACTGGTTTAGACAAGAGACCGAGGAAGCTCATTTCCAAGAAGTCATTGATATGCTACTCAATCTGTCAGTGTTTGTATACATTGGAACCATTATTGTAAGTATAAAAACCTACCTACATGTTGTGTGTCAATATCAACTTACAATCACTTTGTAGCCGTGGCGGGAATTTGGGAATTCAGCACTTGGCTTGTCACCTTGGCGCCTGGTAGTGATTGCTATCCTTATCCTTTTCTTCCGGAGAATGCCTATTGTTATCGCCCTCAAACCTATCATGCCAGCTATGAAGACATATCGAGAAGCCACATTTAGCGGGTGGTTCGGTCCTATGGGTGTAGGTGCCGTCTTTTTGTCAACCATTGCCAAAGAAGAGATGGAGAAGGTCTATGAAGATGAACCTGAATTCCCGATTATTGTCGATCTTATTGGCCCTGTGGTGTTATTTGTCGTGCTTGCATCCACACTTGTACATGGATCAACCATCCCACTTTTCCAACTCGGCAAACGTATTCGCACACGCACATTATCCATTGCCAGTAGCACAGGGAGTAATCGACTTAAATGGCGACGCAGTACCCACGACCTTGATGAAACACAGCGCAATACCCTTATCAACATGCTTGGAAAGAGACGTCGTAGATCAAAAGTGGAAGAACAAGAAGAGGAGCAACAGCAACAGCCACCTGAACATGCAGCAGTGGATATGGAGGATGCTGAAGAAGATTACTTGCCGCATGATGAAGAGGATGAGGAAGTTGAACAACAAGAAGCAGCTGCACGTGTTGAAGGCGAGCCTAGTAATCAGCATCTCAAACCATCATTAGAGGGGCATTCAACCAGCGAATCGCAAAGTGGTTCCAATATCCGATTCCTTGAACCAACACATCCACGACAACAACATCCTTATTCTGAATCAAGTGAAAGCTATTCCTCAGATATTCAAGATCAATACCCTACTGGCAAGCAACCCGCAACATCCGCTCATGATGAAGAATCTTATCCCCATTCGGAGGAAGAGGCTGAGAAGGCGGGTGATGATCCAAACGTATCGAATGAACAAGCAGAGCGCGTTGTGGAAAGGTACCATTGTGATATCCATCCAAGAATTGAAGTATGGGAAGAACGACCCTATGTCATCATTGAAGATACCGGTGACACGACACCCAATATCGTTATCAACAAGCGAGAAGGGAATTGGAAGAAAAGGATGCGTGATGCGATCAAGAAACTAGAAGCAGACATTGAACATGAGGAGCATCGTAAACAACAATAAATAGATAAAAGGTTGGGGAGCTTTCCTTTACTCTTTCAAATGCTATTGTATGTGTGTAATATGTGCGTGCGGATGCAAATGATGAATCGGCTACCATGAAGGGAGTGCGTGCTAGTGTGAAAAGTTACAAAAGTTGTGCGTGCAAATTACTATGTAAGGTGGCGAATAAAGCTGTAAAATGGCTGTTGTACAACAACAGAAGAATGATAAAGTAGATGGTAAAAAGTGGGTATCAATGATGAAAGAGGGAGGAGCAGCGTCGTTTACTTTGCCCTAAGCTTCCATCGAGGCAATGTACGTGATTTTGAATGCGTTGGAATACGGCCTGATCGTCGTCGATCACGACACATTTCTCGTCGTCTTTCGAGATCTTCGTGCGTAACGTGTGTAAGCGATCCATGTCTCTGGAAAGTGTTCTATGATAGAGAGAGAAAAAAAAAGGTTAAGCGATCCATGCAAATCACCCCCCTCGTTGCTAAACTCACCTCCATCAACATTTGGCAGTCAATGATCCGTTTTGGCATGTTCTACACGAGGATGATGACGTATAAATGTCAGTCAATGCGCCCGCGTGTCAAATAAACCCTCTCACGCGGGATCCACGTTGTTACACCACAGCTTATACATTACCTGTATCACCTGGAAGATCTCCAGCGAATCCTTGAGAGACATGATAAGGTTTTCACTCATCTTGAACAATGTCAATGCCACGCGAAATAAAGCACTGGATCCTTCACTATAGTAGATTGGTATAGGGTAAGCGACATGGATCATATCAAGCAGCAGCAGCGTGAAGGTTGTACTTACTAAAAGAAACAATCCCAAACACGAAGGACCGTCTATGTAAAAAAGAAAGAGGATGATGAGTCATTTGATCTACCCTATCATTCATCATTGAAGAAAAAAGCATACCTCGATTGGAAGAATGTTAATAAACAAGGTGAGGAACCAATGATTGGTAACCAAGGTGATGGTTGGCATGGATGCACTATCAGCTGCAGAATCCCAAAATGAAGATTTGTCTGACAGCTTGTTCCACAAGTGAGGCATTCGTTCCCAGATCAGCATCATGAGCACTGTTTGATCAATGTTGGATCCTTCCATGGTCACGTCATAGACACCGGCTGGTAAGAGGTTTTGTACAATGGTGACAAGAGTCCAAAAGGCTTCTTCCTCCTTCATGAAAAGCAAGAGCATGCCGACGATATAATTCAATGATTGGCAATATCCGATGGAAGGGCTGTAGATTGAAAATGCAGAAAGGACTCTTCGTAAAGCGCCAATGATAGCAGGTGAATGTAATGCAGCGGTACTACCCATGGATGCATGATGATTGTTGTTGTTGTTGTTGTTGAATGAGGATGCTGTTCTAAATTGAATATTGTCGGGAAAAGTACGATGTAAATCACGTGCAATAATATCGGCAAACTCGTTGGTATCGCCCATCGCTTCAGCCTTGGCAAGGAACTTTTCATATACACCGGGGTTGGAGTCCATCTTGGCTTCCGCTCCGCTATAGTGTAGCCATACCTGGTTAACAAGGAGTGTGGAAGTCAGATATATGAAGTGATTCAAATTCCTCCTCGTTCTCTCGCTCTCCCCAACAAAAAAAAAACCTCCTCTTTGTAGTAGAAACCAAAAACCCCCAAATGTATGTGCACACTTACCCTTCCTCGAAGATGAGCAGGTACTCCCTTGCGGATGTATCGTTTCACTTTTAGGAGATTTGCATAAGTAAACTTTGTTGTTGTTGTGATGATGATGATGATGATCATACCTTTGGAACATCGTTCTGGTAACCGGGACTCGTGTTCCTTGAGTAACTGTTCCCATTTACTCAATCGTCTTTCCAATACAGCTTGATAGCTTTCCTCGTGGGCATGATGATCTTCAAGGGTGACCCATTGTGATGCTTTGCGGAATCCATAGCAGTCCCTATAATACACAAGGTTTGTGTGTTGCACATTGGTTAATTTAATATCCTCTTGAAAAGGGGGCTTTGTCTGTGTGTGTGCGTGTGCGCATGTGTCACCACCTACGTTTCAGGATTTTCTTCAAAGGATACAGGAGGTGGTGGAGATACTAGCTTGGCATTGTCGGATGGATCAAGCTCGTGTTTACTGCCAAATCGTTTGAAATGGAAAAGAGAAGGGGATGATGATGATGAATGGCTGTTGCTCTTTTTGAGCTTGAACAAGTTGCGGTTGCTGGTACTGGGTGATGTGGGTGTAGAAGAAAAGGGTATCTTGCCATCGTCATAGAGGCTTTCTGGTGACATGATGGGTGGAGGTGTCCATCGTTCTTGAGTTGTCATGGATGTCAATGCTGTATCAATCGTTGTTGTGGTATTATTTTTGGATGATGATGATGATGATGGTGAGTCGCTTTTTTTAGATTGCTCCTTGTGAGATGTTGTTGTTGTCGTCGTCGTATTATTATCCGTGTTACTGGTCATGGTTTCCATCAGGCTTGGACGAACAGCACGTCGAATAAGGACACCCCCAAGCAACGCCCCCGTGTTGTCGGTTGTTGGTGGAAAATACTCGTGTTTGGTAGCCTCCATACTTTTGATCACCGTTGCAGATGTTGTTGTTGTGGTGCTGGTGCCTGAAACATCTTGACTACTATTGCTGCTACTCGTTTCGCTGGTGACACTGCTACGTCGATCACTGTTGCTATTATTACTTCCATTGCTGGTATGATGCTGATGATAAATCTCGGTATCCAACGCGTGATGATGTGTATTGAGTGATGGCATAGGTGGCGATACAAGATGATGTCGAGTTAGGCACATTTGAGAAGGGGCACGCACCATAAAGTCTTGATCGCTATGTTCCTGTAACCATCTTTGCTTGCTTTTCCTTTGATGATGATGTTGTACAAAGGACTCGGATCGTTGACGACGAATATTGTTGGCATCGTAAGCAGCAGCGGCATAGATGGACATGGTGCCGGGATCGAGTGAGCGCGATTGATGTAGTAGATTGGGAGTTGAGACGTAATCGGCGGTTGCTGCTTTCTTCAACGGTGTACTTTTACTCGCACTCACAACACTGGGAGGCTCTGGAACTTGCAACGAGTCCATGATAAGCGAGGAGGCGAGAAGAGGAAGGGATGGAGAGGTGTTGATATGCGGTCGATAATTTATATATGGGAGGATGTAAAAAGAAAGGAATAAAGAAACAAAGAAAGAAAAAGGAACGTTTGAAATATAGAATGTGGAGAAGAAAGAAAACGACAGAGAAAGAAAAGGACAATGATATAAAATTGGATGTAGGACAAGCTGTCGATGTGGTTAAGGGGGCATGGTCCGAATATGATCCTTGCGAACATTTACCTTTCTTGGTGCAGCGTATATAAAAGGTCCGCATCCTCCCTACCTCCTCCCAAAATGCAACATTACATCTTTGTGTACATACATAAAACAAAGACAAGTTGGGTGGCGTCATTCTCCCCATCACCAGTTGTAGTAATAGTGATAGATTATGTAGTAGTATCATCATTCTCTTTGAATAAGATCACAATCAAATCAGACCTTATTTGTGTACCCAATGCATCCACCCATCATGTATCACGTTATCAAATTGAAGATTGATTTGGTTCCTTCACTCATATACATCACTCAACTACGAACAGCGCCCTTCAAAGTGTGCCACAATATTATGCAACAACATGGACACAGAGCGTGCGAAAGTTGGACCATGTGGCATTGAACGGAAAAGACATTCAAGAGGGATACATGCATGTGACCTTTCTCGCGAGGCATTTTCAGGTAGTAAAACCGGGTCAATATTCATTTTTGGTTCTCTTGGTTTCTTTCAACTTGTTCTCTCACTCCTCTCCTCCGACCACGACACAACCACCGTGTCCTAATGACTCAACCCGATCAACGCACAAGGTCTCCACCACCTCCACCGTTGCAGTTCGATCCCCATTCATTGACAACCAACTCTACACCCCAACACCTTTGCTATCGACATCGTCCCGACTTGACTCGAAATCGCCCTCCAGATCCATTCAATTTCCAAGATGTCCAACGAGTAAGTCTATACTACATAAACTTCCATTGATTTGAACTAACATGGTATCTATCAGCAAATTGAATGCCTGTCATCCTCGGACCAAGCTGCTATTTCACATGTGTGGTCATTGTTCGCTCAAGCACCAGCAGATCAACGCACATTGATCCTCAAAGGCTTGCTCTCTACCTGTTGTATGCCACAGCTTTCATTCTTATACGATGAGATCCGCCCTTTACTACGCATCGATTTCGCCTGCATCTTACCTCGTGAAGTGTGTCTACGAATCCTTTCGTTCCTGGATGCAAAGTCATTATGTCATGCCGCCCAAGTATCGAGGTTGTGGAAGTCATTGGCCGATGATGATACCTTATGGCACCGAATGTGTGAACAACACATTGATCGTATTTGCACCAAATGCGGATGGGGATTACCATTACTCGACAAGATCAAAAGCCAAGGGAAACGACATGACAACAATAGTGGTGGTCGCAGCAGCAGTCCAATGGTGATGGATCCGATTCCTCCCGATACAACAACAACAACAACACAATCCTCCCCCAACAAACGTGCGAGATTTGATATATCCAACAATCAGCAGCAGCAACAAGAAATGATGATGATTGATGATCACCAAGAACATGAAATGCATCACCATGCCAAAAAACGACGTCCCTGGAAAGATGTGTACAGCGAACGATTAGTGGTGGAACGTAATTGGCGACAAAACAAACACACAGTACGACAATTAAGTGGACACACCGATGGCGTGATGTGTGTACAATTTTGCGAAGCAAGCAATATAGCCATCACTGGATCATTTGATAACACGATACGCGTATGGAACTTGGAGACTGGACATGAAATACGACAATTGACAGGGCATACAAGAGGCGTACGTGCATTACAATTCGACAAGTGCAAACTAGTGTCCGGGGCCATGGATAACACCTTGAAGATATGGGATTGGCATACGGGGCGTTGCATTCGGACACTTGAAGGGCATACGGCAGGCGTCCTTTCATTGCATTTCGATTGTCGATTACTCGCCAGTGGATCAGCCGATTGCACCATCCGTGTTTGGAATTTCGCAGCTGGGGAATGTTTTTCTCTCACAGGCCATACCGAATGGATCAATTCAGTGCGTATTTGTACCTATGATCAATTACTTGTCTCCGCCAGTGATGATGCTACTATTCGCATATGGAATCTTCAATCAAAAGCCTGCGTCAAGGTCCTCAATGGCCATGTCGGTCAAGTTCTTTGTGCTTTGCCCAGTACGACACGTGCATTTAGACATCGACTGGTATCCCAACAATCATGCAGCAGCGCAACCACAACGGATCACGACAATGAACCGGTTATTGTCTCTGGTGCCTTTGATAACACCATCAAGTTTTGGGATTTCACGGGCAATTGTTTACGTACTCTCTTTGGTCATCTGGAAGGCGTTTGGAGCGTGGCCTTTGACAGTTTAAGAGTCGTTTCTGGTTCACATGATCGGAGCGTACGTGTATGGGACATGGAAAGCGGTAAATGCATGTATGCTCTTAATGGTCATACCAATCCTATCACTGCAGTAGCCATGAGCGATACCAAGATTATCTCTGCATCGGATGATGGTGATGTGCGTATTTGGGATTTCGGCATGTCTCAGTAGTAGAAGGAGGTAGTAGTAGTCATAGTAGCATGATGATTGTTGTCGGCCCTTGGATCACATGTCCCATTTGCAAAACACACACACACACATTAATCACCCACCTAGCTAGTAAACACACACATACATACCCTGCAAATGTAACATTTGATTCACAATCTTATGGAACAATAATAAAGATATACCCACCCATACTTTTAGCTACTTTCTCTACTTTCCTTGTCTACCACATTTACATTGTTACATTGGGACCGGCAATGGTTGGCGGCGAGGTGCCTGATAAGTTTACCTTTTGTGGACTTTGAACCTTAACCTTAATATCAAAGCCATACCAACTCCAAAATCATGGGATTCTGTATCGTCGTACTTGTGTGATAGGCTTCAAAGGTAAAGAGAGCTCCCATGTATTGCATCCATATGCTTATGTGTGTATCTAGTGACGAGGGATAAATCATAAAAGTAGGGAAATCCATCATAAAGTAGCCTCTTTTTTCTGGAAATGACAACATGGATAAGCAGCAGCAAGCAGCATCTTGGAAGGTTTGGTAATTGAACCGACAGCATCATTCAAGCTGTCGTCACACCTATCTTGCATCAGGAACGAGGGGAAGCCGAGTATACTGGTACGTCATGGGAAGCGGAATAGAAGAAGGAGGGAAAGGCGTGACATTCCTAACAGAGCACCATTCCCTTTTCTATCATTGACCGATTTATGAGTATGTTAAACAAAGGCTTTAATTACATCGAAGAAAGTGCGATGGAATAATCTATTTACAAAAAGGGGGAAGGGGGTTGGCGTGGTGGTGGGGTATACGAAATGGTTTCATCTCTACTACATTACTTTTCCATCATCATCAGTGATGGTAGATGTAAACATATATCTATCCATGATCCTTCACTAATCAACCTCCGTAAGAGCAACAACCATGATAAAACAAATAAACAGCATGATCAATAATGCCATGGTGTAACCCGCCCATCCATGACCGACATCAATAAGCCGATGCACGATGCGGCGTTGGTTTTTAAAGTAGATAACGACCGAGATACACAAGCTGGAAAAACCGAGAGCTACCATGATAAAGGCAACAATCCTATGAGTTGCCGCGATTAGATGATGTCGATCGAGCACAAAAATGAGTGTATGCGTGTGCAACATCATTTACCTTGTCTTATAAGGTGTTGGTTCTTCGTGATTCCACGGTAATGAATTGGAGGGTGCCAAATTTTTATCTCCTCGTAGATCGATCAATGTCATGTAGCCTGGTATGATACATGCATATGCACATGTCAATAAGATACATAGGTCGTGTGGATAACATGCATGTTGAGCCGTGGGTTACCTATCAGTGCTAGTGTCATGCCAACACGAAGCCATGATAAAAAGTTGCGTTCGTTGGCAAAGTGATCGCGTGGATCGGGGCCATCCACCTTGGTATGCACTACCCAGTCCAAGTATTTGTATGTGGTACTACAATGCTTATCGTTGCAAGCGATAAATCGCTTGTCATCGTTGGATTGTGACTCGATGGCTGTCAACGAAGTGCTCATGTGTGTGTGTGTGTGTGTGTGTGTGGTTGTGTGATAGCGTGTAGGGTATATAATATGGTTTAGAAAGAGAAGAGGAGGGGATGTGTGAAAGACAAAAGAAAAAGCGCACGATCTCTTGACGCAACAACAACTGCATATTATCAACCGACGACCTTTTTATATATGTTTGGCGGCGGTGTTGTGTGTGAGTTGGCGGTTTTGCCATGTTTTTATTTTTGAGTATGTATTACAATCAGATGAGCTTATTGTACTACAACCGCAAATGTAATGGCATCCAAATAACCTTGTTGATCTGCATCATTCCCATTCCCCTTTCATCATCAGCAGGCTGTTTGCAGAGAGAAAAAACGGAAAAAGGGCGCCGGTGGGTACAAGGTGTTGCGCAATGTTACACAGGATGCTGTCATTCGCCACTGTGTTACCAATGCTCCCCAATTCCACTAGCTCACATCCACCACTGCTGAAACAAAGAGAGGAAAAACGATCGAATGAGACGCTCCAGGTATAGTAGTTGTTGCACATTTCAAATAGGGTCAAGCGGAAAGTCTCATACGTTGCCTTTTGGTATCCAAGGAGGAAATACCACCACTATGATGATGATGATGATGCTTGATCATTGTTATGCGATGCAATGCTTCCTGCAGCAGCAGCAGCTGATTCCGCATTGTCATTTGGTAACGTGGACAAGCCCAAATTCCCAAACTGTGGGTCTTCTCGACGTTGGCGCATCAACCAGCTTGTAAATGAAACGAGTTAAAACATGATCTCAATACTGTAATGTAATGCCCCTGAAGCACATGGTGATTATCCTTTGTTGATTTTACGAACAATGGGACCTGTTATGGATGTGGTTGATTTCATGCAAGATCTTCATACATTAAGCTCCACAATAAATGCCATTTATGCATGTAGTGCTGCAAACAAGATGATCTACGTTTATTGTTTTGTTCTTTTATCACCCCACTTCAATGCTCGTTAGATCTGTTTACTGCCCACCACGCGTTTACACACCTCCTCACTTTTTTTTGGGCTCCCCTTTTTTCGATTTCGTCTCCTATATGAATATGATTCTCAAGCACCTTCCTCAACCTTGTACTGGGCAACGGGAGTATCCCCTTGACATCAACATCGATATCATTGTTATCCAAACATTATGTTCATTTTTCTTACTTTCTTTCCATCCCATCCATATACTACTACAAGCAATAGCACATCTCCTTGACAACATCATCATCCATTCTCGTATCCATGGCGACCACGCATCATGAGCAAGATTTATCATCCACAGGACCATTTACTTCAAAGCCATTGATTGAACAAAGGAGAGGTAGTCTAGCACAAATGTTTCTTACAACAACGTCGTCATTGCAACAGTCGGCGGCTCAAGAGGTACGAGAAGATCCCATGGACCAAGATTGGCCACCACCACCACCTCCTCCTCCATTGGAGTCGCAATCCATTCATAATGGGAGTGCCATGCCATTCGGTCGTCGACGGTCCTCATCTTGCAACATGTTGACAACGCCATCGATAGTGGGTGGAGCAGCAAGTAAAGGGCACGGTGGTGTTGATAGGCTATTGAATGTGCATACGCTGTACAAGATCAAGCGACGTAAATTTCATTTGTTTGGGAGCCAACAACAACAGCAACAGAAGCATGATCTTCCACCCGCCGCAGCACCGATACTATCATCATCGTCTTTGTCTTCATTACCATTATTGGAGGATGTGTCTATTGCCGAGATTCGAAGAGAAGGTGTCAAGGGAATGTTACAATCCAAAATCCCTATATGCTATTTCTTGTACCACCTACTACAAGAGATCAGCAGTGAAAACTTGGTAAGATGAGATGGTGGGTTTTATTACATACCTGGAAAAAGCTGATCATATCGTTACCACTAGTTCTTTTTTACCGAGATTGAGCAATATGAATCATTCACTTACATGACATTGGTGCAACAGCTGGCGACAGCGCAACACATCTATGATACCTACCTGAGTCCCAATAGCCATTTCGAGGTCAACATTGATGAAAGGATACGTCATGCTGTGCAGCATGCTTTACAAGAGAAACAAGTTCAGGGCTGTTTTGATCCTGCCAAGCAAGCTGTTTATGCGTTACTTGAATCCAGCTTTATGCGTTTCATTGATACACCCATTTGGTATGAGATGGTCAAACAATGTGGCAAGTATACATACTACTACGACTACTTTTTATTTGATCCAAGAAGACAACAATGTGACTCATGATGTTGTAATGTGTATGTAGGCGAGGAGACGATGTGTCATAATGAAGAAACAAAGCACGCGGCTGTCAACACGTTACTAAGATACATCGAGCAACAACATGCTATGCTATACACGAACCCGCATATGGATGCTCCATTGTCAATGTGTATGCAAACAGCTAAAAAAAGACATGATTTGACCAAATCCATGGTACACGAATTTTGTCTCACGGTGGTCGGTGTTGAATTTCAATACTACAACATTTGGTCCACACGACAAGATGAACATGAAGATCATCTAGAATATCATCATCGACAAAGCTCGTCATCATCTTCCTTTATGACACCTTCCTCATCCATGTCCTCCCTTTCTTCTCATTCACGTTCAGGGTCATCTCAATTGATTCAAGCTCTCAAACGTCCACGTCAAGTCGTTGAAGCATTTGATTTCTTCGCCAAAAAGAAAAAGTAGTTCATTTTTTTTGTCATTTGTTTTTTACTTGATATGCTGAATAGACATTGTTGTTGTGCAAGGTGCATGAGTGCGTGTGTGATTGTGTGTGTGTGTGTGTGAGTGTTACTAGGAGAAGAAGAGGAATAAGAAGAACGAAGAATACGCATGCTATAGGAGAAAGATAAAGAGCATATAGAGAGAGAGACAAAGAAAAAAGAAGGGATGGGGGAGAGTGAGTGAGTGAGTGAGTAAAAAAGAACGAATTTAATGCAAAGAAAGTAATGTATCTGCAGTAGTGTGTGGTGTAGGAGATCCTTGTTGCTGTTCGGCTGATGTCGTTGGCATCCCTGCAGGTGATGTTGTGGTGGGAGCGGTGGTTGTAGTGGTAGTAGCTGTTCTTGTTGTCGGAAGAGGTGGTTGTGCATGATGATGATGATGATGGGGTTGTGGTGGTTGTGGTGTGTTGGTTGTGTTCGAAGGTGTTGTGGAAGTGGTGGCAGCAGCAGCAGCGGCTACGACGGCGGCAGCAGCAACGGCAGTGGATGGTTTTTCCACACACCACCAACGATGGCCTTCACTCCAAGCCTTGCTTTGACATTCCTTACTGCAATACTTTGCCTTACGGCACCGTCGACATTTGGCGAATTCACGAGGCTTTTGTTCCCACTTTGTACAATGGACATTGGCACATTTGCGAATACCACCTCGTGTCTCATCCTTACGACACCCATTGCGCATAATAACTCCTGCCCAGTATTGGATCGGCTTTGGATGGATTCGATGTGTGAACTTTTCCACCACTGAAAACACGTTGGTATGAAAAGCTGTGTGGAACAGGTCGCGGATGTGTGGATACTTTGACAAATAAGCCAGTAATTGGAGTGACATCAAGATATCATCTTCACGATAGAATACATTGTCCACATTCAGAGAAGTATTGGTAGATGAAGGTGGTGCAAATGTATGTTGTCGTTCCATACGGTTCCGTCGTCGTTGATCGGCTGTGATTTTGACATAAGGAAAAGTGGTACGTCGACGAAGACTATTGATATGACGATGCTGAGGATGATGAGGAGAAGAAGAAGAAGAATGATGAGATGATATGGTGTTGGTGTTATTGGTAGTTGTAGAAGTAGTAGTTGTAGTTGTTGTTGCTGTTGCGGAAAGAGGATTGGAGGAGGAGGACGAAGATGATGATGATGATGGTGTATTATGATCGGTATATGGCTTTGTTGTATCGGGTTGTTGAATAAATGGTTCTGGTTGTGGTTGTAATCCTGAATGAAATGAAAATGTGTGAGTTGTCTTATTACATAGAAACAAGGGGATATATAGGATATGATATGTGTGCGCGTGTATGTGTGTGTGGGATAGAGAGAGAGAGAGAGAGGATAAAGGAGAAGAAGGGAGATGAGTCATCATATCCAAAGTACTACTCACCTGCAGCTGCTGCTGTTGCTGTATTGTCGGATGATGTCCATGATGTGGATGATGCGTTGCCGCCACCATCACTACCACCAACGCCGCCATTGTTGTTGTTGTTGTTGTTGTTGCTGCTGCTTATACACAATGGTCGATTACTTGCAACATTGTTAGATGCCACTGCTGCTGCCGCTGCTGCCGCTGCTGCTACTGTTGCTGCAGAGATACTATCTCCTTGCTGTTGTTGCTGTTGCTGTTGCCGTTTCTCCTGGTCTTGTTGCTCACGAGATACAACCTCCAAGGCTCGCAAGAAGTTTTGCAATACGCGCAACACAATGGTCACCATCCCTGCATCGACGACTCTTGTTCGAATCTGTTCGGTACCACGTACACCAATATTGACGGTGCATTGGAAAGCAAGAGACCACTTCCATAAGCCACGAAGATCATTGGGCTGCTGCTCTGCTGAAAGGATGCGAACCAATTGCTCTAAACCACCATCCAACGACAGGATTTCCCGGATGCGAGGTGAAGTTGAAGTCAAATAAGCCAAATGAGTAAGCGAATTAATCAGCGGTAGTGTTGCTGTCGAGTCAAGAGCACGACGATCGTAGACTGCAGACGTGATGCATATTGAAGCACGGTTCTGATGAGGAAAGCTAAGATTTGGCTCTCGCATATTGAATAAAGAATAAAGAAAAAGAGAATGAAAAAAGGGAGGTTGTGTGTGTGTGTACGCTGTTAGCGTAGGAAAAAAAAAGAAAAGGGAGAGAGTGAGAGAGAGTGAGTGAGAGAGAGAGAAAGAGCGTGGGTGCGCGCGCTGTTGAGGGATGTGAGTTTGTGAGTGTGTGTGTTCTTTGTGCTGCGGAGAGACAGAGTGATGAGTGTGTATTAGTGAGCAAAGAGTGATGGGGATATATAAAAAACCAGCAGCACCAACAAGATGGAAGCGGGGTATCATCACCGCGATTGCTTTTTTGGTGCCATTTACCGGACAACTGATTCGTGTCCATGCAATCGAGATCCCTTTTGCCTAAGGGGGGTCTGCGGGATTTGTATCAATCCAATACAAGCACACTATTCAATCCAATTAAGGAATACCTACTGGCCCGTGCCTTATCTTTACACACGTTCTTCATGTAACGCAGTGTATCATCCATCCTCATAACACAGTATCACTCGTCGTAGTAATAATGAATCCTCATCACACGTATTGATTATTCTATTAAATCATCATGCATGATAGTGCATGAATGTGTATGTGTACATTGTTTTGTTTTACGATTGTTTTTCAAGAAAGTCGTCCTCCACACACAACAACAACGCCCGTGCGGTATATTATAGTTGTCATCATTTATACACAAAACATAATGATGGCATTTCTATGGCAACTAACAATGATAAATAAGATAAGGGGTCAATAACAACGGGTATCAAGTAGCAGTCGTAGGAGAGAGTGGCTTGACAACTGGGAGAAGAACGATGCTTCGGCTAACTCCCAAATGAAGAAACATGTTTTTTACCCTTTTTCTGCCACCCTTATTAAGATCTGCGTATATAGCATTACCCTTATTCATGCATTAATGATGTTGTTGATACTCACTTTTATATACCTTCTTGTGGTTTATCATGCCCATGACTGATCTATCCACAACTAGTACGCTGGACCTTTTTCATTCGTGCTATCACCCGCGTCATGAACATCATGTGGGAGTTCTTCCACGAAACTTTGCTGGTCATCAATCATACTTACATAGATCAGGTGTTGTTCATGATAATAAAGGTTTAGGGTGTCCCACTACTATCATGTAAGCTGGGTAGTCGTTTGCATGCCAACAAATGATCCGGATCATGAAAGTAAGTGTACGCTAGGTACTTATCGTGATCATCGGTCGATCAGCCAATTTCCAGTTGATTTGCACAGAGACTATTTGCTGGATGTTGCTATATACTCTCATGTTCAAGGAATAAGGCAACCGGTATATACTATTACTTCAAATGTCGCTGAGGTGTATATGGATACCTAGCACTAAGGACACGTGCTTTCATTGTTCGATTTCTTTGTCATCTGTGGTATATCATTGCTATTGTGGCGAGGGAAAAAATGGCACATGCATTGACGCTGGTGGCCCACTCTTGATTTAAAACATCATTGCTCGCCACACTACGAATCTATCGTATACGGGGTGGATCATCGATGATCTTCTTTTACGTTCAAACCATGATTTATTTACGACTTTGGTGGAATCCTATTGAGTAATCTACCAGGTAGGATCTCTTACTTTGTTGTCATTAAAGCCATATGGCAGTGTTTGCTATTATGATTGATCCAGAGGAACCATTTGTCACCAGGTGTAATACTAGGAAAGAAGGCTGCTTTTGTTGATGTGCGTTGTCAAATACGCACGCATTGTACTCCTTTTGCCTTACACCCCGCACATCATGTGGGTACCCGACTTTGTATAGTTTCTTCCTTCTGTTTTTTTATGGGGATGTGCCATATTGTTTTGGTCATTCTCTTCTTCCTTGGTATTGATATTGTCTCATGGCATCAGCTTCTTCACCCTCATCAATACGAGCAACACAGCATTTGGGTGGTCAAAAGCAGCCATCATCCATGTATTATAAACCATCTCTTGCACCGCAAATAAAACACGGCTCTTCCGCATCCTCCCCAAAAAAGATCATCACCGTTTCACCACCCAGCTCTGCAACCAACTCATTCGTTTCTCTCAGCCCACCTCAACAAAGTATCAATGAACACGACAATCGTCAACCGGAAACCCTTCCATTGAAACCAAATTGGACGCATCGCGACAGCAATAATACCAATGGACATTCAACAAGCATAGCACAATCAGGTAGTTATATAGATATGAGCGAAGCGTGATATGTGAGCTTGACGTGGTATAAAGAGATACAGGCGCAGGGATCATCATCATCGTCATCGGCTCTTGTCGGTTTCCGACCGCTTTCTCGTGCAACCAGCAACAGTGGTAGCATAGCAACCGTATCCAGTGCAAAAACGATTACTCCAGCAATGGTCAAAAAGATACATGTAAGTCTCCAAAATACTCATATGGATCAAGCGGCTTATTAAAGTAGAGTTCATACATACATGTAGTACCTTCGGGCCATGACGGTGCATCTCGCCAATGCATATCAGAAACGAGATCATGCCTTTGTTTTTGAACAGCAAAACAACCCAAGACGATTACTCACACGACCCGGCAAACCAGCAAAGAATGATGGTTACGACAACAAGTTTGATGATTATATCTTGAGAGTGCATGATACGCTTGGACCCAAAGACAAGCAGTAAGTGTGGTACTCATATACAATGGCTTTTCATTTATGGATCATAAACAAGGTATCGCGTCATTGATTTGCTGGGAAGTGGTACATTTGGACAAGTCGTCAAATGTGAACGTGTGCCAACCAAGGAGCTGGTCTCGGTCAAGGTGATCAAGAACCACAGGAATTTTCGAAACCAGAGTTATTTGGAGGTGGATACGCTGAATTGGGTAAATCCGAAAGAGAGAGAAAGGAGCATTTGTCTTTGCGTACTTATTATCCTTGTCAGCTACATAGCAGATTATCCAAGAGGGATCGCACAGAGCGCATCTTGAAGCTTCATCATTCTTTCGATCACAAGAATCATCTTTGCATCGCCTATGAGCTCTTGTCATATAGCCTTTACGACCTTCTCAAGCAAAACAAATTTCGAGGATTGCCAATGTCCATGGTACGCACCTTTACGGTTCAGCTGCTTGAGACGCTTGTTCTTCTTAAGGAGGCTATGGTGATCCATTGCGATTTGAAACCCGAGAACATACTACTCAAAAGGTGAGAAGGGATGAGATCATTGTGGGTTATTATCATTACCAACCATAAATAGCGTCGATTCTCCAGAGATCAAGGTCATTGATTATGGTTCAGCTTGTCACATGAATTCACCACGTCGCATCACGTATATACAATCGAGATTTTATCGTTCACCCGAGGTCATTCTTGGTTTACCTTTCACCTACGCTATCGATATGTGGTCCCTGGGATGTGTTGTGGCAGAGCTATTTTTGGGTGCTCCCTTGTTACCAGGTGAATCCGAATATCATCAGCTAAGGAGGATCACGGATATGCAAGGGTAAGTAGTAGTTATGGAAAGTGAGCGGCATTTATCTTATGCAATGCATCCACCACCATAGTCCACCACCAGCCTACATGTTGGATGAAGGAAGCAACACCAACAAATTTTACAACCGAACTCGGATACCAAATGAGCAAAAGTTACCGCCATCAAATTCTTCAGCTACCAACAACACGCAGCACCTTTATCGGCTGAAGCCTGATTTGCATCACATTGCAGAGCGACCAAGGACAAGTTTGACGGATCTGATATTGAATTATGATGGTTCTTCCTTTGCTGAAAGGGCGCGTAATCAAATGACAGGCCAAGCTCCAGCTAAGAAAACATTGACAACCCAAGGTAATAGGGAACATTTTCTAATAAGGTAACATTATCATGTTGACGTCTTCAAATAGAATCCCAAGAGCGTTATTCACTAGCCAATTTTCTTCAAGGACTGTTAACGATTGATCCGAAGCAGCGATGGTCACCAGAGCAGGCACTTGGCCATCCATTTGTGAAAGGCGAGCAGTTTACAGGACCTTATCTACCACCGGCGGCAGCAATTGACAAGCCTACATCAACTAAATCGCCTCAACAGCCATCCACTGTCAACGTATCGCCACCACAACCGTCATCTTCATTGGAAGCAGTCAACTCAAAATCACCATCCAAGAACGACCAAAAAGCAACGTTGCCTACACCAACGTCACCGCACATGATACCCAATTCAAGTAAAAATCAGCATCCTTCGCATAAGCAATCGGATACTACTATGCCTATCAACATTGTACGACCACGTCCCCAATCCACTACACAAATCGATCGTCTTCTAGGCAAGTCAACTGCTCCTGTTCAGCCATCTCCTTTGAGCAAGTTTCATCAAAATGCACCCACCGCTACCAAGAACAATACAATAACAGCAACAACAACAACAACAACCAATATCAACAACCCTTCAGCTGCTGCAACGTCAAATAAGGATGAGAAGAGTGGTGCAACGAATAACACGACACGACGAGTCAAGATTGCACCCATGGTCAAGATGCGTCGTGGTTCTCATGATTCTTTTTGTATGCCGGATGAGATACGTCGCACCTATTCCTCTGTCTCAACAGTGCTCAAGGGGGAAAAGAGCTTCTATAACCATGGCAACCATAGTACACCGCATCTCCAGTCGTCGTCAAGTGCACTAGGATCGGATGGTGGCGATACAACGGATATAGATGATGATCATTATCGCACGCTTTATGGTGCCAATCACTTTATTATCAACAACCAGAATAGCAGTAGTAGTTTTAGAACGTTGTCTTCTAGACATGCAGGAGAAGCTGCTGGTGGATTAAGGATGATGGGTGTACATAACAAAAAGTGATTAAAAACATTTGTGGTATCGAGGATACATATGTCAGGTGGCATGCACATGATGGAGGAAACGAGGATGAGGAATCTAAAATCTTGCTCTTTGAGGACTGTTATCAGAAGAAGGATCATTTATCATGTTGATGATGAGTGGTGCTTACGTGGTTGTGTTTGTTTTACAAGGTGTGCAAGTGACCTTGCCAATTTATGCGTTGTCCATCATCAGTATAGCGTTGCAAAGCTAACCCCATATGGCATTGTGTATAAAAGATGCTCATTGTCACCTCGTACTTAGCAATGATGTCGCTATGAAAAAACGAAGGCAAATCTTTTACATACATACCCCTTCTTCTTTTCCGTTCACAGCAAGAGGCGGGTACATAGATGGATGGGCTCAAGGGCAGGATTGAATGCATCCAGCAATTGGAATTCATTACCAACATTAGCTCATGCTACAAGTAGGTAATCAGGCGATGATGATCATCGTATACATGGATCGCTCAAGCATCAAATAGGAGGAGGGTGTAAAGCTTTCCTGTCATTGATGGCTTTCAAAGGCACAAGATTCGTTTACAATGATGAGTTGCTCTCATTAAGCTTGTGGCATATGGCACATGGACCATGTAGCCCTTCAATGTTTAAAGCATTGACAACATTTGGATTATGCGGATGTTGTGGTACACAGGGGCACGTGCACAGTAGTACATGGCGAAGCACTGGAAATAGATCAAACAAGATGACGACTGTGGAGCTAGTACATGTGTATTGACAAAACCAGGTAGATCAAGTCGACAATGGTCGTTAAAAGGGATGTTACACTAATACAAAAACATCTATAGATAATGGAGAAATTCTATTTTAGGTACAGAAGGAAGCGGCGAGAACGGGTGAATAGACGACGATCCGGTTGCTTAGTTTCAGACCACATCCTTTCCTTTCCTCTTCTCTCTTTCTTACCTGTGTGGTCTTCTCTCCCTCTCTTTGTTCTTCCCCTTTCCTCGCTATCTCCTCCAATATCGTATCCACACGTCTTTTACTGATCTCTGATGCTTGATCCCAATGCTCTCTCAATCGCAAAACCCCAAGATGCAATGACGAAACAACCTGTCAACAGAAAGGGCAGCAATGGTCATCAACAAGGCAACAATGGCATTCCTGAATTCGTAAAGAAATTGTTTTGGTACGTGCTATTGAGGACGAGTGTGGTGGGCATGATGATCGATTGACTGTGTATTGATTGTCATGTAATAAATAGCATGCTTGAAGAATGCATATACCCACACATTTTCTCTTGGAGCACAAAGGGCGATACGTTTGTTGTCAAGGATCCAAGTGAATTCGCCAAAGTGATTCTACCCAGTCATTTCAAGCACTCCAACTTTTCAAGCTTTGTGCGGCAGCTCAATAAGTATGATTTTCATAAGGTTCGCAACCCAGATGATCGACGACGCCGCATGTATGGTGACCAGGTAATGTCTTCTTTATTCATATGCTTCTTAACAACCCCAACGCTTTTTGTATTCATTTCAATGATATTCTTAGGCTTGGGAATTCCAACATCCGAATTTCAAGTACAACCGAAGAGACCTCCTGGAAGGAATCAAGGTATTAAAATAGATACATGCAAATGGGTACTCCTTGAAATCACGATGGTATTAAAACAACTTTTTAGAGGAAGGCAACTGGCAAAGCAGCAGCAGCACGTAGCACAGCAGCATCAGCGGCAGGGACTAGTACCAATGACGGGGCTGATAGTACTGGGACATCTGATTCAGGTCAATCTACGAGAAACGAGCTCAAGGCGTTGATTACCCAGTTACAGGATCAAATTCAACAATTGCAGCATACACAATCAGAAATGGCCTCGCAAATCCATGCATGTGATAGCAGATCCAATGCAGTGCTGGATGCAATCAGTCGGTGTCGCGGCAACATGGTATCCCAAGAAGGTTTAATGCGAGATATCATGCACCACGTGGCAGCCACAACAACCAATGTCGAGCAACATGGTATGATGAACAAACTTTGTTTATATACGCAATGCTAATAAGAGTGATTTTAGATACGACGCAGAATGACAACAAGAGCAATAGCAACAATGGGCTATCGGTGGATGTCCAGAAGCTTTTGGAGACGTATAACTCTGTTTCACAGGCAAATGAAGAACAAATGAATCGGATATCCAAACTTTTGGAGCAGCGGGCCGACACAAACAGCCACATTCAGTCATGGCAACCACCACCGCCCATGCCAACGCCCAATAGCAACAATCCTACCACCATGGTGACTTCAACAACAACCATGATGAATACACCCTATGCATCTCAACCTTATAATCACTTATCAACGATTCCACCTTCAATGCCATTCAAATTCACCATGGCAGCAGCGTCCTCTAGTGCATTACGGCGAAAATCCAATATCCCAGGCTGGTCAACACCTCCTCATGTGCTATTGGTGGATGATGACATGATCTTTCGTCGACTTTCCACAAAGCTTCTACAAGTAGCAGGCTGTACCATTGATGTGGCATCCGATGGTTTAGAAGCAATCACCAAACTTGGTTCACGTTCCTATGACATTGTGCTCATGGTAAACCAAAAAGATACATCCTCTTGCAATCGTATTTGAGTCTAAATGGCAACCATTAATTATTAGGATATCATGATGCCCAAATTGGATGGCATTTCAGCTACACGAAACATTCGCCAATACGACACATGGACGCCCATCATTTCCATGACATCGAATACCACGGATCGTGATGTGCAAGAGTACATTCTAAGCGGCATGACAGACGTATTACCTAAGCCTTTGGACAGCGGGACATTACGCAAGTTATTGGAACGTTATTGTGCTCATCTTAAAGCCGTGAGACAAGGTTACTTGAACAACGCCATTGATGCTGCTATGACGCCCAAGATTACCGAAGCCGTGGATGAGAGAGAAAACAATAAGCGTAAAGAGCCAACCGTCAGCTCCACACCAGCATCAGCCATCATGCATCATCAGCATCAACATCAACAACAACCTTCATTCCAACGACAACTTGACAACATGATGACCAATCCTCCTGTCATTATATCCACCACATCTTTTATGAACGCTATGCAACAACAACAACATCTTCATCATCAACCCCACATGCATCATCCATCATCCTCAGTAGTAGCCGAACCACAAGATAATCGATGGGAAGCTTATGTCAATACGAGCCCTCATGAAGGGGAACAGCCATGGAAAAAACAAAAACTCTCTGCATCCAATACTGTATCTGAATAGCAGAAGAAATGATCTTTGTATGTTGAGTCCAAGAATAAAAGCAGACTAAAATACCTGTCGCAATATAAAGATTCGAGGAAATGCACTCATGCTACCTTCCAATACATAATGAAAACATGCAAGAACCATTACTAAAACACCTCCTCTTCTTTATTTCTCTCCTCAAACGCTTTCGTGCATGCTCAGGACCGCTGTTTACCACTCGGTGCTGTGCGCTTTTTTGTTCGTTTTTAATCCAGACGTCAGTTGCCGAACCCAGTTCAGTAGATGACAGCGTTAATTTATAGGTTATTCTTTTGCCATTGTCACCCACGTATACTAAAGTTAGTGTGCATATAGTGATAGCATCCATCAACGGCACCCATGGCAGCCCCCATAAGATAATCGATAATAGTACCAGTATGAGCATCTATCACGGCATCAATAAAAGCGTCTATTACGGCATCAATATGAGCATTTATTACGGCATCAATAAGAGGGTCCATCACAGCCTCTCTAACAGCACCTATAACAGCACCTATCACGGCACCCATAACAGCACCCATAACAGTACCGGTAGCACCATCACAACGGGATGCATGGCAACACCAGAACGGTATCCATGGCAACATCAGAACGGTATCCATAAGAGCACCTACCACTGCACACAACCCGCTATCTACAACAGCACCTATGAAAGCATCTATAACAGCATCTATGACGGCACCCATACGGCACCCATAAGATCAGCCATAACGGCGTCACAACCGCACTCATAAGAGCACCGACAACGGCGTCGCAAAGCATCTTTGTCTGCACCTGTAACAGCATCTTCAACAGTACCCCTGACGGCATCCATGACAGCATCCATGAGGGCATCCATGGGCATCCATGAGGGCATCCATGGCAGCATCCATGGCAGCATCCATGGCAGCATCCACGAGGGCATCCATGGGCATCCATGAGGGCATCCATGGGCATCCATGAGGGCATCCATGGGCATCCATGGCAGGGCATCCATGACAGCATCCACGAGGGCATCCATGAGGGCATTCATGACAGCATCCACAACGGCATCCATGACAGCATCCACGAGGGCATCCATGGGCATCCATGACAGCATCCACGAGGGCATCCATGACAGCATCCACGAGGGTATCCATGGGCATTCATGAGGGCATCCATGGGCATCCATGGCAGGGCATCCACGACAGCATCCACGAGGGCATCCATAACAGCACCCATAACAACGGCATTCATGACAGCATCCACGAGGGCATCCATGACAGCATCCACGAGGGCATCCATGACAGCATCCACGAGGGCATCCATGGGCATCCATGGCAGGGCATCCACGACACCCAGGAGAGCACCCAGGAGAGCACGCATAGCAGCACCTACAACAGCATCCATCAGGGCATCCTTATCCATCACCTTAGAGTATCATACTGGTTCTTCTTTCAGCATCCTTTTACAAAGCCAGTTTCCACTTACGTGTTCGACGATGATGGTCTTCACTGAAAACAATAGTCGATAATGGACACATGAACTTGTTATGGCCTTGGAGTTGCTCTTCATCAACTTGCCTAATTCAAGGGTACCATCATAGCGACGACACAATATGTTAACAAAGTTGCATGGACGCATTTCGACAAGGGCCAAAGTGTTGGCAAAGTCCAAACAGCGGTTGCTGATCATCTTGAACCTTCAACAGACTTTTGTTCAAGCATCACTTCGCCCTTTCCACTGCCTTTCATTATGAGGCTATCTGATGGTGTCATTGTTGTTTCACGCGTACTGCTGGCTATTGGTTTTACCCGACGCTCAAGCAATATACGGGAGGTGGCAATCGTTTTTTGGCTGATGAGGTAGGTTTGGATTATGAGCTATGCGGGTTGTGTTTCTTCGGAGCGGACATAGGTTGGTGTCAAGCAATGTGAATGTAACGTCTATGGCAAGAGCTCTTGGAGTTGAGATATTTGTGGATGGTGCGTATTGCCATCTAGCTAGAGGTATTAGTGTAGCTTGTGGTCTATCAAATAAAAGAATATCAGCATAATCGTGAAGATGATAACGGTACAACTTGTGGTGAAGATAGCGTGTTGTATTCTTGACATGGATACCGTGAATGCTGTTGTGGATGCTAGGCTTTGTAAACAATCTTTGATGATAAGTACCCGTTTTATGCTATCATGGACTCGCATGAAAGCGGTTTCTGCTCCATGTGGCAAGTGCAGTTTTACAATGGCATACGTGATGGAAACATGGGCATGACGATATCTGGCCGCTTACATTGCATATTGATGACGCTTGGATGTCGCGATTCATACATGGACATCATCACACCACCGCTCTTGATACATTATACTTCATAGTGTGGACCCCATCATTGTGTTCACATCTTTCCTTTATTTCGAGAGCCGAATAAATGAAACAACCAAAAAACGAATAAAAAAAAATGAAGTTGTGAACTATCTAAACTCTATCATCTTTTCTCTCGAGAGCTCGCACTGGTACACAACCGTCGGGTATCATTCTTTTCGCATGTCTCATGATCAACAAGAAACACCTCCTGCTTGGGCCATGGCCCTTATTGAAAGGCTTCAGGCGTTGGAGTCTCAACAACAACAACATCAACAACAACAACCTGGCTCAATGGCAGACGAATCCATGGATGACCAAATCAATGATCCTTTCATATCCACTCGTTCACCCGAAACGGATCTTCATCTATATCCAGAGTTCAAAGCTGCCTTACCAGGTGTTGACCAAGACTTTTTTCGCCGTCCATTACCAGAAGCAGAACGCAGGCGCTTTTTGGCCGATTGTCCACGCAACTTGGCACGAGAATACATGCCTCCGATTCTCAACGATATTCCGGTTAGCCGAGACACCAAACGCGTTGACAGCCAATTGGCTGATATCCAATTCCGTCTTTCGGGAATCACACGGCCTTTGGATTTATTCCTGCATCGGACTCTTCAACAGGGTCCCCCATCACGTGAAGCTGTCATTGAGTTTGTCAACGTCGTACATGAATTGTTGGTTGACACGGCCTCTCACATCAGCCAACAACGGATCAACAACATGTATCGACACACTCAAGGCAAAGGTCAAGCACCCCGTGTGGCACCCACGTCTTCTCCCACTCCTTTATTGGACCCCAAAACTTTGGTGGATCATGTTTCATTGGCTAAAGCAGTCTACCAAGCCGGTAACCGTAATGGACGTAGGTTCAAGGGAAAGGCGTATTCCCTTCAACATTCGCGCTCAGACGACCAACAACAACATTTGTCCAACACAAATGCTACCAGCGAACGCAAGCAGGATTTTCAGCAACGTTCCCGCAATCGAGACCACAAAGGGAAAAATCGGGATTCAAGCCAACAATAGGTGGCAGTCTACAACACTTCGCTGCTGCTTGGCTACATCTCACCAACGACACTTGGCTCCAAGACGTTATCCAACTTGGTTTCAAGATTCCCTTTACAAGACCTCCTCCTCTTACCTCGCAAGTGGTTCAACCCACCTTTTCGCTTCAAGAACAACGTTTCATCGATATGGAAATTCAAGCTCTTCTCAACAAGAATGCTATCGAATTTGTTCCAAGAGATTCTATTGGCTTTCGTTCCCGGCTCTTTACCATTCCCAAGAAGACCGGAGATCGGAGACCAGTACTCAACCTCAAACCTCTCAACCAATTTGTGCAACACCGCCACTTCAAGATGGAAACAATGAAGCAAGTGTGCACGTTGATTCGACAAGGCGATTACCTTACAAGTATCGACCTCACAGATGCATTTCTACACGTCCTCATTCATCCATCTTCTCGTCGCTATCTCCAATTCGTATGGAAAAATCAACTCCTCCAATGGCGCACTCTTCCATTCGGGTTGGCTTTAAGCCCATACGTATTCACCAAGGTGCTTCGTCCAGTTCTTCGTTGGGCACGTCGCAAGGGTATTCGGATCACCGCTTACCTAGACGATTTGTTGATCATCGCCAAGGACTACACCACTTCTCAGCTTCACACTCAAATGGTCCAACACAAGCTTCTCGACTTGGGTTTCAACATCAAGATGTCAAAGTCTTCTCTAATTCCATCTCAGCAGCTGGAACATCTGGGGTTTCTCATCGACACACAAATGATGCAACTTCAGGTTCCGGTTGCCAAGATTCGGGATTTACGTCGAGAAGCTTCTCGTCTTTTGAACAAGACCACATGTCCCATCAAGCAAATAGCATCCTTCATTGGCAAGGCACAAAGTCTTTTGATGGCGGTATTTCCAGCACGGCTCAAGACTCGACACCTATTGGCGTTGAAAAATCGTACCATTCGTCACCTCAAGGCATGGGACAAGGTAGTGGAGCTTCCTCTTCAAGCAAGGCAGGAACTGGAATGGTGGCGCGACAACCTGAGGACATGGAATGGGAAAAGCTTTCTTCCACAACTTCCGGAAGCGGAACTTTACACAGATGCTTCCGATCTTGGTTGGGGCATTGTGTCACAAAACCGCACGTGGCAAGGACAATGGAACATCAAGGACCAACAGCAGCACATCAATTGGAAGGAATTGATGGTCATATGGAAAGCGATTCATCTTCCCAATTTTCAAGGCAAGTGCCTTCAGATTTATTGCGACAATATGACGACGATTGCATACGTGAACAAATTTGGGGGCACTCGTTCACCGCTTTTGATGGATTTAGCCAACGACATTTGGAATTATTGTCTCACGACCAACACACGTCTACAACTTCGCTACATCCCATCAGCCTTCAATCCAGCGGACTCACCATCTCGACGTCTACAGCATCAAATCGAATGGAAGATTGCTCCTCAATTTTTCCAACATTTGAACCAGCTTTGGGGACCTCATCACGTGGATCTATTTGCCTCTCACCTCAATCATCAACTTCCCAAGTATGTGAGTTGGAAATGGGATCCCTCAGCCATGGCAACGGATGCGATGAATCTGGATTGGAGCAACCTAGGTCGGCTCTACATTTGTCCTCCGTGGAATCTTCTTCCTCTGATCATACAACGGCTTCAGGATCTACACCTACCAGCAACCTTAATCACACCATGGTGGCCGTCAGCAATATGGTTCCCCACACTTCAAGCAATAACAACACGTCGTCCTCTCAAGATTCCTCGCTCAGCAGTGGTGTCACCACCAGGTCTAGAAGCAAACGTCTTGCACAAGAATCCTCATTGGAGTTTGACGGCTTGGCACGTAAACGGCAACGCTTAACCGATATGGGAGCTTCTTCAGCAGCTCAACGTATTATCATGAACCCGGTGTCTATCAAGCGTCACAAGAAGTATTCTTTCGTTCAAAAACGTTTTATCCAATGGTGCGAACAACAAGACCTTGACCCCTTTCAACCTTCAACAAGCAACCTCATCAACTTTTTGGCGGCCGGTCATCAAGAACGTCAATGGCAACCTAATACCATTTTGTCGTATCGCACGGCACTTTTACAGCTTTTTGATGACCCATCCATTGTTACTCGCGATCCTATTTACCTGGCATTTTGCCAAGGTGTGAACGAACAAGTCATCAAGTCAGCTCAGCACACTCAAGTCAACATTGATCCCGTTTTACAACACTTTCACCAGCTGGGCTCTAATATGGATATGCCAATGATCGATCTCACAGCCAAACTTTGTTGGCTACTAGGCATTTGTGGTTTCCTTCGCCCGGCTGATATTGAACGTATCGATCTTGATCTCTGTTCATTTTCCGAATCATCTACCACTATCACTTTGCAAATCAAGGGCCCAAAGGAACGACGTCATGGATCTCGAATCACACGTTCGGTTGTCATCAACCAACATCCATCACCTCTTCTTTGTCCTGTTCGCGCTTTTCACGCCTATCATCAACGCATGGCTCATATCCCTTGTCGCCGGACCCATCCTGTGATCCCTGGTGCTACTCTCAATGCTCTCATTCGGCGTCACAACAATCCTCATCACGCCATTACCGCACAACGCATTGGCAAGCACATACGCAAGGTCATGGATCTTCTCCCTCAATCGACCAATGTCAAGGCTCGAGCTTTGGGTGCCACAAGAGCTCTTCAAGCAGGTGCTACGGTGGATGATGTCATTTGTCATGGTGGATGGTCTTCACGGGAGATCTTCGAAACCTTCTATCGCATCAACAAGGAGACACACTCTCAAGTTTCGGATTTGGCTTTGGGTTCTTCGTCCACTGAGGTGTCCGATTCTCTGGAGTCACAATGATGGGGTCCACACTATGAAGTATAATGTGTTTTTGACCGAGGCCTTTGGCCGAAGGTCTATCAACATTATACGATTAGTAGTGGACCCCATCATTGTCCACCCACCCACCCTACATTTCTCGCTCTCTCGTTTTCGATGATAGAGTTTAGATAGTTCACAACTTCATTTTTTTTTATTCGTTTTTGGTTGTTTCATTTATTCGGCTCTCGAAATAAAGGAAAGATGTGAACACAATGATGGGGTCCACTACTAATCGTATAATGTTGATAGACCTTCGGCCAAAGGCCTCGGTCAAAAACACAATATTTTATCACATTCCCCTCTTTTGTGAGCGCGGAAATTCACACGCCCACCATACACGATGTACAAATACAAGGGTGGTTTCACGTACCATTTTCCTTCACACATCCCTTCCTTTTATCATACCTCTTGATGGCTTACATTGTCAAAATCCCATATCCATGTAAGTAGTGTGGCAGTTTTGTAGTCTTTTTAAAGCTGCTTGGACTAGAGCTAATCTTTTGAGGTGATTCGTAGCATTTCATTGTTATCCTTCTTTCATTGTCGTGGTCTCATTATGATACGTTTGATTCTTTTACTGAGGTAAAGCCTAATCATCTTGCTAAAGCGTTTGATGAATCACACGCTCATTCATACACTTTCGATGTAGCTAGCTAGCTCCTGTGATGCCTTTTACGCACCAAGATTGGCGGGTGACATGGCGTCCCACCTGAGACTGGAATCTGCGCCATGGAATCACCCATTTTTATCGCTGGCGGAAGCCCCCAAATGGTATCCGTGAAAACCAAACATCAAAATGTAACGTCGCTTAAGATTCCTTGGTGTTTCTTACACACCAAAACCTCGAGCATACGAGAATCTGAGCTGGTAACGAAATACTTGCAACCCGTGCTTGCCCCGCTGTTCGATGATTTGGACAACAATGTCATGCTTCGCTGTAAGTAAAAAGCTAGTTGCATTTCATAGGTGTTCACAAATGTGGTTTTATGTATAATTTAGGGTATCGCAAACAACACGACGACACCATTAATAGAAGCTCGTGCCGATGCAACAGTATCAAAGATTGATGGCGCATGTGTGGGTGTGACTTTGGGGTATGAGGAAGTGAAGGCCGAGTACCAGGCCTTAAAACACAACTTGGTACAGAACGACCTGATTCGTTTACGGCATTTCTCCAAAAACGGCCTCGATCAGTATCAGCTAAAGTATGGAATGGCATACTTGGCTGTAGGTAACCAATGTTACCTTTTACCTTTAATGAAACGTCTCCTCCTACGACCAGCCACTGCAGCCACTTACACCTTATTTTTATCCCTATGCTTATATTCCCTCTTATCTAATATACCTCTATGTTCATTACGTCTCTATTTTTATGTCCCCTATGTTATACGTATTATCATTACGCCTAGCTCTCTCATGTATTATATATCATCTCTATGTTACATTTTATGCTACCCTACCCTGCACTTAAAACTCAAATTCACATAAAAGTATATGTACAACATAGCTATCGTATGAAGGCTTAAGAGTGCTCACGGGACAAAATCCATTTCTTTATTGCCCTTGACTTATTTGAGGTATACGCGATGTGGCGATGCTGCAGCAAACACTGCAGCCCCAGCCAATGCATTGAATGTGGCTTCCCCCCAAACACAAAGAACATACAAAGACAAGCAATTACGATTACACGGAATGGATCATTTCAACTTTATGACCTTGTGGGGTGACCTTTTTGATCCATACATGAGGAAAGGTGATTTGCAAGTTCTTTTCTTTGTGTACGGGAAGGAACCGAGACAAATGCAAATGTCGATCCCAGCTTGTGACACAAACATTTCCGATCAGCAACGAGATGAGATATATGTATGTACATGTGTAGTTGGTCTAGCTATTTGTGTTGCCATTGATGATGATGTACGCATGGGTCGGATAAGTATACCCTGGTACTCGGTCCCTGGTTCCTGTAAGAGCGCTTTTGTGTTGCATTACAAGGGGGGCCATGTCGATAGCTTCGATTGGGATTTTGACATCCGACCCGAAAGAGAGAGAGACGATGCGGGGGATGAAGAAGGGATGAGACCAATGTTACTAATATCCTTTGCCACCACCATGACATGCTTCTTTTCTTCCCTGCATGAGGTCATCCACGAATTGAGATAGAGAGAAAGCGTGAGATAAGAGAAGAGGCATTTATTCCATATATACAGCTATGTGAATTAAACAAGAGGAGAAATGCATCTGGTGTTGAGGATTGTGTCACAGAGGAAAATGATCCTTGGCACAAATGGCTCTCACTCAAAATAGTTTGGCGTGTGTGTACACCTCTTTAGCGTCTCGACATTCATTCAAAAAAGACCATCCCTCACCATTCCTTCTTTATTCACCGCTCTTTTTATCCCCTATTTCATCTTTCACCATTCCATCCGCGTATTTAACATATGCACACTTCACAACGCCACCATGGTGCCGAGTACATAGAACTCTCAGCAGGAACAGCCGATCATCATCATCATCATCATCATAGCACAGACCTTGACGACGTCGACGATCCACCTGATGACCCCAGCAGTATTGAACGGCAAGCAATGCTCTCGCCAACAAAACGACGCTATTCCGATGTCGAATCGCAACCACTCGCTTCCATGAGCGACTCACGTAGACTCTCCTCATCATCAACGCCATTCCTTGTCGACAGCGATCCCGTTATCAACAACGATAAGGATAGTATCATGGAGACCGGCTATACTTCAATCATGGCACGAGAGGTACGCAAAAGTCAAATTTCCTATCCCTTTCACGCTCTCTCTCCCCTTCCTTCTTACTCTCACTCTCCCTCTCCTTAACATGTCATCATCACCTCTACTACTGCTTGTTGCCTTCTTGGAAGCGTCTCCCTATTCATATACCATCGTCATCCTTTTATATATACTCTCTTGCAACTTTTCTATTCTTTCATATCCCTTTTTCACCCTTTTGCATGAGGATTGTTCTTTTCCTTGATGTCCTTTACAGGGCCCTGTCCTTTTATTCCTACTTTGATACATTGATTGGCACATCCAAATCATGGTTACACGAATATCTGACTTTTCCTATGCAGGCTCTTCCTTCACTCATCATATCGGTCATTGGTCTCATTGTTGCTGGTGTGCTCATGGACAAATTTCAGGTACCAAACAAAAAGTGGATACGTTTGTATGGTTGTCTAATCCATGTCGATGAAGGGATGGGATGTGTTTACAAAGACCCCAGAGTTGTTCATCTTGGTACCCATTCTATTGAATCTCAAGGGCAATTTGGAAATGAATCTAGCTGCTCGATTTTCCACAGCGGTACGTAATGTGTATTGTGCTCTTGTGTATGTGGGACAATGACTGATGCATGAAAAATGACAGGCCAATTTGGGAGAGCTTGATCATGGACCCACACGGCGTTCACTGGTTATTGGCAATTTAGCCTTATTACAAGTACAAGCTTTGGTATCGGGTGCTATCGCTGGCCTTGCCTCTTTTGCTCTTGGGTTGGTAACCAAACCAGGTGGAAATGCCAGCACCTACTTTGAATGCATGTACATGACATCAAGTGCCATGATTTCTGCTGCCGCTTCAAGTGCCATCCTAGGCGTGTTCATGTGTGGTCTTATTATCCTTTGTCGTCATTTGCGTGTGAATCCAGGTAAAAAGTTGTGCGAGGGTTTCCTTTTTCCTCTTTCGGTGTGGCGAACTCACACGCCTTTGCTCTCTCTCAAATATTTAGATAATATTGCTTGTCCAATGGCTTCATCCACTGGGGATATTGTGACACTAGTACTCTTGGCTGGATGTGCTGTAGGATTACAAGGGAAAATGCGTACGTGTTGTGTGTGTGCTATAGAGGGTGAATGACCATTGGATGCTGATACCAACGTTTATAGATTCACTATTGAGCACGTTCCTGTTCCTTGCCATGGTCGCATTACTACCTCTCTTTGGGATCATTGTATGGAAGAACGTACATGTCAAGGAACTTTTATTCGGTGGTTGGACCCCCATTCTTGTGGCCATGGTGATTTCCAGGTAAGCCAACAAGATTGTAAAAAGATCAAGTGGACTCACGTGGTGGGGATTTGCAAATTAGCTTGGCCGGCGTGGTTCTGGAAAAGTACGTTGAAGAGTACAAAGGCGTGGCGTTATTGACTCCAGTCTTGATCGGATTAGCGGGCAATCTCGGCTCCATTTACGCCTCCCGTATCAGCACTTGCTTGCACTGCGAGACAAAAGAGGATTACAAGCTGGTCGAATTTACACTATTGATCATGAACATTCCTGTTCAAGTGGTTTTCCTTATCATTATTTGGGCCTTTCACATGGGTCAGCTCAACTATAACTTTTGGTTTTGCTTGGCATATTTTTGCGTCAGCATGATTTGTGTAAGTATGCTTCCCTCCTCCTCCTCATCCTACACGGAAAAAAGTATCTCACCTTATATATTCTGTCAGACATGGATAAGTCTCAAATCGGGCAAGATCATGACGCTAGCCTTTTGGAAAAGAGGTTTCGATCCAGATACCTACGTGCTTCCTTATCTGTAAGTATGGTTGGGGGGAAGATGATAGATGGCTTTGGTGTATCGGGCATTGGGGCGATGTCATGGTGATTTGGCCTTATCAAAGTACACAATCATTGACCCAACATGGTTTTCCTTTCTATAGAACGGCTGGTATTGATGTTGTTGGAACGGGGCTCTTGGTACTAGCATTTGCATTTCTTACGGTCTCTGGTGCCAACGATATGAGCCAACAAGTGGCTGGTCAATCCCAATGAGACAACAATTATTGCATCCAGGATACATAGACATATCCAATATACCATTATTCTTTTTCAAACATCTACACACGCATATCCTGAAGGAGGATCCATAGCCTTTCACCATCATCATTGCTATGTAATAACTGAGATAGCCCTTTTCTAAACACGCCACAATTTTGTATAGTCCTCGATTGTATTTCAGCTGATATCGGTCTTTGTATACACACTCATCCCGCGATTCCATGCATTAAACGCGTTTAATTACTAATGTCAAAGATGCATGATGCACTATCGTTGTTAGTAGTAAGATTACATCATAGCTGTGAACGAAGACGTATGCAACTTTAAGGGGGGAAGGAGTAATGTCTGTGTTACTAGGACAATGGGATGATAAGTCTGCATCTCTTGTTTGAGAGTACACAGCAGGATAAACAAGCCGCAGCATGATGTATAAACATTGCATGTGATATTCCTTTATGTTTTGAGTGTGCTCTTCATCCTTTTATTGTTTTTTTCAGTATAGGTAGGTGAGCATGATTTGAACGTGAAAAATGCAGAATCGTCTTCACATGGCTGAATGGCTGGGGGTCGTGCACACAAGGATACCCGAAAACTAGTTTTTTTCCAATCCTTCATGCTGGTCAATGCTTGAGATCTGCTTGAATCGTTTCACAAAGCATGTGAAAATTGAACACAAGCGTCCAAAATGTGTCCATTTCAGGGAATCTTATTGGGGAGTTTCGATGGACCACCCTTCATTACAGCCAGCTTTATCCTCTTTTTTCTCCCTGTAAACCTTCAATATTGGATATACAGCATCTTGTGGTGACACCGGCACATGGTCCCGACAAGCTGGTGAAATGTGATTTGGGGGTGAGATTTGGGGGGAAAGGAGTGATGAGGAAGGAAAAGATAATGGACATTGTTCATTCACAAAAAGAGAGGGATGGTGTTGATGTGAGATATGAGCATGTTTTTGCTCTTTGTTTGTAATGTATATATGGGTGGTGAATGCCTGATATGGTGAACGCGCCTATACCTCCGGTGAATGGTTGCCGGGTTCCGTTAAAACTGACCATCACTATACATAACATTGTTGCACTCTCACGCTATATACAAGGTCCCCCACTTGTGATTCCTCTCTTTTCCTTCTCTTTCTCTTGTCTTTATTCCCTCCCACCGCTTCTTCACTTTGAAACACGCAAAACTCGACACGCCTTCTTTTACTCCTTCTTGATCAAATCGTGCTTTATCAATATGGCGATCAACCAAACCACACAACATGAAAATGGTAAGGTTTATTTCAGCCGATAAGCGTGTTGGGGACAAGCTGGGATGGTGATGATGGTTGTTGGGGGAATGTTATCGAGACACACGTACACACATGATTGACAACTTGAGTAATGATGATGATACATAGGACATCATGAGGGACATGTCAAGTACAGTGAAGCCACGAATGGACATCTTATCGAGAACGGGCAACAGCAAGATGCTAATGGACAACAACAGCAGCGTGCTACTAGCAATGGTCAAGCTTCGGGTTTCATCACTCGAGTAACATCCTACCCAATTGTTGTTGATGGTGTATCAACCGTGAAAGCATATGCCGAGCGCTCACCAGCAGCAACCTATGCACTATCGAAAGCGTCAGCCACCCTGAATAGTGTCAACAGCTATCGACCACGCTATGTTCAAAGCTATTATGAAACGTATATTCAGCCTCACGTTGAACGTGCTGATGAGCTTGGTTGCAAGTCGTTGGATCTGATTCAAAACCGTTTTCCTGTTGTTACGCAGCCTACAGCCAATGTGGTGGATGCCGTGTACCCCAACCGCCTTATCAGCTCGATCCGCAGTACCAGCACTGCTCCTGTTAACGTTGTTCATCGTCGTATTACCACTGTTCTCGATTCGTTGGAGGATACACTCGATAAGTATCTTCCACCACCATCATCAACAGCAGGTGATGAAAAGACAAGAAATGGTGAAAAGGCGAAAACAACCGAAGTGGCACGTGTCTATGGTCTGGTGAATGCTTTCTCAACCCGTGTACGTGTCAAGCTTGCTGAGCAAGCACCTCTTCAATCCGCTGTTGCTCGCTTGCAATTTGTTCAAGAGACGCTGCGTCATTCCATTACCGTTTACTCGCAAGCTATTCAACAACGTTTGCCTGAAGCTGTTACAGCTCGCTTCCATCAGTTGCATACCGTGCTCACGGCCGAGTTATCGCATCTTGCTGCAAAGCTCGAGCTTCCACCCACTATCAAGGAACGTTTGCGTACACTCGCTAATTCCGCTTCAGAGCAATATGAATTTGTCAAGGTGCAATACGCTCGTCGTGATCTATCTTCATATGACAAAGTCAAAAGCATCACCAACCATCTCCAAAACCAGCTGTTGCCTCTTTTGAAAAACATCGAGTCCCAAATCAAGCAATACACTGAGCTCGTGCGTGATAAGGCCAAGCAAGATCTCCACTTGCGTCGTTAAAAAAGCCCAAACAATCAACCATTAGGCTGTTGTTACCCCTTCACTTATTTCCAGCATATCCGATATCATTCTTATCCATTCTTTTTATCCACCACAACCACCACCACCCCTATCTCTTTCTCCCCCTCCACCCTTTGCTTGATTATCACTATCATTCTTTTTCTTTTTCCACACACACACACAGACAAAGGCTGCCCTTTCTTGTCCTTCCATGGATAATAAACACGGAATTGCACACTATAGCTCCTTTTCTTTGTTGGTGTACGCATGCATGTGTCATTCATTGTGTAGCCCTTCTTTTTTCCTTCCTCTATTGCTGATCTTTATCGGATGATGATGATGATGGTGATGATGATGATGGTAATGGGGATGATGAAGATGAAGAAGAATCGGATGATTGGGGAGGAGTATCTACTACCACGTGGAAAGCACCATTCTTGCCTTGTTCATCCACAACCATACGTCGTCGTTGTTCACCACGAGAGTTGGTTTCCTTGACAATCAAATGCAATCGTTCCAGCTTTTGTCGTCGGTCCATGTGACACAATTCAAATGCAATGGCTGATACGCCACAAAAGGCTGCTACTGCCCAGTTGGCTGCACTCGGTACAGAGCCTAATAAAGTGTATGTGTTATACTATACCCCTTCACTTATACCACCTTGTAGAGAGAGCACTTACGCTTGACGATATATCGCACACCGCCTATACCAAAACCAGCACCTGTACATATAGAAAGCAACCCGTTAGCACGCTGAAGCTATCGTATATAGCTATAAGCAACATACCCATGCCATAAAGGAACGCATTACGGGCACAAGGAATCTTGCCGACATTAGAAAAGTCTTCCACTTTGATGGTCTATTGTTGTTGTTGTTGTTGGTGTCGTGTGGTTCGATGTGAGTCCACGTTGTGGAATGTCTGTCGAGGAATGAGGGTAGAATGGGATCGGCTGTTTACCTTTAACGCGTCTGAAAAAGTGGGCTGATTCGTATTGATGGTAGTGGAGGTGGTAGTGGTGGTGGTATTGTTGTTGTCCATGGTAGGAAGGTGCGTGGTGGTGGTATGTCATCCATCGGAAAAGCCGGCACCAGTTTTGTTTTTAGCATGCTGACTTTTGATTTGTGGTAGACCCATTCACCCTTCAATGCATAGGTGATTGGTATTTCATCATGATACGCAATAGCACGAGGTGTTGTGGTTGCCTGGATACATAAGCATACACAAAGAATAAAACAAATCATTGTTCACTTTGACCGAGAGAGAAAGAATGCCATGGTCACTTGACATTGCCCAGTACGGTAAACAGGTCATTAATGTACAGCCACTCCTCGTCCTCGTCGCCCATCATCACATCACATCTTTGTATCATCATGTGAGCATGGAAACAAACCCTTTTCGTGCATTGCTATTTGTCTACACAACAACGAATGAGATACACTTTGGAATGCATCTTTGTTGTAAACCCAAAAGATGATGATGATGACCACTGTATTGGATCTATGTTGCACGCCCGTTGCATTGTTTGTACTGCAATTAATTTTCTTGGGTGATAGCGGGGAAAGAGCCGAACTCATCCGTGCATTCGTAAGCAAAATTTACCATGTGAATGAAAAAGAGTGGCGTCTTTTTTTGCAACGTTGGGGATTTGATTTGTTCCCGTGTTGTAAAACAGAGAAAGACAAGCTGCACAATGATGCATTAGATCGGCACAAGAGTGTGATGCAAAGCTACCTGTCGAGGTCTGTGAGCAAAAGTGCCACGCTCTCACCTCTCTATTTCCTTTTCGCTGTGGCCAGGGTACCCTTTTCTTCTGGGGTCAGCAGGTATATGTAATCTACATGCTTTGTTAAAAATGCACGGATCAAGCAAGGCACATTGAACGTCAAGTGAGCCAAGCGTTTTAATGACGATAATGGATGAGGTGATGGATGGGGGTGATTTTACCGAATACGGCCATGCCGGAGCAGAAAGTGCAACTAACTCACCACACCATTGACAACACAAGAAACGGGCCGTGCTTCTCTGTTTCAGGAACAAAAGGAACACAAATCTTCCCGGATTCTTTCTTCTTCCTCTTTCTTTGCTTCTTTTTTCTCGGCATTTACTCAATGGCCTCCACCACTACTACCGAAAACCCTGTTCTTGGCACTGGTGTCAATGATAACAATATGGCTTTTACTTGTTCAACGACTTCTTCCACGCCAACATGGCCAACATTGACCGAGCAAATCTATACCAACACCAACACCACCACCAACATGGATCCTGCCTCCTTTTTGGATCATTCTCATCATCACCATCATCATCATCATCAACATCATCAACCTACTTTCCCTCAAATGGTGGCCCCATTGACGCCCGATATGCATTTGATGGCAATGCCCCCTTCCTCTCCTTCAAAATCATGCCCTCAAGTGATGGATACTGCTGGTTGCTGTGCATTCGGCACTCCTTACGATGCACCCACTTTTGCAATGGATCCTCAAGCACCTCCAGGCTATAAGTCAGAGATGATGCTGCCACCAACTCCTGAGGTATGTATTTTTGTGCTTGTGTGTGTGTATAAACAATATCCTCATTTGTGTGGATGTAACCTACTATGAGTCATCGAAAGAGACTTGTACTCGTAGTAGAGTGTGCGCGTGTGTGTGTATACGTATGATGATGTCTGATGTTTTTTCTTCTTTTTTACTCTTTAAGGTTTCTACTGTGAGCATGAGCCCTCCCGATGGTGTTACAATGTTATCTGAGCACCACCATCATTCAACAGCTTATGTCTTTGGCAGCAGCAACAATGGCACCGATCATATGATCCAACATGAATCAGCACCAACCCCCGTCAACATGATGCACCATCACCCTTATTTCGATAACAGCAACAATGATCTATTTTCATCATCGTGGAGTAGCCCTACCACCAGCTCGGAGGAGGAGAGTGGTATAGCAACAACAGCAGCCACTGTTGATTGTTTACAACATCCAACCACTATGACTCGGGATCAGCTGATCGGACGTGTACTCGAATTAGAGCATGAGCGTCGTCAATATTTCACGCCACGTAAGTGTACCACCTACCAAAAGTTTGGGGATCTACGCATACGTACACAATGTGATGCTGACACTTTTTGGCTATGTATTAATAGTGTTGTTGGATATGCCTGATTCATCCTCTGCACCTGCAACAGCCATCAACAAACCAACCACCCTTTCTTCTTCCCGGGATACCGAAAGATACTTTTGCCATTGGGGGGAATGCAACGTCCAAACAGGACAACTTGCCGAGTTAATTCAACACATCCGACACGTGCATGTTGGCAGTGGCAAGGTACGTAAAACAAAAATCATAGGGATTACACCAAAGAATGGTGGTAGTAGTACAAGAGGCACATGGGCTAAATGATATGCAATGTATTACAGCAAGCATATTACTGCAAGTGGGCTGGCTGCTCGAGGCAGGATAAGCCCTTTGTTAAGCGACACAAGATGCACAATCATATACGCACCCATACCGGCGAGAAGCCTTTTGCATGCAAAATTCAAGGTAATAGGATATGACGAGAACATGTGAGAGAAGAAAAAAAGAGCATTCCACAATGACTGACATTTTTGTGTTGCCATGCCAGATTGCGACAAGCGATTCTCTCGTCTAGACTCACTCAAGACCCATATGAAAACCCATTTGCCTGTCAGGCCCCATTTATGCACAGAGCATGGCTGTAACAAGGCCTACTTTCATGCTCGCTCTTTACGCAAACACCTCAAATCACATGCCATTGCTGCGTCGAGACGTCAGCAAAAACACCAAGCGCAAAAATAAGTCCTCTCCTATATGTATAGAGCTGGTGCTCACATCACGCGACACACACAAGCTAGAATTGCCAATGTATACATTATCACGTCGTTTTTTTCTCTCTCTCCCCATCCACACACACAACACCTTTGTATTTTATCTATATATCCCCGCCTCTGATGTTTTATCTTTATCATGCAAATAGCATTCCCCCCTTCCTATATATGTAGAGCCATTTTGTTCATCCATATCATACGCACATACATACACACACACACACCAACGGCATATTATACACATACACTCTCACACACAAACACCCCATCCAATTTTTCATTTGTTGTTGAAATTCTTGCACTTGCCATCGTATCATCATTCTTCTACTACAACTATCATCATCCAACCATCAACCATCATTTGTCACTTTTGTCCTACATTAGAGCTTATCGCACGTTGTGGTGGTACGATACGCGATGTTGACACACAAGGAGAGCAGCTGAGAATGAGATTTGTTTTATCTTTTATGCGAGATGGAGGACAACGATGCAGCATCATGCATTGGGTGCTTCTTTTGCATCTCGTGATGCTAGATTTGTATGTGTTACCCAAAACAAAAACAGATACAAGAGGACACACCAATAACCACACACTTTCATTTCTCTCTTATGAAATATTGGCGTAGCACATTTGTCATTTTAGCTTCCTTCTTGCTCGGGGTGCAGCACCATGTCGATTGTGTTTGGTCATGTTTGTGTGTGTCATGTGCCTTGCAGCAGCAGCAGCAGCAGTATAGAGAAGAGTGACAACAAGTGGTATTATAGTAGTCAATGATGACCCAGACCATGTTCGTCTTGTGACCCACGACCATGGAAACAACAACCCATATCCTTTCTTTTGATACCATGCCGAGACATCAGATGACGAAGAAGGGGATCGACGACACAACAAAAATGTTTCGAAACATTCATATGGATGGTGGTGGTGGTGGTTGTAGTGGATGGGTTGGTGCAAAAAGTAAGCGAAACACTTTCGGAGAATGATGGTGGTGGGGGAGGGTTTGGGTAAAGCGTCCCAAGAGTTGTTTGCAAAGGGTGTGTCAACAATAACAAGAATGTGTGTTGTTATGGCAGCAGTTGCTATGGTGAAGCACTTTCTCTCTCCTCTCCTCGTCAGCTCAGCTTTTCACGTGTTAATCTATAATTCGCTGCAGCAGCAGTAGCTCGTGTGGGTTGTTATTTGACCTCCCCAAGCAATTTTCAGAAAGAGATGGAATACAATGGAATGTCTTCATTTGTATAGGTATGTGTGTGAGAGTACAAGGTTTATCATGCCATACAGAGAGAGAGTGTGTGTGTCAATAGTGCAATAGCAGAGAAGACGTATATAGAATGGGTACATTATCCACCAATCATTGCCAGCACCGGGGAGTTGAGATCACTGGGTGAATGGTGATGATTGTAAGCTTTTGGATTAATCAAATGCCCTTTTCTCTCTCTTTCCTCCCTTGCCGTTCTTTTTTCTTTGTACATTTTCTCTTTCTCTCACTCTCACTCTCACACACTTACACGCTCTATTCGTCATTCTGTTGAATCCTCTTTCGTATGATCACTGCACATCCCGATCGAGCTTCTCAAGTGGGAGGAGGACGACAACAACGATTCAAGCCATCAAGGTTCAAACACCATGGCCAAGCAACTTCACCATCGGAGGGATTTCCCGCTGCAGCTGCACCCATGCTACATCGACGTCGACCGTACCGTGAGGATGGCACATTGTACACGAATGACTTTGGGGATGGCAACAAGGATCGGTTTATGGAGCTTGCTCAAGCCGCGTTAGAAGAAGCTACCCTCGAGGATGAACGCAAAGGGCTTATTTACGAGGTTGTGGAGGCATTGATTGCAAAGTCGGGAGCACCTCTTGTTGCCGAAGTGATTTCCGAGCAGTTAAGAAGTCAAGAGATTATCGAGCAACTGGCAGAGTCGCATGAAGAAGAAAAGTTAAAGCAGCAGCAGCAACAGGAACAAAAAGAGGATGGTGATGAGCAAGAGAAGCAAAAAGTATTTGCCCCGGGATTACTGAAGGAGCCACCCGATGCTGTGCTGCAGGTTGACGACGATGATGATGGCCAAGTAGGGAATCGTCGATGGCTTATTTCTGAATACATTTGGAGACTCTTTCGTATTCTCTTGTTGGCAAGTTTCGTTGGCTTGGTTTATCATTTCATGTGTGCTTATCATCAAGATCTATTCTGATTGTCTCTCTCTCTTCCTCTTCCTCTCGACATCCATATTATTATCATCTATTCTTTTTACCTACTCTATCTCCCCCCCTTCCTCTTCCTCCTCCTCCCAAGCATATACATTTCATATATATTATAGGTCCCTTTCTTCCTCTTTCTCTCGCCCCACAAAAGACTCCCCCTCCCACTCTCACACACATTGCAACCGGTAGCTTTTGCATTCCCTTGATTGTCGGTTATTTGTCATACCATCCTATCGCATTTATCTCCCAACATGTGTAAATATATATTCTTTTCTTTTTGAGACAAACAAAATTATAAGCTCGTGTCGTCTGGTCATATCACATGGGATGATGAGTGGGTCATCGCGTGGTCTGTGCTCGGTATGTGGGGAAAAAGGATCATCACATTGTGTACACCCATTGCATTGATATCATGTGATGAAGGCATTCCATCCACCAGCAACAACATTGATGAGAACAAGGAAATATCCCTTGCATGAAGAATAAACCCATTCCAATTTATATACAAGACCAGTAGCATGAATGTCATCGGTTACTAGTATAGATCCCAACAACGGTCCAAAATCAAATATCAGGATGATCATGTAATGTATACTACTTGCATGGATGGATTTATTGAAGATGCAGGCCCTCTATATATATGTGTGTAAGGGAAATGACAGGCGGCTGTTATACGTAGAGGATAGCAAGGTGGAGGAGAGAAAAAGGAAAGGTGCTGTCATACGTAGATAGCCGAGCCCTTTGCTTGTCCACTAAATCAAATCTGGCACTTTTCGTTTCTGTTCTTCTCCTCAGAGAAATACAATGTGGAGATCATGGGTCGATCGCGTCAATGCAGCCAGCCAAAGCACTTGGAAAGACAGCAGCTCTGATGACCAATCTACTCTCTCATTAGAAACACAAAAGCGGTAGGTTGCATAGTACGTCAACTTGCGCGTGGAGCGGCAATCTCAACTGACTTCTTGATTGTAGACGAGAACGGGAACGTGATGAACTACGAACGCTATTGGAAAAGACGCAATCTCCCACCAACAATGAACAGGTAATGGAGAAGGAGAACAACGGCAACAAGATACGGCAACGCTGACAGTAATAATGATGGGGGGGGCTTCTTTAAAGGAAAACGACAATGTCTTTTTACAAGAGTTCTTGCCAAGATTCTGTCAAGTGTGGGAAAACAACAAGGACGATGTTGTATTCACGGCTATTGATGATGCACGAAGCTTCATGGCATGTTTGACACGGCTATTGTTGGGTGGCATACGACGCGTTCCTGAACAAAAGACCAAAGGCGAATCCAGCAAAGGTATGGTAGCATCCGATTGTGCAACAATGAGGCGATCTCTCTCTCATAATAGATGCTTTGTTGTGTGTGTATAGCATTGATGGATAGGCTGCGATCGAAATCACACATGTATCACATCATCCGCACTATCCGTGTTGTGTCGCATGGTCCGGTATGTTTATTTATGCAACAGCTCGCCGCCCGCCGCATGGATATTGATTGGACCATCCATGTAGGACATGCTGGTCGATTTGATGCTTCAACAACGAATACCATCCGTCATCATTAAGCTCTTCCGATCCTTCATCGATTTACCACACGACTATTATCAACCCAACGACGAGAATGATTTGATGTCGACCGATGATATTGGCTCCTTGGTGACAGACACCCTCAAACAATTCGCTCACAACAAATCGGTTCTCCGTCGGCTCATTGCTGAAGATACATTGTTCATGATGATTCGCCTTGTCACCGTAAAACCCGCTGAATGGCCGGCACATTCAACTATAGAGGGTGAACCAGCGTTCATGGCTTGGAAACATAGGTATGAAAATGTATGCATTGTTGCTTTGCTTTATTACTAACTTAATGATCATAGAGCCCTGGAGGTTCTCAAACAGATCCCAATGTCCTCTGATGTCTGTCATTATATGAAATCAAGGAGGTGCCTTGAAATGCTAGTCCAAGCATGGGAAGATTGCTTCGCAAGCAAGACTCGATTGACAACCTTGGATATGTACGAGATTCTCTCTGGCATTGATCTTCTCACTTATCAAGTCGAGGTAGGTTGTGGATTACGTTAAAAGGATTACAAAAGTAACCATATGATATGATACGATAGACATCACTGCAATCCGATTACCACGTTCTATATGATGATTTGAATCGAAGCAATGCATGGGAGGCTCTTTCAACAGTGCTTTTAGCAGAGTCTACGGATGACAATGTCACTGAGCTGAAGGTATATAAAGCCAACAACATGTTTCCCCCCTCTCGTATGCTCATATACTAATAGCACCTTATTATAGCTGAAACTCAACAAACACATTGCAAGATTGGTATTCATTGGGAGGAACGATCAATCACCCTGTTTACCGGAAGGCTTACCTTATCAACATGAAGGTAGTAGAGATTTGTTGTTTATTGGTCGATGTCAATCTGATGGGTCTTTGAAACTAGATTTCACTTTTCCCAAGGTGGATCGATCCAAAGGTAATCGATTGGATCCAACGTTTACAACATGGGCTAATAGTGGGCGGATAGATGACTTGGTGAGGAACATTCATGCATTTCAGCCATTGTTATCGGCGTTTACATACCAAAGATCAAAGAGGAATTCTGGGTTGGAATCGAGGGTCAAAAAGGTGCTTTCAGAGGACATGCAAAGAGCTGTGTTTGATCAAATGAAGCAAATCATATCAGCGGAGCCGATCAACTATTTCATATTGGAGCGGATCAATGCTGTGGTGTTACTTATTGAGTCCATGGAATATCATGATGAGGAGATTCAGGTACGTGACAATGACAACATGAGGAAGGAAACGGTATCTTAGCAACGATGATGATAGAATGAAACCATGGATATTCTTGTTTACATTATCCGGGACCTCAACTTCGTGCCTCTCAAGGAGCTTGCAGTGCTCTCTCTCTATTTCCAAAGTATGTATATAGACGATGTTGTGTTGTATGCATGGCAGCTAATTCATCATCAACCCCACTAGGCTCTTCATCAGGGAAGCTGATAGGTCTCATTTGCCGTCGATTCGCCAGCTTGCTTCAGGAATTTGAAAAGTTTCAGACGGTGGTGCGTGAAGCTGGTTTCCTCAACGTCCTCAGCATCATGCTCTCTGATATGACAGATACCCTTACAACAAAACGCAACAATGATGATGAGCCACAGCGACCATTCACCCAACAAGCCTTGCAAAACTTTGATGCTATTGCAGATTGCATTGTGGAGATGATAAAAAACCCAGCAAATATGGCACTATTCCAGAAGACGTAAGGAGGTTTACATTACTTGGTATATCAATGATCCTAATAGCATGCTTTTAGCTATCGTGGACATCTCCTTGAATTACTTCGAATACCAGCAACACGATCAGGCACATTGCGTATCATTACATGCTTCCCGACTTCGACCTCCTCGTACAGCGACTTGCTCTCATCACCTTTAACACCATCAGCATCAGCATTTCCAATGGAAATTGATACCATTTTTCCACGTCTTATCGAAACATTGCAATCCATTCCACGTGACAACATCGACTTTCGAATTGATTTATTGGATGTCTTTCAACAAATGTTTTCCAACCATTCATCCACACGCGACCTATTTCGACAATCAGGTGGATATGTGACCCTTATTTCAATGATCGTTTCGCTGGAGAATACCTTGAATGACGCAACCCATGATGATCTCTTTGACAAACGAGTCAAACTTTTGATGATGATTTTCTCTGTTTTGGCATCATCCATGCGAGACAATGACACCAACAAGCAATTTTTCCATTCACAAGTTGGATATTCGGCTCTTGAGAATTCACTTACTTTGACGGGCGCTTTGGAGGAAAATGGATTACCACGGCAGATGTTTGGGGTGCTTTTTGCTTTTGCTATCGATGATCAAAGAGCTTGCGACTTATTTATCACCAACGATGGTCATTCACTCGAACAATCTCGCCAAAAGATCGAGAAGCTTCTCAAGGACGTGTCTGTTACAGTCGACAACCCTGAAATTATGACGGCTATTCTTCGTATGCAAAGCACAGTATCGTACGACAGCGACTTATCGGAAGCTATCCTCTATGCAATGTACATGCTCGCGAGAAGCAATCGACGCAACCAGATCCGACTCAATCACTCTGGTCTTATGCTAGCAGCTTTGCAACGTGTCTTGCCTAAAGAAGTGGACCTGCTATCACCTGCAATGGATAAGGAAAAGACGATTTTATTGGATTTGGTCAAGAAGCTTATGGTGATGGGAGTACGATTGGATGAATTACATCTTATCTTTCGTGGATTGGGTACATGTGGTCATTTCCCGGTGCTGAATGGACCTCTTGGTGAGAGCTTGATGGATCTTATTCTCGATGGTGTTACTCGTAGTCGATGGCCCAACTTTATTCAATTTGACATGACATCATCTGGACATGCATGCCTTGAAGTACCTGCATTGGAAGATTTTCCCGGGTCATCTTCTGGATATACGTTTATGGCTTGGTTTCACATTGATCGATTTGACACGGAGGTGCCGTTGATGTTTTGGACATTATTCGATGCTGACAAGGCGGTATTTCAGCTTACCATTGATCCCGTATCCCGCAAATTGCAAATCCACCAACTCGGAGTGAAACAAACCATCGAGTTTACATCCTTCACCTTCCAACCTGGATATTGGTATCATATGTCACTTGTACATCAGCGCTCTCGACTTGGAATCAACATGAGCAGCATTTCATTGTACATTAATGGGGTTTGCATGGAGCAGACACGATGCCCCTATCTATCACAACCTATGACATCTACCGATTTACGAGCCGTCCTTGGTACACCACGAGAATTTGCAGCAACTCATCATCCGTGTACTTTGACTTGGGATCTTGGTCCAGTTTATTTGATTGAAGAAGTACTTGAAAGTGATGTACTATGTCTCTTTTTCAACCTCGGTGCTCGTTATCGATCGTTGTTCCAAGATAGTCTACGTCAATTTCAAACATACGAGGCATCCACAGCGCTCTTTCTCAATTTACGCAGCATGACCAAAGCCTTCACTCGACGTGATGTGGATCACAGCGTATTGGCGAGTGTGATGCGAGGTGCAGGAACGGCGTCGATACCTGAAGACAAGACGGCAATGGCATTCTTTGCATGCAACAGCCTTGCTGATAGCCAATACAGTGGATTGTGCAAAACAGGATTGAGTGACGCTGCGACACAATTGATTGCTGGCAGTATCAAACGGGCCAAATTGATCCTCAATGCTTCTGTTCCAAAAATTGATGCGGCGTTGACATTGCCTCGTATTATGGGATACCTCGACGGTAACTTTGCTGTGGCACATCCCTTTGGTGTTGACGAGTCTATGTGGCGCATTGGTGGCTGTGCTATTCCCTTGATGCTTGTTGAACGTTCAGAGGTATGAAGAAGAGGAAGAGGATATGGCATGTTCATTCCAAACATGTTCTGATTACCATCTTTAGACCCCACACATGCTATGCAAGGCGATGAGGATTTTGTGCGAGACGATTCGTTACTCGTGGAGGAATTCTGAAGATATGGAGCGATGTCATGGATATGAAGTGCTTGCATACCTTCTCAAGCAAAAGCGTGACTTGTTGACGGTTGAATTGCTCGAATTACTTTTGATCTTTATTGGAAAGAACACGACCTATCCAGAGTACGTTGAATGTTGTATCCTAAACATGAAGCAATCGAGTGTGACTCATATCATGTGGCTATAGGGAATCTATCATCAACAACCCGTTTGCATATCGCTATCTGATTTTGAACTTTGAGGTGTGGAAAAAGACAAGCCTTGATGTCCAGCAAGCACATTTGGAGCAATTTCCTCTATTCTTGCGCTCTAGCAACAGGCGACAATTCAACATGAAACGATTACAAAAATTCCGTAAGTGCAAAGGAATGCATGTTGATGATCACCTTCTGATTGATTGTGTATCTTTAGATTTGGTCAAACGCATGTTGCTTGCTTTCAGAATGCATATCTACTCAAAGGCTCTCACGCCCTACGTGGTCAATGCGCTAAAGACGGTTACATTATGCAATTGGAGCACCGAAAGCATCCGTGCAATAGCTACGTTCCTTGCATCCACTGTATCACAAGGTGAGCCATTGTTTCCCCCCTTTTTCAAGTATCGAGCCACAACTCATAATTCATTATCCAATAGACTCCGAGCATCCACATCGTAGTGCTGATTCACAATCATCCAATAACGAGGACAATGAAGAAGTGCATGGGTTCATTGTTGATGCATCAACTCGCAACCAGGTCTCCAAGACTGTCCAAATGCGGAATGTTGTTTTGGAAATGCTGCATGATATTTTGTGTGACACCAACAGCAAAGAACTCGTCAGCAAGTTTGCCAGCACAATCACCAATCGATGGCCGCTACTCTTCTTTGGTCCACACCTACATCCTTTCACTGTTGTATTGGCGTCACGTATCGTTTCACGTATCCTCATCAATCAAGGTCCTACCTATGTCCACAAATTCCGCCAAACATCAGAGGGATTCACCATCCTCACCAAACTTTTACCGCACTATTGGCACCTGGTACAGCTTCATCAAGTATTGACGATTACCATGATGGGTGCCGATATCTCCTTGTTTCCTTTGCACAAAACGTTCGACATCGAAGACTTGAAGCTATGCTTGCGCTCTGATTCAAGCAAATTTATGATCCCAGACTTATTACCAATCGTGATTGGATTATTGAAAGAAGGCATGGCAGATGCACTTGTACGCACGCGAAAAGATGCCGAAGGCAAGTATATATATGTACGCCCATTTTGATTGACAAATTTACTTATATCTTTAATATAGATGCAACAACAAAGGATATGATTGGTATCTTGGATAATCTTTTGCATTACCTTCGAACGTTGTATCAAGCTCGAGGAGATTTCCGTGACATGTGTATTAAGCCAGAGGTCGTTGATGCCATCATTGCTGTCATTTATCCTGCTGTTGCTTCCACGGATCAGGTGCTGAGTGCCGCTGATGAACTTGCTTTGGGAGAAGGAATCTTTAGTCTGATGATGAGCGCAGAGGGTTTATCAATGGAGGATCAGCTTCAAGCACGAGAGGATGCGGCATCAAGTATCATTCGCCGAGGAGGTACATCTACGCTGATGACAAAGACTTCGCCACATACAAATCGTAAACTAGGAGCAATGATCACCAAGCTGAGGTATATGATCCAACAAGGATGATGCAACATGAAGCCTGTATTTACATGTATTCCTTTGTAGAACGTCGTCAGCACAACCTCTTGTACCTACGGAAGACATGATCATGTTGAAAGACGAGGCGCTACATGGGTTGCTCGATTTTATGGTTACGATGAGTGTTCATTCAATCACCGACCCAAATGACAAGAACCTAACAGCCCTGAACAATATCCTTGGCGTAAGTATAATGAAAGTTGGGTTGATACAATTGGGTATTAAGGTAATTTCAATAGGGATGTCCCGCGAGTACGCAAGAATCTCAGGTACCATTCATTCATTACCCATGATCCATCGGGAACAATGAGCTCAATGCACTCTTTCATAGATCCGTTTCGAGAGCTTCCTTTTAATCCACATTTCTCAAAGCCTCAAATCAACGCTACAGCTTGATGATCACTTGTTGGCCGATAGCAAAGTAGTTGCCAATGTTGCTCGCTTCTGCCAAATGGCTGCCGATTTGGTTTTACAAGGTATGGCTAGGTCTAATTACTTTTAAAGGCCAAATGATTGATTTATATATGCCTTTAGGTCGATTTACAAATGGTGCCGAGCAGACCTATGACCTCTTAGCATCCATCCTTGAACGGTTGATTTCACCTGAATTCTCTGGCAAGAGCAAGCCCAGCAATCAAACGCTTCAAATCCTCTATCGTTCTTTTAATCGGATGATTCTTCTCAAAATCTCGGATCTCGAGCAAGTGGACATGCCCGCCGAGCAAATTGTTGCGTTCCTCAACTATTGTATCCATCATCAAAAGATCATTCTCAGTGCACGGAACACCGACCTCGAATTCTTGCGTTGTTTCTGTTATCACTTGTATCAATTCTTGCTCGTGGACGACAATACAGTAAAGATTGATGCTGCAAATGTAAGTTGATGGATTGGCTTATGATCATGGTAATGATTTAACAAATGATCTAGGTTTGGAAACTCTTGGTGTTGCAACGACCTGACATTCTTGAAACCATCTTCAAAGTACGCTTAAAAGGAGTCGGTATGTATATGGACAATGGAAATTAAGCGTAAAAGGTGATAGTTGACGTTTGCAAATAGAATCAGATGACATCGTAGCTGGTTTCAGGGAGATGATTGAGATGGTACGTATGCGGCAATTCTTATGAAAGAGATCAATTTGCCCTAACACATTTTTAAAAGGATACGACATCATTTTTCGTATGGATCGAATCTCGCAAGCTTGAGCTGAACCATCTTTTCAAAGAGCACATTTTCAAGACATGGGAGAACGCTGTACAACAGGAGAATCGACATGCACAAGAAATGCTCAAAGATCATCATATGAAGAGGACGACCAAGCTGCGTCGATTGCAAAAGCGTGAAATGTATGAGGATGGATTGATGCGTGAATATGTTATAAAGACGTCAGCATGGTCGAGCAGTATTCAGGTAAGAAATGATGGGCATTGTGGTCGAGAGAATATATCATTCATCATCCCTTGTGTCCTCTAGGGTGTGGAAATGGGTCGTTTTACAAAGGCGCTACAAGACAATGATGGACACGACAACTTTATTGTCAGCGAGTGGACACATCTTGCAGGTGAATTGCTTCGTGAACGTGGTCTTTGGGGTCCTGCAGCCAAACAGAATGAGAGCAAATGGCGCCTTGATTACACCGAAGGTCCACAACGTATGCGAAAGAAGATACAGCGCATCACTGAGGCTCAAACTCGACAATACCTTCCAAAGCGTCCAAAGACTTCACCATCTCACAACGGCAAAGTAAGTAGCTGATATTTATTTTCATTATGGATAATGTACTAACATCAACTCCTTAGGCATCAAATGAGGCAACTGATATTGGTGCTGATAAAGGTAAGATCACTCATAGTCCGATTGGTGATATGGTACTCAAATTATACATGACCCACAAAGATCCACAGCCGAAGCCTCTCATTGATGTTGATGACGATATGATGGGGAGCCCCGTTGCCGGCAAGCAAGATAGACGTCCATCATTACCAAGTTCAAATGGTGACCAAAGCTCAGAAGGTTGGTTGAGATTCATTCATTGCACAATCATATATTTTAACATACGTACATGCACAAGGTCATGCCGAGGAAAGGAGGGAAGAGGAGGAAGAAATCTCTTATGACGAAGACAAGAATCGTAAGGTGCTGCGTCTTTTGGATTATGGCGATATGGTCCTTGACGTTTACAATGTCAGTCAAATTGCTGGCTTAGATGCTCGCGGTAAGTTCCTCTGCTGATATTCATGATCTTTGACTTACGCGGCTTTTATCATTTGAAGAGGGCTTGCTTCTACTTTGCAAACAAAACATCTATTTGATTGACAACTTCTTCCAACGAGCTGATGGCGAAGTCGTCGAGATTTGGGACGTTCCAACTGAAGAGCGAGATCAATATCTTATCTTGCTTGCTAAAGCAGCTGGCATGGAAACCGAGCCAATGATGGATCAATCAGGCGATCTTCATACCTCCAGGAAATGGTAAGTTACATAGACCAATGCTGGATCATGTACATTTATTGATGACATAAAATAGGGCCAACAATGACATTAAAGAAGTATACAAGAGACGCTTCTTGTTCAGGTAAGTCTTCAGTTATATGATATGGTTTGATCACCCCTTGATTTATGCATGTCCTATAGAGATGTTGCCCTTGAAATTTTCTTTGGTGATGGTCGTAATGCCCTGATCACGGTTGCTAAGGAGGAACGAGATGAGCTTTACAGCAAGCTTGCTGGCCGAGTCACCCTTTTTGAAAGTTCAACTGAATCGATCATTGGTGCTGCTGGTGAAAAGGAAATGGCTGCAAACGTTTCTTCATTTGGTGGATCCTTCAAGCTATCCAGTCTTTTCGGCAGCTCTACCCTGAATGACCTTACCCAAATGTGGCAGCAGCGGGAAATTACCAACTTTCAATATCTGATGTACTTGAATGCGATTGCTGGTCGTTCTTACAATGGTAACCAAAACACACTTATGGGATTTATGGGATAGGTGTACTAATACGACGTACATAGACCTTACACAGTATCCTGTATTTCCTTGGGTGCTTGCCGATTATAAGAGTAATGAGGTAAGACATGTCTATGTAGGTATGGGGAATATGGGCACTGACGACAGCTATGACGCAGCTTGACTTTGACGATCCAAAGACGTTCCGTGATTTGACCAAGCCCATGGGTGCACAGACCGAAGAAAGAAGAGGTAAAAGGCACATTATCCTATCTATCTCCAATAATGGTAGATTAACACCTATGCTGCAGCCGAATTCGCTGACCGATACAAGCAATGGGGTGAAACGAATAATCCTGAACCAGCATTCCATTATGGCACTCATTACTCTTCGGCTATGATTGTATGCTCATTCTTGATTCGATTGGAGCCATTCACGCAGCACTATTTGAAACTTCAAGGCGGCACCTTTGATCATGCGGATCGTCTCTTTGATTCAATTGGGAAGGCATATGAGTCTGCATCAGAGAAAAACATGGGTGATGTGCGTGAGTTGATCCCCGAGTTCTTTTACCTACCCGAATTTCTGGAAAATGTCAACAAGTTTGATTTTGGTAAGAGCGTTGAGTCACATGTCTTTGTGATACCCTATAATAACAATCTTCCTAGGTGCCAAACAAGGAACCGGTGAAACGATTGATTCTGTGCTCCTTCCACCTTGGGCAAATGGTGATCCTAAGATCTTCATCCAGCGCCATAGAGAGGTACAATGTTGACATTCTTTAGGGTCTCTGATACTCATATGGCTTACTAGGCATTGGAAAGCGACTACGTGAGCGAGAACCTTTGTCACTGGATTGATCTCATTTTCGGTTACAAGCAACAAGGACAAGCAGCAATCGACTCGCTCAATGTCTTCCATCACGTTTCCTATGAAGGTGCTGTTGGTATGTAAACACGCGCTCTATGATTACCCCCAACCTTCTCTCTTTTGACAATATCTTTTCGTGTTCATTCAAAGACCTCGACGCAATCACTGATGTGGTCGAGAAAACGGCTACCATTGGTATTATCAACAACTTCGGTCAAACCCCACGCCAATTATTCAAGAAACCACATCCCACTCGTCTTTTATCGAATCAGCTGCCTGCAAGATTCTCACCTTTGCAAGATCATTTGGATAAAGTAATACAGTCGATTGTCCCTGTCAGAGGTAAATCATTATCACTTAAACCACGAGACACAATTGGTGATGGATGGCTGACTATGTTGATAGACATTAAACGTCAAGTTGGCGAGATTGGTGTTTACAATGAACGGCTAGGTGTCACAGCCTGTCAACAATTATTCATGCCGCCTGATGGTGCTCGTTACATTGAATGGGGCTTTTCAGATAACAGCTTACGATTGATATCCACCGAGACTGGAAAGGTACATATACACACATGAATCTCTTTGTGGATGAACGGAATTAACGATGGGATTGGTGACAGCTTTTACACGTGTATGAGAATATGCATACAGGATTTATCAGCACGGCTTGTTTCCCTGATGCCCGCACTCTTGTCACTGGTAGCACGGATAGCGTAAGTCACTAATAGCTTACTATGATATTGGTATTGATACATGAGTTCATAGACTATTTGTATGTGGAAAATCAAATTGGAGAAAACCACCGAGTTCTCGTTAGCCGAATGTCTTCGTGGTCATACTGGGGCTGTCACATGCTTGGCTGCATCTCGTCCTTATAGTGTCATTGTTTCTGGATCAGAGGTAACGGATGAATGAAAACACTGATAGCTCCATTATATACTAAATCTTGCTGCATAGGATAAAACCGCCATCATTTGGGACTTGAATCGAAGGGAATACGTGCGTACTTTGGATGGTCATGACGGCCCTGTGGATAAGATTGTGGTGAATGATGCCACGGTAAGCATCGTTTTCATTACCTACATGTTCTTTGGCTCATTGTTTCCGTTACAGGGTGACATCATCACGTGCTCTGGTAATATACTACGCGTATGGACGATCAATGGTGAACTTTATTTGTCCAAGGCCGTGTGTTCAAGCGCTGATCCGATTTTATCTTGTGTGGTGTTTGAGGTAAGCGAAAACCTGCCACAGATAAGGAATGCAAATACTAAAACGCTTCATATATAGAATAAGACCAATGATTGGTATAGTGACGATCTAATCGTTACTGGACACAGACGTGGTGTCATCAAGGTATATACCCAATAGGCAAATGTATGTATGTATGCTATGTGTGCTCATTCGATACCACTAGTATTGGTGCAAAAATCTTGTCAAAGGGAAGGATGATCAAGATCAATGGGGACTAGTATTGAAGCGACAAATGCAGCAGCACGATCAAGCTGATGATAGCGTATCAGACATTGTGGCACTTTCTTTTGCTGGGTAAGTGAAATGGGTTATACCTTCTTTATTATAGGCATTAATGCTTATGTAAACTTTGAATTGTTGCAAATAGGCCCAACAAACGAACGCTCTTGTCCGGAAACCAATATGGCGAGGTGTACGCCTATGTACTTCCAGACACCACCGACATGACTCACTACGTTAGGGATGATCGATCCAAAGATTGCATGGGTTGTGGGCGTGCATTTTCAGTTCTAGGTATGTTATGGGGTACACGTTTATAGCTGATATGATCTATTCACCATAATTTGTTATGTAGAACGCAAAAACAACTGCCGATCTTGTGGAGGTAAAAAGAAAGGATAGGGGAAGTATTTATGTATGGACCTAGTTAACTATTTTAAAATAGGCTTGTTTTGCTCTGGATGCATGGCCAGTAATACCCTTCAGATTCATGACCGACCCGTTAGATTCTGCAACTCCTGCTACGACCAGCTGCATCCTGTGCTATAAGGAACCATATCCAATTTCTTCTTTTCGAAAATCTAATAAAAGGCTGTTAGCCACTCATACCCTATCATAAAATGGTCATCCATCTTTTTTATTTGTTGATCCTGCTCTTCTTCTCAAGGACGACATCATCAGCAGCAGAAACAGATAAAGTCATCGTAGGATATTGGGGAGTGTGGTAATGCAGTTATTGTGTACATAAAGCGTATTGGCGTCACTAAAGTGTGAGCTTTCTTTTGTATAGGGATTCAAAGCCTCTTCCAATCAAGTATATCCCATGGTCCCAAATCACCCATATCAACTTTGGATTTGCCACTGTGAACAAAGACGTTGTTCCTGCACTTAAGAATCAAGGCGCTCTGAACAATTTGGTCAAAGAAGCTCATGAGAACAATGTCAAGGTGCTTCTCTCCATTGGTGGATGGTATGGCAGCAAAAGGATGGATGAAATGGTTTCTCTTGACAAGCATAGAAAGACCTGCGTGGATAAGGTGAAAGGATGGTTACATGAATATGATCTTGATGGTAAGCTTTTCATGTTTCATTTGAATTATTGCTACATGTTGTAGCTCATGTCCTTTTTTCCCCTCAGGCGTTGACATCATTGATTGGTGAGTATCGTCTACGTATATGTAAAGAAGCAGATCACTGACAATAGCCGCTATAATAATAGGAGAACAAGGTTGCCATGCAATCAATCATCAACCATCACCAACACGACGACAGAGGACCATCTCCTCCCCTTACTTGAACAACTTCGCAGGGCATTAGGGAACGACAAGCTTTTGACACTGGGTGTAGGTGCGACGCCTTATCCATACAGCAACGTGAGCGATTACCAGCAAGTGGTCGATTGGATCACAATTATGGCTCATGACACACACGTTGGCCAACCAACAATCGGTGCCAATTCACCTCTCTACAACAATGATGCATCATCAAACAGTGCTTTGGAGGCGTGGAATGCATGGATGGCCATACCAAGTGAGCAACGTGTGTTGGGTGTACCATTTTACGGCTATGCATCCAAGCCGATCCGTAACAAGAAGGATGGCGATCTCGAAAAGCTCACTGGCCCTGCACATTCGATGAGACCTCCCGGCGATGCTGATGATCCAATGCTACCTGATACGTGTAAACGTGGTTACTCTGGATTATGGAGATGGCGGTCATTACGCAATACGGGTATTCTATTGGATGAATCAAGAGCTGGTAAACATTGGACCAAACATTGGGATACATCTTCACAGACTCCATGGCTGTACAATTCTCTTTCAAACGTTGTCATCAGCTACGACGATCCTCAAAGTGTCAAACTTAAAACCACATTTGCAATGTGTCAACAAGCGCGTGGCATTGGTGTATGGGACTTGGCATATGATTATTATACTTCTGGTAACGGCCAACTGCTTACTGCTATTCATGATGCGCTCAATACTACTCATCCAAAATGCGATTTGACGCTAATACATCCCGATGCAGACCCTGTGGAGAGTGTTGGAACATATAGTCTACCCCGATCAGTTGTCTTTGTATTTCTATATGCCATCCCCATGATGCTTTTTCAATTATAAAAACAGCATTGATACCGAAAGAGCAGTTTATGCTATGATTGATTGCAAAATGATATGTGCGGGGGACTACATGTATAAGAATTTATGCCGTATCAAGTGTGGTAGACTAACAAATAACGATCATGCAAGCTTTAAATCATAAAAGTGAACGTGTGTTACGATGTTAATGACAAGATCAAATCATAAAAGAAAGGGAGGTGAGCTGCACATTCAAATACAGTCTTTGTTCAAGGCACAATGAATCAACCAGATCCTTTCGCTCCCTCTCTTTTTCCTTTATCACAGGATTCACAGTGGATACACTTCTACGATCCTGCATAAACCTTTCTATAGCACAATGCACCAATTGCTTACACACAAAGAGGGTTGACTCAGGAAGAAGGAAGGTTTTATAGAATATTGAAAATAGTTGACCGATGTAATACCGTATTAGCTAAAGTATCCTTTAATGCAGCATCATTCACGAGGGATCGATTGAGAGGCACAACAGATTGCTCCAATGTTGAAGATACATCGATTTGGGAAGTTGCTATCCTTTGGGGTGTGGTTTTTGCAAAGATGGAAGGATGAATGTGGATGGCACTTGATGGGTGATGGCGAACTATATGCATGCTGTGTCAAACATGGATTTGGATGATGATGGTTGTACACGGTTGACAAGTTGCACAAATGGTGACGGTGGTAGCTGCCATGGAATAGGATGTACAGTAGGATAATGGGTTGCATCAATCGTCCAGGATGATAACAATCAAGTTAACAATGAATGCACTCTTGTTCCATGCGTTACATATACCTAAATCCTTCCATCCAATATACCAAAGCAATGCAGTATTCAGATCCATATCCATATCCATGAGAAGTCGTGTGTATCGAGGCAAGTTGCTACGCGTAAATAAAGCTGCTTCTATACAATGGCTATCTGCTGTTCACGTGAACAAGGCTGTAAGGCAAGCTGCTGCAAGCAAAGAACGCTGTTGGAGACAACAGAGCAAAGGCATTGCTAATACCAATTGCTGGAATGAATGCTGTTACGATTGGTCGTGGTAGAAGAGTGTACAAGAGAATGTGAAGTGCCAAGGAACGCGAGTGTCGTAGTAGAGTGACAAGAGGGTTGCGTATACGCCATGGACTTGCCCATTCAGTCAAAGACAATCGGATCAAGACATTCGTAGGGTTGACATGATGGGTTGAAGCAGGACAATCGTTTGCAGGTGGTAGTTGTACTTGAATGGGCCAACAGATGAGAATTGGAGGAAGAGGCAAGGGGCTGAGAGTGGAAGAAGTGGAAATTAAATAGGCGGACACCTCTTGTATAAATCCATTGTCAGTCAAAGTCTCTCCTGACAATGGAGCAAGTCCATCGGTGTCAAACCTGACACATGAATGCTGTGATCTAATTTCTCCGCTTTATTGAGCGAGTGCAGCTAGAAAATTTGGATGCAATAAAAGTCTAATCTATAAGTCTAAATGTTCTTTGATCTTTTTCTTCGC